GTATTAAGAGACATGATTAATAGTATAAACAGCCCTTAATCTGAATTGAAAAAGTATTGCTTTTGCATCACCAAAAAATACAACTCCATATAATATACCTAACTACGTGTATTACCCTGCCTTTTATTTAAATCGTTATAGATATATTCTTAGATTTAAGAATTAGTAAATTTTATTGTTTCACAGACTCTTCCTCCCTATATCAGTATATTTTCCGGACTATTACTATTATTCAATTAATATGTATGTATACGAAAAGTAGCTAGCTCTCTTATATTTCTAGCTCTTTATTACTTACTTAAAGAATCATAGGTCCTATACCCCTCTCTAGACGTCTAATAGATAGAAACCCAATTGGTTACTATTAGAGTGGCATTACCCAAATAAAAATATGCCAATTAGTACGTAGACCTAGAATATTACGGAGGAAGAGGCGTAGATAATCTAGGAAAGGATTAATTGGCTTTAGCACCTTATTAACCTTAAGAAACGCTAGTAAGAACTTAAGGCCTAATTTTCTAAAGAATTATTAAAGTGCTATGAGAATAATGGCTATATAACCCTGAATTATGAGATATTAGAAGCGTGAAATAGTTCCTTATAAAAGGGGGCCTCCTCTTACGGTATAAGGATAGTAGAAGAAACATCCTCACTATATTTAGTTATATAGACTATATCTATGAATAGAATTAGTATAGTACAGTATCAATATATTAGTGAATAGTCGCTAGATCTCTAATAATTATAGGCACATAGGATTAAATTTAAGGGATAAATGATTACCCACATCTAAAACGCTTAAAATTAGATATAATTAATAACTTTGAGGCTTTACTAACGTTAATTCTAGCTAGGATCTATAGGAGTTTCATACCTTTCTCTTACTATACGATAGTAATCTTTTAATCGAAAAAGTAGGAGGGAGCGCTTACTTTATAAAATGAGATTTTAAACCATGTAAGTATATATATATCCTGTATATACCTTTCCTTCCTAAAGATGAAATTTTTTTGTTCCCTTTATGTAATTTTAAAATCTCTAGAACGCTCTATATCGTATATTAAAACCTAATAAATTTAAACATAGCGCCCATGTACCTATATCAGTCTAATTGTATAAAAGATAATAGGCTACCGAAAAATAAGAGGTATTGGCCTCCTAATTAAGATAAACTACCATTTAGAGGATCAACTAAGGATGAGAGAAATTTAGATTAGACTAATTAAGACGCTACCTAAATAGCATCAAGAGTAAAGGGAGTTCTATCTCATATTTTAAATTCTAGAGTAAATATTATTTCGTAGACTAATAAAATATAAAAGAGGTATCTAGTATTCTATCCATCGGCGATTTAATATGGAACGAAATAATAAGAAAAGCCAGAGTTAGAGTAAGCCTTTTGCATTTCAACTTAGCTACCTATAGTAAGGACTACGATCCCCTTCTATATACTAATTATAGTCTTAAGGTAAGTAACTATGCTCAGTTGTACGGACACGGCTCGCGTAACTCTAGACCTGTGCCCCCCCTGACTGTGCCTCTGTGTTCGGACACAGCTCGCGTAAATCCATTCATAGTGCTCTGATCTGCGGACACGGCTCGCTTAGTTATACGACCATACCGAGGACATGTGTCCCCGCTCATCCGATTCGCGAAACTGCTAGTACCGACTATTACTAGATTGGCTCATCGCAATTTCGCATCTTTAGGAGGGTGGTAGGACGCTCTCTACTATGAAGATAGTTTGTTTAGACTCATTCTATGTACTATTATATTTACTACCCTCTTTCCTCCCTCCTACCGCCGTTGTGGCTCAAAGCACTCTTATAAATCATACTCATTACACGAGTTTAATGCGATTGTTTAACTATCCTCTATACTATCCTTCACTAGAATAGCTCAACGATTACATATATAGGTTTACTATGACGGCCTAACAGACCTGATCCTCGCTGACTTAGTCTATACTCTAGACGGTAGATAATCTCTTCAGGGACAACTAAGTCAGCGAAAGCTAGACGGTACTTTTAGTATTCGAGAACGCCCTAACAGTGCCTACCCTTCGCTATATCTTCGTGCGGATCTCCTATTTATAGTACCTAGAAATATTAATGATAAGGATTATAACCCTAAATGTCCTCTAATATCCTATCCGAAGCTATATACAACTAGTTTAGTTATCACCTACTATACTAACCTAAGTAGGCGTCGCCTATTCGGTCTTTCCGTTTCTACTTATATTAGACCTAAGCTGACCGCCCTAGTTTACAGACACCCCTAGTTTTAGGACACGCGACCGCGTTAGCCCATTTATTTTCTCCTCCTATGCTTACCTACCCCATTATCCAACTATTATGGCCCCAAACGAGCATCTGGTTCTCTTGCCCTCTCGATCCAAAATCAGGCCGGATTACCTCCCTAAGGGATGCTACTGCTACGTATAGCATACCAAAATCTACTTTGCACTAACGGCGGGCAGGCACGCAAAACCCACGAGCCGGCTACGCAAATCAATAGCGATTTACCCTAGACTAAGTGCAATTCCTAGTCGAATAGATACTTGAGTAGGTCTAGCAAGGGTTTCCTTCTTCGTACGCGTAGCGGCGTAGGCGCATAGAATAGCGACTTGCGTGCTTCGGTCTAGCGGAGACTATAATCCTCTTAAGGAAAGTATAGCTTCTAAAATTTATCTAGCGCAGTCTATGCGTCGCTTCCTACATCAATAGACGGATCGATGCCTTACGGATCTAGGGAACATAGCTAAGTATAGGAGTTTTATAATCTCTTTGCCGACATCAAACGCCGATACGATATCCTACCCGAAAATATTTAGAATATAGATAAGCATAGGATTGCACCAGGCGTTTATACGTTTCCTAAGTCCTTACTAAGGCTAGAAAGAAGCATACTTGTGTGAAATCACTAGAAAATCGCGAATAGGTATTGATCGTAGAGACAATAAGCACTAAGGGCTGGATAGTTCGGCCGCTTATAATCTTTAACTAGATACCCTAAAATTTATATAAAGTTTTAAGAGTGCAAAGTCCTAGATTAGCTAGCTATATACGACCTTAACTCCTCATAAATCTACATCTAGCTATTTACAACGCCTTATAAGTGACCTACAATCCCCCTAGCATATAAAGATAGTATAGAACTACTTATTTAAACGCTAAAAAGCTATTAACATATACAAAAAGTGAAGGAGATACTTCAAAAGTAGCAAAATTTAATTTATGATTAGCGGGTAGCCCTTAAAAAGGTAGGCAAGGCTATTACAATCCTATAGGCTAAACGCGTAGTTAATAAAGCTTATATTTTAAAGCTAAATTCATAAGTTAAGACCTTTCGTGATTAAAAGAAGAAGATTTCTTTTAAGCCTAATACTCGCTTCTCTAATATCGAAAATGTTAAGGCTCCGTAGAAGGAGGCCGCTATATTAGAAGCGCGATTACAAGCTAGGAAGCTAGGGATAGAGGCTAAAAAGCCTTGGTAGCTGTGTAGAGAGCTGCTCTAGAAGATTTAATGATCGAATGGTAGGCTTAGTAGCTTAGTTGGTAGATAATTTAGTAATTGTAATATACGGCGTTTTTTGGTCTATGTCCTAAAACTAGGGGTGTCCGTAATCTAGACTGGGGAGCTTATAGCTAAGGATCCTAAGCCTAAGTTAAAGTACTCTACTTTTAGGTTATAGTGCGATATTCCTACTACTCTACGCTAGTAGTCTACCTGACTACCTCGCCTTAGTCGCCTAGCCTTAGTCTCTAGGAACCTAATTAGTTTGCACTATTAGGACGGCGTTCTTTTGTTATGTATCACTTTAACTAATCTATCTAATCTACCGTCCAAGTCTTCCGCTCCTATAGTATTATATCTTACGATGACCCCTTCTAATCAGAAACGCCCGTTAACTTCGACTCGGCTCTATAGTATCCCCTTATCATACTACAACGGTTGCTATTATGCCTATATTAATCCTAACCCTAGCGCCTTTAAGCTCTTAAATCTCTACCTCTAGAACTCCTATAGGTCTATAATCTTCTTGACGCTTACTATGCCCTTCGCTAACCGTATATATGACGTTTAGCTTCTGCTACGTCTTATAGAAAAGATCTTAATACCCCTATGCGTCACGTATCTCTACGCCCCGTCGATAGAAACGCACCTCGACTCCAGATGTTTTGTTGGTATTGCACACCCATGATACTACCCTGTTGTTGTCTTTAGTGCCGCCCGTGGTTAGTAGGTTAGGAAGGTATTCTATTCTACGTTACGATTTACGTCCAATAGGAGGTTCGACTAGCAACTAGACGAGTGGTTTATTGGTTTATATAAGTATTCTGAAGAAAGGTCCTATAGGGCTTTCTTATTTTGCTATATATTGTTAACACTTATAGGATGCTTCACGCTAGCGTGGGTATCTGGCTGATTTTGTTCGTTGAGCCGGGCCTACAGCCCGGCCCTGCTACTTGTACTAATTATATTTTTAAGGTATTATTAAAACCCACTTAGATCTAGATAGTTATATAGAATATAACTTAGTTAGCTATAATTTTATTAAGTTCTTATACTTCTAGTAGGCTAAAGTAATTACTCTTGTTACTATCATTACTAACTAATACATGAAGGACTAAAACCTTTTAAAATTATATAGCTAGTAATAGAGATTCTTATATCTAATCTTATTATTGGTAGTATCTATGATAAGCCTAAAATTTATTATAGCCTACTTGGTAGTATTATTTTCAAGGCTGTAGATGATTTATAAATTTAGTCTAGATTATATTTACTTTCCTATGTGAAATATAGATTATCAACTAACCGGCCCCTTTCATAAATAATAATTTATCACAGACCTTCGCATAACGAGGGTCCGCCACCGATATGATAAAGCCACCCATATGATAAATTTTCTCCTTTTTCAACTCCCCAACTTCAACGCGTCATATCCATCCACCACAATGCCTGACAACAATGCAACTATTGAGAATTGAATCCAGGATGCCCTCGCCGCACTATCCAATCAAGAGAAACCAAATATATCGAAGACTGCGCGAGATTATCACGTTCCTTACCAGCGGCTTCGATATCGCTGGCAAGGTCGACCTTCCCTCCTACAGCGCCAACCAACCCACAGATTTCTCAATGAAAGCCAGGAAAAGGTGCTCTGTATCTTTATGGATACTATGGATGACTTAGGCTTTTGCCCGAAGCGAAAACAAGTAGAAGCAGCGGCGAACTTAATCCTCCACGAAGCGCGATCGGACCTATCTATCTCGGTCGGCGAACACTAGGTTAGACGCTTCTTAAAGCGTCATCCTGACTTCAAACGACAACGACGACGAGCTCTAGATATCGAGAGAATGCAGGCACTCGATAAAACGGCTACACAGGCGTGGTTTAACCAGTATTCAGATTATTGTCGAGAAGGGGATTCTACCCCAAGATATCTACAACTTTGATGAAACTGGGTTCCAAATTGGCGTTGGCAAAGATCAGTGGATTATCACTAGGGAACCTACGAAGAAAATATTTAGTGGGACAGATACCAACCGGGAATTAGTGACTATCGTCGAGTCTGTGAATGCAGACGGTAGCTTCGTGATTGCACCACTCATTATCCTTACCGGCCTCCAGATTCTCCTTCGATGGTTTGACAACATCACCGAGGAGTGTATTGCAGTCAATGATACTGGATATATGAATCAACAAGTTGCCTACCAGTGGATCCAGCATTTTAATCGCGAAACTAAAGGCCGAGCTATTGGGAAATATCGACTCCTCCTTTGTGATGGCCTTAGTGCTCATATCACTAGGGAATTCATCCAATTTTGTGAGAAGAGCGACATCATTCCATATTTTCTACCGCCTCATTTAAGCCACGAGCTTCAGCCTTTAGATGTTGGAGTATTCAACGTTTACAAACACTGGCATAGTGAGGCAGTTGAAGCTGCAACTATGAGTGGTTGTACAAAGTTCACAAAAGACCTCTTTCTCCAGTCAATTCGCACTATCTGACGGCAAACTTTCAAACCTTCAACAATTAAGCTTGGTTATCGATTAACCGGCTTATGGCCATACAATCCTAGTATCGTATGCGATGATTTGGCAGATTATTCAGTCCATTGTCGCCATTACCAGACTCACCATCATCATCAGGTAGTAGTATTCCTACAGACATAAGTACACCAACTATTACTTCCCGCTTTCGAAGAATTGAGAAGAAATTAGATCGATTGGATAAGAATTCGACTACATTTTAAAATACCCTCCAGAAGTTGGTGAAGGGTAGTCAAATTCAAGCGCATCTAGCCGTTGAACTTCGCCGAGAACTCAACACCACTACACATGCCCAATCGATTAGGGAGGCGCAAAGAAATACATCTGGGAGGCGCGCGAGGTTATCCGGAGTCATTTCATCAAAGAATGTTCTGAATATAAAGCGTCAAGAGAAGGATTTGGATGATTTGGAGGCGCTGGATCGATTGCCACCGCGGTGGAAAAAGGTAATGAAAGAGCTACGAATGCAATGTAAGCGGGAGGGGCGGCAGTTACGCAGATAGGATCGAAAATCAAGTATCTACTACATCTTTTTACTATTCCAAATCCATTGTTTAGGGGGCTATAGGTGTCATGGATCAAGATCAAAATTGGATGTTGATAGAATTTATCATATGGGTGGCGGACCCTCGTTATGCGAGGGTCCGTAATAAATTGTAATTAATGGAAGGGGCTGGTTAGATTATTATTTTCTCTTTAGAACTTCCTCCTGCCCTCACCTAACTCTCACTTTGAGTTCTATAATCCCAAATTCAGTATAGCGAAAGCTATTTACCCTACGGCTCTAAATTTAGTGCCTAGTATTACACTATTTCTAGCGCTCTATGATTATGTATATACTAACTAGAAAATTAATAAAATTATTACTAGACTACCCTCCTAAGAGGCACTTAATGCTCGACTTCAAACCTTATATCCTACCTCTCTAAGGCTCTACGACTATAATTAGCTCCTAAGTAAATGGATATAAAGAGCCTATATTCCCTATTCTCTCTCTTAGACTCTAATGAGCCTAAAGTGATTTGAGTAGATCAAAGCTATCAATATATATATATTGGCTATATATAGACGAAGACTCGAAGAGTAGGCTATAAATGTTATAGCACTCTCGGAGGACTAGGAGATTCTACGCCTGAGGTAGCGCGATAACATTCGCGCTCAATTACCTAACCTATACCTCTAGACAAAGCCTCTAGAGCCTACGAATCCCTTCCCTTCCCTTAGCGAATCCTTTTATATCTACATGATAGCTTTCGATAGAATGAATCAAGCCTGATCCCTTATAACAAGGCATTAGTAGTTAATATCAACTAGAGCATCTAGCCTCTACTTTCAAAATGCCCTTAAAGCCTATTAAGTAGGGATAACCGTCCCCTAAAGTCGGACCCCCAACGCTGCGCGGTTGTGGGTCCTCCCCAGTCTAATGAAATTTCAGTCTAATGATAATTTTTCTTCTACCCACCAACTTTTGAATCTATTTACAGCACCATCCCCTGTCTGTCTATAGTATAAAGTGGCTGGCCGTCATCTCCATTAACCCATTCAAGCTCCCCAGCTCTTCTCTGATTTTCCTGGTCCCTAATTTCCGCCTGGCGGTTGATTTCAACCCGCTTCTGTTTAGCCTCTCTTTCCCACTTCCGTCTTTGTTTCTCTGCCTCTACAATATCCCTTGACTGTATAAGGGTATTTGCGTCCCGAACAGAAAGAATGCCCCCTTTACCTACCTGACGCTTAGATTTAGGGGCATTGGCCGCTTCCTGGTTGGTTAGGATGCGTGACATGTCTGCGGTGGTCTGGGCAGCCAATTCCGCTTGGGTAATGCTCCCCTCATAAATTGCCTCCAAACGGCGCTGAATTTTCGCCAAATCTGGGTTGGGGTTAGCTGGGAAGCTTTTCCTAACCTTGGAAATATTTTTTCGTAGTTTTGTGACTGTTGTTGGTGGAGAATTGATAGTAGAACTTGACGTTGGCGGTGGTGGAGTCTGTGGTTGGGATGCATCTGAAGCATTCTCCTCATTATTATCCCTCCCCTCATCATTATCCCCTCTGTCGTAGTCTCCAAGCTCGTATTCTTTCCCTCTATCATAGACTACTAGATCTGGTCGTCTATCATCTCCACGAAGTTCTTCACAAATAACCTCTGGATTGAATGGCCAAATCCCACAGTCTTTGAACGAGTGTCGGACGGCTGACATTGTAAAGGTCTGTACCCGGATTTCGTGTATAGAGCGAAGAAAGTCTGATTTCTCTGTAACTGAAGCGCCCCATTTCTTTGCATAGTTATTATACTTGCGATAATGGTTCTTGTATGCGAGGAATGGGTGTGAATCGAGTGGTTGAAGTCGATGTGTGAGATTTGATGGGAAGCAGAGTGGAATAATCCGATTCTGCTCGCAAAAATTGATGAAATCACGCGATTTATGGGATGTATGGCCGTCAAAAATTAGAAGCCTATAGTCCGTACGTTGTAGAAGCCGTGGTTTGGTATATTCATCAAATTTTCGAAGCCATTGGTAGGCGCGTACCTTAAGTTAGAAATTATTAACCTTCCCCCTAAATAGTTAATTATTTATTACTTACTTCATTATTCCACCCTGTCTCCGATGTTCCAATGTAATAATTTCCTGGTAAATCTGGCTGGTCCCTAAACCAACTCTCAAGATGGACTGTGCCCGCGAATATGATCATTGGGGGCATTAACCATCCATCTGCTGCAATACATTCGACTGCGGTCACTGTTTCCGCAATTCCACCTGTTGGTATAGGCCTTGGACGATCCCCGCGCCGAGATGGGACGCGCTGTGATTTCCCCTGGTCTAGTTGGAAGCCAGTTTCATCAATATTGTAGATATTCTTTGGCCCAATTTTGTACTGCTGTAAGACCACATCTAGGCGATGGAAAAAATCCTCAATTTAGGGTAATCGCTCTGCATCCAATCGCTCTGCATCCATGATTTTCTGGGTAGTAGGAACATAGTCGCTGGGGTGGCGTTTTAGAAATCTGTAGGCCCAATTATTCCCGACGCGTCGCGTGGAACCACTCCGCTCTAGCATCTCATTTGCTGTAGCCTCAACCTCTGCTGGGGTTGGTGGAAGATTTGCACGATAAAGTAGATCTATCCAGTGTATTAATGCCTGCTCTTGAGGTTTATCAAAGCATTTGTTGGGGCCCTGGCGTGCCGAACGAGATGTGTGACCATGAACGCGTCGTACGAGTCGCTGGTAATCAACACCAAATTCCCGCGCGATCGGTGCGATTTTAGGCTTCCCACGATCATGGTAGGCTTGCAAGGCCTCCTGGATGAGATCCTCGCTTTCATCGGATTTTTTGGGCATTGTGGTGGGGGGTAATTGTAGGAAGAAGTTGGTGGGTGGAAGAAAAATTATCATTAGACTGAAATTTCGTTGGACTGGGGAGGACCCACAACCGCGCAGCGTTGGGGGTCCGACTTTAGGGGACGGTTATAAGGTTTTGGCCCTCAGATAATATAGCTATGTTTAGACGTTTACGTGGAATAGTCGCTTTTAGGGCATTATAGAGACGTTTCGATTCCCTAGCCTAAGCCCTGTAGACTCTATGCTATTGGACATTATTGCAGAGCTCTCTAGACTCTAGACTATCATCAAGCTGTTAATCAGTTTATCAGGGAAGTCTATCAGACCGCCCACCAGAGAGTCGGTAGCACCTTGGACGATCTATATAGATAATTATTTTTCCTCGGTCTTAGTTTTTAAAGTACGATGAGCTCTATAATATGAAGATAGCATAGCTCGTCTAGAGTGTAGGGTAGCGTCTTAACTAGTTAAAAGAAGATTTAAATCTATTAATACTACAGGGGAAACTAATAAATTATACGCTTCTAAAGCATAGGATATCCTTTATATCGCTTAGTAGGATAATATTATAGTATCACTACTATCTATTCGAAAGATAGCTTTATTGCTGCTAAGCGGAAGCGGCCTATACTGACCTCTACGAATACTACTATTGCTCATACGCCTTTTACGACAAAGAATTACTTTTGTAGAAATTTTAATAAAAATTTACTAAAAAATGTTACAAGCAGAAGATTAAGAAGTTAGAAATCTGCACTACTCTTAATGACTATAGCCAGTACATGGGTGGGGTATATATAAATTAGTAGTTGGGTTCCTATGAGACCTATCGCAAGGGTAAACGCAAGGGTAAACGTAACTTAGTTAGTTTCGAATTTGTTATTTCCTCCCCAATGCTACAAATTGTTAATGCTTTTAGAATCCAATCGACTTAAAAGCAATATCACCAGCAATCTAGAACTAATCAGCTAGATTTTCGTATAAAGCTCTATTAAATGCTCCTTGCTTTGTCCCTAGTTCTACAGCGAACTACTAAAGATTTCAGGTAAATAGGAATCGAGCTTCTGTATAATGTACTAATAAGAGCAGGATTGGTAGAATCAGATGTTTATAGGTCATACGATTAGGATCTAGATGCTTACAATCTGCTATATAGCTCTATATACAAAAGAGTCATGTTAGGATGAATTTCATACTATTCCTAATTAAAGATTTTGGATTGCATAACTTTATAATTACAGAACTACAACCCCTATTTGATAAACTTAGCGTTTACTAATTAATAAACAACCGTTATTAATATATTGGATTTTCTTACTAAATGTCGTAGCATAGGTATTTCAAATAGTATAGACGGAAAACAAAACACTAGGATTCTTAGAAAAATACTAAGCTAGTCGATTAAAATAGTACTATATAAGATTAGATTATTAGACGTCTATAGAATCATTAATAGGAAATGACAGCCTAAGCCATTAACAAAAATCTTAGGTGGACTATAGCCGTCTGATAGGTCTTCTATATCTAATTTAAGAACAGTTTGTATAAAATGTTCTTTAATAGTAACTAGTAAATATAATTCTTTAGACTACATACAATGGTAATCTACTAGTATAGACGCTAGGTTATAGCTAAAGGGGTAAAGAAAAGAGATGATAAATTACTTATAAAGTTATTAGGCGATATAGTATGAGGCATAAATATCCTTGAATCGAAACATCAGCAAAAAGGCTATAAAATAAGAAATATCCTTACCTAGCTATATTTTTTTTAGATAGAGATTTGCCTTAAAAAAAGGCCCTTCTTAATAGACTTAGACTAGAAGCCCTCTAAGTGATTGCCATCTATAAGATTACTATAGCCTAGTCTAAAATCTATTGGAAATGATATTAATCGCTAAAAATATATTATTTAGTAGCCTATTTAAATTATTTTTAGGAGCTAAAACGCTACAAAATTGATTTGAAAAACTTACTACCTTAAAACTTCTCTTTTTCTACATATATGTCTATTTTATCATTTGGGGCTATTATATTATACTTATAGATAATTTCTAGTCTGCCTCTTAGCTTAGCCAAGCATTCCCTTAACGTATACTTCAAATAGCCCATGTACTAAGAGATGTTAGGAATTAAGGGCGTATCCGTAGCGATTTGTGTACCTCACTAGGGTTTAGGAAGTACTTGTTACTGATAAATCCTAGGTCACATGGTCGTGTCCTTAGGCCAAAAAGACCACTATATCAGCCGTTAGGCTGCTATGCCTAGGACTAACATATATAGTAGCGCGCGTAGTTGATTTCAAACTCTTACAGTACTAAACTCCTCCAGGACCTTGATGGAAAGATAACCGTCTATGATCGAAGTAACGAATAGGTCTCAGGGTATAGGAAACGGCTATAAACCTATACTAACCGAACAGTAAAAACAAGAATAAAAAGAAAAGCAAATGATAACAAACGCGTCGTCCTTATATATATTTACCTTACTACCTTAGATTACTACTAAGTCGTTTCTTTATTCACTACTTTAGTATTATCATTATTGAACCCTAATTATCTACTTCGCTTATTATTCCCTGATGCACTTAATTCCCTACTTCTACTATTTATTTTTTAGCACCAATTACTGTATTTACCCCACTTTTGTCTATTTAAATTGCTATAGACGTATTTTTAGATCTTCTAAGAATTGGTATGTTTCATTACTACTATTCACATATTCTTTAAGACCTCTCTCTATTGGTACCTTTTCGGACTATCGTTGTTTACCGAATCAATAGATATCTCCCCTAAAGGTAGTTCGTTCTATTATAATAAGTTCGAACGAACTATAATTATGTCATAATTCTTTTAAGAGTTAGTATATGGTATACTGAGGCAATGCTATCTTAGTGCCTTTTTACTACTATATCGGGGTCCTTTACAATATTGCATTTTTTAGGGAACTAATAAGTCTCTACCCTAACAAGGTCTTTTATATTTCTAACTATTCTTTAGTTAAAGGAATAATACTCCCCCTATACCGAAAGCTATCTTAGACTACTCTAACCCTAGTAATGTCCCAAGGGAACTTACACTAAAAATTACCTAAATACTCCTAATAAGCTTATGTAATATCTAACCAATCCCAAATTCTCCTTAGGGGATCCCTTAACCTAAGTATAAGTGAGAGAAATACAGGCATTATTTAGTTAATCTAAATAAGATTATATTAGAATAGAATAGATTGATATACTTTAATAATAGGAATAAACTAAAAAAAATTGAGAAATGTTCTTTTTATTATAATTATATATATACCTTATGCCGTTTAGACGCTAACCTATCTGTTTGTAGACAAGTAAAAGAGGGGGGTCGCTACTAGTATTCTTCTTTGACTTCTTTTTAGTACTAATCTAGTCGATCTAAGGCTTATAAAACTCAAAGCGATTCATAGGTTAATGGACATATACCAGGTTAGTAGAAGCCTAACATTATACTTTGTATTACTAGTTAATATTAAGTGCTAAGTTAACGTAATTCCCGGGTGAGTGGGTCACACAGGCGAGCGGGTCAGCCAAAACGCCATAGTAAATGGGAAATTTTACAACTCAATATCCCAACAACCATAGCTTAATATGAAGTTTCATTATATACTAGTACTTTTTGGATCATATGTAGCCTATTTATGAGATCTAATAAGTTTATCATATTTTGTGGTTCAGATACATAAACGTAACTGTTGTCCCCACTAAGGCTCTTTTCCGTTCATAAATTCTTCTCAGTTCTCTGTATTGGTGTTGGATAATAAGCACCCTATCAAAGTAAGTATATGTACTGATGTGATCAAAGCTTCTATTTGGTCTTTAGTCTGCGGGGTTGGTTGGATCCACCGCCTAACAGGCCGTGTTCAATTTGAGTACTTGGTTAGAACTACTAGTATAAAATGGCAATTCAAATAAAAGAAAGCAGAGAGGGGTATGTATTCGTCACTGAAACTATCAAGGCTAATTTGTACATTTTAAAAGTAGTGTGGCATATTCATTGGCCCTAACCACACATTCAACATCTCCTCAATCGTAACGTCCTGAAGATCCACCCAAGGAAAACCAGGATCAGGCTGAGGCTCTTCATAGATATTATTTTCTGAGATTCCAGTGGTGAAGACTCCCAGTGCACCATTATTCTCTCCAGCACTATCAGACTGCGCAAGACGATATTTCTCTTCAAACCATTCAGAAAGGAACCGCAGCCAATCTTGGTAGAAGAACATCTCATGTTGATCCCACTTCCCACCTTTACACTCCTGATCAAGCGTATTCATGCGCTTGACAGATTTCTGGATTTCATGCCGCATATCCAATGTCTCTCGCAACCCTCGGACTTGATCGTGATCTCGAATGGATGGCTCCAACGATGCGAGAACAAGTTTGCATGAAGCTGCAACGCTGAACCCGGTCATTGTCCATTGGGTGTAACTAAATCTCTTTTCAATACCAGGTGGTAGACTGAAGTAAAAGCTCATAAATTGTTTTGCAGCCGCTAGTCCGTGACAAAGGGCATCGATTCGCAGGAGGGCCATGGATTGGTCGAATGACGCGGCGGAAGATGGGTATACATCGAAAAAGATAGTTTGATGGAGATGGATTTCGAAGGCGTGGGATGGAATGCCTTGAAATACTAATCAAGTGTTAGAATTTAGATCTGCAGTACAGATAAGGCTTGGTCAACTCACCATCATAGTCAATAGGAACAGGAAGCCGGGCTTTGCAATCTTCAAAATCGCTTTGAAGAGAACTAATCATAACTTCTATATCCGCAGGAGCCTGATTCTCACCGAATCCCCGTGCAACTAGGGAATCGATTCGTACAAGCATGTGTTGTACTTGAACCTGGCCTAACAGGTATCGATCGGTTGAGAATTCGCATTCCTGCGACAACTTCGCAGCGCATGATTCTATGAAGGGTGACCAAAGCATTGTTCCTGTCCGCTGTAGTACTATGGAGTGACTAGTCATGTGAAAAGAAAGTAAGCAAGACATAGTCTTTTCAGGTCTAGACCGGGCTGTGCAGGTGGTAAATCGAACTTACCACGCGTCAAGGAGAAAATATCCAACCAAAGCTCGCATTTCCTCGTTTCGCAGGGAAATCGATTCTGTCGGAGGATCCGTGTCCAACATGACGTCAATTGTTTGTCTTACTACTCGCAGCTTGGCTGGGTAATCCAGTCTGCAATCGTTGATTATACTTTGTGCGAGGTGCAGATATCCAGAAAACCGCACTATATGGAGTTTTTTCTTCGTTCTATCTTCCGTGTTATCTTTTGTGAATCTAATGAAGAGAGAAATTGTCTAGAACATACCCAGCTATAGTAACCAGCAATCCCTGTAGTATATCGAAGGGTTGTTGGCGATTGCCTTGCAAGACTTGTCCCCCAAGGTAAGACGTCGAAACCTCCTCGAGGGCCAGGTGCAGCGGGACATTTCGAAACGAGGAGACCAAAAGAATAGAGAGTAAGAGGAAGGGTTTCTCCGATCTGAGATCCTCGACAGTGGCGTTTCTCGGCAGCTGTACAAATGGGAAATACTTTATGGCATCACGAAAGCTCTCTATCAAATGATTTGCCTCTTCGTGGGTGATCAGCCCGTTCCCGATCACATCGCACGGATTTCGAGGAGTCGGAGCACAACTTTCACTTTTCGGGGACAGTGGCAGTGGCAGTGGTGCCTGTTGCGGGCTTGAGTGAGGCCGATTGATCTGGCCTAATATTTGATCCACCTTGTCCTCGAGTGCACCTATTCGCCTAGATTAGATGCGGTCAGCTTGACAGATCGTATCGATACGAGGAATGGGCAGATATACGTCTCCCTCTTCTTAGGAGTACGAGCTTTTGTTGCGCGGAAATAACAATCTTTTTTCAGACGGAGACACCTTCAAAGCGTGTTAGGTTTACGTTGCTAAGTAGAAGGGAAGAGAAGTAGAAGTAGAAGCGGGATGTTGCATACCGATCGCAGTCTTGGGTAGAGGTGCGCGAGCACCTAATTTTAGCACGCACACAGTTCTCGCAGGTCCTGACTCGGCCTAGACTGGTCGGCGCGGACATAGTAGGCAGCATTTAAAATATTGGAGCTAAGATGGAGGCCGGACAGGAACAGGAGACCTTAAGAGTCCGCGGACCGGCCCCCAGGCAAATCCCCTCCCAGTCCGCGGACTCGGAGTTGGCCTGCACTCCGTGTCTTGGCACGGCCCCATTGTCAGCCCTGGGAAGTATACTCGCGCCAATGATAGTCCTACGTAGGATCGGAGATAGCATAGCCTCGTGGCTGACTTTCAGGCCTCGTTATTTTGTCAGAATGTATAAAGAGTGTGTGTATTCGACGCTATGAGGAGGGGAATATCAACCTCAACCCATCTAGACTCGCATTCTACCTCTTCTCCTCCTCACTATCTCAAAAAAGAACAAGAAGAAAAAAGAGAGAAAAAGAATAGAAATATCAAAACTGAAAATGTCGGAAATGAACATGGACGACTGCACCTTGGCAACTTGCCCAATTGACTTGGCCTATATCAATTACCAGCCTAACATCCCGGCAAATGTCCTCTTCCTCGCCATCTTCGGCCTTCTCCTCGCCGCACAAATCGCCCTAGGAACATGGTTCCGAACATGGACATACATGGGGGCCATGTCCGCGGGGCTCATCCTTGAAATACCGGGATACATCGGGCGAGTCATGATGCACAGCAACCCATTCGACTTTAATGCATTCCTTCTGTACGTGACCTTTGAGACATACCTCTGAATAAAGCAAGCTAATCAGAAACTTGACTTTTAGATACCTCATTTGTCTCACGATTGCCCCGGCCTTTTTCACCGCCGCCATTTACATCTGCCTGGGAAGAATTGTCATCGTCTACGGGGAGGATATCTCCAGGATTCGCCCGCGTACATACACCATCCTCTTCGTCACTTGCGATATCATCGCTCTAGTCCTACAAGCAGCCGGCGGCGCCATTACCTCCATCGCCGACCCAGACCAAAAAAGCCTCAGCGATACCGGTGTCAATATCATGATTGCAGGATTGGCTTTCCAGGTCGCCTCGTTGACGCTGTTCATCGTGCTCGCTTCGGAATTCGCCCTGCGAGTGCGCCGCAGCTCAGAAGACATGAAGAATGCGTCTACAGCATCTGCTCGCAGTGGTTTGAAATGGCAGATGTTCCTTCTGGGTAAGTGTCACTAAATAATCCGCATTTATCAGCCTATGCTAACCCAATCAAAGGTCTTGCCATTGCCGTTTTAACGATCTTCACTCGCTCGATCTTCCGTGTTGTGGAGCTGAAAGGTGGATTTAACAGTGATCTGGCTAATGATGAAATTTCCCTGATGATTCTTGAGAGCACTATGATTGCCATTGCGTGCATTTGTATGACCGCCGCTCACCCAGCAGTTGCCATGGGCCGGCGATGGGGGGAACTCTCGGCGAAGCCGCGTCGTGGAGTCGTTTCGTCTAAGGTGCCGCAGGCTTCATCAGAAATTGAGATGATGAATGCTTAAAAATATATAGCAAAGCGCCTGATGACTCGGAGTGGTCGGTTTCAAGAGATTGGGTATTAGACATTTCAGCGTTTGGATTGGTCTTGGTAATATCAACGAGTTAGATCTGGAGTCAGATTTTATTAGAGCGACTTGAATCATAGCATTCTCACATTCCATATTCCAATTCCCTCCAGTCATGCAAAGAGTTGAACCAGCTAGGGTCGGTGGAGTCGTATAGTTCTTAGGTTGCCCTTAGGTAGTGGATGAGGACCAATGAAGGACCAAAATCCTGAGGTGTCCGCGGAAAAAATGAATACTATCCCCTGACTCTCGAATTCGAATGCCTAGGCATACATCTGCGCCGGATCCGGCGCCCTCGGCACAAATGGTAGTTGTACTAGGCGGTGATCGTCCCATAAATAAATTCTATAAAGTATCGTAGTATAGTACTCCTCCCTTATAAAAAGGGAAATTAATACGAAAAAGGTTATCTCACAAGCGTCTAAAAGCGTCTATTTAATTAGTATGGCTTTATAAACCAGCTCTATATAGGTACATAATATCAAGTTCTACCTCTAGCTAGTAGTCTATATTAAAACTAGGCCTTGCATTTATTACATAAAATTTCAGGCCCTCGATTGCGAGGGCCCGCCACCCAAACGAAAGAATTCTCCAAATTTCTACCACTTCAATTCTATTAATAACTCCACTAAAAATGCCTAAACAAATCAAGATACTAAGGATAAACCCCTTATTGCCCTAGAACTGCTGTCCTAGTAAAAGAACCTTAAAATCGCGAAAAGTACGTGAGAATCTGTGGTTCCTAACAGTCGGCTTCGTTGGAAAAGGCATATAGGAAAATCGCTATTGTAAAAAGGGCATTAATAAATCGTAGGCAAATTGGTATTATGGCAAATCTACTTCTTAAAGAGACCTATCTAGACGACTTAAACTAAACCTCCTTGAAATCGGCGACTATTATTTTAGCTTAAACGTTTATCAAATAAAACTATCCCTAATAATACCGTCGACGTAGACGAGCCCTTAATATTGTAAGAAATACCATTCTTAATAAAACCGTGGTTGAGAGGTGGTTCGAAGACTATAAACGTATTATAAAAGAGAATAAGATTCTCCCTAGAGATATCTATAACTTCGATGGAATGGGCTTCTAAATAGTATCGGACGAGACTAGTTCATTATTATAAGAGAGCCGAAGAAGAAGATATTTAATACATCTATTACAAATTGCCAATCTATTACTATTTTAGTAGGTTCCTGCCGATGGTTTTACCTACCCGCTACTTATTATTATTCTTAGTGCTAAATAAGTACTACTACTTTAGACTAATGCTATTTAGGAAGATAAGCATATTGCTATTACCAAGACTAGTTAGTTAACTAGTTGTATTGACTAATAAATAATTCGCTACTAATAGGTTCAGCTATTTTATAGATAGATAATTAATCGTATAATGAAGGCAACGCGTCTTATTTTATACAATTGCTTAAGATCTTAATAACACGGTAATTCGTCTAATTCTGTAAAAAGAAATTATTCTTCTTACTCCTATATATAATTCATGTCTTATAGTTTCTCGATATTAGTATTTTAAGCGTTTATAGACATTATTATAGTAAGGCTACTAAAACTACAAGTATAACTAATCGGCCCCTTTCATAACTTACATTTTATTACGGACCGTCAGTTAAGCGGCTCTTTTAAGGTATACTTATCCTAATAGTATTCGCTCTTACCATGTATACTTAGAGATTATACTAAATACCTACTCCTACTGGAGGTTATAGAATAGCTTATTCTAGTCCTAATCGGGAAGATTCTTATATTCTAGTATAGATAAGGGTATTGGTATATACGATCATAAAATTTATAGAAAGCATACGACTACTTTGATGGTTCCCTAGGGGACCTTAAGATGCAACGGGTTTATAAGTGGCTAGTCTAACGGTAGAAGCGGATATTTATCTGGAAAAGAATCGGAAGAGAAGCGAACTTGGTAATCTAGGAACTTCGTGATTTAATAAGGGGCTGTATAGCCAACGAACTTAGTTATTAAAGACCCTAATACTTAGTAATTTAGGGAAGATAGAGAGTGAGGTAGAAGGGGGATCGGGGTAGCATAGAGGAAAGAGGTAGTCAGCGTGGTTAGCGTGATAGATCTCAGTAGAGTTTTAGTATAGTGATAGCCTGGCGCCTTAGTAGTATAGGATACTAAGAGCGGCTACTAATAGGGCGGGGATTTGACTTACTATTATTCCTTGGGAACACAACCTCTCTAGCCGCTTTATATATATTTATATCCGATTAGCGATCGAGTTAATATAGAGAGCCCGCTAGGCTCTCGGTACGTAGAGCGCCTAGGTGCTACGCACCATTTTACTATTGAGTTGGCCTAACTATACTCCTATGGAGCGGCTATACAAAAAGCAAGCCAAATCAGGCAAATGAATACTACTACCACCGCCACCACCACCACTACTAGCAGTAATAGTGTAGCTAGTCAAGAAGTAAACCCACGTACATCTTACGGGCTAATAATAGTAATATCTAGGAAACGCTAACTAGTCGATAAGGGATACTAGAATTTAGAGGCCAAAATAAGCCCGGTATATGTATATAAAAAGAAACTCCGGGAGTCATTCGCTCGAGTATATCTAAAGCAAGCCATATTGGGCAAATGAACTATTTATTGGAAAAAATGAGTCGTAGGCGAGTAACTAGCTGAAACTACTACAAAGTAACTTTTCTCTGTCAAATAGATCAAGGTGAGAAATATTGAAAGCGATGGTAGATTTGTCATTTCATAGTAAGTTCGATTCGAGTTAGTTCAACTGGCCATCATATGAGTCGCAAAGAGAGGGTTAAGACTAGCTTCCTTTGCCACCAGTCTTCGTCAAACAAACACAATCTTCACCATCAACCAAGACCAAATTACAGAAAACCACCATGGAAATTAGTGGGAGCATTAATATCTAGGTACATGGAAAAAAAGAGCAATGCCATCATGGCACTGTCGGATCAAAGACACAAACAAATTAATATGAATAGAGGTCATCATCCGCAGGGAACCAAGCAAAACCGGTCTAGAGAGATTAAAATCGTTCACACCACCGATTATTGAGCCTTCGTTGAAGACTTGGCCTTGTTCTCCCGGCGCCGCTTGAGCGCATCCGGGGTATATTCCGTGTCCAGCAGATAATCCCACCACCGGAAGCTGCTCGAGAAGTTGCCGACGAACTTCTCGTGGTGCAGGTCATGATGGTCGGCACCCGCCCAGAATGGCAAGAAGTGGTGCAGACTCCAGGGGAATTCATAACCGCTGTGAGCATCAATGGCCTGGAACAAGCGCAGGACAATCCAGATATACATAGTCATGACGTGTAAATCGCCGGTGAGTGCACACCAGAGGATCGGGCAGCCCACGGAGCCGAAGCCAAGGATCATGACCTCAATCGGAGATGCGTACTCCGCCGCCAGACCGAAGGGTGCCGAATACTGGTGGTGTATCTTGTGGATGGCTTTGTATAGGGGACCCCAATGAAGAGCGCGGTGAGAGAAATAGTGCCAGGTATCCTCCATAACGAAGAAAACTGCGATCTGGTACGCCATGGTCCAGATGGACGGGAATGGGACGGTCGTGGAGAGACCGAAATATTGGGCCATGGGATGAAAGAGCCTGGAAAGGACCGGATTGTTAGCCATGAGCCGAGAAAGCCGGGTGGTTTCCAACGTACCAGATCTGGGGCAACTCGACCGTAAAGTGACTTAAGAGCACAAATCTAGCGCATTCCCACTGCTCGCGCAACGACGGGATTTTGTTCTGCCGTCCAGGATTAGTGCGGATGTCGGGCTCCATCGACCAGGGCAACTCACATTCTGAATCTTGTACCCCTTGAACAGACCCAGGCTGTCGATGAAGATCCACGGCAAGGAGCGGCCAAAGTACACTACCTCATGCATGACGAAGGACATGATGCCGGTAGCCAGGACATCGTTCTGCATCCATGCGTACCAGGCGGCCCACAGGCGCTCGGGGACGTTCAGGTGGGCATTGTACTTGGAAACCTCCTCGAATTGGGACCAGTACGTGCCGGCAGAGAGCGTTGAATTCCTAGAACGGCGATGGTTAGTTAGAGGTGAGGAAATTTATGAGTTTTGTTTGGGGGGGGGTGGTTGGAATGTACATGGTGTGTGTGTGTGTTGTGGTCTCTGTCCAGAGTTGACAGAAAGAAGGGCAACCCCAACCGGGAACTAATTATTTATGTTCAGAACGGCGGCCAACTTTTTTCTGCAGCCGAAGTGGCACCACTTCCGCCCCTGGATGACTCAGCGGGATCGGCCGTGCCGGGGGCTCCTGGGTATTTTGCAGCACGGTTGTTTGTTTGCACTGTTTGCTCCGTTGGTCATCGAAGTATGTCCGAGTTCGAGTGACCACTACATACTTACTCGACACACATCATGTGCTGCCCGCCCTGCCGACATGTCGCTCATTCAAGAGTTGGTTCATCCCCACAAGTAATCTTCCATGACTGACGGTCGCTTCCGCCAGAAATGCCTGCGGCGTCAACTCTCAGCTCGATCGGCTCCAGCAACACCTGACGTGCGTCGCCATTATTGATGATCCCTCTAGTCAGCAGATCGCACATCTGCAGAGCCTGATCCACTCCCTCTCCGTCACCTCCAAAACACAGCCCCTTCTCTCCGCGAACCAGCTGGCGGATTTGATCTCTGGAGCGGCCGTGTCTAGCCTGCGAGCAGAATCCGCCACGGAGACCGTCGCCCTCCATGTGTGGCTGGTGACCGCCAAAGCCGCCGTCCAGGCGTCTAGTCTGGCCATGAACGTGCTGTTGAACCAAACCCTACGACTCCACCAAGAGGTTCGCTATTGGGATGAAGTATTAGAATCACCGTGGTACAGTGGCCTTTGTACCGTGCAGACATTGCCCCTCCGACTATGGGAATGGACCAAAGAGATGTATTCAGACCAAGAAATTCAGGATTGGAGAGTTCAATCTGTGTCAACGTCAATAGCCGCCCGATGGACCCGATTTTATCAAGTGGTCCGGCAAAGTGCTCGAACACAACCGACATTCTCCTTGAGAATCAACCGCCTGACCCCGATCAGGGAATGCAGGGCACAAATACAGCAGAAGAGGGACCTTCTCATGTCCATCAGGGATATCCATACCAGCAGCCTGGGCCTTATGATGGAAGGATGGCGCTTTCTGGAGCTGAACCAGATGTCCGCCAGTCAGGACCCCGACGATGGGTCGCTCCAGTCGTGGTGTGATGCCGTCGGTCGGTCCGTAGCCCTCACCGAGACCCTACTGCAGCAGGTGTCAGACCTGACTGACACCCAAACCTTTGAAAAAGAGGTCTCCACGACGCTCGACCAGGAGAGTCACAGCGCGCGGTTGCAATGGCAGCAGGGGGGTTCCCGATGCAGAAACCCCTACATCTCATTGAGCGCCTGGTGCATGTTCTGCGAACACAGCTCCCGGCACATCGGGCATCGGTGTCGACGTTTATCGGTCTCCATGGACGCCCATCGCTCCTGGTCCGGTATTGGCTCCCGGTCTCTGTGGCAATCTTGTCGAGTGGTGCGTCGGTGCGATTCCTGGCCAGCCACCGGGACCAAATTCTCCACTGGATCATTGACATTGGCGCCACCATGGTTGATTTTGGCAGTAATTGGGTGGTGGGTCCCATTCGAAAGCTCATTGGAACCATCCGACATGATGAGAAAAGCGAGATCGCCATAATGAGCAAGAACAGTCTGGTGGCTGACCGGGCCAGCCTGGAGAGAATGGTGGTGGACTTTGTTCTCGACCGCCCTGATCTCAACTCAGGCACGCCGGCCACGGAGGACACCACCGCGATCGTCAATGCCGTGAAGGAGGGTGATCTGACACCCGTGCTGCGGGCCTACGAGCGAGATTTACGATCCCCGTTCGTAGGGACCATCAAGGGCGACCTCGTACGCGCACTCTTGATCCAGATCCAAAAAACCAAGGTCGACGTAGAGATTGCAATCAGCGGCATTGACTCTCTCCTGAAGAGCCAAGAACTGGTCTTTGGGTATGTGTGCATCGACCCCGGTCCCCGACACCACTGACCTCGCGCAGCTTTGTAGGACTCACTCCCGGGATTTTGGTGTCCTATGCTACACTCCAGTGGCTGGCTGGCGTTCTCGGCAGCCGACGCGGCCTGCGGCAAGGCAAGAGACAGGATGAGTTGCGGCGTGGGTTACGGTACCGTGCCTTGGATTCTGAGCAGACTTGCGTTCAGGTTCTGACTGTGGTACAGGAACATCACTCGGATCTTGGCTCCCTCCTCTCAGGGCATTCTTTCCCACAAAGACGCCGGGCGACTCATGTGCGAGGCCGAGTCGCTGCTCCAGGCGGCCGAGTCGGTCCTGGGCGGCCGGCAATATCACGAGCTGCGGCAGGATGTGCAGGACCTTCTGGATGTGAGCGGCGGGGTCGAGCAGCAGATGCGGGTGATAGAGCGGATGCGGTGGACGTATTCCTCGACCTCATAAGACATAGAATAATAATCCATGGATACCTCATCGATGTACATGTTTATATCTGTGTAGTAGTTCCGGTCAGTCACGGGCCCGCTTAGCTAAGCCACCCACACCCCGGCCCGTCATCATCCATCTCTCCTCCACGCTGGTCAACCTACAACAACCCATCTCGCCTCTCCCGTTGCTGCCTCGCTATCCCCCCAGATTCTCCGCCTGACCTCTGCTTTCGTTCTTTATCGTTTTTTTTGACGATCTCGACACTGTCTCGTCCCTGACCGGGTTACCACCGTTGGGTTATTCATTCTCCACCCCCAAAGATACTCCTCCTCCTGTCCACTTGGCTACCCAGCACTTCTGAGCCACTTCCGCCAAAACGCAGTCGAATGACAACTGCCTTGTCGCCGACTTATCACTTTCCAGCTCCCTCAACCTTACCCTGCAGCCCTCCCCGAATCGACTCGCTCCATTATGGCGGGAACCAGGAATTATGACTTCTTGGTAAGGGACTTGTCGTCTACATGAATGGATCATCCTCTGACAGATATAGATCAAACTATTGCTGATCGGAGACTCGGGCGTGGGCAAGTCATGTTGTCTGTTGCGATTCAGCGAAGACTCGTTTACCCCCTCATTCATCACCACTATCGGAATCGACTTTAAGATCCGCACGATCGAGCTGGATGGCAAGCGGGTGAAGCTGCAGATCTGGGACACAGCAGGCCAGGAGCGCTTCCGGACTATCACGACGGCATACTACCGAGGTGCCATGGGGATCCTACTAGTCTACGATGTCACGGATGAACGGTCTTTCCACAGTAAATCCTCCCCTCTCCTCCTTGAATCTCAGGCGGCTAATCACGGGCTCTGATGCAGACATCCGAACGTGGTTTTCCAACGTCGAGCAACACGCCAGCGAAGGCGTACACAAGATCCTCATCGGGAACAAGTGTGATTGGGAAGAGAAGCGGGCGGTGTCGACCGAACAGGGCCAGCAGCTCGCTGATGAACTCGGCATTCCATTCCTCGAAGTTTCGGCCAAGAACAACATCAACATCGAGAAGGCGTTCTACAGCCTGGCCTCGGACATCAAGAAGGGAATGGACACCTCCAAGACGGAGCCGACCGGGGGCCAAGGTGTCTCGATAGATCAGCAGGGCTCGTTGAATTCGGGAGGCAAGTGCTGCTAGACATGCGCTGTATCACCATTTCTCTCCTTTCCTTCGTGTTTTGGTCCTCCGCCTCACAGTGGCTACTCCAGCGTGTGCTTTGTCCATACATCTTCTTGTGACGACCGGTCTCTATGAAACGCACTCAGCTGCGCGTTCTCTGGACATTTTTTTTTTCCTTTTCTCTTATTTTTTGTTGTTGTTTCATTTCCATGTCACCCCAATTGGCTAGTTTTTCCCCTCAACGATGTTGGTTGTCTCATTATGATTGGTATGCTGAGTAGAAGATGTTGTATTGTAGTTAACATGTAGCTCCAATAATAATGTAAATCAGACCCACTTTTTCTTTTTCTTCCCTTGGTCATCCGAACGGACGCACCTCGCTCGACTCTCAGTAATAATAACGCGCACCGTTTCAGTGGGTTGTTCTCCCGCCCGCCTCTCCGCCTCCCGCAACCCAAAGGGACACTTTGATTCTCTCGGTGTGACTGGCTGTGCGCGGAAGGGAGATGGCGGAGGTCCGCAGTTTCACTGCGCGGCCATTGTCGAAGCAGGCCCGCAGTGATCTGAAAGATGCATTCCGCGTCTATTTCTCGTCTTCTTCGTTAGCAGCACTCAAACTGCGTGCGGGAGACATTTGCAGCCTCACTTCTGCCGAGGGACCCCCGAAGACGGCGATCGCCTGGGCGGCAGTGGAAAATATCCAGAACACGGTCGTCCAGACCTCAAGAACCCTACAGGACTGCTACGGAATCAAGATTGGCGAGAAGGTCGCCATCAACCGACTAGAAGGCACGCTGGAGGAGATCAAGTCGGTCACGGTGGTCGACCGGACGGATGCCGAGAAGCTGGCCAAGTATGGCGACATCCGCGACGAAGACCAGTCCCACTGGGCGTGGGCGTTGAAAAACCTCCAGCTTGCTCGATGCGAGGCCCTCAGCACGGGCTTGGTCTTTGACTTGGATCTCATCGGTCAGCGCAGGAGCTTCCAAGTGACCAGCATTCGGACGCAGAACGCAGGCACCTCGCGGACTCTCTTCCGATTCACAGATGCCACCAAGGTCTCCATTGGAGAAGAGGCAGACGAAAGGGTGTCGCCCGAACAGCCCGACATCCATGTTCAGCCCGGCAGTCTAGGGGGACTGTCTCGTCAGATAGAGGACATCAACGAGAGTCTGGCCGACTTGAATCTTGGCCAGCGAACGGTTATCATGCCGCCATTCTACGAGCACCGCCGGGGCATTCTTCTCCATGGACCGAAGGGAACCGGCAAGACGGCTCTTCTGCAGCAGATCGAGAAGGCCGGTTGGAGACAGATATTCCGGCTTGGCACCGCCACGCTAGGCAGGAATCTCAGCGAGGGCGAGGCCAAGCTGCGCAATACGTTCCAGGAAGCCTTTCGCGCGAAACCTAGCGTGATCATCATCGACCAGCTGGAAGTCATTGCGCCGAAACGGACTTCCCTGGAATCTCAGTCGTTGGCGTCTGTTCTGTGCGAAAGCCTCGATGCCATTCGAAGCGCATCAATCCTGGTGGTCGCTGCGGCGCGCCATCCAAACAATGTGGATGATGCCCTCCGGACTCCCCATCGCTTGGCGACGGAGATTGAGCTGCAGATTCCCACCGCCCAGGACCGAGCTGAGATCCTACGTGCCATTCGTGGGCCGGAGTTTCCAGGTTTGAGTGATGAAACCATTGAATTTCTCGCCGAAAAAACCCACGGCTACGTTGGCGCGGATCTGTTTGCGCTTCTCCAAACGATCTGCCGCAAAGCACGGCAGCGACAATTGTTGGACTCGCGATCTACCGCGCTCCCCTCAATCGAGGCTTCTGACCGGACATACAATATGGATGAGGTGGCTGATTCGCTGGACATCCAGGAGACAGACATCTTGGTGTCTTTACAGGAAGTTCGCCCGACCGCTATGCGGGAGGTCTTTTTGGAAACGCCCAAAGTGCGGTGGTCAGATATTGGCGGGCAACACGAGATCAAAAGGCGCCTTCAGAAAGCCGTCGAAAGACCGCTCAAGGTGAGCTCTCGTCACTTGCCTTCTATAATATGCTTCAAATTAACCATGCGTTTCAGCACCCCGAACGGATGCGTCGGCTCAACGTGAAGAGTAAAAAGGGCGTCCTTCTCTATGGACCACCTGGCTGCTCCAAGACCATGACTGTCAAGGCATTGGCCACCGAGGCTGGCTTGAACTTTCTGGCCGTTAAGGGGGCGGAAATCCTCAGTATGTATGTCGGAGAGTCCGAGAGATCATTACGTGAGATATTCCGAAAAGCCCGAGCCGCGCGTCCAAGCATCATTTTTTTCGACGAGATCGATGCGATTGCTTCGAAGCGTAGCAGTACTTCCCACGGGGGGGTTAATGTCCTGACGACCCTGCTCAACGAGATGGACGGTATCGAGGAGCTGCGCAACGTGTTGGTCATTGCGGCTACGAACAAACCCGATGTGCTCGACCCTGCGCTGATGCGGCCCGGCCGACTAGATAACATCCTCTACATTGGCCCGCCAGACTTTGAGGCCCGCCAGGAGATTTTCCGGATCTGGGCCAGCCAGTCTGTCCTTCACGCGGAGGTGGAGCTCGAGGACCTGGCCGATCGAACCGAAGGCTACTCCGGTGCCGAGATTGTGAGCATCTGTGAAACGGCGGGTGACGCGGCCCTGGATGAGGAAGAGGAGACCGGGCAGCAGCAAGAGGTGAGCCAGAAGCACTTTGACTACGCATTGGGACAGGTGCGACGGCAGATCACTGCCGTGGTGGTCGAGGAGTATGAAAGATGGCGACAGGGAATCAATCAATAATAGCCCATGCCAGATAGATAACCAGATAAGATAAGTGAAGACCCGATCGGGTTAGTATCCACTTACCTAAGCACCAGCATTCCTGCTTTGCAACACTACATCAATAACTACTGGACTCATGATTCTCTCTTCTTTCCCCCCCTTTTCCTGTAACGCACCCTCATCATGTCCACACGATCGCATCCTTCTCCTATCCCTTCGCCAGGCCGTGCGCGCTCACCGCGCTCCGTTCGTCGCTCCATCTCTCCACGCGACGAGCCTAAGAGAAGTGTCACGCGCAGTCCAGTGCGTGGCCGTGATCGCTCAAGAAGCTGGACTCGCTCTCCCTCGCGTGGCCGAACACCATCCCGCAGTCGCACGGGTGGCCGTCGATACCGGAGCAGAAGCTTCAGCCGGACCCCTTCCCCGAACATGAACCCTCCCCGGAGCTCCAAGGTCAGTCCAGTGTGGAGAATAGCTCCAATTTCCGAAGAATCTATGTTGACTCTTGCTGGGAGCGCCAGATCGTCGTAGAGAAGCTTACAAAGAATGTTACTGAGGGTCATCTTCGTGAAATCTTTGGCAGCTTTGGGGATATTGAATACCTCGACCTTCCGATCAACCGAGCTTGTAAGACTCTCACGGCCCCGGAAGACTTCATTGCTCGCCAGTTGCTGATGCCATTGTGTTCTAGTCATGACGAATCGAGGTACCGCCTACATTTTGTATTATGACCCTGCAGACGCCGAAGCAGCCATTGCCCATATGCACGAAGCTCAACTGGATGGAACTACTTTGAATGTCTCGATTGTTCTTCCTCGCCGAAATTTTTCACGTTCACCACCCGCGATCGCAAATCGAGGCCCCGGCCGCTCGAGATATGGACGCGGGTCGTACGGCGGCAAATCATCTCCTCCACCGCGAAGACACGCTCCACCACGGCCTACGGAACGGCATGACATCTATCGGCCTCAATCGGTATCGAGATCGCGGTCCCCTGTACGCTCTCGATCCTATTCCTCATCCCGCTCAAGGTCCCCGCCCAGGCGAAACAGTCTCCGCACAGGAAGCCCCCGGCAGCGCAGGCGTCGAAGCCCCAGTTACAGCAGCTATAGTAGTCGCAGTGATCGAAGTCGCAGTCCAAACAAGAGTCGAAGCCGAAATTGATACGACAGAGCCGTTCATGTATTAACAGATATCAAATAGTAATGATTTTCTTTTTAAAAGGGTCGTTATAGTAGAGTCCAGATGTTTATCTAATCGTTTGCAGGGAGGCTTCAGAAAAACGCACACCATCCGACATACATGGCCGCCAGGTTTTTCTTGTCCGTCGCCTGCATGATCAGTTCGTCTACCTGGCCATCCACGGACAGCGGGATTGGCTGCTTGTTCATGAAACCTCGGAGCTTGTTGCGTACATCTTCCAGCACACCAGCGGGCGTATCAGGGACGTTCGTATGGGTGCGGCGCTGTAGAGATCAAGCACATCTAGTATCAGCACAGGATTGGGGAGAGATACAGGAGAATGTTGACGAACCCTTTTGCCAATGAAGTCGGTTGTTGGGTCATGCAGGAACGTTTCGAGCACAGTCATCAAAGCATCCTCGTTTTGTCGGAGAAGACCAAGAGTGATTTCGCAGGTTCTTCGGAACGGGCCTACACCGCTGTCAGAACTAGCAACCTAGGTGCATCGTGAGGTCACTCACCGTTGTACCCATAGGCTCCAAAAGCATCGATCATGTTGTGAGTGAGTCGGAAAGGAACCACCTCCGGTATTTCGAATGTTTGGCCCTAACTCTGGTCAGCCCCGTGGACGATCGGTTACGAGGAAAAGTTCCTACTTTGTCAAAGAGACAGTTGAAATCAACGTGCAGAACACCGCCAGTGCCTTCCTCGAACGAGAGGTTCTCGCCATGCCGGTCGCCCAGTCTGGGTCCATTGTCAGTCAATGCCGTGCCGCAATTGGAAGGGTGGCCCAACATACCCCAGAACATATCCGACCATTGACATTACAGCAGAGGATCGGGTATATCGAAGCCTTGCAGTAAACCATGCCTCTGTCTCTGGGAACATCTCCACGAACCATTCATGAAGAACAGGCGGGAGTCTGGATTTTTATCAATACGCCTGAAGTTTTTGAGACTGGAGCGGGCTCTTACTTTGCCAGGATTTTGGAGTTGAATAAAGGAAGTTTGGCGCGGTCGTTTTTGATCTCCTCCAGGTAATGTCTGATCTCGTTGTACTGGGCACGGAATTAGCATAATCAACGCCCGTAGGGTGAAAGAGTGAAGATACGAGCAGAAGAAGCTTACATTTATTGTGGCACCCCTTTCGCGCAGCAATTTGATGACAATTTCTCTCAATGTTCGGAGGTTGTCAACCCACTCAATGAGACCGCATTCCTCGTTCAGAGGCGTCACAGCATACGTTTTGATGTCTGTAACCCAATCAGTGTCGAACGGAGCCCACAAATCAGTCCGTTTACTTACACATGCGGCGCTTGCTGGACTCGACATCTCTCTTCAGGAACCGGTTGATCATGTTGTTGAATTCCATCAGACGCTGGTCCTTGCGTAGATCATCCTTGGGTTTGCAAAGAGCGTTGTAGATCTTTCCATCAGAGCCTCGGATACTGATCTTGCGTGGCTTCTGAAGCGAGTTCAAGATCTGGGCATCATCCAGAACAGCTGAGATACGAGTGAGTCAAGTCATGACATGGGATATGTGAGGACATACCTTCAATAGTAGTTGGGTCTCGGGGGAAGGCCCGAAATCCTTTGAGATACTCGGCATCGTGGCTCGCAGGGAGGCTGGGAATCAGCATCGCCTGAAATGGCACTACTAACCGACAAGGAGCGACTTTGTGGTTAAATCTCAGGGTACGTGCGAGACTGATCTTGGAGACCTTCTCCTCGACACGGGCTAAACACAGCTGGAGAAGTTCTTCCGAGAACTTTTTTCCTTGGTTGATCATTTGCCGGATATCTGTCAAGGATGACTCTGCTTTGGTTTTATTGCTGTAGTCCTGCTAGACTCAACATCCTGCAACGCAATTGACACTGAACATCCTTAACTTACCATGATTTTCTGAAGGCAATTAATACCTCCTTGGGCCCGCTCTTTCGACGAGGATTTGACTACGGCAAGCACCGTCCATAAGCCTTGTTGCGGAAAGTGATTGACGGCTTTGGCGACGATCCTTGTCAATAGGTCGTAGACGGTATGATTGCCGTGACAGATGCGTGCAACTACTTGAGGGAGGATCGTGAATAGCTGGAACCATTAGCCATTTCTCTGTGAACAGACTGGGGAGTTTTGTACTCACCAGGGCCGGTTGCAGACGGGATGATATGTATTTCTTGAGTTGTGCGTGCATTTCATCCAGGCTCTTCTGCCGGTGAGCCTTTGTGTGTTTTTGGAAGTCTCTGATGGTTGAGAAATGCCGTTAGTCATGTTCAAATAGATAGGGTCGATGCCTTCTCACTCGTTATCTCCGCGTTTCGGATCAATATCCTGATTGACAATAGAAGCGTGCTCCAGCCAGAGCGTCAAAACTTTAGGTAGTGTTTGAAATACGTATTTGCTTCCATATGTTAATGAGCGGAGATAGTTGTCGATGACAAGCTTCGTGGCTTCTCCGCTTAGGCTGAGAGAGTTGTTTATTAGCATCTCATCTGCGGCTGGGTATGACAGGTAACCTACTATATTTGCGCTTCCTTCCCCATGGGCTTGGACTTCTCAGACTCTAGAATCTTATTGTAGTGCTTGCCCAAGTAGTAGTGTGCCTTTTCCCATCTGGGTTCAAGAATTAGTTTGTGATGGTCAGAGGATGCTAATCTAACTTACCGTGGATACAACTTGATAGCCTCACGATATCTTTGAACAATTGCTTGGGAGTGCGTCTGACCAGCTCTGTCCGTCCATTTCGCTAGCAACAGGTGTGCCTAGATACATTAGCAGTCCGATCCATATCACGACAGGAGGAATTGAAGAACATACTCTTGCAGCAAGCTCATTTCGATGTTGACCACGCCCGGAAGTGAATGACAGCGATTCAATCGATGCAGAAGCTGATGAAGTGGTGGCCTCATTACCAGAGATTGCACCCTCGAGTGTCTGTATCGCCTTCCGATGATGGCCATCTTTCCAAAGTAGCCGAGCGTGTTCAATGGTGGCTGATCTGTCTTTCAGTCGGGCTGCGTGAAGCATTGAGTGATACGCCTGGCCGGTGAAGTTGCCCTTGCGAGACAGACGGGCGCTAGTTAGCCAAGCGGAGGATATATCAGAGTCGGCGAATTGGCCCCTGGAGAATCAATGTCAGTAAGTAAATCTTCTGAGCAGGTGCCGAAGGAAAAAGGCTTACGCCAGCTCCATAGCAGCTCGTCGCAAACCAAGGAGATACTGTTTGTCAGCGACATAACCTCCCAGTACATCCAGACGTTGGTCGAGAGCATGAAGCAGATCTGGGTGCGAATATGATTTCTCGGTCCCTGCGAGAGCAATAGATTCGACTTCTGCCAGTGCATGCAACTTGAGCATATCGTCATGGCAAGATTGCAACGAACCAACTGAGTTGGCTGTCAATGCTCTTGCGACATGAAGTCGTAGTTGATTGATGATGTCTGCGAATTTTTCGCCTTGGTTTTGACGAAGAGCATTGAGAGCAGAACCAATCCCAACATTAAAATCTCCATTACCTTGTTTTGTACAAAGACTAAGGTAGCCCTGCAACTTGTCCCATCTCCCGGTCATCCAGGAAGCCTCCACCGCAAAAGGCAGAAACCGAGAGGTTGCAGATTCATTGTCTTTCAGGGTTTCAAAGCGTGTAAGAATAGCATCTAAATCCCTGTCAGCAACAACGTTGGCGCAGAGGAAATAAATTAACAGAATTGGCGTATAGAGTACCTTGTTGGTCAGATTCCTTCAGGCAAGTAACAAGATTCCACTGGGCATCAATGTTGTCAGGATCTTTCTCGAGCTGTAGCTCGTACCAACTCTGAGCAGTAGGCCACCTCCCAGCCTTTCGATGTTCCAGAACTTGCTGGTCCACGTCAAGTGCAGGCAGATGGCTGGAAATCCCTTCGATCCCATCAGGCTCATCGATCTGGCTATAGATGTCTTGCAATCTTTGGTATAGAGGTTCAAGGCTCGCCCGATCTTGAGCTTCTTTTTCAGGTCTGCACTTCCGAATGTACTGCTCCCAATGAAACAGGGCTCTGGAGAACGATTTGCATTCAACAGCACGCTTGGAGATGATCTCTGGTGGGATTGACATCAGAAGACCCTCCACAGACTTGATGTGCGCGGAATACTTTTCAAGAAGCAAATCGCGGCCAGCGTCCCTGTAAGAAGGCCGACTCCCTTGCTGTGCAGGAGGGCTCAGGCTATTGAGCTGCTTCTTTTTACCTTGGACCCATCTTGATAAGTAGTCCAAAACTTCGAAGACGCTCTGTAGATGATATGCGATCAGCTAGTATCCATAGACTGGTAGCATATCAGGGAATTCTCACTTGGCTGCTACTTATGATAGTCTCCCGCTCGTTGTTGCTTGTCTCAGGGAGAGGATGCGTAAGGACTGCCATCAATTCATCCTTAAGATCCTGTTGTTCCTGGTCAGTGCCTCCTACTATGCGATTAAGCACAGCAAATGGCAGGAGGAATGATGAAATAGCGATATCCTGGCCTTTCACCACACGACTGCATACAGTGAAAATAATTTTTGCATTCTCTCCGTTTCCATTTTGCAGTAGATCTTGTACCAGGGTCCGAAGCCATTCGCTATGTGTTAGATGAGGGGAGAAGACAGGATATGGGATCTTCGCACTGGATGTAACGACGGTGACCGTGTATGTCGAAGTGAGGAACGGGGTGAGTGTGTTCTGGACACTTTCCGGAAGCTCCATCCAGCGTTTATATTTCTCATCATTCTGAATGTCACGAGAGCGCTGGGTGACAGATCCATTCAGATTGCAGATTTTGAGAAGGCCTTGCATGGCATATGCCAGAAATCCCTGAGCTCTGGTGTTGGAAGCAGACAAGAATGCGTCGACCAGCACATGTTGGAGAAAAAAGAGGATAAATTCCACCGTCTCCTCCATCCTATCAAAGTTAGATAAGACGAGGATGTCCCTCTTTTCCTTGATCGTCTCCACTCGGTTTGGATCAAGACAACCCACAAGACCCAGGCACCGAGCTGACAGTAAGGTAATGCTATTTGAGATGGTGTTGAATTTGACACAACAATCGAGCAATGCCCTGGTCAACTGTGCAATCACTGGATCTGGTTGTTCGCTGAGGACCGACACGTGGAGGAAATCCTCATTTCCTGAAAGGAAAGGCAGCAGTTCTTTCAGTGCCTGCTCGACAACAGTGGCATTCTCACTCTGACAACGGCGAATAAGGGCCATGAATTGGCTTCGAACATCCATTTGCACCCTCAACTGGTTAATCTTTTCCTCAAAAGGAACCATCTCGGGGATTGAGGCCAGGGAGGGCATGATGTTGAATGTGTCTCGAACGAGATTTGGGTGGTCTGTCAAAATATGGTCGACAAGCTGACAAGCCTGATTTCTTCTTCCGGTGGTCAAGTTGCCCCAATATCTCACTACAATCGCCAGGGTTTGGTCAATGAGAGGTTCGATCTCCTCTTCGTCAAGTGAGCTGATCAATGTCTTCCAGGCGGAGAACGCATAGTCACAGAGCTCTTCGATTTCGAGTGCGGAGCGTAGACATGCGCAGACTTGAGGTAACCCGCTGCTGACATGACCCTGGGCAATCTTGATCATCTCTTCAATGGCTCGGATATTTCTTCTCTTTTCTGCCAAAGTCTGCCTCACTTGGAAGTCGTTGATGGCATTCGCAAATTGAGTGATAATACCAAGGACATGCTCCTCGATAAAATGGCTCAGCAGATTAGCCTTCTTGGATGACGTTCCGTGCGTGACTTTACGTGGGACAAAACTGGCCAGGCGACGCAGTGCTTGATAGAACTGGAATCCATTGAATAAGTATTGGAATATCAGCAAACAAGGCTCGATCATTGAAGCACTCACCCTCTCCTTGTGTTGCTCTCCAGCATCCCCAAGGCCTTTCAGTAAATCACAGGCAATGAGAATTGGTTCGATCCGAACCAACTCTGCCAGACTTCGACCCTTGAAAGCAGAATCAATCTCCGCCAGCAGGGACATGATCATAGCTTCAGGGTTGCTTGATGGTTGGGATAAAAGAAAAGCAAGAATTGCAGCCAGATTATTCTTTTCCGAACAGACATCAAAAGGTGATTCACCCTCATTGCGGCTTGCACCGATCCGACATATGATATCTCGTTTCCGCGTCAACACCAGGTAGGGGAGCACATGGACCTCTGTCAGCCTAAGAAAACCGTCAACCTTCATACCGAGCAATTCACAGAGCTGCTCTGCCATATATGGGCGGGACTGAAGATTTTTGACAACTGTCACCGAGAGTGTTCGCCAATAAGGTCGGAACAGACCGGCAGGTGTCAAGGCGAACTGTTGTGCAAGCTTCGAGAGCTAAGGCCAGCTATTAGCACCGTGGCACACCAAAAAGAGAATAAAGCTCAAAAGGATGCAAGAATTTTTAGGAAGAAATATGTGCATACTTCATTATATGCCACTGCGCAGACATAAGGATTTGGATGTCCCAAATATTCCAGGAGACGTAGAAGAATGAGATTCTTCTCTTCATCGTCCGATACTCTGTGACAGATCAATACACAATAGCTAGCTGGAGGAAGAGTCTACATACCTGGCCAGTCGGCATAGTGTTATGACACAAGTTTCATGCAGTGGCATGTCCTCCTTCTCGGATAGGTTTTTCAGCCATTCCAGGACGATGACGAAATTGGCGTGACGAATGTCGGGCTGTAGAGTTGAACGAACAAAAGCCACGACTGAATGCCTGTAATATGGTCAGTCCCCGTCAAGGTAAGGCAGTCTGTAAGCACACAACATACCCAGTTGCCAATCGCAGTTCTCTGTTGGAGCTTCTAAGGGAGTGAAGGCAAAATTCTCCGCACGAGGAGGAGGATAAGTGCATCTCATTTGAACTCGCGGAGTGCATTAAAACCCTTCTCAGAGCGACCATTGTCGCTATGCGAGGCCCAGGAGTGCGTGTGAGCTTGGGTAAGACAAATTTGAAGATATTCCACAGATCTTCAAGGTCGGGATATTCATGACCGAGGACCTGGTCGTCCTGATACTGCTCATTGTCACACAGTTCACAATACAGGGTGTCTTGTGTGGTGACTTCGGAATGTTTTCTCGACAGGTTTCCAGCAGCGCTACAGGCAATCTTGCCTATGACATCCAGCACCTCACATCTTAGGGGTTCGTTTAGCCCATCGTACGCGCTTCTGTTACATTAACAAATGAGTAAGGAAGATCTCAAAGAGGATGGCAGATGACGACTCACTGAATTGCAGATTTCAGATCTGGCAAGCTTTCAATATCCTGGCAACAGAGTAATACCGATATCTTTGTTAGGAGTGACCGAAGTGAGCCTTGATCTATGGACCCAACAGGCAATGCTGGAAGACATAATCGTTTTGATGCGCGGGACTCTCCATTCAGCTCTGACTGCTTGTCCAAAATCCCGGCTCTTTGACTCGTAGAGCCTGGCTCAACAGTGCCATCCTCGGATGATTTGCCGATTGAATGCGTGACATTGCGCGGGGTTATCAAGTCGGCGTGAAGATTGAGAATTGAGTTCTGACGCGAGGGTAGTTAAGAAATAGCGGCACATTACACGAGATAGTGAGTTGCTTACCCTTAGCCCTGAATCCAAAGGCTGCAAGACCGTATGTCTGTTCAGGATCTCCGACAACATTGGCAACAACGACTCTTGCAATTGCCGCATGACTGACTCGGATTTTCGCGTTGTCTGTGACAGGTCATTCAGAAAGTAACATAGCCCGGTCTGGAGAGTCGAAAGTTGTTTCAGAGTGTCAATTGCGAGAAAGTCGGCCAGACATTGGGACCAAATGTTTACTAAACTTCGGCCTGGTAGCGGGCCTGATGAAATTGGCTCGGCGATGTAGAAACGGTGCACATGTTCTAAGTACTGCACAGAAATTTGCTCTTCCTCTTGAGGGAGGTTTGATCCGGCATTTTGCAGCCATCTGAGGATGATAGTTCGTAGGCGGTGATGTCCATTGAGAACCCACGAAAGATTCTGGCGCAGAATGGAGTCCTGGCGGTTCCCATGGTGGTGTAGTTTCGTCCTGGGCTGAAATGAGGCCAGTAACTGGGAAGCTAAGGAGACTGTTTGGGAAAATGTGCCGAGCTTTGCATTTTCCTCCAACAGCCCTGGAGGAAGGTTCAGGTGATTCAAGTCCGCGGGAAGCGACCCGTCTGGTGTGGGTATGGATAAATCCGCTGAACGTAGGGTAGATTGAGAGCGCTCGAGGGCGCACAGAATATCTGTTACGTTTCAGAATGGATCAACTGATGTCCCCGGAGAGAAACTGTCCACCAACCTGATGTGCAAGCGCGCAGAAAGGCAGAAGCCCCAGAGCTTGAAGACAATGGTCGGAACTGCTTGGATTGGGCATACACTATGCTGGTAAATATGTGGCGTATTCTTTCCTGTATCGCCTCCGAATGCCAGCTACTGGTCAGCCTGATCAAACGAAGTATTAACCAGGCAAACAGCGGCGCCGGTACATCCACACTCAAGATGAGAGGGTCTGCCAAGTCCCATAGGGCTTGGGGGGCTTTGTCAATGCTCGCTTGAATAATGTCTAAGCAGTCTAGGACCTGGCCCTCGAAGTCTTCTTGTGGAGGTCTGTCGCCGGAGCTGGGCTCCAGACCGGCCTTGAGGATAATGCATATCAGTTTGTTGACATCGGTCACTGTTTCATCCACGCGTAGCTGGTTGTGTCGTTCATTCAGAAGCTCTTGGCGCAGTTGCGAGAAGGTCTGCCGCGTCAGGCGATAAGTGTCCGGCCCTTGCGATGCCAGATGCGGCGCGAGGTGCGCGGCAAGCGTGGAAGAGGCCGGCTGGGCGGGTCTCCAGCCGTGGTCCGGCGCAGAAACATGCACCGTGTCTCCGTCATGGGCCATTAGGAACACGCATAGCCCAGGGGTGGTTGGTTACGAACCGATGTGCGCGGGAGGAAAACGAGAGGCGCGTGTTGATATCGACACCTGAGGCAGTTACGGTATCTTAAGTAAGTCACTGACTTTCTCATCTATTCTACGTAACTTCTTAGAGCCTGACATGTTCTGCTCTATTTGACTTCATCTTTATTTTCTGTCATCAACATGGACTTGGAGAATTTTCCCAACACGCCAGATGGCGCGAAACACGAGGCCTTCATGAAACAGGCATTACGAATGGTACGTGCTTCCCTTCCCATTCTTTTTTTGCGGCGGATAGCTCATTGCTCCTGCAGGGCGAGAAAGCACTCCAGTCCGGCGAGACCCCGGTGGGATGCGTGCTGGTCTACAATGATCAGATTGTAGCATGGGGCATGAACGACACCAACCGATCCTTGAATGTAAGGAATCCGCGTATGCCACGGCTACCGTGACTCAGCTCGTTCTAGGGAACCAGACATGCCGAGTTTCTCGCCATTGCCGAAATGCTCCAGACGTACCCTAGGTCGGCATTGGCTTCCACCGACCTCTACGTGACCGTCGAGCCGTGCGTGATGTGTGCCTCGGCGCTAAAGCAGTACCGCATCCGCCGGGTGTATTTCGGCTGTGCCAATGAGCGGTTTGGCGGCACCGGCGGCGTGCTCCCCTTGCATTCAGAGTCTGTCTCTGTCGTTAATTCAAAGGAATCGAATCATGGGCTAACCGGGAAATGCAGTCCATCGATTGACCCTCCATATCCGGTACACGGGGGTCTCTTCCAGAAAGAAGCCATCATGCTGCTCCGACGTTTCTACATACAAGAGAATGAGAAAGGTATGTGAAGCGCCATAGCTATCCAACCGTTTGCTCACCTTCCACCAGCACCCAATCCCCGACCCAAGAAGAATCGTGAGTTGAACACTAAATTCGAGGATGACGAAAACGTTCTGCCAGCGTGAGAGCTGATGAGGTTTATTCTACTGGATGCATTGTATTATACCCCCCGAGAACTTGTCATTCGCTGTCTTTTTTCCCAAGGAATCGAACAAAAGATTTATATTGTCAATTGCAATTGCGCCCTAAAAACAAAATCAAACACAAAGTAAAATATGTGTACAAGTCTGCAAGAAACACCTGAGTCACCCGTGAATGGTGCTTCCTATTTTTTCCAGGCTTTATGCAGACCCCTTGGCCAGACGCTCTGCCTCTAGCTCCCGCTCAGCTTGCTGGTAATATTTTGCCGTGTCGATACCGTGCTAGGAAGATATTAGTATCATCGGCACAGCGACCAGAATCTGCAAAGCTTACCTGGTCGTGATTGACAAGGTTGAACCACGGGATGATGTGGACGAACAACTCCGAGTACCGGGAGTTGCGGGCGGCCACACCCTGAAGATAGGAGGACACGCTCGAGGTGCCGTACAGGGGCTGACCACTCTTGACCTTGTCAACCATCTCACGCATATCTTTCTCGACCTCGCGCGAGTTCTCGGTGAATCCGTAAAAGCGTTCTAAAGACATCGGTAAGCCGTGAAATCCGGCAAAGTGGGATCTGGGACAAGTAACACATACGAGTAGACCGCTGGTAGAAGATGTGAAGGCCACCAATCAAACCAATGGCTGTTGCGAGTCGCATGACCGGCGGGAACCCCCCGCGGCCGACGTAGGATGGGCTCACTCGCTCCATGACCCAGAAGGCAATGGGAGAAACGGAGGCCATACCACCGGCCACGGCATAATCGGAAGGCCGAGCATACCCGAAGACTCGTCGCAGATGCCTAGAGGAAGTGTTGGTGAGTGTTCAAGTACCGGAGGGGGGGAGTATGATAGCGCATACGGATCGGAATCAATCAACTGGGAGGGAGGCGGTTAGTGAGACTCCTAGTGTAGGGAGGGAGAGATAACATACAGGATAATCCGTATTGGCCCGCTTGGGCGGCACAATTGGTTGCTCGGAAGCCATGACGGGGGGGCGGAGTGGAGGTTTGCGGGAAACAGCAGACCAAAGCGGAGGGAGACGAAGACAAGAGACAGAGACTCAAGAGAGGTGTGTGATTGGCACGCTAGCCCAGAAGGGGGACGAGGGGATTAGGTCAGCGGTTGGTGCCTGAGGCTGGTATGGATCACGAGATCGCGTCAACACGCGTGTTGAACGATCTTCCTATTCACCACACCTTAGCAGAGGCAATGTCTCCAGAACCAACAGCAGACGATCTCAACGATCTTTTTGATTACGATATTGGCCTCGATGAGGTCGTCCCAGACACCACCGCCACCAACAACGCGTCCAAACCCTCGGCACCAGGAGACTCTGCCGGCCTGGGTCTCGACGAAGAGGTCAAGGTCACCAAGAAACGGCAACCTGTCGCCAAACTAGATGAAGCTCGGTGAGTACGGGCCATATCTGAGAAGATCCGCGGGGGTGGCTGACACTTTGGAAGTCTGCTCTCACAACCCGGCATCCCAAAGCTGCGACGCGCCGCCAAGCAGAAATTGCGATTTAAAGGCAAAGGCCACGAGGTTTGTCTCGATCTATTTGGCGGAAAGGGTGTCAATGACTGACCTGAGAGCATGGGAACAGTTTTCGGACACGGCCCGCCTTCTGAACTTCTACCAACTCTGGCTGGACGACCTATTTCCAAAAGCGAAATTCGCCGATGGCCTGGCGATGATCGAAAAGCTGGGCCATTCCAAGCGTATCCAAACCATGCGACGGGAATGGATCAATGAAGAGAAGCCGAAGTTGTTCGTTTCCTCCGACGACGCACCACGAGTCTCTATTCCCATCGCAGACAAGCCTCCCAACACCGCTCCTGCAGACCAGAATGATGACCCGCTCTCTGTATCGAGCGAACGGCCAACCCCCGTGAACAAGGTTCTGATGACCAGAACTTGTTTTTCTCCGATAATGTGGATGCAGGACCGACCGTTAGCCATCCCGAGCCAGAAGACGATGATCTCGATGATCTTCTGAGGGAACAAGATGAAGAGGGTCCTGCCGATGCTGGCGGATCATCGGGGGTGCCGGGGAGAAGTCGGGATGACTTTGACGCGGAATATGAAGCCATGCAGGAGCTTGGGATGTAGTGCTTATTATAACCTTAATGACATGACCTTTGACGATAGCAATGATACACATTATTCCGTGCAACTCGATCATTGTTCGTACTTGGAGAAGTGGTATTCGTGGAGGATGACGAATAAAAACACGCTGGTTGAAAAAAACTAATTCTACATGCTGGAGACGCGGAGCTTGTCGCGGGAAACAAGACTGGCTCTGAAGGCAAACCGACACCAAAGGAAAATATGATAGAAAACATGGGGAGGATTTGGAATGACATAGCATGGGCACGACACGCGAGGCCACGCTCACAGGGTAGCAACTTCGGTGAAGACAGAGAATTGACCGCCGGCACCTGCCCAGTTCAGCTTCTTGCCGCGAGTGGCCGTGTTGTCAATAACGGTGGCCACTTCGATATCATCCTGGGTGCCCTGGCCGGTCTGATACGTAGCCGAGAATCCCCAGGACCAGGCACGGCCGTCCGCGTCAATGGCGAGCGAGTGGTCCGAGGCGGCCGCAACCACCTTAGCCTTGATGCTAGGGATTGGGGTGGGCTCGATCAGAATGCGTGGGCGGTTGCGCTCATCCTTGATGACCGCATCGTCGGGGAGCGCATCGACCTTCAAGCCACTCTGGTAACCATCCAGGCGGCCCCAAACCAGACACTCACCATCGGTGGTGCGCGCAATGGAATGGTGAGAACCGCCGGAGATTTGGTCCACGTTCCGGCCGGTGAGTGCCTTAACAACGGTCGGGTGCACAATAGCCGCCTCACTTTCGCCAGCACCCTCACGGATGGCGGTTGCACCAAAGCTGTTGAGACCCCAGGCATAAACCTTGCCGGATGTGTGGACGGCGAAGGCGTGGTAGGATCCACAGCCGATGTGCACGATGTTCTTGGGAAGACCGAACTCCCGCGGTTGCAGGCCATTCAGCTTGTTGCGTTCTACAATCCGGCGACCTAGCTGGTTCTGCTGCCCGGAGCCCCAGGAGAGGACGCCTCCCTTGTCGTTTAGGGCGAGAACATGGTTGGCACCACAGGCCAAGTGCTTGATCTTCTTGAGAGCGGGGATCAGAACCGGCGTTTTCTGGACCCGATGAGTCGCGTCGAACCCTAGGATTCCATCGTTGCTCTAGCATTTACGCGTTAGAACTGGAATGTCATGCAAAGCGGGATCCGTAGGACTTACCCGGAAAGTACCCCAACCAAAGACCTGGCCATCGTCCGTAAGAGCAAAGCTCGCGCTGTCGGCCGCAGCGACCTCGACGAAGACGGTGCCCTTGGGGAAGGCTTCCGAGGGGACAGCCGTGGGTGTAGACTCGCGGGGGTTCAGTCCGCTGTCATCGTCCTCCGAATCCGAGTCACTATTATCGTCAATTTCCTTGTAACCACCCTCCCAGGCGGTGTCCCGTCCCAGCGCACCCTGGTCGTTGACGCCCCAGGTGAGGATCTTGTTGTCGTGCGTGAGGGCAATACAGTGCATGCCGCCGACGGCGATCTGCACGACGCCAACCTGCGCCGCAGACAGAAGCTGGTTGAGACGCGGGCGCTTGACGTCGATGACATTCTTCGCGGCGCCCAGACCGAGCTCACCGGAGCTACCCTCACCACAGACGAAGACATTCAGGCGATCCTTGGGAGCTTCATTGATAACGACCTTCGGCTTGGGCTCACGCAGCTGGGTAACACGCGCCTTCTTGAGCTCGCGCGGCTTCTCCTCGACGGCATCGGCCTTGCGCTTCTTCGAGGTCGAAGACATTTCCTTTGTGGAGGACTTGGTAGTACGCGGCTTGGTAGTTTTGGGCTCGGTCTTGGATTCTGTTGTGGCGGTCTTGCGGCCGCGAGAGGTGGTGGTGGTGGTGGTAGACTTGGAGTTCACCGTCGCCTTGGCCGCAGCCTTCTTGGGTGTGGCAGAAGCTTTCTTAGGGGGCATAGTCAATCGGAAGGAAAAAAGAAGGAGCGAGAGGAAAAATTCCGGTGAGGAATGTTAGAAGAGAGGTGTGAAAGGGGAAAGTGAGAGACGCGTCGGGAGGCAGAAAAAAAAATCCAGCATTCTGACAGATTGGTTTTCTTTGTTTGTTTCGCCCATCATTCATTCATCTACTCTTCGGTATCCTTTCCGCCACTATGCAGGCATGTTGTACTACTATAGTCAATTAATTATTATCAAGGCACTACTACTCGTCTGGTCGAACCCGTCCACACATCACCACATCCTGTCCTAATGTCGTCCACCGCACCTGCTGAGGCTTGAGCGCCGCGCTGGGCTGCCCGTCCTCGTTGCGTTTCGAATCGGGACTGACGCTCACTCCGCCGCGTCCAAGATAGGTAGGCGCCACGGTCACAATCAGCGAGTCCACAAAGCTGGTATACTCCGGGTTGAGCAGCTCGCTCAACACTGTGCCGCCACCCTCGATCATGACGCTTTTGATGCCTTCGAGCGCGAGCGCCCGGAGGATGGCCTCCCAGCGCAGACGCCAGCCCTCGTTGTATTCCACGATGCGAAGATAGTCGCCCCCGTAGCCCTTGAGCATCATCACCCTCTCCGGCGGGACCTGGGCCGCGGGGGAGATCACAATCCAGGGAGCTTTGCCTTTCCCCTCCACGGCGGTTCGGAGCACGCGGCATTCGCGATGGACCGGCCACCGTCCCATGGGGTCAATTATCACTGGTCGTGGCTGCCACATGCGTCCCAGACCTCCATACCCCCCGGCTCCGTCCAGCCGGCAGTTCAGCCCTGGGTCGTCCGCCAGCACGGTGCCCACTCCCACGAGGATTGCGTCATGGCGCGAGCGTAGATAGTGAGTCATCAATTTGGACTCGGGTCCCGAGAGGACCGTCTGCATGCCGGGCTGGAGCGAGATCATAGAGTCCATCGATGCGGCGTACGTTAGGGTGACGTGAGGGAGTCGACGCGGCTGGTCATGGTTGGGAAGATAGGGGTCCAGGAACTCCAAAGAAAACTGGGGAAAGGCCAGGGCACCCGGTGCAGTTTGAGGTGCTGTCGGTCTCGCTGGTCGTTCCTGAACGCCATCGGCGTTCTGAGCCTTAACAATTCCGTATCCCTTTTGATATTCATAGCCTTCGTGTGCAACAAGCTTGGCATCGGGGTTTTGTAGGCGCCACTTGGCGGAGACATTGCGCACATCCGTCACGGTGAGAAACCGCCCGCCGGCCTCCGCGAGCTCGTCGGGTTCTTCCTGGAGTTTGGTGTAGATAGACGATGGCAGATAGCCTTTGACCGACTCCTTCCGGGCATATTCCACGACCCCCGAGTTACGCTTCACTCGGTCGAGATGGTCGAGGTCGTGCGAATGGACGCTGTTGCTGCCGGGGGTACGGGCAATGGTGACCGTCGAGTATGCGCCTTCGAAGCGCACTACTTTGATTTGGAAGTTGCATAGGCCCCCTTCCCGAACACGCTTCTTCCGTGGACGCTTGCCTTCAGGCAATGGACGGCTTTCGGATGGACGGTGCGTCGGGCGCCGCAGGCGACACATATAGTAGTCCGTGGTGCAGTGGCCTTCCTTACTGGAATTCGACCTCTGCTTGACCCAGACATTGTCAATAAAGGGCCAGTAGGTCTCGAATTCGCTCGTGCTAATCTCAATCGGGTCCTTGCATTCAAACAAGACTCTTCGTATGCGCGACAGGTTTGGGGGGTTGCTGAAGAGGCTGGAGTTGTTCCCTGACCCAGGAGTGCTCCGGTTGTTGCCTGGATTGTCGGCACCAGATTGTGAGCTGGCCCTGCGGGGGTCTTCTGATTGGTCTTGTTTTGCAAGGGCATTGGTCAAGTTTATTGGAGGCGTCGTGTTCTCATCGTTGGGCAGGTCCTCGTCTATCGCATCTGACGCGGGGGGATCCTGCGCCGAATCGGCATCTCGGTCTGTGCTATCCAGTCCATCTTTTGTGGGCGTAGGACCTGGTTCACTGTCGGGAACCATTGCTGGGGGGCTCAAGGCCAGCGCGTCGGAGGCATGGTTCATCGTGTGGGCCGCAATGGGTGGTGGTGGTGGGCACCGGGATCCGTGAGACCCATGCAGCGGTGAGATCGAATCCCTAGGGGATCGCTTGGTTGAGAACGGATGGAGCACACAAAACCGTCGACGCGACAGTCACTTCACGGCGGAGCGCATGAGTGGCAGGCAGAGGGCGGGAGTTGGGGAAGAAGAGAAACCGCGACAGACCGGATCTCGGGAGCCTTGGCGTTCGTCCGAGAATATATAGTTCGGGATCTAGACACCTAACTGCAACAATACCCAATAAATAGAGCGCCAATTCCTACTAGCAATGCGAGCCACCCCGGTTGATTATGAGAATATCTCTGTATTACCGTTACACAAAGCTCTCTATCTAATAGGCTCCAATGTCCGCACCAGCCCGAGCAAGAGTCTCGTAGACCCGAGGCGGCAACTTGTACTTGACCATGCCCGAGAAGATCATCAGATCCTTGGCCGACACCAGCAGGTTCTCCGCCATGCCTTGCCGCGTCTCATTGTCATACTGCCCGGAGTTCTGCCGTTCGCGCTCATGGCCAATGCAGGTAATGCTCCACATGATGACATGTCCAATGTTGCGCGAGATGATGGGCGGGAAGGACGAGAATGCCTGCGCGGCACTGCGGATATACGGGACAGACCCGTGAGCTTGCAGCGGAAGGACGTTCAGCTGGTTGATAGCCTACGTGAAGTGTGGTTAGCAGAAGAAAAGAACCAAGCGGCAGGTGTACCTACGTCGAGTGCCACCGTCCAACGGCCGGCTTCAACGAGAATCTTGGCTTCCATAAGGCGAAGAAGCAGCCCGCAGGCATCTCGGTTCATCTGTCGGATCTGTTGCCAATATAGTGTGTTTGAATTGTAGAGGCTGATCATGTTCTTCGCCAAGACGACCGGGTCATCCACGGCGGTCAAACTGAGACTGCTTCCAGGATCAGAGGTGCCTGCGTGTGCGGCCTGGCCATCCTGGCCCTGGTCGACTCGCGGACGAAGAGGTTGCAGCTTCGGCAGAACCCCCCCTAGTTCAACAGCAATCGCATCTGACAGAGCCCGGTTGATGATATCAATGACGCGGTCGTAATCCTCGGCCAGGTGGTACAGAAGAACGGCATCAGTGATCAAGCCCTTATCGTCGGCCACTGCCGCCGCCTGGACCGTGATAGTTTTGAGGAATTCCTGCTGATCCTCCAGCTTGATCAAGTCGAGGCGCTGCTCGATCACACCCTTGATTCTGGTACCGTCAGCGCGGATGTCACCAAGCAGCTTGGCGAAATCTCTGGTCTCCAAGATGAATTCGCGCAACGCTTCGTGACAGACCGAGGCCTGAGACTTGCCCAACGAGCCTGGAAGGTCCGCGTTGAGACAGATCAAGGTGAAATAATCAATGGCGGCCTCAACAAATCCAGTGCGGAATTCGCGCGTGTACTGTGTAATGAGATACCCAAAATTGATCTGGGGATACTGCTTCACAGTGAAGGACACTGCAGCGAGGCACGCACCGGGTTAGTAGGAACCAGGAGGGGAAATGGGGAGGTTAGCTTACAGATTTCTTCCCCAGATGTGTAGAAGTCAGATACACGCAAAAGGCCATAGTACCCTAACGCAATGGCAAAATGCACCGCAGTGACCGGCGAATAGGTGCCTAGATAGGCCACGGCCTGCTCGAACATTCCTCCCAGGATTTGGAGAAGGAAGAAAGTTCCATAGCCACCCGGTCCTTCTTGGCCCTTGGTGAAGACGCGTTGTCCGATTTCAGTGATGTCGGTCTGAATATCTTCCAGCCCAAAGACGTCACCAGCCACTTCTTCCGCGCGGTCGTCTTCTCGAGCCAGGCTGAACTGAAGCCACATCCAATCCTCCACACTTTGATTGATCCCCTCCAAGCGACGTCGGGACAGATCGCATCGGCCAATGATCTTGTAACAGGCCATCCGATAGGGGTCGACGGTGTTGTCAGGTGCATTTCGCGAACGTTGCTGGTACTCGCCATTGATCTTTTGCTGCAGATCCCGTGGTAGGCGTCTGTTCTGCGCATAGGTGGTCATATATGTCACGAACTTGTGATCCAGAGAGCGGAATCCGGGGTCCTGGCTGACATATTCCGCCGCTTCGGTGACGAATCCGCATCGAAGAAGGTAGAAAATCAAGATCCAGCAGTAGTCTTGACCGACCATCTGGAGTTCGGTCCCATCTGGCGCTAAATCCTTTCTGGCTGCCCGAAGGCGAATGTAGCCGCGGACCTTGTTGATCACGCTAGGAATGCCGCCCAACTGTGCCTCACGCGGGTTCTTGGCGATGACATTCTCGACCTCGTTATAAAACAAATTCTCAAGGAACCCCTTTGACCCTTCGAGAATTCGCTTCCGGAGATTGATGGCCCTGCGAGACTTGACTGATTCTTCCAAGTAGTCATCGGCATACTGTCGCTCCCGTACGGCACCGGGGTCTGACGGACTAGAAATGCTTGCATTCTCACCGACGACTCGAATGAGGGCTCCATATGCATCGACCAGCTGTCGAGGAGCCTGGATAAAAATTATCAGCTGGAATAAAATCAAACACGATTAAAGTGTTGTGACTTACATCGCCACCCGTGCGTTTTTCGACATCTGCGAACTCATGAAGGATGGGATACACCTGCTTCTGCAGTCTGACGGTGTTCAGTTGCTGTACCTTCTCAGCATAGTGACCCATCTTCTCTCGCAAGAACCGGAGGTCCGCTGAGTGGACAGTGGTCCCATCACTGCGCTCTGCTGGATCCTCAAATAGCTGACGACTTGCTAATCCCACCCCAGGTGTCCCAATCACCGATTTCTCGAGGCCAGAGCGTCCGAAAACGCTTCTACGAGATGCGATGGAGGGACCATTAGCTGGACTGGCGCCCGTCTGCTTGGACTGGCGTGCGGATCGTCCAAAAGCACCCCGCGTTGTTGCTTTCAAGTCCCCACCGGCATCTTTCTGGGAGAGACCAAAATGATGGAAGATCTTCTGACGCTGGTCCTCCCAGTCCATATCTACCTTCTCTTCCAGGAATGCGTCGAAATCTCTCTGAGAGCGGGCTAAGCTCTCCGCAATCATTACTTGGCGGCCACGCTGCTGCATGTTTCGCAGAAACCTCTGGTTATCGGGGTCAAAGCTGTCCTGTTCTTTCGCTGCCGCAGCGGAGATGGATGCCTGCGAATCCAGAGACTTGAGGTCGCGCAAGGCCCGCCCTGGGGAGATCCCAGAAGCTGCAAGGAGGTAGTGACTGCAATAGCAGCAGAGTTAGTTAATATATTCTCCAAAAAATCTAGAAGAAAGATTCGACTTACGCCTTGCTAGCCGTGCCCGCCTGTTGGGTATCCTTCTGTCCTGCGGTGCCAAGCTCTCTCGCTTTTCTCCGAATGTCATCCAGACCTAACTGGAGGCTGGGGATCTCTTCAAAGTTGCCATTTTGGCCAGTCGCAGACAGCGGACGCTTTTTGCCCCGCTCCAACAGGCTGTTGAAGAATGCAGGCTGCGTCGCCTGGGTGGAAGCCCGCCCCTGCGCCTGTCCATCGGTGGGCGGTTGTTGGGACTGGCCGAGAATAGAAGACTGGGCTGGCTGTTGCTGAGCCTGGGATTGCCCTCCAAATAGTGACGAGGGTTGGGCGGCTTGCTGCTGGGCCTGAGATTGTCCACCGAACAGAGAAGAGGTCTGGGTCGGCTGTTGCTGGCTCTGGGATGGACCGAAGAGTGAAGAAGTCTGGGCACCCTGTGCAGGCGCAGTCGATTGAGTGCCCAAGCCCAGTGTTGGCCTGTTGGTTGAGAACAGGCTTGGTGCTTGGGAGGTTGTGGTGGCCCCAAGACCACTCCCTCCGAAGAGAGAACCCGTGTTGGAGGTCATGGAGAAGGAGGATGTGGCAGCTAGGCCGGGAAGACGGATGGAGACACGCGCGACGTGAGGATTGATGGGGAATAAGAGGGGAGAAAAGAAGAAAAGGTGAACAGGGAAGTCGCAGCCTGTCGCGATAAACAATTGCACCAGCCCCGGACTATCGATGATCCGAACATCTTTTTCGCCCAATTCGTTACTGTCTGTCTTTCTGGCTTTCTTTCTTCCTTTTTTCCGATAATCATAATCGGTCCATGCCTACCTTCCAATCCAAGACGTATCGCCGGGCGACCACGGCCTCTTCCTCCCTTGGAGAAAGGCTTGGCGCTTTCTACCGCGCCCGGCTGGCCCGGCACCCATTTCTTCTGTTCGGGTTCCCGTTTATCGCAATCATCGTCGCCGGTTCCTTCGCCCTGACCCCCGCCGCTGCGGTGCGCTATGAGCGCTACGATCGCAAAGTCAAACAACTCAGCCAGGCGGAAGCAATGGATCTGGGTCTGAAGGGGTCGGACGGGGAAGAAGGAATCAAGCGGAACCCGCGAAGGCGCATTGTCGGGGACGAGAAAGAGGAATACTACGTATGTACTACTGCGTGTCTGCGGACGAGGGGAGAGATGCTAATGGAGGGTATGTTGACAGCGGCTCATGGCCAAGGACCTGGACAGTTGGGAGCAGAAACGGGTGCAGCGATTCCAGGGCGAGCCGGACGGGCGGCTGTAGGCGGTGATGATATATGTACAAGACCGACCATCAATAAAAACACCACATGCACCGGTGGCTATACCCGGTCCCTACGATGTAGTGCTACCTATAAGCTATCATTGTCCGTAGTACGAGACCTAGACCTCACCTAGGTACCGACGACGCCTACGTCATTGCTGCTTCTAGAAACGCTCCACAATTACTCAGCCGTGATATCAGCGTTCATCCCCCACACTAATTACCTGTCGCCTCTTCTCGCCCCGAGTCAGTCAGTCATTCAGTCCCTACGTCAGGTCAGACGCCTGCATCGACTTCCTCCCCAGGCCCTGCCTGCTACTCGCCACCATCCCCAGCTGACATTTTTTGCTGACTTCTCCTCCCTTCTGGCCCTCTTTGTTTCTCATCTATTATCGTATGCCCTTCATCTCATCCGTCATCTCGTCCTGAAAAAAAAATCCATCCTGTTCGCCCATCCCAGCTCAATTGATCCAGGATATGACTCGTCGCGAGGCAGTCTGATCCCGTCTTGCTACCCCTCCAGTTAGCTGCATTCAGAGCGGCCGCTCGCTCGTTTGCCATGACGGGCCCTGGGCATTCGCCCTCTTCCTCGTGGGTACAGAGTGCGCATCGCCGTGAGGGCAGTGCAACGCAGGCCCTGCAGTTCCCCGCCGGGCACCCCGGCTTGTCCCCGTCCAACCCCGGCATCGTCTCTGCCGGGTCCTATGCCGACCAGAGCCCCAACTACTTCGGCATCAAGGTGGAAAACACGGGTATCCCGCCAACTTCCAGCCCAGGACCTCATGCACAGAAAGGTTGGGGCTCATTACCGCACCCGCAATCCTCACTGCCAAGCCCAAAACTGCAATTGTACCCCCAGAACCCTGTTTCCGAGAACCTGGTGAACCTTCTGAAGACCGAATCCGAAACCGACAAAAGACGCAGGGAGTCCGTCATCCAGCACCGCTCGTCGCTCAGTGGATCCCAAGCACCAGTTGGCCGTGGTCTGCCTTCACACACCCCAGAGATAGAAGACCCAGGTGTTGATAACCCGCAAGACCGCCATTTTGCAGGGCCTGGCTCGAGGAGAAAGCTTTCTTCATCACATGGTACAGCCTTTCCATCTGAGAGAACTGGTGCATTGCTAATCCAGTGACAATAGTGTCAGCGTCAGCATCGCATCCATCTTCGACATCAGGAGAATTTTGGATCTCATCGGACAGATGCGCGGAACTATTCCAGACATCTCAGCAACAGACCTTATTGCTGGATGTCCGTCCGTACGCTCACTATGTGCAGGGCAGCATCAAAGGGTCACTGAATCTGTGCATTCCCACCACACTACTCAAACGTCGCTCATTTGGCACTCAAAAGCTCGAAGGAACCTTCACCGACGATGCTGATAAACAGAATTTTGCTCGGTGGAGAGAGTGTAGTGCCATAATTGTTTACGACTCCTCCACGACGGATGTCAAGGATGCGGTGCCTCTTCTGAACGTGCTCAGCAAGTTCCAGGCAGAAGAATGGCAGGGCAGGGGTTTGATTCTTCGCGGTGGCTTCAAAGATTTTGCCAACCGGTTCCCACACTTGACCCAACAACCCTCACCACAACCGCAGGCCGCTCCATCTAACCAGGGCACTTCCCCTACGAGCCTCAACGTCCGGTCGGTGGCACCTGTTGTTGGCGGGTGTGCCCTGCCAGACTCATCCTCGGCTGTGACGCCATTTTTCGGAAACATTCGACAAAACATGGATCTTCTCGGCGGAGTTGGCCAGGTTCCTCTCCGGCAGCCTGATCACTTGACCGAGGAAAAACGACGGTCACTTCCTGCGTGGTTGCAAGATGCTTCGGATCCAAAGGATCAAGGTCGCCTTGTTTCAGAGAGATTCTTGGATTTGGAGAAAAGAGAACTGGAGCGCATGAAATCGGCGTTGAGCTATGATGGATCATCCAGCTCGACCGGCGACCCGCCCAAGAAGTACCGCGTTGCCGGTATCGAGAAAGGCACGAAGAACCGGTACAACGATATATACCCTTTTGATCATTCCCGGGTCCGACTCGAGGGGATCCCGTCTGGGAGTTGCGACTACGTGAACGCCAACCACATCAAAGCCGAATTTAGCAATCGACGATATATCGCTACTCAGGCTCCTGTGCCAGACACGTTTAATGTGAGTGCCTCCTACCAGACCCCATCCCATGTTCTTCCTGCTTACATTTTTCCCGACAGGACTTTTGGCGTGTGGTGTGGGAACAGGATGTCCGACTTCTTGTGTCTCTCACAGCAGAAGTCGAGCGAGGACAGGTAAAGTGCCACCCTTACTGGGAATCTGGGGATTATGGGCCATTCAAGGTCAAGGCCTATTCGGAGCGACATATCCACGTCGAATCCAAGGACCGACCGGTTCATTCCGCTGAGGCCGTGCCATCCTCTCGCGACGATGAGACCAACGAAAACCCTGTCATCATTGTCCGACATTTCAGTCTCTGCCACACAGCCTTCCCGTTCCAACCATTGCGGGATATCACGCAGCTTCAGTATCCCTACTGGCCGGACTTTGGGACGCCGTCACAGCCAACTCATCTGCTTGAGTTGATCGAGCAGTGCAATAAGGTTGTCCGCGCTACCAGCAGCCCTTCGTGGAATCGCGATGAAGCAGATCCGAACGGCCAACGACCCGTGCTGGTGCATTGCAGCGCAGGCTGCGGGCGAACGGGGACGTTCTGCACCGTCGACAGTGTGTTAGACATGTTGAAACGCCAACGCGCGGAAGATCATGACAACAGCTCTGGGAATCGCTGGACTGGGGATCGTACTCTGGATCTGATTGCCAAAACTGTTGCCGACTTTCGGAAACAGCGGCCCAGCATGGTGCAGAACCTCAGTCAATTTGTGCTCTGCTATGAGAGTGTTCTCGAATGGGTGGTGTCTCAGGGGAGCACATCTTAGCGAGCCAGTGCTTCACGCGATGATGACATCGGGATACCCATTCCTATTATTATGTGCTAGTGATTGCTTCTCTCTCTTCTCTCGGTCTGCATTTGCTGGGCGTTGGCCGTGACTTTGCTTTCATATTATCTACTCCAGTAACTAGCGGGGTCGGCATCTAGAAATACAATCTTGAATATACTTATCTTGCGGGGCAGAGAGATCAAATGGGACGGTTAAAGGATGGTCTTCTTTCTGACCGTAATTTTTTAGGCAATTTTCAAAAAGTGTAGAAATAATATCTTAAAAGCGTCGTCTGGATCTAGTTCTGCCTTCCCGAAAAGAAAGACATGGTAGAACTGTACCCTACATAATCCATCCTCTCTAGCTGTAACGATGTACTAAAAAGGGCTGTAAGGTAGGTAGGCATACTACTTTATAGTTCTGGTCAGCCAGGCTCCACTGCACGGCAACTTCCGCCCCGCCAGGCAGAACCTCCCTGTTTGGTCAATGCGAATACATCTAGCCCGCTACATATAAATGACCCCCCCATCACTGCTGTTTCTCTCATTCTTCTCTCTCATCCCCTCACCAATGGCCCAATCCCTGCTCTTCTAGCACTATGATGCTCCATCTGCCTACTGAGCTGATCCAGCTCGTTCTCCGCTCCTGTGATACTACCACCTTCTTCCAGGTAGCGTATGCCTGTCACACTCTGCTTGAGATCGCGTCCAGCAGCCGTGAAGCCATTCTATATCATCTTCGCCAAACTCCTGGCGAGACCGATGACACCCAGAGCTTTACAACAAAGGGACTTTTCGGCCTTTTGATGCACCGCGCATATCGCCAACTGTATGGCGCAGAGTTCTATGCCGAATTCAAAGTCTTCACCGTCCAGGGTCTCCAGATAGAGCCACGAGCATGCTCATGGAATCTTCCGAACCGAGACCAATTGATACTGGCTTTCAAACAACATCCACACGCCTACTATTACTATGTCCGACAGAGCCATCTGAGGTATCGACGGCGATTTGAATCACCTAGAGAAAGGGACGGAGTGATTCAAGTCCTTCGAACGTCAGTTGATGACAGTGCAGTCCATGTGCTGCACCGATTCAAGCCCTTTGTCAACCAGGAAGATCGAGAGTCGAACCACCCATTTGTGAAACAGGCCCTACACTCCAACGGCGTTCTCTTTATGGCCATTCATGACTTGGATTCTCCACTTGTCCACATCTGCGCTTTCCCTGATTATGATGACTATGAGCCCAAGGCTCTGTATGGTTACCACGGTGGGTTTGCGATTTCCTGGCAGCATGCACATAAGGAAGACGTTCATGAAGTCGTCCACTACGACACTAGTGCCTCCAGCAAACTCCCTATGCCTACGCCTCTCCCTGACAATGCCCCAGTCATTAAGATCATCGGTTCGTTCTGCCCCTCCAGTTCTACCCCTTCGTACGCAGCTAAACAGTACTAATCATAGATGTCTCCTACGATCCCTGTGTTGTCATAGGGTCTGACACAAATGGCGAAAGAGCTGCAGGAATGGAGAATCCAGGACCTGCGGTGAGGCTGACAATCAATGACGGTTCTCAGTTGCTGTACCATTACCGTGCCCAGACCTTGTATGGTGGTTTCCAGAAGATCGGCGATCTTCCATCCTTCGACCAACCCAAGCCTAAGCTATACAAGAACTCATGCAGTGTGGCATACTCATCCGCCTTTTCTCTTCAATTCGCAATCGACATTCCATTCTATGCGACTCATGAACAGGGTGATGCAAACCAGGGAACTCTCTGCCACTGGCAATATCTGGCTTTTGGGATCGCCACTCATCGGATCGAGAACTGGACGGCGGCCTGTATTCTCAAGTCTGAGGCTTACTGCCGGGCTCAGAATTGTAGCCATGAGCTGAATCATGACCGCGGCAGGCGGTTTGATGAGTGGACGGTTGTGGCACGGCTGTTAGGGTTCCGGCAGGCAGATGTTTCGCATGGATCCCAGGTGGCTGCCTCGAGTTGCGGCACGCGCATTGCTGTGGCAACATGGAAAACACTGTACATTTGGGCTCTCGAGCCAGATGCTCTGCTGGATGATGAGGATCGCATTTATCCTCGCTCATGGAAAGATCTCGACTCCGGGGCGATTGAAATATCACCCGTGATCCTTGATCTCGATGCGGTGTGCTACCAGCTCCGCTTCGGCGACCGCCAAAATGAGTTAATTGTTATCGCTGACCGGGGACTCATAGTCGTGGATGTTGGTCGCAAGGGCAGAGGCGTTCGAAGTACGCACACCCTGCCATATCCGAGCCGTGAATTGACCGGCGAGGTGTAGAGGTGAAGAGGTTTATGTAGACTAGCGATGGGAATCGGCATTTAGCTAAGAGGAGTTCACGGAGAAATGAAGTTTCTGATAATTCTGATATACAGGTATGATCGTCGTTCTCATGAAGACCGCTCTTCGCCGCCGCCGCCGCCGCCAGACATGGTCAAGAACGTGATAATCAAGAAGACCCACCAATACCTAGACAACAAGTCAGAAGCAAATCACCGGATGAGACAAACGCGTAGGACTTACTTTTGGAAGAACGTCTTCTCCACGACCTGCTCCGGGTCCTGACCGTCGGGCCCTACCACCACCGGCCGATTCAGATGCGGCTGGGTCCCCGCTTCATTGGGAATAAGCACAATCTGAGGAGCGGTTGCAGATGCCTTGGCAGCTGCCACAGCGACATGATAGACGTCGCTAGTCGGGCCGAGATGAAGACGGAGGACGGGTTGGTGCTCGGCGAACGAGGACGCGGAGACTAGACTACCGACCCATTGTTTGGGGTTCGTGGGGGTGGACGTGTAGAGACCGACCCGAACGAGCCCGTCGCGGAGTTTATCCGAGGGAGGGCTGTAGGAGACCAGGTCCGATTGGAGCGATACCGGGTCATAGGCGACGCGCGCGAGGACGGATGGCGACGCAGCTCCGACAGGCCAGTAGAGGATATCGGTGGAGAGGGAGCTGGCGGAGGCAATGGCCAGTAGCCCATAGAAGGCGGCGAGAACGGAGATGAGGAGACGCATAGCCGCGTGGTTGGGAGGGGAGGAGGTGGTGGTGGTGTGGGTTGAAGGAGAAACGGGCTGGCGGGAGAAAAAGAGGCTGTTCGGGCGCGAGTTGCCTGGGCTGGGCCACATACCTCCCCCCCGTGACCTCACTGTGGCCGCAGATCCACCGGTACCGTTCAAGTACATATCCCTGCTGTCATGGCCCGGTCGCTTTCGTCAGTTGGTCTTCTTATTCTGAAGACTTCCTCTTTCTTTCCCCCTGGTGACCTGATTACTAGTGTGATGATTATTCTTTCTGCTACTCTACATACATACCCTCCTGACTCTGCCTGATACCTTTGATTGTATCATCACTTTAGTTGACTACTATCCAGTACTAGAGCTGCCGTTCCACCCCCACATCCCACCATGACCTCGCTGCCGTACCGCCGCCCCTCGCGCCAGAGCTCCCGCCAGGCCTCGATCGACCCGCGTGAGGACCTCGAAGTGCATCTGGACCATTACATCGGCATTGATGTAGGAACCGGCAGTGCCCGGGCCTGTATCATCGACTCCAAGGGCGACATTGTTGGCCTGGCTTCGGAGAACATCGGCCTCTGGCAACCAGAGCACGGCTTCTACGTAGGAGTGTCTCCTTTGGACTTCAAACATGAGCTAACCGCACCGTCTAGGAACAATCCACGTCCGACATTTGGCGGTGCATCTGCACTTCTGTGCAGCGCGCCATTAGCCAGCACAATATCAACCCGGACACCGTGCGCGGCATTGGATTCGACGCCACCTGCTCCCTGTCGGTTTTCCACACCGACACGGACGAGCCTGTCTCGGTAACGGGGCCGGCCTTTGACTCGGACCGCAATGTCATTCTCTGGCTGGATCACCGCCCGGTTGAGGAGGCCGCCAAGATAAATGCGACCAACCACAACCTGTTGCGCTATGTCGGCGGCAAGATGTCCATTGAGATGGAGATACCCAAGGTCCTGTGGCTCAAGAATCATATGCCCAAGGAACTGTTCGACAAGTGCAAGTTCTACGATTTGGCGGATGCACTGACACACATCGCAACCGGCAACGAAAAGCGCAGCTTCTGCAGTGTGGTTTGCAAGCAAGGATATGTCCCGGTCGGTGTTGATGGCAGTGTGAAGGGATGGCAGGAGGACTTCCTGCAGGATATTGGACTCGGAGAATTGACAGAGGAAAACTTCAAGCGCATGGGCGGAGTCGACGGGGTGGTGAGAGGTTTCCTTTCATAGCCAAGAGCAGTTCCACTAACTTTGATCCCAAACAGAACGGCGACTATCTGAGTGCGGGTGAATTGGTCGGCACGCTGTGCGAGAAGGCAGCGGCCGATCTCGGTTTGCCTGCCGGGATTGCCATTGGCAGCGGTGTGATCGATGCCTATGCAGGCTGGATCGGGACCGTCGGCGCCAAGGTCAACCTGGGTACGGGCCAGCTCAGTGCAGAGGCGGCCAAGAATGACAAGTCGCAAGCATTCTCCCGACTGGCAGCTGTGGCCGGCACATCAACCTGTCACCTGGCGCTGTCTCCAGACCCAGTTTTCGTGGACGGTGTGTGGGGTCCGTACCGGGACACGATCCTGCCAGGCTTCTGGATGGCTGAAGGTGGACAGTCGGCGACCGGAGAGCTGCTCAAACATGTGATTGAAACACACCCTGCGTTCAACCAAGCCCTCTCAATCGCCGAGTCGTACCACGCAAACATTTACGAGTATCTAAACGAGCACCTCAAGGAGATGGCACACGACCAGCAAGCCCCATGTGTGTCGTACCTGGGCCGGCACTTCTTCTTCTACGGCGATCTCTGGGGCAACCGGTCGCCCATCGCGGATCCGAACATGACGGGATCCATCTTCGGTCTGACGAGCGACAAGACCGTTGAGGGTCTCGCCATCTACTACTACGCGACCCTGGAATTTATTGCTTTGCAAACCAAGCAGATTATCGAGACGATGAACAAGGCCGGCCACCAGATCACCTCGGTTTTCATGTCGGGCTCACAATGCCAGAATGATATCCTGGTCAAACTCATTGCATCGGCCTGTGACATGCCCGTTGTGATCCCACGATACATCCACGCAGCTGTGTGTCACGGCGCAGCGATGCTGGGAGCCAAGGCCGCCAGCGCCGACTCCCAGGGCAAGACTGAGGAGCTGTGGGACATCATGGACCGCATGAGCAAGCCCGGTAAGAAGATAATGCCGACGGACGACGAGAAAGAGAAGGCCCTGCTGCGGACCAAGTACGAGGTCTTCCTAGAGCAGTGTTTTAAGCAGCTGAAGTACCGGGAGATGGTTGATGAAGCTGTGGGTGCGTGGAAGGCTACGTAGTTGTCCATTATTTTACATAGTTCCAAAGTGAACAAGTTCTCGTTTCATTTTCATCAATTTGGCCGAGTCACACCATATGTGGCAATCAAAGCATGAAAACAAAGACGTATGATGCAATAAAACAAGAGCCAATAATGGCACGCGCTGCTAGCAAACACCAACACAGTCAACGCATATGTAACTCCGCCATGCAAAAGGTGATGCTGATAGGATATGTGCTGTGTCGGGAAGGGTGAGAATAGTAATCAGCCTCGAAGGCCCTAGTAAAGCCACCGCAAGAGGGGTCTCTAATAAGCCACACCAGCCTGTGGCCGCCCGACGGTGTAGAATTTCTGAGATTGACTGTTACCCAAAGCCAGAGTGTCGAAGCGGTCCACGCCCATGTTGTCCATGGTGTTGTAGCTGGAAAGGAAGAAGCCGACCACAACAACCAAATAAGTCAGGACGAGAATGGAGCCCTTAAAATAGTTGCTTTTTCCTTCGCCGTAGACGTTAGATAGCAGGAAGACACACAGAATGACGGTGATCATGTCCCACTGGGGGAATATCAGACTAGATAAAGTTAACTGAGTATCCTGGTTGGTAGAAGCCAGCAGGGAGCTTACTTGAAGGAGTGGCTGATGAGATTGGAGGGTTGAATGAAGTGGGCATACAGCGCACTGAACAAGACCAGAGCTGGCACTTGCAACAGACAGACCTGTAGTGCGTAGGCGGAACCAATCTCCATGGATAGAGCGATGTTGCCGTTCATGGCAAATGAGATGGCATTCTATGACGAGTGAGCAGTGAAGCAGACCAAAAGGAAACAGAATAACGCACCAGAAATTCTGTGGTGTTAGGAACCAGGGCAAAGAGAGTGATGCCGAGGAATTTCTCGTCAATGTCCACGCTCTCTAAGACAACGTCGACAGTATTGACAAGAATCTCAGCAATCACAGCATAGAGCACCGTCGCCACCAAGAGGACGATGGCGCTCTTTGCTTTGCTCCAGTTTGGTGCATCGTGCCCACCGCCGGTAGCAACATGGGTGGAATCGACCATAAAACCAGCATCATCCGGCTCCTCGCCCGGTGTTCTTACTTGCTCACCAGGAGCACGCTCAGCCTGTTTTTGGACAGCAAGCTTGCGAGTCCGAGCGGCATCACGAGCTGCCACGGCTGCCGCAGTGGCGGCTACTTCAGTGACTTGACGCACTAAGCACTCGTTATCTTCAGTAAGCCTGCCACGGCCAGGTTTCGATGCAGGCTCGCCAGCAGACCTTGGTGGAACTAGGTGCGGCGTTGCGCCTTTCTGATCTGACGTCCCAGCACCTCCATGTTCCCAGTTCTCATCCAGGCCAACATGCTTGAGCGATTGGCCCAGAATCCGTTTGTACAGCTGCGATTCACGGATGGAATCCTTACGCCCGGTTGCCCCACCAGAGGCTTCCGGTTGGCCGCTGGGAAAGAGGAAGTGGCGTGGTTCATAGGGGAAAGATTCTCGAGCGGCCTGGGCAGCTTGAGCAGCCTTCTTCTCCTCAACCTCCGTGGCCCAAATAAGGGCAGCATGGGTTCTAAGGGTGAACCAGAGACCGATGACATATGACAAAAACAGGAGCACGGCGGAAAACCAGGCGTACGGCTGCACCGCTTTCAGGAAAAACTGGTCGTAGATCGCCGCAGTCTGCTGGAAGTAACAGCGACGACAGTCGCGGTCCCCAGATCCAACTGGTCCAGTGCACGAATGGCAGTTCAATTCATGCTGCATGACAGTTAGCTGTGGTTCAAAATGATAATGACGACACTTACGCTTCCATAGACTTGATAGAAGAGCGTGGGACCAAAAGCCGCAATGACGGCAAAGAGTAACATGGTCGAAGTCACGCCGGCTGATTTGACATTGAAACGCTGAGTCTTACGCTTAATGGCACCGAAACACATGGACAAGCCCGGCAGGAATAGAATACCGGCGAAGATACTGCCAATGATACTGCCCTCGACCAGCTGAGCTTTCCCTTCGGTCAAGGCCACGCAATAGAGGTATACCTCTACGACGGTGGAGAAGAAAGCGTTGATGGCAGCGCCCAAGCCCATCGACGATTGGGCGGAGATTGAAGCGACAGCTTGGCCAATAAAGTATGCTAAAGGAATGATGGAAAAGAGGGCAAGGGTGAAGATCAAGCCAGGGTGCGTGAGCCAGTTGTGGATACCCATGAATTTGTCCAAGAGGAAATAGTCCAGGATCACGAACAGAACGACACCGAGAAGGTTAATCAAAAAGATATTCGTGCCATCGATGGTGTACTTCCAGTACCTGGTTCCAGCTGCCCGATAGGTACAGAGGAGAATGGAAGATGAAGAGGTCGTGCTCAATCTTGTATATGTTGTATCGGAATGGAACGACAGGGCCAGCGGATGTCGTCGAAGATGGCTGACGAGGATAGTTGTGACGCGGCCCATGGGGATCCAGAAAACGAGCAGCCAGCAGACAAGCGACACCATGAGCATCAGGGGTCCCACCAGGAAGTAGAAAAAGATGAAAAAAACCACGCGGCCTAGCGTCCATTCACCCCGACCAAAAAGACGCCGTTTCGAGGGAGCAAACTGGAAGTCGTCGCGTTGGCCACGCTGGGGACGACCGAGAAGACTGTCCTGTTCGTCGGCTGAATCGACGCTGTCCCGACGTCGACCTACCAGGGATCGATGGCGACGAGGCCCAAAAAACAGGCGGCCATGTTCTATATCACCGTTCTGCCATTGCTCATATTCGCTGATGCTGCGGCCCTCGCCCTCGTCCTCTTCTGCGTAGTGTTCGTCGGTCTCCAACAAGACAAAGGATCCGAATGGGTAGAACAGGTACCGCGACAGGCCCCAGAAAACCCTTCCGTAGGCCAAGGCACTGGATGAATAGGCGAAGATAAAACAGACAATTGCAGCCAGTAGTGCAGCACATGCGAGCCACCAGCCAAAAAACAAGGACCACAGCAGATTGGTCAGGAAGAGCATAGGACTAACCCGACCCCCTGGAGACGAGTGAATGTCGCCCTCCGCCGTCTTTTCGACGGAACGACTCTTCTTGTACAAGGCAGGCTTCCAGATCCGGATACCAAAAGGATGGGTCTCGTTAATTGCTTGCTGGCGGTCTTTGAGGGTGAAGCTCTCGGCATCACTCGTTGCTTCATCCTCGGTCTCGTGGTCCTCGTGGTCTTCCTCTTCACTATCATGCTCGCTCTCGTTGTCTGACTGTCGAGATGGGGGTTCGACGTGAATGTCAAGGCCCGGGTCCGGCAAGCTCGTCTCCTCCTCGCTGTAATTGTCCGAGTCCGCTCTCGCCAGCGGACTGGGTCGGGCACTGGGTCGGCGCCTCAGGGTGGAACTCTGCTGGCGCATGGGACGTATTCGTGGAGAGGGTTGAGTGGTTGTACCGTGCTGCAAGGCGATGTCCTCCTCGACCTCCTTCACATCATCATCTGTCGAGAACTCCTGACCTTTATGGGGCACCTGGCGCTTCGAAGACATACGACGCGAAACTGGGGGCTTCCTTGCTTTATCTGATGGGGACTGAGGGCGAACAACACGACTGGAGCTTTCGCCTGGGCCCTCCTCCGCTCGAGGGTCCGGGTTGGGCGTGTCAAACGGATCGAGAGTGCCTGTGCAACTGTGCGTTAGCGCATATTACTCCCGGCAAGAAGCCTTCACTAGTCAGAGCAGTCCCTACCGTAGCTCCTTCGTGGTGGACCAGTGGATCGAGGCGGAAGATACGAGTCCGACTGAGAGCTCTCGATGCCCGAAGGCCCCGACGGTCCACGCGACGACTCGGGTGAGTCGTTGTTATCATTATCGCCCGCCATTGTGTCTTTCCATGGGCCTCTTCAACACAAAAACAAAAGGAAGAATGAACGCGATGGAAAGCTCTTGAATCCTTGTACTTTCTCGATTGGTTGAGGGAGGGGGAAGCAAGTTGCATCGGGGCTCGAGCACCACCACCACAATAACAATGGGGAAAATGGGAACGAAGGAAGGAATGTATCAGGTCATCCTGTCAGCTGAGAGAAAATAAGGCTAGGCACGAGCAAGAGCAAGAAGCACGCCAGATGACTGACATCACCTGAGCTTGTCAAGTCTAAACAGCTGCGATTGCTGGCCTGAGGTATCAATCGCATTAGTCATCGGCCACAGCTTCATCTGGCTCCAAACTAGCATCATCCGGTTCAGCTTGATCCCAACCACACATACACACACACGCCTTCTCCAATCGCCCGCTCAACCTTCCTCCATCTGCTGCGAGTATTGAGGCTACTGGCCCTCCTGTTACTCTCCCTCTCCGTGGACAACAACCGCAACACCAGACAGTCCTTCACTGCTCGCGCGTCATCTCCCTCCCCAAGCCGCCCATCATGGCTTTGGACAATTACTACCGCAACAAGATCGAGGGTATGAAGCTCGAGATTATTCAAGGACAAGCGGTTCTACGACGACTAGAAGCACAACGCAATGACTACAACTCCCGAGTACGCCTCCTGCGGGAGGAGCTCGGGCTCCTGCAACAGCCGGGCTCCTACGTGGGTGAGGTGGTGAAAGTGATGAGTACCAAGAAGGTCTTGGTGAAGGTACACCCGGAAGGCAAATACGGTGCGTGCAAGAACTTGAAAAAGCAAGGGTCGAAGCTAATGCTAGGGTCTTTCTTACAGTGGTGGACATCGCAGATGGAGTGGACATTGGGAAACTCACCGTCGGAAAACGTGTCGCTCTCCTTTCGGACTCGTATAAGCTGGAGAAGATGCTGCCGTCGTCGGTTGATCCACTGGTCTCGCTCATGATGGTCGAGAAGGTCCCGGACAGCACATATGACATGATCGGTGGGTTGGACCAGCAGATCAAGGAGATCAAGGAGGTCATCGAACTGGGCCTCAAGCACCCGGAGTTGTTTGAGTCACTCGGTATTGCGCAGCCGAAGGGTGTCTTGCTCTACGGCCCCCCGGTACCGGAAAGACTCTGCTGGCGCGAGCCGTGGCGCACCACACCGATTGTCGGTTTATCCGAGTCAGCGGATCCGAACTGGTGCAGAAGTATATTGGTGAAGGTAGCCGCATGGTGCGTGAGCTGTTTGTCATGGCTCGAGAGCACGCCCCCAGCATTATCTTCATGGACGAAATCGACAGCATTGGGTCAAGCCGGATAGATTCGGCTGGCTCTGGTGACTCGGAAGTGCAACGGACGATGCTGGAGTTGCTGAACCAGCTGGATGGATTTGAACCCACCAAGAATATCAAGATCATTATGGCGACGAATCGACTGGACATCCTGGATCCTGCTCTGCTGCGCCCAGGGCGGATTGACCGGAAGATCGAGTTCCCTCCACCCTCGTGAGTGTCTCCCCTTTTTGTGATGACCGTATACTGACCGGCTGCAGGGTCGAAGCTCGTGCGGATATTCTGCGGATCCACTCGCGGTCCATGAACCTGACGCGGGGGATCAACCTCACCAAGATCGCGGAGAAGATGAACGGGTGCTCTGGTGCTGAGCTGAAGGGTGTCTGCACAGAGGCAGGCATGTACGCACTGCGGGAGCGCCGGGTGCACGTCACACAGGAAGACTTTGACCTGGCGACAGCTAAGATCCTTAACAAGCACGACGACAAGGAGGTCGCGGTGTCGAAGCTGTGGAAGTAGGGGGCGTTGGACACCAAAGCAAACAGAGATACATCTTAACATTTTCTCGCCTGAAAGGGCAATAAGACACCATTGTACACACTGAGGATAATCAGGATGTTTTTGATTCAGGATTGAGAAGGTTTTGGTTGACAATCTCGAGACAGCAACGACCAAATTAATATAGCTTCATATTAGTGCGTCAAAATAAACAAATAGGAAAGCAGTCTCTACAAAAGCATCTTCAAGTTCTGCCAACATTAACTCAAGCCCAAAATCAAGGAAGGAAGCTGGCAGAGCAGAGCTAAATAGCGAGCGGAATGTAGAGAAATAATTCATTCGAAGAAACAAAGATAGCCTTCGTATTCACCTAGCGGTAAAGGGAATCCTAATTGAATAGGAAAAACCTCTACCAAGGCAGAAAACCATTTGTCTAGCATTATTTGTACTATTTGCAAGGAGCATCGGAGGCTGTTTTGAAACCCTCGTGATGCCTTCACAAATCCATAGTGTCATGGATGTAGTTTTCTTATTATTCGCAGTGAGGATCACCGGCTGGTCAACATCCTCCACTTGAGATGCATCCACCGGGACACTCCTGATCCCCCACTATAGTTAGCCTATTGTGACTGATTGCCATTTCCCCAAGTGAAAACTATCACTTACTCCCTGGGCTGCCGCCACCGCAAGCAACCATAGCAACCGTCATTGTAGAGATAGTAGTGAAGAATTTCATATTGTCGACCCTACTCTTTTTCTTTAGAGTATTCTGGTTCGGAGGGTTTTGGAAAGGCTTGGCACAATAAAGGGAGAAAGTCTGAATTGGTCCTTGAGTGAGTCAGATCAGGGGATTTCTCAGGCTCTTTATACTACACGAGAGGCTCGCGAGGATAGACTAATATAACGAAACAACTCGGTCGAGTTGCCTTACATCGTAAGATGATGTCAACAAGCATCTCAGCCCCCAGATTCTACACAATCCCATCGTATACAATCCTTGAATATATGTCCTCTTCCCTATGTCGGGTAGTCTACTTATTTTGCACGCGTTCAGGTAGAATCAAGTAAACACCTGCACTAGCTTGGACACCTAGATTCTCCAACTAGATCCTTGTACTTTGTAAGAGCCATAGTTAGCTTAATCATAAGCTCCGAAAGAACCACTTTACGCTATCCAATTTTTCATATAGTGGACAAGGCAATAGGGAGACGGGGCAATGGGGCCGCGATAGTGGATTCTGAACCTCCCTGGGCCAAAATACAACTAATCTGCCCAAACTGATATGCTAAGCGGTCCGATTGTTGAACGCAGCATTTTTGTGGGCCGAGGAGATCGTTACTTTATATCTAAGTATTAGGACTGTGGCCTTTGGAAAGTTATGACAGGGTCAACGCTAGAAGGGGATTATATATTTCTATTCATTAATGACATGTTGATAGTGTTCCCTCTTGATATTTCTCACCGCTAACTCTAGAGATGGACCAAATTTCTACACGCAGATTTCACATAGGTGTCCCGAGGGCTTGTACCTCGGAGTACTAACTCTGATAGCTGCCTAATTTTAGGTCTTCCGTCTCGCCCCTCAGGATGAGTATGCCAACTCCATGGGGCGGTCCCCATAGAGAAGGTTGTGCGAAAAGAACCCGGGGGTGATATAACACGCCACACTCTAAGACGATGCCAATAAGGCACAAGGCAAAGAATGGGGACCTTCCGCAGCGTCCCCAATTTCCCTTGTCACCCCTTTCTTTTTCCCGCCTGAACAGGGGAATCTCTAGCCTATACCACTAATGACTAACCAATACAGGAATCTCTACGCAGCAACGGGATTCTCTACGCGTAGACTGCGGCACTACCCGCCATGCGAACCTCAAGTCGGATCCGAGTCCAGATTCAAGTCCACATAGATTTGATGTGGGGACCCGCGTCTCTCGGAGTTCACCAATATATCCGATGTCCTCCCTAGCCCGGGCGATCATCCGCCATCTCCCCAGGATCTGCAACGGGTCCCATTGAGAATTTAGCCTATTATTTACACTAGTGATTTATGTAATGTTATCTTGGCGGTGATCGGTTGAATGACAGGGGTGCCATATACAAACATACTTCGGGGTGAGTTAGGTGATGATCACGATGAGCTCTGATTCACTAACATCTCTATAGTCTGGCCCGGACTGGTGTTGGACACTCCACCGGGGCAACTTGCCACTGCTGATCGCGGCCTCGTGATGTTCCACCAACCGACACACCCACTGCTGACTCGGCTTGCTCGTTTTGTCATCCCCGGAATCGGTCTCCACTGCTGGCTCGGACGGTTCCCCTGCCCCACCTAACTTGCATTCCATTGGAACCTTTTTTGTGTCCCCCGGAGTCCCCGCTCCGAATTCGCTATAGATCCAATAAATAAACTGGAAGGGGGAAAAAAAGAAGAAAGGTGGCCATTCCTCTCTCCTCTGCAGGCTCCCACCATCTCTCTCCCATACCATGTCAACGGTTGTACAATCCCACTCTCACTCGACGATCGACCTACTCGAGTCGGAACTGGTCAAGGCCCGCGCCACTCTACAGGAAGTCCACCCCAATGTGACTCAATTGCGCCTCCGCGATGAAATGGCCGCCAGTGCCCGGGCCGCCTATCGCCAGGATCTCCTCGATCACGCTCCTGATTTCTATGGTTCTCGCCGTCTAACTCTGAAGGAACTCGGCCTCGCGCCAGTGGTGCACGAATTGGAGACCATCCCCGCGGTCCCCCGGCGCGCGACACTGGAAGATGTCCTATCGAATAGCCTGATTCTCGACCGGACCGCCCCTTACTTGTCCGTGCCGTCTCTGATAACCCTGGCGTCGACCTCGCGGCGGCTGCAGAACGTGCTCACCCATACTCCATATATATTCCGGCACCTCGATCTCACCCGCTGCCAGGGTGCCCAGTTACCGGCGTCGCAGGACGAGTGGCAGACAGAGGACGAGGTATACTCGGCCCCGTTGAGACGGATTTTTGCCAGCCTCGAGAAGAGATCTATACTACAGGATGTGCGGACGCTGATCCTGGACGGCTTGCCTGTGCCCGCCGACCTCGTGGCTGATATAATCCGCACCGAACGCTTCAACGTCAATATTCTGTCCATTCGGGATTGCCAGCATCTCAACGAGCGCAAGCTCATGCAAGTCATCCAGCATGCCGTTCGGCCGACCCGTCCAGCAGGGACCCCGCGAGTCAAGGCCATCTACTACTTCTCGCCTATGCCTTCGCCGCCGCGGGTAACGGCCAGGCGTCGATATCGAGATTGGTGGGGAGATCGCGTTGGCTCGCGGAGTCCCAGCCAAACTCCATCGGACAGCTCCTCCGATCAGGAAGAACAGAGGCGCTCCGAGTCACTACAGAAACCACGACAGCTACAGAATGAGTGGTATCGATCGTCAGGAAAGCTTTTCAAACATAGCCTTGAAGAGGGATGGGCCCAGACATTACAGAAGGCCGAAGGTATCATTGCTTTTGATGCCGTGCTCTGTCGCGGTCCACGACACAATATCGACCTCTATTCCTCGGACGCGGAAGATCCACCCCACGCGCCGCTGTTGGGCCCTGCTATTGCCACAGTGGCCCTAGGTCCTCGAGGATGCGATGGTTGCCACAGTTCCCCCGAGGGGCCAGCCATCTGGGGCCAGTCGCCGGATGTGCAGTTCCCTCTGCTCAGTCCGTTGCCCTTACACTTGTCCAGCGTTGCAGCGGCCCAGAGCCCAGAGCTGATTGATGGCGAGCATCCGGTACTCATCGCTCGGTGCGCGGGCTGCCTCACCGACCGCTGGTGTCATCGGTGCAACAAATGGTTCTGTTCCAACTGTCTACCCACACCGCAGCGCATCCGGGTCAACTTGTCACCTCATCAGACAGCGGTTCGACCGGTCCAGAACCGCAATGGGGAGATGATTCCGCTGGAAAGAGAGGTAAATATTCTAGTCTTTGTTATGAGTCTAAATGTTAACTCGAGCTAGCACCTCGAACGCGGAGTGAGCAAAGATTGCTGGGAATGCGGACCGACCGTGAGTATTGAACTGCAAGTATTGAGATGATTTGCTGATCATTATAATCCAGTGCGCTGCGTGCAAGTTGGACTGCCAGCATACTTGTCAGAGCTGCCAGGGCGACTACTGTATTGAGCATAACACTGGGTGCTCGGCCACACAGGTATGAGAATCGACTATATCTAAAGGGTAATGCTAACAATTATTATCGGATAGTGTGACTGGTGCAATACCAGTGGTCGCCACCGAATGCGCAGTAATTTCTAGCATAGTTCGTTGTTATAGTTCCATAGATAGCGATGATTGATAATGCGGTTCCAGAATGTCCGACCAGCTTCTCTTCGACTTCCCTTCCGTAGACTAGACACACCTCTTTCTCTCTCTCCCTCCTCTTCCTCCTACCATTCTTCTCTTCTGACTCTCTTCCATCACGATGGCCAGTGACACTACACAAGATACGTCCCTGCGCTGGTCCTCCCAACTCTCGGTCGCTCCTCCGTGGCGAGCTCCCAAGCTACCCGGTGATAAGATCACCCTTCCACAGTCCGCCCTCGAACAACTCTTGGCCGCCGCTCCCGTAAGCGCCGTCGCCTCGCAAAATCCGCGGACGCACACGGCCGCCTTCGACCCATTTAACCCACACACCTTCGCCGCCGAGTCTCGCGCGCGCCAACAGTTCGAGCAGCGCCAACAGCAGCTTCCGCATCCGCTGACCTTCCGCATTGTCAACCCCCGCAATGGTCGTTTCATCTACGCGGGCATCCGTGAGTTCTCGGCGCAGGAGAATGAGGTTGTCATGAGCGCGCTGCTTCGGGAGGCGCTGGAGATTGACGACGCGGAACTTTCACATATGAATGGCGGAGCGCGGGGAGAAGAGGATATGATGGACCCAGAGTTGCCGGTGGACCAACTTCCCCAAGGCCCTGCAGTCACGGTGCATGCAAAGCAACTGCCGAAAGGTTCTTATGTTCGTCTCCGTCCGTTAGAAGCTGGGTACGACCCCGAGGATTGGAAGGCTCTACTCGAGCGTTACTTGCGGGACAATTTCACAACATTGACTGTGGGTGAGCTGCTGGCGGTATCCGGGACGCGAAATGAATCGTTTCGGTTTCTAGTCGACAAAGTATACCCCGAGGGCGAAGGAATCTGTGTTGTGGATACGGACCTGGAGGTTGATATAGTGGCATTAACGGAAGAGCAAGCGCGGGAAACGTTACAAAAACGCCTGGAGAAGGCCTCGCGTGCTCCTGGCACACAGAGCGGCAGCTCGATAGGTGGCACGCTCAGCCTGGGAGAGAATGTGACAGCACAAGTCGTGCCGGGGGAGTACGTGGACTACGAGATTCGAGATTGGATTCGGCAGAACACGATTGAGATCGAACTCACGACGTTGGATGAAGCAGACGCATACCTTTTCATCAGCCCCCTTTCTTCGCACCAACAGAGTCGACCTAGAGCAGACGAACATGTACTGGGGGATTTCTCGTCCCGGTCGACTAAGCGACTCCGACTTCAACCAACCAACGTCGCTCTCGAAGGAGCGGAGGCTCTCTATATATCGGTCCATGCATATTCTATGTCCGGTTCAGAACCACAACCACCTGTGCAGTATAATCTCCGGATTACAGCAGATTCTACCCGTGCCGAGGCAGAGACAGAACACGAGGCCGAATCGCACGAGCCTGGTGATGTACAATGTCAAAACTGCCAGCAGTGGGTACCGCAGCGGACATTGGTTCTGCATGAAAACTTCTGTCTCCGCAACAATGTGCGCTGCCCTCAGTGTAGCAACGTCTTTCAAAAACGATCTCCCGAGTGGCAAAATCATTGGCACTGCGCCCATGATTCGGCCCATGGGAACGATACCACCAGCAAGAGCAGACACGATGCCATCTTTCATGAGGAATATGCATGTCCAAGTTGCGGTGTTCGCACGGAGGGACTGCCATCTTTGGCACAACATCGAACCACTGTGTGTCCGGGGAAGCTGATCCTTTGTCAATTCTGTCATCTGCTCGTGCCACAGAAGAGCGACTCTGACCCTGATCTATATGACCCCGAGGTTGTGCTCTCGGGCCTTACGCCACATGAGCTGGTCGACGGTGGCCGCACAACTGAGTGTCATCTGTGCAACAAGATCATTCGTCTGCGGGATATGAAGACCCATCTCCGCCATCACGACTTGGAACGTCTGTCCCGGCCAGCGCCTCGCATCTGTCTGAATCAGAACTGCGGACGGACGCTGACTAGCGCGGGAAATGAGTCTCTTGGCCTATGCAATATATGCTTTGGACCGCTCTACGTGGACACCTATGATCCAGAAGGCAAGGCGCTGCGCCGCCGCATCGAACGACGGTATCTCTCACAGATGATGACTGGATGTGGCAAACCCTGGTGCCAGAACGAGTATTGCAAGAACGGGAAGCAGAAGAGATCTGGTACCAGTTCGGGTACCATGAGCGCAGCAGAGACATTGAAGCTGATGCGCCCCATTGTCGATGCGATCAACACCCAGCCTGACGTGGCCAACACCGCGCCCCTATATTTCTGCACAGATGAGATCGGCCAGCATCGCCGCATCCTGGCAGAAATGCTGGCAGCAGAAAGCAAAGCAGACGGCAAGGCGTATGGTCTGGCGTGGTGTGTGGCCGGCGCTGAAGCTGCAGGAGGCGATCTGGAGAAAACGCGAGAATGGCTGGCTAAATGGGCACCCACGCAGGGCGAGGGCTTGCCATAAACAAATCAAGATGGTATACACCCCTGATGGAGGACGACTAAAGGATAGATAGAACAGTCTTCACGAGAAGATGGAATAATGCATAATGATATCTCACACAGACCGCGGGTCATAAAAATTCATGATTAGATGCACGCAGACATCGCAGCCAGTTCATCCGAACGCACACAAGACCCAGCCATCTACACTCGGAGCCCATTTTTTCCTAACTTCATCCGTCACGCAGCACCCGTCTTCGCGGCCAGCGTCCCCGTCCCGCGCGAAGAAAAGATGCCCATAATCCCAAAAACAACGTAGAACAGCGCAAGCGGATACGCAACAAGCCCTCTCATCCCACTCATCCGCGCCACGGCGCAGAACATCCCGGATGAACTATATGTGCACCACCCAACCGCAGCAGTCGTCAAAAGGTATCCGAACATGGTATCCATAGGAATAAGAATGCCCACAAGAGCCGTCAGGACAAGCGGCAAAAAACAGTACCCCAGCACACTCGCCGAGCGAGGGAACGTCAACGTCGCAGAGAAGTGGCCCACGGGCCCGGACATGGACGGCTTGTGGTGCGGGTTGTAGTTGGCTGCTGGGTCGGCGGCGTTGGGGTTGGGGGTTGTGTCAAGGGCAGGAGACATCAGACTCAGGATTAGGTGAAGGGCGACGGTACCGAAGACGGCCACTCCGTAGATGTATCCATAAAACACTTTGCCGGAGAGCAGAAGGAAGGTGCCGTAGAGTAGGATGTAGAGCAGGGCGCCGTAGAGATCGCTGTCGTCCATTAGGTGGTTGTCGATTGAGGCGAAGGGGTTTAGCACTGTTAGGGTCTAGTTGTATCACGGGTTAGCCGTCTGTCTTTTTCTGTATAGACTCAGGGATTGGGTTGACGAAACCCGCTGGGTTGAGTGGCAGGCTTCCACATATGCGGTGTCTCTCCAGTTGTAATGATGGAACGACTCACCTTTGTCCGGATGTGCTCAAAATTAACTCCCAGTTCCTCCAACAGCGGCGGTTCACCTTCATACCCCTCTGTGCCAAAAGCAGCCAACCAACCCGTCCTCAAGCCGCCCTGCTCACCCATGCGGCCACTCACGCCAGCAGCGGGGGTTCCAAAGCCGCCATAGCCAGCACCGGCACCAGGGTAAGCCTGCGAGGAGGGATTGGGCGCACCTCCAAAGCCGCCAGCCCCGTAGGATGCTTGGTTGGGAGTTGTGTGGCCGGACACGGAGGAGTAGGACGAGGGAAAGAACTGGAGATTCTGCTGTGCGGAGGACTGGGGGGGGTAGCCTCCTTGTTGTTGGGGATAGTATTGGGCCATTGCCGCGGGCACGGCTTGTTTAGGATGAAACAATCCTGGGTTGGGGGAGTGGTGTGTGTGTTTGTCGGGAGATGTGTACAGTTGATGATATACACTAACTCGGGAGCTTCAAGTTGGCCAATAGGAAGATGACTAAGCCGCGGCTGAGGAACGGATGATTCAAAGTATAAAATCATAACAAAGTGAAGAAGTAAGTATATTTCGCTGTGTGAACTCCCGTTTCTTACAATACACGTCTACAGGAAGTTAATTCCGATCCCCAGCTGCAACCCTTTGCGGCCCTCCTCGCCCTTACGTAGCACCAGTGGCAGGGAGAAGTTCAGCTCGAAGCGTGCCACGGGGTGTGCATACACAATTCCAACACCCGCTGCGATGCTGGGCAGACCGTTCTGCAGTTCAGACAAAGTAGAAACCATCGCATCCTGCACCTCGCCGCTGCTGGTCGGACTGTTCTTCTGAGATGTGCGGAGGGGCAGCAGCCGTCCACCGTTTAGGAAGGCCTGCATGCGAATGGGCTTCTCGGCACCCACTCGGGGCAGTGGGAAAAGCAGGTTGGCGCTTCCAGCGGCGTACACGTCGCCGCCAAGGGAATCAGGGCCCTCACGGGGTCCGAGACCACATAGACGGAAGCCCCGGACATCCGTCGGTCCTCCAAGAAGGAAGCGATCGTTAACTCTGGAGAGCTGGGGGTGAGAGTTGGAGCCCAGGCCGAGAGGATAGAGCAGCCCAGCGCGGAACCCAGTAGTAAGACTGATGCCACTGTCGCCTTTAATGAAAGGAATTGGGATCGGAATGGCGCCTTGCGTTTCCACTTCCGACTTCCAGAAAGATACATCTCCCTTCAAAGGGCCCCAGCCAGCCAGCTCATTAAACGCCTTGGCGTAGTAGCCCCGTGAAGGCAGTAGAGGGTTATCCCGGCGATCGTTCACCCAACTGTGGAAGATGCTGCTCTTCACGCTATCACCAGCATCCGCCCGAACGGTGGGAGAGGCGTTCTCGGCAAGTCCGGTAAGTTGTCTCCAGAAACCATTGTAGCCCAGCTCATGACGATGCCCGGATTGGGTCATCCACCGAAGTTTGCCCCAACCGCCCTTGAGCACCTCTTCGTGGCTCGCCCACGACTTTTGGGTTGAGCTGGCAATCCCGCCAATCTCCAGGCGGAAGTCCGGGTCGCTCAGGATCGGCGTCTCAAAGGTAGCTTGGTACGCAGACCGCGTTCGAGTGCCCAGGGAGGCGTTTAAGTTCAATGTTTCCGCGCCGCCGAAGACATTGCGCCACAACAGATTTCCGTAGGCCGACCCTTCCGCGTTTCCAAGGTCTGTACCGGTCTTCAGTAGCACTCGCGATTTCTCCCGAACGGCGAGGAGCACATCAATGTTGCGGAGCCCGGTTTGGCCATCCGGCGCTGACTCGTCCAAGTAGACCGAGATAGGTTGCTGAAAAAGATCTGGCAAGGCGTGAGTGACTAAATCGAACTAAACGAATTGTAGACTGACCGAATCTTCCGAGTTTATCTGCCCGTGCCGAAACCTCCCGCAAAGCCTCAGACAAGGTGTAGGGTCGGGAGTGGTTCGCGCTCAGGAGAGGATTGAAGATACGCTCGAGGAAGCTGTGGCGGACATGAGGCGCATTTAGAACTTGCACCGAGTTGATCGTGCATGGCAAGGTGGAGTTTTGATCGATCTGAATATCCAATTGATCATTCATAATTAGCTGGGACAGCTCCGGAAGTACACCGAGACAGATGCAGGACGTACCAGTTCCGACAGACGAGCTTGAGCCTTCTGGTAAATGGCCTGCATGCGCTCGTTCACGGCCTGCTGCTGCTCCTCCAGCACCTTGGGGTCTTTGCGCTGCTGGAGGCGTTCGAAGATCTAGAAATGACCAATGGGTGAGTGATGGGCAAATCAAGACAAGACCATATCAGACCACATCCGGTGCTCACTTACGTCGTCATCTTCGGCCGAGAGGGAAGACATGGTGGGCTGCGACGAGAACAAGAAAGCTCCCCAGCGGGAGAACTTTGGGTCCTTGTATGGGGAGGCACGTGACCTGTTTCCTCTTATCGCCTCAGGCGCATCGCCGCTCTTCTTCACCTTCATCATCCCTCTTCCTCTTCGACTTCTCTCCTTTTCTCCCCTCCCTCTTTCTGTTTTTATTTCTTGTGGCTATTTCTGTTTCTACACCTGCTTGATTCATACCTCACGCAAAAATGGCGACTAAAGCGGCCTTTAAGCGGGTGAGTTTTCCGGCTGATATGCGCATGAACATGAATGAAGGAATAACAACCTGGACAGCTCACGCGAGAATACCAAAATATTCAAAAGAACCCACCTCCATTTATTATTGCCCATCCATCAGAGACGAATATTCTCGAGTGAGTATCTCGGACGTCCAGCAGGTTTGAATACACTAACCTGACTGCCCGTGTCATAGGTGGCACTATATTCTCACCGGCCCTCCTGGCACTCCCTATGAGAATGGACAATACTGGGGCACACTGATGTTTCCCCCTGAGTACCCTTTCGCCCCGCCCGCAATCCGCATGCACACCCCCAGTGGCCGGTTCCAACCCTCCACGCGACTATGCCTCAGCATCAGTGACTTCCACCCAAAGTCCTTCAATCCTGCATGGGAGGTGTCCACAATCCTGATCGGTCTTCTATCCTTCATGACCAGCGAAGAGATGACCACCGGCAGTGTTAGTGCGTCCGAGGCAGAGCGGCGAGTTCTGGCAGCCCGATCGCGGTGGTGGAACTCGACCGGAGGAGGCTCACACGTCAGTGCCACACCGGGCGTTACCAAAACGGCCAAGGGGATCAACAACGTCAAGGCAGGCGATGGTGGATTGAAGTTTCGCGCGGAGTGGCCCGAGCTAGATCAGGAGAACTGGACGTGGATGAAGGAGCATCGCATCGACACCGCCACGGGGCAGATCCTCCCCGACCCCAATGCGCCGACCAAGTGCTCGCCGGAGACCAGTGCCCTACGTCGGCGTCCCAATGGCAGCGCGCCGGGACTCGGGGCGGTGATGGAAGGCGGTCATGTTGCGCGCGAGGCCGGGCAAGGGTGGGCCCGACGGAACCGGGTGTGGATCGGGCTGGCGGTCATCTTTGGGTATGCGCTGCTGAGCCGGCTGGTGAGGGATGTGCAGGGTTAAGTTGAGCAGGGGAGGAGCAATAGTTTTGAGCGTTGAAGCATCACGGCGCATGGATTTAGACCTACATACCGGGTTAGGGTGTAACATACTATTACTGTCAGGACCGACTACTAAGGGAACGCCCGATCGGGCTTGTGCTCAGCTCACATTTCCCCCCACTGGTAACGAACTAGCTCTCACGCCACTCACCTTCCCCCAGATTCATCAAATCATTCCTGCCTTTCTTTCCAACTACATATTCTAATCTCGCCTTCCCCCGGCTCTTCCTGCATATCCATTCTCGATTGGTCTCTTCCTTCCTCCGCACCCTTTCCCCTTCGGTCCCATGGATCGTCATCCTCCCCCATCTTCGTCCCCAGCCGCTTCTCGGCATTCCCATTCAGGTTCGTGCTCTCGTTATCGCACCTTCACTAGTGTGCTCCATGCCCCACTCCTCCCTCGTGCCATTTTGTCTTGTCCTCGCCGATGGCGTTGCACGTCGCGGCAAATCCATATTCACTATTCACGCTCCCCGGGATGACGCCCTCGTGGGGGTTCATGACTCGTTCTGTTCCGCCGCTTTGTTCTGCCGCAACGGTTTTTGTGCTAAAAGGTAGGGCTAGAATCCAATTCCAAACCCACTGGGTCTGTGGATCGGCCGTCGTTCACTTTTATCGGACACGACGATGACTTGACCTCGAAACGAATTAAGGATGCCAATGCTCGAAAGAAAATCCGCTCCCATGTCATGCGCGATGTGCGCCGCCGGGAGAGGCTCGCAGGCACAAAACGAGTCTCGCGGCGCGAGAGCCACGCTGGTCAATCTGGTGTGGCTCCGACCACACTCGAGGACCAAGATTCGGGGGAGCAGACCCTCGTCCTAAGAGCTGCCTCCCAGTCCTCTGTCTCGTCGTATACCGTCGAACCTGAAGATGGCAATGCTAGGTCCAAGCACCGTCGAGGGCGCCCGATCAAGTGGAGTGCAGGCCACGATGTCCCATATCATTCTTCCCCAAATCCGAAGTCTTTACCTACCTCCTGGTTTAGTGATCCTTTTTCGGTGCTACCTGGTGCCAGTGAATTTCCTGCCATGGTGGAAACATTGGTGTTCTACTGTAAGTTGTATTTATTTATGACTGCTGCTGTGACTTCTTGGGAGCCAGCCATGCACTAATTGCTTTTTTTCTTGTGAGACAATGACTAACCTCGGGCTGAAGGGAAAAATGTCTTCGTTCCAATCACCTTTCCCAATGCAGACGTGAATCCCGAGAACCCGGAAGTAGAGCTAATGGTCCGGTCCTCATTCTCCGATCCTGGCAGCTTCTTCAGCTTGATGAGCATGTGTGCCGCCCATCGAGCCACGCTAAACAGCTACCGGTCAGACTCTATGGGATCGGAAGAGAAAAAGGGCCTGATTTTAAAAGATCCCGATTATTGTATCATGAAGGTCAAATCTATCCGAGAAATGAATGTCAAAGTGCGCGATCCCGCCAAGGCACTCAGCGACGAGGCATTCGATACTATCGTCAATCTCCTCACGGGCTCGGTAGGGGTTTTCTTTGAACACGCACGGTCAAGTTGCTAATCTATGCTAGTTGATCGTTGGCCTGTTCGACGAAGCTCGAATCCACCTCACTGGTCTCAAGCGCATGGTGGAGCTGCGTGGCGGAATCTTGCATGACAGCATTCGCGCATCATCAATGTTGTCTGCCATCCTCACGTAGGTGTCTCCCCCTCAGTTTTGTGTCAGTGTAGCTGATGGATGTAGTACCGACGTTAAATCTGCCTCGGGCCTGATGACCAAGCCCATTTTCCCCTTGACTTGGGATGCAGAACCCGTCCCCGAAGAAATCCAACAGCGGGTCAGGCCGGCGGCGTCATCGCCCCTCAATCGGTTAGGATCTGGCTTCTTCTCCAACACTCTGTTGAGTGCTCCCCTCCTACGAATACTGCATGTCGTCCGTAATATCATCCTTTTCAGCGAGGCTTGCCGATCTACCCCGACCGTGGTCCATGTTGACCACGATTTCTTCCGGGTGCTCAACTACGAAACCGAGCACCAACTACTAAGTTATATCTATACAGAAGGACAAAGCCCAGACGAGCTCTTGCTCAGCCCAGAACTGGAGCTTCACCCGATCGAGGCCGTCACCCGCGTGGCGTCGATCTGTTTTCTCAACCAATTTCTGATCTACTCCCCTTCACAGTCAGGGCTGGGTCGAGCCCTTACAAAACATCTCAAAGCAGCAGTGAACAATTGCAAGCTGCCGCTTGTGGCCCGCTTACCTAAAGAAAACTTTGGGCTCTTTGCTTGGGCGTTATTCATCGGGGCTCAGGGCTCTCTAGCTCAGGTCGAAAGGCCCTGGTTTGTAGATATATTGGCACGAACCGCTATGATCTGCGGCTGGCATACTTGGGAGCAAGCCTCCGAGGTCTTAGCTGATTATTTCTTCATTCCCAGCACGGATGGACCGACCTCGCAAGGGTCAGGCTGGAAATCCATCTGGGACGAGGCTATGGCCGGCCTGGTGTTTTCCAAAACGGAGAATGCGTAAAACCTGGCATGTAAATAACTCATATCCTGTACACAAGTAAAATTTAATTGATGAATGAATAATGAGTAGTAATGATCATTGATGTCCTCTACAGTTCATGATTGCTTGCTTTGTATCCTTCAAATAGTTTCTGCGTCACGTGGACATTATGTCATCCGAGTGATTTTCTCCAGTCTTTTATCCGCTGGACTTTTTTTTTTGCATCATCACATCTTCACCATGGGTTGGTTTTGGGCAGATCCTCAGCCAAAGGCGCCTGCTGCGCCGAATTCTCTAGCATCATCCGCGGCCTCCCCTCCGGTCAGTTTCTTTCTATCATCGTCCGAACCGTCGCAAACTAACCATTATCAACAGCCGGGATGTCCAATGCACGAATCGCGTACGCCAGCATCTGCACCGCCCCTAGCGCAAATTCCTAGCAGTTGCCCAATGAGCCCAGACTCGCCCTTCTACACGCCTCCGCAATCGCGATCCGCATCCGCGCCGCCGCAGCCTCCGACATCCGCCCCGGAGAAGCCGGCATCTACATTATCCAAACTGAACCCTTTGAACTACATGTTCGCCTCAATTTCGCAGGAACGCGCACCGAACCAAACAGTGGATCTTCCCGTTGAGCGTGAGCTGTCCACCATTCCTCGCGGCGACTCCGAGGGCAACTGGGAGTACCCGTCCCCGCAGCAGATGTACAATGCAATGCTGCGCAAGGGCTACACCGACACTCCGCAGGATGCAGTGGAGTCCATGGTTGCGGTGCACAACTTCCTGAATGAGGGTGCATGGAACGAGATTATCAGCTGGGAGCGCGTTTTCGCCAAGGGTCTCAAAGAGGGTTGGGAGAAGTGCCGACGAGGCGAGGAGAACTTGAGTGCTGAGCTGGCCAAGGCTGAGATGATGGGCACGGTGGATCAAGCCACCGAACCGCGCCTGATCAGATTTCAGGGTCGGCCGCACGAGTTGACCCCCAAGGCGCGCATTCTGCAGACGATGGGCTGGGTGTACCCGGCTAAGTTTGAGTGAGTTTTACTCTCCAACGCGCATTTTGAAGCGCACGCTAACATTTATCTTTCTTTGCAGCACCGAGCCACCATTTGACCGACACGACTGGTTCGTCCAGCGCATGACACCCTCTGGCCCGAAGGAAGTTCGCTATGTGATCGACTATTACTCTGGACCTCCTGAGCCAACGGGCGAGCCGGTCTTCTATCTCGACATCCGACCAGCCATCGACTCGCCTACAGCTGCCGTCGAACGGCTGATGAGGTGGGGAGGTGATGTCTGGTGGAGGGCCAGCGGTGCTGCGGTCCGGGAACAACAGTGATTTCACACTTCTACTGATCACTTCTCCACTCTATTTCTGTATATCTCAACTACCATTGCGCGGCGTTTTACCGAGGGACTTTATGTGTATGTGGGATGTTAATATTTTGTTGCTTCTTTGTGTCTTATATTTATCTCCTTTGACCACGAGGCATGTGTACAATCAGACAGTTTGTGTATTCTCTTTTCTAGTTGCTTCTTTCAGTGCTTGGATTATTTGAATTTGACCTAATCTTCAGATCTAACCATATACGTCTGATTTGTATACTGACAAGAAAAAGTAGAATGTATCGTACAAACAGAAAAGAAGATGATCACGCAGCCACCTTGATGAATAGCAGTAAATGGCTCAAAGCGTCACGACACATAGTGGAGACATTTATATGTTCGGAGACAACTGGTCATACTTGACACACTGCTCGACGCTCTCGATACTGGCCTGCAGTAACCCGCGAGCTTCCAAGCCCACCCAAACCCGGAGCATGGAAGTGTCGCCCGAGCGAACAGTCTGCAAGAATGTGCCACCAGAACCCAGTTGTCGGAGTATAGGAAGCGCACTCTTGAAGAGATCTAGGTTCGGGTCAAGGCTGCGTCCAATGCCTTCCAACAAGAGACAGGAAATGACGACGTTGACAAAATCGCCCTCGAATCGGACATGATGATCGCGAACCATGGTCAACACTTCACTAAGGACGTCGCCGATCTTGATATTCCCCAACGCAAATGTCCGGGACTTGATACTCAAGACGAGGTGTTGCATCTTCAAGGCGAAGATATCCGGGTCGATGACCTCTTCGGGTGTGCGAGATCTCTCGCACATAAGCTCGCCGGCTCTATAGCCATCGAATTCAGCGATGGCGCGGAATAGGCTCAAGAAATTCCGGCGGTTCTTATCGTTCAGCTCAGTTACGAGACCGGTGTCGATGAAGATCAATTGTGGGCGATAGCCTTCATCATTGAGCTGGGCGAGGGCGGCTTCCCAGTGCTTGACGTTGTCTGTATGCGGTCGTAATCGTGCCAGGACTGCTTCGGTCACATCCACCTCCGCTCGAGTCGGGGCATCTGTGGCACGCGAATGCTTGCGGAGCGACAGATCGAGTTCACTAGGCTTATAGAATCGAACCATGATGTTGCCCGGGTGCAAATCTGCGTGAACAAAGTTGTCGATCAACAGCATATGCAAGAAGGCATCCAAACCCTCGTTAGCAATCTCGTGCTGATAGACACCGCCTCCGATTTCCAGGAAGGTGGCTAGAGGGATACCTTGCGCAAACTCCTCCACAAGGACCTCCCGCGTCGTGTACTCCAGGTAGGGGTAGGGGAACCAGGCTGTCGTACGAGACCTGAATTTCTGGCGGAACATGACTAGGTTTGTCGCTTCGATGCGAAGATCCAGTTGTAATTTCATCATCTCGCCGAATTGCTGGACCTCATCGGGGAAAGACAGCCAATGCATCGTGGGGATAGTATTGATGAGCGACGCAAAGAACGACATGATTCGCAGATCTCGGCGAATTAACCGCTCGACTTTGGGATGGAGCACTTTGACCGCCACGTAGGACGACGGCACTCGCTGCGGTGTACTCTTCACCAACACGTCGACATTCTTGCGAACCCTTGAGCTCAGCGTCTCGGGCTCTTCCCCAAGTTCGTGGTCATTGGTTGCAGCCAGATTTGGCTTGAGCTTCGCTTTGTATACTTGGGCAATAGCCCCAACCCCGAGGGGTTCTTCTTGGAACTCCTCGAATATGTCTTCAAAGGGAAGGCCGTTGAAGGCCTTTCGGATGGTGCGTTTGGTTTCATGCAGAGAATGTGCGGGGGCATGTGAATGGAGTGATGACATGATAGTACACATTTCAGGAGAAAAGATGTCCGTCCGCGATGCAGCCCATTGTCCAAGCTATTCAACAATCGTTAGTCGCTACTGATGATCGAGAGCTTACTCGTGGAAATGACGTTACTGCTCACCTTGATAAATGCAGGCCCTGCACGCTCCATTGCGTTGACCAGGAACTTATACCACCAAATTGTTCCCGTGCGCGCTCCATTTTTGGTTCGAACCCTGCGGCCCAGCCATATTGCGGGCACCGTCACGACGACAGGAATGAAAATGACGGCCAGATGCAGAAACCGGACGCCCGTCGCAATTGGATCATAGATATAGTAATACCAGAAGACATACACCGAGTGACAGAACTTGGAGAGGCCGTACGCGTCGGCCGGGACTGTCTTCCGGATCTCTGCGCGCGAGACCTCGAGCATCTGCATCTCCCCGGTCTTCTCATTGTCCTTCGTGTCTTCGGCCAACTTGAGGAAGGCGGTCGGACTCAGAGCCCCCATCACCAACCCGACGAGCAGGGTTCCCCTCCGGGGGAGTTTCGGAGTCTGCGCCCATGATGTGCTGAGACGTCGTGATATTGACTGTTGAGGAAATCGACGGAGCAGGGGGAGACTTTTGTGTTTCAAGCACAAACGGGCGGCGAGTACGGCCGCCCTCATGATCTCATGTGGCCGGTGTTGGTCAATAATGGGAAAACAAAGACGAGAATAACCGATAAGACGAGACTCGTTCTGTGATCGGCACGTGACGTCATTTCTCACGTTTCCTCCTCCTTTTGCTTCTACTATTACTTCTACTTCAACACACCATGGTTGTTCCTTGGAAACTACTACTCACAACAACGACTGAATGATCAGGAACACCATGAGTCGCAACATGCCTCCCGCACGTCTCATCCAGGGTCTGTTCCCGAACCCGTCGTGACCCACATTCCAGAAACAAAAAACATTCCTCGATCCTCCCGGCTCTTTTTTCCGCTCCCTCACTAGCGCCTTGCCCGATCCGGTGGTGCCTGGTTCTTTGTTCGGCAGCTGTCGATCATGGTGGGTTTGCAGCGACTCCCCGTCCTCGCGAACTGCTGTTCCTCCGTTTCCGGGGGCCTTGGCCGTTTATCGGGGTATCAAAGACTGGACGATGTAGCAATTAAATTGGCCGCTCTAGCCTGCGGCCAGCATGTGGCCGCACTATTCATCTCTCATACTCTTTTGAACCCTGCCGCTCAGGTAGTTCATCATGGGCCGTATATCGATCAACCGTGATGTCGAGTCCAGCCGAGAGACTACAAAGACCTCCTGCTGGCGCGACTGGGGGGTGGTGCTGATGTGGAGCATCGTGGGCTACATGTGTATTATCGCGACCGTCTTGAGCTATTTCAGTCCTTCGGTGCTGCCGCTTGACTTGCTCTCGCTGCTATTTCGCAAAGATCTATCGCCGTTCTTTGCCTTTTCGAGCAGTTCAGGCCACTTCCCCAAACCGCAGGGCTTCAAGATTGTCGCTCTGGTGCCCTTTACGTACCATGAGCGTACTGAGATCCTGGACTGTTATTTGCAGGTAAGGTACATTGACAATATATCTCTGGTGTTGATTTAACGCATCCCAGAGAAACCTGATCGGCAACCATGGTTTCCTCGACGAGGTGGTCTTCGTCCCCCAAACCAATAACACGGACAGCCTGGACAGGGTCGCCGAACTCGTGGAGAAGACCTCTGCGTATTCGATGTCTTCTGCGGGAATTGACAAGGATTGGGAGGTTGCAAAGAACAATGTGATGTACATCCGCATCGACGGCGATGTTGTCTTCCTCGAGGATCAGGCCATTCCCACCATCGTCAAGACCAAGCTCGACAACCCAGATTCATTAATGGTGTCCGCGAACGTGGTGAACGAGGCCGCCGTGGCTTCGCTCCACAGTCACCCAGGCATTGCTCTCCCCTATCTCCCAGAATTGTACCACGTCGAGCAACCATCAAGGTCCAAATCACAGCTGGAACACGACTGGCGCGCCTCAAGCCTTCCCCGTTGGGAAGGGCCGCCAAGCTTCCAAATGGAGAAGGGCTTCTCGCCGCCATTCTTTGGCCATCGGTGGCTGATCCCCTCGGATCCAAGTTCTCACAGAGACCCAATTGCCGCATCTGTCTACACCGAGACTGGACCAACGCTACAAGACTGGACAGTTGGTGCTCAACAGCACTACTCTTTCCTGCACCATCTCGAGGCGGGAAATCTCAATCGCTACAAATTCCCGATCTGGGTGGAACCGACAGAACCGATCAGCCAGAATTTTGGCTGCTTTTGGGGTAATGATGCAGAGGAACTCCGTGATATCTTTCGCCGCAGCGACTCGGATCAAGACGAGCTTTTGAAAGAGTGGGTACGACCTGATGGCAGCCGTCCGCGCGTCGTTATTGACGGGAAGGGTCTTGTGTCGCACTATTCTTCCCATCAAGGCGCTGCTGGCCTTGACTCTACGGATCTTGTAGAGCGGTATCGAGCATATGCGCAGGAACATGTGTGTTTGCAGATGGCGTGACAGGAGCAGATGATAGAGGGTGGGTCTGATAGACAGCGTACATATACCCAGTCGTTCGGTACATACTCCGGTGTGTTTTGTGGTTTGTTTAGAGCATTGAATTTATTGTAGTTCTACGTATCTGTCCATCACGATCTGTTAGGCTCGTCTATTGCAACGCCCGACCTTATTCTCAGTCTTGTCTGGTGCTCAAATGCTGTGAGGCATGGTCCTTCATCACATCCTCCACTATACTCCGATAATCCGAGGGTAGGGCGCCAGACTAACGACATTCGAATCAGTATTCAAGATGACTTTGCAGGACCAAGAACACATACCTCATTCTTCAGCAGTTCCTGCACGAGAACCACAATGTTATCTCGATCCTTGGCTACTTGGGCCTGGTTCGTCTCCCCATTGTCTTCAGAGGTATCATCACTCATAGTCTTTCGGAGCACCTCAGAAACCTCTGTATGTTGCAAACAGTCCGACACCGCGACACAGCCAGAGCGACTAGTCGCCATTAGCGCGAGTGCGAACCAGCCCTCGCTGCGGACGACGGGCCACTGCGACTGAGTGATCATTGCGCCGACGGGCCGCGCAATGCCCTCGTGCTGATTGTAGAGACGTTCAAGGAGAGAGGAGGCTTCCCGGTCTCCATCGCGAGACTTGGGACTGAGCGTTCTGCAAATAGACGCGACAGTTCGTCCAATCTCTGTCTTGATGGGCGGGGAGTCTGTTTTATCAAAGAGAGACAATAGTAGGGACAGGTATGTTTGACTATTCTCCGAGGAATCGGTTTCTTGCTCAAGCGGAGCAAGAAGACGGGAGATGTTCTCCACCGAGGAGATGATGGTTTGGCGAACAATGCTAGCAGCCACGAACTGGACTTCCGGGACAGTTTCAAACGCCCATAGTCGCGAGACGGCGGATATGAGACCCGCAGCGCCGAGACTGAGCCTGTTGTATTCACCAGCGATGGTGAGATTTTTCAAGAAACCCAGTGTAGCGTGCAAGACTGCGCCGCGGGCGTTATCTCTCCGGAGAACAGAGATCAGCTCTTCGTGGATTTTCAAATCCCGTACCATTGCTGTGCAGACCTCGTCCGAGCGGGCGAGATTGCCGAGCATGATGCAGGCACAAATCTGGAGCTGATCTTCGGAGGCTGTTACCCATGACTTTAGCTTTTGTGCAAGCTTTGAGTCCAGTGGGTACTTTTCTGCGAACAATGATGAGGCTGAGACTTCGCCCAAGCCCTGGTTTATCTTCAGTCGGAGCTGGGATAGAGTCTGAGTGTCTTCGCGGGAAGATTGGTCGACTACAATTGTGAATGACCGCTGGAGGATCTCTAGTAGCTGTGGAACCATATCGTTTGATACGCAGGCATTTTGGAATCGTTCCTTCTCCAGACAAGTGCTGAGACTGTTCACGATGGCCGAGAAATGGGGGAAAGTCGTGTGGGGGTCAAGAGCGAGCTCCGTCAGCAACAGTATCGTCCCATCAGGAGACTGTTCAACGCCTTGCTCAGTAGCCAGCTCGATCAGGTCATACGCGTAGTCCAGTAAAGCATCGTTCTCCTGGATTGTACTTCCAACTCTCAGTAGTGATAAGAGTATATATGCCGTCTTGTTCGTCGCCATCTGAGCATGTGCAGGCTCTGGGGTCTCGTCAGCATACTATATTGTGCAAGTACTATTAATCCTCACCGAAATCCATGCAAATGTTGTATATCACTGGTATAGCTACAAAGACCAAGTCCGGATCAAGGAAATACCGGAGTATAGCCAGAGTATAGTTATCCTTGACCACAATGTCGCGATTTTCATCTGTAACCGTGTTAACCTCTGTCCATTGAAAAGTCGAGATAAAAACATACCTGTATCGGCACAGGAGTTCCCAACAAGCCGCAGAGAATGGAGCAGTAAATCGGTACCAATCTCGTCCGTGGAGGCTATGACCTCTAGGAAGAATTTCAAAATTCCCGATTGGCCATATGGCGCACGCCATGACGCTATAAACATGGTCAGTTTGGGGATATCATCTCAGAGGTGAACGAAACCCACAATCCCGACTCCCGTTGGCCAAAACCTCGGCAGTTTGAGCCAGATACTCCGAGTTGCAGGACCAGAGCTTATATAGAATGGTGCGCACCTCGCCCAAGGACTCGACACTGCGTCCGCCCCGCTGGGAATCTGCATCTGCCTGTTCCAACGAGGCATGGAGTCCCTTCAAGTCGTAGCTCGTACCTTCGTCGGCCTTTTGGATAATGTTCTGCACATTCCGGAACATGTTCTTCTGCTCCTCTGGATCGATGGTCGCTGTGCCCTTTGTTAAAGAAGGGGGAGATGGTGACAGATCCGAGGTGATCTGTTCAACCGGAGGAAGCATCCAACCGATGGCAGTACCAGGACCGGTGGTCGATATCCCGCCTGGAGCAGACATCTCTAGGGGGTGAAATGGTGGACCAGGGAGACTTCCAGATGAGCAAGCAGCCACAAAGGAGAGGGTCGAAAGCAGCCAAGCATTTGGTTGAGCTCAAAGTTGGTTCGTGGGGCGGGTCTGGCTGGGTCGGGCAGAGCAAGGGAAGAACTTAGTTTAGTGATAGCAGCTAACTGACTAACTAATAGTATGGCGTGACGGGGACGAGGGTTCATGATACTAGTGAGATATTCTTCTTAGCTAACTATTCTTCGAAGTCATTCAGTTCACTTCTGAACTGTTCGGTGCTGCCTCAGGCTGTCAGGCACCAACATCCCTTGGAGCTACAAGCAAATAAATAAACATAAAAACGGATGTGTGCGTGGTAGTGAGTCCATTCTGATTTGCTCACTAATCATCTTTTTCGTCCCTGTTGTATTTCCAGTCATGCATGTATAGTAACTAACTGGTGTGGCCCGTCCCGGCCAAGAAGCGCATCGGCCCAACTGGCCTGATCTTCTTCCTCCCTCAACTCTCCCCCCGAACGGAACTACTGGCGCACCCCTCGACGCATTTAGGGAGAAGATTGCCTGGTGCTGCTCAATTGACTTCGGACACCCTTATCTGCCATCCCCATTCTCAGAATCCACCGCTCCGACCCCTTCACCATGACGCGTGCTCAACAGACCCTCTCCGTGCTCCTGCTCGTCTCCTCGGTATGCCACCAGTCCTCATAGCTCAACCAACTTTTATCTGTGACTCTAGCTCACAGTGCCACAGCTCTACCTCTCCCTCTACCTGGGCCTAGTGCCCCTGAATGAGACCCTACAGAACGAGGTCATCCCCGTGGTACGCTCCAGCTCTCCCTCCCCGATCCGACCAAGGAGAAAGACAGACACTGATACCTCCTTTTTTCCCTCTCTCTCTAGCTGCCTTTCTACGCGCTGATCGTCTTCGGTTGTTACCTACTCGGCCGACTCGGTGTCGCCATCTTCACTTTCAACGACGTTCCCGAGGCGCACGCGGAGCTGCAGAAAGAGATTGAACAGGCCAAGATTGAGCTGCGTCAGGGCAAGGTGGACGTGGACTAAGCGACCACAAGGATCTACCTATTCCTTCGACTATACCAATTACCAGACCTCATGCTACAACATTGAAGACATACTCTCTCCCTCCATGTAAATCAATTCATCGGATATCTTCGTAACAGGACATGTCCTGGGGCTATGTACTTTTGTGTGCACCCTGGAGAAAAAGCCAAAGGACCACCAATTCAATGCTTTTGTTTTAGACAACGGGGTACTCCTTGGCCAGGGCGTCGTGCTCGTCAATGTCCTTGGCTTCCCAAGGATAGCAGATCCACACATCGCCCGTGGTGACCGCGGCATGGTACCTGCCACTCTCCATCATATCACTGGGCAGAGTGCCCTTCTTTGGCTTGTCCTTGTTCTAGCCCGAAATCAGTATACACACATGAGATGCGAGAGAGAGAGAAAGAAGACTTACGTGCAGGACAAAGACGAAGAAGTTGGTCTTCTCGCCCTCGCGACCGAGATGCTTCTGCGCCAGCTCGACATCCTTCTGCAGCTCGCGCACGGCATACTCCAGCGTCGTCCGGGTGTCATCGACCTCGTCAACGATCAGAATGTTCTTGCCGATCAGGTTGGCCATCTCCAGCGCGGACAGGTCCAGCCATTGCGTGCGAGTGACCTTGGTGCCAGGGGTCTCTTCCGGGTCTCCACGGCCCAGGTCCTCGTACAGCGACAGACCAATGGCCTGGATGGGGATGTTGGGGTCACCGGGGCGCTTGAGGAAAGACCGGAGAATGCGGGCGGGCACATAACCACCGCCGCCGATGGCGATCATGAGATTGGGGTGGAACTCTTTCAGGATTTTATCCCCAGACTCCTGGCAGAGTTTGTGGACCTAAACACATCAGGGAACGTTCATTCATTTTTGCCTGTAGGTGGTGGTGGGGTCGGACCTGGTTGTAGGTGACATAGAATTTCTGCGACATGGTGGCGGTGACGAACACGACGGGTGATCAGACTGCAGGGATGGAGGGAAAATACACAGGCTAATATCCTGCACGGAGGAAGTAGGAAATGCCGGGAGAGTCAAGGAGTACAAGCCGAAGGAAAAGAAAAGGAAGAAGAAAAAAAAATTTTGGAACCCGTCTTTATCGGGCCGACCGACTTGTGGGGGGGCTTATCAATGTGACAGGCAGACATACTGCGAGACTACTACTTCTACTTCTCCTATTACTACTACCACCATCATTCGTTTTAACTACCATGGCTGAGACTCCATAATCTGCAGAAAACGCCATGTCCTGATAAATGCGGGGTCTCCAGGTCTTGGTCTGATGCACCCGGTTAAAGGCGTTTCAACAGCCCCGAGCTAACCTGTTGGGTATATTCGGGCGTTTCTGGCTGTTTATGGTTGCTTGTAATTTAGGCCTAATGTCCCTGACGAATATCCGGAGAGGTCTATAAATTCACCAGGTGTTGATGGTCCAAACCCCAGGCTCAAGGTTGAAAGTCCTGCAGCGACCATCTCATCTCACTTATCACTCACCATGGTGTCCTTCTCCAAGCTAGCCCTGGGCCTGGCTGCTCTTTCCAGTGTCCGTGCGGCCCCCAGTGAGCTGTCTAAGCGTCAGACGATCACTACCAGCCAGACTGGCACTAACAACGGCTACTACTATTCCTTCTGGACCAATGGAGATGGCACTGTCGACTACACCAACGGCGCGGGTGGTGAATACAGCGTCACTTGGTCCAACGCCAACGGCGGTGACTTTACCTGTGGAAAGGGCTGGAATCCAGGCAGTGCTCAGTAAGGAGATTCAGAAGGCCGACGTGAACAAGCTCATTAACATGCACACCTCCCTAGGGACATCACATTTTCCGGTACTTTCAGTCCGGATGGAAATGCCTATCTGGCCGTCTATGGCTGGACCACTAGCCCCCTGATTGAATACTACATCATGGAAAGCTACGGAGACTACGACCCGGGCTCTAGCATGACTCACATGGGAACTGTGTCCAGTGACGGTGGCACGTACGACATCTACACCCACCAACAAGTCGACCAGCCCTCAATCAGCGGCACGGCCACCTTCAACCAGTACTGGTCGATCCGTCAGAGCAAGCGATCCAGCGGGACCGTCACCACAGCGAACCACTTCAATGCCTGGGCAGCTCTGGGCATGGATCTGGGGACTTTTAACTATCAAATCGTCTCGACAGAGGGATATGAGAGTAGTGGATCCTCGACCATTACAGTTTCGTAGGCTGAGTAGTCTGGGTGGAATAGGGCTGGGACGTACATAGGTCAATGCAAACTGGGTACTTGATATATTGCTTGTCATTCTGCGCAGGGTAGATGTTGTAAATATGCGACGGGGTATCAGGGTACATACACGTTTTGTGGCGCAGTACAAGAACGTTGGAACTAAACAGCCGTATCCCCTTCAATTTCTGCATCCGGTTTGATCTGAAGAATCTCAAATCCACCCTCGTCTCGATCCTCTCCTTTCTGAGGCCACAAGATATGGCGCAGAACAATAGCCCGGATCATCATATAGCAGACGAAAAAGTACATCAACAGCAAAGGGAAAACGGCAACACAGCCAACAATATCAATGGCCTTGCAGGAAAATGCCTTGCCTATGGCAAATGTGGCGGTGATGAGTGCCGTGTTGGGAAACACAAACGAGAACCAAGTCATCGAGAAGACCATGCGGCCTGGTCCGATGGCTGACATGTGTGCTGAACTTGCAATGATGAAGAAGAATATCGCCAACCTTGCTGCCCGTTAGTCAGGAAGAGTAGAACGAATGGAGAACAGCTTACCCCCACAACCACAATGCTGCAAAATCCACAACCACCTTAATGATATCGGCCGCCAGCGGCCCGTTCCCCATAAAATCAGCCGGGAAGCACCGCTTCGCCTCGGAGGCCATGTTGACAAGCCCCGCGACGGTGAATCCGCTAGGTCCCACCGAGACAAACATACCAGGGCGTACATTCTCCTTCGGGAGTTTCTGCGTCATGAGTCGGTAGATAAAGGCCGAGTAGACCATCAGCGAAACCAAAAAGCCGACTCCCTGGATTGTCGTGGCGCCAATAATGATGGGCAGGGCGCGCGATGGTTCCAGCTTCTTACTCAAGACGCCAGCATGAGGTCCGATGATGAGCATAGGGTACGCAGGGAAGATCCAGATTGGAGTCATTTGTGCAATGGTAAAAGTCTGGGTTGACCATCTGGAACAGATCAGCATTGTCTTCTTCGTAAAGAGGTGTAAGTCATACAGAAGGACGTAGATTCCCGCCGAGAACATCACCGCAAGTGTGGCATCAATCCAGAACAGAATTCCCACTGCTCGTTGCAACCAATCCCCCGTGCTGCCGGCGCCGTACTGGGATACATTGATCAAGATCGTTCCAAAGGACACCACTGACGCCGGCACAAACAAGGATTCTGTTGGGTGGAGAAAAGATGCCTTGAATGTATACGGATAATAGTAGAATCGTGCTATCAGAAGACCCCAAACCAGGATATATAGCGCAATATTGATCAAGAAGACAACATCCCCTATGGTTTTCAAACCTCGAAACCGGTAGGGTACTGCACTTCCATTAGTCAAGTCCCCTGTTCTTTATTTACAAGTCCTTTACCTTGATATAAGACATTGGCCAAGCCACCAGTGGCCATGGTCAAGGTAAAGTAAGCCCAGGTAACGTGCCGAATACGCTTTTTCCAACTGAGACTCGTGGCTGATGCATCGGTTCTTCTCCGAGAAAGAGTCACACCATCATACGCTGGTCCACCAGGCAATTCCTTACATAGACGGCTCGGTCCATCAATGGCCCGTGATGGTACTTTCTGCAGCGCGGCCTCGAGCGCAGTCGTGTGGACAACCCGTACTCTGCTACCGGGACTGTCTGCTTGGTCCACCAGGTACAATGCTCGCTCGGTATCTTCGATGGTGGGGGTCCGATAACCATCGTCGCCGGGATTTCTCTTGTGCCGGACAGCCAAAAGGTCGGCCATGGCGAGTCCCAATGCAACCTCTTAGGTTTGGGCCACAGCCTGATCGTGTCTGCGCCAACTAACTACCCCTCAGCGGTGGCCAAAAGAACAAAACAGCATAGTCAGAGAGGAAGTGCAGAAGAGGAAGAAAACACAGCAGCTAATCGACCAGGGTGGCTCTTTAAAAAAGCTAATCCAGCCGGCCTCATCCGATTCAAAGTGTCGCTAGGATCGGCGGTGGGCTGGTGGGCATTAATGTGGAGGCCCGTCCCGGTAGTGATGAACAAAAGCCAAGATGCGGGTAGGCAGTAGTGCGCGGGGTTTATATGTGCAGGACATGAGACAAAAGGTTAAAAACGATCAGCACCATCGCCACGTTGGACTGGTTTATTCGCCATGGATTGGGTTCGCTTGGGGATCGACACAACCGCTGAGATAATAGTCGGTGCCGCGCGGATGGTGCCATGCATAACATAAGTGAGTGTCTGGAATGCCTCTTGGCGGGTATCTACGAGAAGAAACGTAAATAAATGTAGCTTAACTTCTATAACTATACCTATTGACATCGAAGCCAAGCAACCTGAACTACATCACTAAAGCGGGCAGGGCTTAGGGCAGATCCAGTCACGGGCTGGATGCCGAGGCATCTCCTGAGCTCTCGTCATCGAGACCGGAACTAAATAACTTCATCTTTGCAATCATGCCTGGGGTTACAGATACTCGCCGATCGGTGCTCATCACAGGGTGAGTGAAGAGTCCCATATCGTGCGGGATATACCTACTGACACGAATCACAGATGCTCTCCCGGCGGCATCGGGAACTCGCTCGCGCGTGAGTTTCATCGCCAGGGCCTGCGCGTGTTTGCGACCGCCCGCGATGCCACCTCCATTTCAGACTTGGCCGATGTTGGCATCGAGACCCTAAGTTTGGTGGTGGATGACACAAACAGCGTCAAGAGCTGTTTTACGGTCGTAGAGTCCAGGCTTGGAGACAAGGGTCTGGACTATCTCGTGAACAATGCGTGAGTGATCCCTCTATACCTGTATAAAGACTATTGCTAACTAATGAAAGATGATAGTGGTCGAAGTCTGTCCGAAAAGACCTTCTTTGTGGAATATATCCCAACTAATTCATCATAGACTACACGGTCCCGGCCATGGAAGTCGAGTTGGCCGAGGTCCGGAAGACCTTTGAGACCAACCTCTTCGCCGTCATCGCCATGTGCCAGGTATTCCTGCCACTCCTGATCAAGGCCAAGGGCACAATTGTCCAGATCGGATCTGTAGCTGGGGTGAGTCTTCTTTTATTGGTTTGTCAAGGTTGTACTGACTTAATTTCTTAGATCATCCCATATGTCTTTGGGTCCGTTTACAACGCCTCCAAGGCCGCATTGCACTCGTTCAGTGATACTCTTCGTGTGGAGCTGGCCCCATTCGGGTATGTCCTATTTCTTCCCCGGCCTCTGTGCTGTCATTAATAGAGTGTTTCAGTGTCAATGTCACCACTATAGTCACCGGCGGCGTCCAGTCTCGAATCGCACGTACCGAACGGACTCTCTTGCCCAATTCGATGTACTCTCCCATCGAGGCCGAGTATAACCGCCGGGTGACGCACAGCCAGGATGGTGCCATGCCTCATGAAGCCTATGCTCGCAGTGTGGTCGCGCAGGTGCTGTATGGGTCGGCGCCGTGGCGCTGGCTGTGGCCGTGGGCGCGTGGGCGCAAGAGTTGGGTCTGGGAAGGCAATCGCAGCTGGGTGATCTGGTTCCTTGCTGGAGGCTGGGCATGGTCCGGGCTTTTTGGTCGGGTGATGACCAGTATGTTTAAGTTGTACAAGCTTAAGCGCGTAGGCAAATGAGGTCCGGAGGGAAAGAAGTACTCTTAAATTTATATTACCGTTATCTGTTTGTTAGCAGTTAACACGGGAGTGGTCTATCCAGAGAATATACTTGGCAGATATATACATCAGACAGGAAAGTCGAGAAACCTTTCACATCTTTTCCCATGCACATCTAAGCACATTTCCAGGAACATTTCCTCCTTTGTCACTGATATGGTATACTAAAACCACACTCTATAGCATCTCTGAGTGAAAAAGAGTTCTTCCTGCTACGCCCGATGGACCCGCTGAGTCAGGCCAGGGCACCCCCCTGATTGGTTCCTGGGGCGCCCACCCGGGATGCCTCAGGCCGCGACAGCCATCATACCGAGAAGCCGTGAAAAAGAAAGCTGTTCTCCCGAATCATCAATCTTCCTCCCCCCAAAAACACCCCGAAGGGCCCCCTATACCACCGCCCTTGTTTCAAACTCTCCTCTCCTTCTTCATTCATTCATCATGTTCAAGCTCGCTCGCAGCAGACCAATTGCTGCTGCCTTCAGGGCCGCGACGGTGAGAATCTATTCTTCCCGAGCCGCTTGGTCTATCGGGCCGCGTCTCGGTAGATGACCGTTACTGACGCCAAACTTGCACCCCAGGAGTCCTCCGTTCAGAGCAGACTGGCTCTGCAGCAAAAGCGCAACCTCTCTATCCACGAATACTTGTCCGCCAGGCTCCTCAAGTCGGTGCGTGCAACCCGCGTCGGATCTTTCGGTCGCAGATTCTTTAATCCCTAATCGGTTGCTGACGGAGGAGGCAGTACGGTGTTGGTGTCCCCAAGGGCGAGGTTGCTCGCACTCCCGAAGAGGCTGAGGCTGTTGCGCGGTCGATCGGTATGCATGGCCTGCCTGTTTTCGACGCGCGCCCGGCTAACAGGGGATAATAGGAAACGATGACATGGTGATCAAGGCTCAGGTTCTGGCTGGTGGCCGTGGTAAGGGTACCTTTGACAACGGTCTGAAGGGTGGTGTCCGGGTGATTTACTCGTGAGTTGGATTTCGACAACGTTTCTTGAAAGACAACAACTGACTGAGCGGTGCTACAGTCCCACCGAGGCCAAGATGTTCGCCGACCAGATGATCGGCCACAAGCTCGTCACAAAGCAAACCGGTGCCGGCGGCCGTATCTGCAACTCAGTCTACATCTGCGAGCGCAAGTTCGCCCGCCGTGAGTTCTACCTCGCTGTCCTCATGGACCGTGGTACCCAGTCCCCCGTCATCGTCGCCTCGTCGCAGGGTGGTATGGACATCGAGACCGTCGCCAAGGAGAACCCCGAGGCCATCCTGACCACCCCTATCGACATCAACGTTGGTGTCACCGACGCTATCGCCCGTACCATTGCCACCGACCTGGGCTTCTCTTCACAGTGCATCGAGGAGGCCAAGGAGGCCATCCAGAACCTCTACAAGTGCTTCATGGAGCGGGATGCTACTCAGATCGAGATCAACCCTCTGTCGGAGACCTCGGACCACCAGGTCCTGGCCATGGACGCCAAGCTGAGCTTCGACGACAACGCCGAGTTTCGCCAGAAGGAGGCCTTCTCGTGGCGCGACACCTCCCAGGAGGACGCTGATGAGGTCAAGGCTGCCGAGCACGGCCTAAACTTCATCAAGCTGGACGGCGACATTGGCTGCCTGGTCAACGGCGCCGGTCTTGCCATGGCAACCATGGATATCATCAAGCTGAACGGCGGCAGCCCCGCCAACTTCCTGGACGTCGGCGGTGGTGCCACCCCGGCCGCCATCAAGAGCGCCTTCGAGCTGATCACCAGCGACCCCAAGGTGTCTGCTGTCTTCGTCAACATCTTCGGCGGTATCGTGCGCTGTGACGCCATTGCCCAGGGTCTGATTAATGTCGTGCAGGACATGGGTCTCCGCACGCCGATTGTGGCCCGTCTGCAGGGCACCAACATGGAGCAGGCTCACAAGCTGATCAACGAGTCCGGCCTGAAGATCTTCTCGATCGAGGACCTCCAGAACGCCGCAGAGAAGTCCGTCCAGTTCTCCAAGGTCGTCAAGATGGCCCGGGATATCGACGTTGGCGTCGAGTTCACCCTGGGCATCTAAGTTCGAGTCACTCGCGGTTTGCAGGGGCATCACATACTAGAAAACCGTGTTTGAATCCCGGCCGTTCTTGTGTCATTTATCTTTCTTTTGTCACTGTATTCTTGTGTGTTCCTAGGGCTCTTTTTTCTATATCATTTCCTAATGGAAAGGGGATGTGCGAGTTGGATTATTTACAGTACGTCCCGAAACTAGTGCGGCCTCTGCACTCTTCGGTTGATTCTCCAGCCTCTATGCCCGGACAGACTAGTCTCTCTGGAGTAACCCTGTTAGTTGGATGTGAATTGCGTCTTTCGTAGATTACATAGTACGTTCAAGTTTGTATTTGCGTGTAAATTCAGTACATCCGACACCATAATACCCATCTTCAAAACTGCCTCGCGAGGGAGGGCTGGAGTGGAAATTTAATTGAATAAACATTCAAGTCCAAGTACTGGTTCGTTCCAATTGTGAAGCCTATTGTTTTTTCTCAGCGACTGCCAGCAAATGGTCCGCATTCCCCAGTAGTGCTTCATCATCCGTAAACTGCATCACAACATCCACCCAAAGCTCGTAGTCTTTTTGTGGCAAGGTCACCAGCTTTGAGGATAAACCTCCGCCCAGAAACCCTTCGCAAGGCACAATCCTGTTTAAAGAAATTCCCACTGCTTGCTGAGCTGCGCAGAGCCCATCAACCATTCTAAAAAGCTCCTTAATCTCGCTGACATGCGTATGGTGCATTGCACTAGATGCGTTTCTTGTATAATTGCCTGACAAGAGATACTCTCTGTAAAAGCTGGAGTACTCCGTCGCAAGACGCGCTGGGTCCCGTTGAGCAATGTCTCTTAGATGCGCATATTGAGTGACAAATGCGACGAGAAGAAATCCTCCGGGACGGAGTAGGGCGGTGCAGGTGCAAAGGACTTTGGAACGTTCAGACTCTTCAAGAAGGTGATACATTGGACCCTGGCAGAGGATCAAATCATATGATGACTTGGCGAAAACTGCTTCAGGATCGTCCTGATCTGGATGTAGTTGTATGGCTTGCGCATCAGCCTGGACAAAGGCATCTATGTTTACGCCAGACTCGGTAGCGAAGGACTTTGCGATGTCGAGCTCTGACTGCGATATATCGACGAGAGTAACAGAATGGCCATTTCGCGCAAGCTCGACAGCTTGACATGTAGATTCTCATCAATCGGGACTATCGCTGAACCAAACATATCTCTAGTACGTACCGTATCGGCCGGTGCCTCCTCCTAGGTCTAAGATCCTTAATGGTTTTTGCAGATGTTGTCCTAGTCGTTCTAGACATTGGTTAATTACCTTCATTGAAATCGAGAATTCAAGACGACAGGCATTAAGTCGATCGTGCTCCAGAGCGGCATTGTTGTTATACCAATCCGTAATGAGTTGTGAGTTAGTCATCTTGGAGAGGTAGTTATAGTTATTGGTTTTTGGATTGGAAGTTTAGAGGCTTGGTGGGTTATTTAAATACGGCTGGAATCAATGATATACATGGCAGCGTTGCATTTGGAACCAGTTAGCTCTTGTATTTTGGCTCGTATTCGTCTAGATGCTCGTGTCTCCCGATTAAATGCCTCATATTATTAGCAAGATGTTGACAACACAGCCCCATTGTCCGTTGCCCGATGCTGCCCTTTACTTCGTGGGATCCTCTCTTGTCTATACTAGAGACTGTCTATGCCAAAGAGAATGAATAGCACAAATTCAGAAAGTATCCGCCTAAGAAAGATGCTTAATACATATTGGAAGGAAGTAACGCTGGTGCGGTTTTCGAGGCCACTGTCAAGGCGGTTGCGGAGTATTTGAATCCACAGATGTGAAGGGAATAAATTTTTGTCGTCTCATTTCATGTCCCGTTTACGAGAGCCTCTTTCTATATGTTGGGCTTTTTCTTACTTAGCACTCCAGACTACCTGTCCAACCCCCACGGCATGATTCTATAGATCCCAAAAAGATCCCAAAGTTCATATCGCCTTCTCCATCTCCGTTGTTCTTCCCATTTCCGAAGTTTCCCCATATCATCTTTCGCTTATGCCTCTCTCAGGAAGGACTCCAGACCACCAAGCCTGGAGCTTTGGGGGGCACCCATCTTTCGTCAAAGGCCCAGATTTGCAGACCGTTCTGGCCGACAAACACAACGAAATCACCGTCTGCGCACATCGTGCAGCCCTCCTTCGGAGGCTCTAAATCGCGCACAGAGTATCGATGTACACCAGGTTTCCAAAGTATGGATTTGAGAATACATATTCCTTCAGTTTCGAAGGATCGAGAGTATGCCAGGTAATTGCTCACAGGAAACACTTGAAAGGAGTATAATGTGTTTGGGAGGAGGTCGAACCTGATCATGTTCTCATCAGGCTCAAGCGAAAAAAAGCATGAACCTTCCTGATCAGTCTCCTCGTTGACATATTCGAAGAAAGTGGTGCTCTGATACCCGCCAAAGGCCATTGCTCCATGATTAACGTATCGCATTACGAAATGTTTGCCTAAGGAGATATTCTGGCGTCGCGAGAGCACGCGGCAGACTGCGCCGGAGTCGTTGACTGAGAATTTCTGCACATGCAGTTGAAGGTCAGAGGTCTGGTCAAACTTGACTCCAAAATTTTTCTTCTCCAAAGTAGCAACCGTGATCTGATCCTTTGGCGCGTGCAATGCGACCAGTTGGACCTTACACCCAGTATCAACTTGCCGAGTGACCTCGGAATTGAAACACCAGTGAACCAAGAAGCTCTCAAAGCTGACAACAACTTTGGTCCCATTGATGAGAAAGTGATCAGTAGGGCCTGTTGAAGGCAATCGGAAAGACTTTTCTTCGTGGGAGTCAAGGTTCCAAACATGACAGTATCTATTGGCCCTTCATGAGATCGTGAAGATATCCAAGTTATACAAGGAAAGCAACATACCCTCGCATGGTGATAGCCGCTAGAAACCCTTTGGAGACACGGGTTTCTAGCAGTCTATCTCGATTTTCAGTCATAAGACGATCGTGCTTGCATGTCCACAGGTTCATGATCGCGATTGAGGTGTACTCGGTCTTCTCTTCGGGCCAGACCAAGACTCCATCGTTGAAGACTAACCTTGACTGAACGGTAGGAGATATTGCTAGAGCGCGTTCGAATTCTGCTACGATGATTGGCAGGCCGCGCTCTTGTCGAATTCTTTTCTCAAGGAGTTTGGTCAACTGCCAAGACGAGTGTACCGACGACACATCAGTGCCTGTACAGGCCCAATAAGCAGCACGGCAGACGGTCGAGGAGGAAAGCACTTCTTGCCATCGCTTCGAAACCTGTAGGTCGGTAGTCGCATGTCAGCCTGCTGGGAAGGAAGGACGGGGTAGACGATGATCATACCCTGCGAAAGCGAACGACATCGACTAGCTCCCAGTATTCGACAATCAGAGCGACAATCTCCAGAGGCAAGGTGCCGACCAAGTCGCGTTGAAAGATCTGGGGGTTGATGCGGCTCCTCACCTCGCGCCATTCATCCAGGACGAGCTGATCCAGGATGCCACCGTACCTGCGGATGGCTGATCAGCAGGCAGACACTAACTCGTTCAAGATAGGGGTTTTCATACACAGCTTGACGAGCCTGCTTTGAGCTGAGAGCGCTGAAACTGGCTATGATGGCCTGAACGTCGGGGTCGGGCTCCATGGCCGTCCGTTGGCGGGAGGAGGAAACGGAAGGAGAGGAAGAAACGAGTCATGAGTAAGTACTCAGTGATCCCGATGACCTGATCTGATCAATACTAGGACCTCATAAATCACTAGTTATAGGTAGAACTAATAGTCGATCCGATCGCTGGGCCCGTTCAGCTCTCGCCCCCCTTCCCCGCAGCCTTCGCAGCTCTTCTTCCTTCCCTTCTGCAACTCTCTCTCTTACACCTACTCTCACCTCTCTCCCTCGACTCTCCCTTGTCCTCCCATCGCCCCTGCCATCCAATTATTCGATCGCGCAATGACTGTCCCGATCCCTCGTGCGTGTTGACCTGCGCCTGGCTTGGGCTCCCGCGAGAATCCCACGTTCTCCCGCACGAGCTGTAAACGGCCATCGCGTCCGACCCCCTTCCTCGTCTCCGCCACCACTCCCCTCGGTGGCCTCTCGCGGGTTCGCTACCGCCGCTTTTTCTACACCTCCTCCTGCGCATGAAATGAACAGCCTCGCCGACCCTCCAACCGTGAGAAACACTGTTACCGGGGGTGCACTCGCCCCGGGCTATACACGCAACCTTCCGGTTCTTTCATCATCCGGGCCGCATTCCGCTGCTGCGAGAGAGATGGCTGCCTCGTCTGTGACGGCAGGAAATGCCTCTGCACACGGCAGCTCCGATGGCGACCGACCGGGAGTTACCACCAATGGCTCGGCGGATGCCAACGCCAATGCTCCCAACCAGGCCATCGGAGCTGCTGCCGCAGCTCAGCAGCCCAAGGTCGTGCAAACTGCCTTTATCCATAAGCTCTACAAGTACGGTCCCCCCTATATTTCCGCCTCAGATGCCCGTGCGCCCGGTCTAGTCCACTCACAATCACCGCAGCATGTTAGAAGACACCAGTATTCAGCATCTCATCTCCTGGTCGAGCACCAACGATAGCTTCGTCATGTCTCCGACCTCCGAATTTTCCAAAGTCCTAGCGTTAGTCCATTGTCCCTGAAAACACACCTTAATTTCGCTGACACCCCGGCAGCCAGTACTTCAAGCACACCAATATCTCTTCGTTCGTCCGCCAGCTGAACATGTATGGGTTTCATAAAGGTGTGTTTGCTCCCTGACGGCCTCTTCTCCAGCATTTGTTGATCCACGTCGGTAGTGAGCGATGTATTCCATACAGGATCCCCGGATTCTGCCCTGTGGGAATTCAAGCATGGGAATGGCAATTTCAGACGCGGCGACCTGGTCGGGCTACGAGAAATCAAACGACGAGCATCCAGACATGCTTTGATTCACCGGGACTCTTTCCCTAGCCACAAAACCGCAGTATCACAGCCTGGTACACCAGCGGAGCCGGTTCCTGATGCGACAGAGGCTCGGTTGATGGCTCTCGAGCACTCGCTATACGACATGCACAATCGTTTGTCGCGCGCCGAGGAGGGTAATGTGGCGTTGAACTCGAAGTGCCAGGGCATGGCCGAGAGCCTCGCCAAATGCTATAACGTAAGCTCTCATTGATCTGGACGTAGGGCGATTGCTAATATCGTCAATAACAGTGGACACACTCGATCTCGCGGTTTCTTCTGGCTGTTGTCCCCGACAGGGAAAGCCCTCTACATCGTGATGGTATGCATAGCTCTTCCCATTGATTTGGTATTTTATTGACAGTGCAGTAGTCTCCAACATGCAAAGGGAAGTGGAGAGGCATATCGACAACATCCGCGCCCTCGAAAACCCGCAAGACTCGCTCATGCCTCCACGCCAACCGTACTTTGGCAATATGCCTGTCGAAGCCGGACCGCCTCTCTCACCTCGCCAAATGCCGCAGGATGACAGCCGCCGACAGTCCATGATCCGGCCACCCGTCCCGCCGCATCTCGCAGTGTCTCCTCGCCGCTATGGCTCGATTGGAGGCCCCAACGCGTCAGCAACTTATAACCGACCGCAAGCACCCCCGGTTGCTCCGCAGCAACAGCAAGCGATGCCGCATCCTCTGTCTGTTTCCACCCCACCGGGACCTAATCTTGCCCGTAGGCATACCTCTGCCGACATTCGGCAACACGGCTGGCCCCCGTCGGGCACTTCTCCCCTCCCTCTGGGCAACGCCGGTCCTGGCCCTTGGCCTCCTTCTCCGCACCGAGTGCCAATCTCTAGTGACCAGCAAGTTCGAGATGTTTTGGCTCAGTACGAAATGGGTGGTCCCAGGCGACTGCAGGACCGATCTCGCCATGCCACCCCGCCGACGAACATCGAATCTTCCCCGTCTTTGCTTGGAGTGGATCATGGCTGGTCACTTGGAGGTTCTCGATTCGCTCGGCAGGATTCCTCTCTGCCGGCGACGCGCCGGTCGAGCATGGCGAGCAACGTTCATTCCTTGCTTAACCCAGCCGATACTGCGGAACGCCCTGATGAGGACCAAAACATGTCGGAGGACCGCAAGCGGAAACGACTTGAATGAACGGGTACTTCAAACAACAATCGAGCAATATCCAGCATACGACAGGCACAGTCGTTGCCACCACCCATATATCACGTCCCTCGATCGCATTTTTGACCATGAGGAGTTTTATATCCTGCCCTTCCCCTCCCCTGTTCTTTTCTTTTTCTTTGGACTTTACCTGTACAATTGAAACGCAGCGAACGGCCAGTGTAATCTGGATGTCCCTTTTGTGGAGAGCGTTGACGGCCTCCAGTTTCTGTTTCTCCGCGCGCACTTTTTTTGTAGATGTCCAATTTTTTTTTTATATCCGATTGTTTTAGTGGGTGGTAGGATGAATGGGAGGAAGCACAATGCTACGAGAAGTGTCGCGGCTCTGGGTTCATATTTCATTTATCACAGCAACATCATATACCCTTGGGTCCGGCGGAGCAAAAATGAATCATTCTTGTGACATTTAGATTGCGGGAGGAATTGAACTGTTGTATTCCATACATAGTATCGTCTGTATATAGGTCTGGCCATGCAGCTGAGATGCTAGCTGGAAGGGCTGTCTCCGGTTATTCGGAGAACTGGTCTCGACGTCGCCCGTAGGTGATGACCGGTCAACTGAAACAAGGCAACTGCTATTTCCCGGATTGTGACTGGGAGTTCCCAGAACGGCATCGTCCTTGCAGGCGAACAGAGTCTTGGGAAGCCAAGGAATGTGATAGAGTCAGAATTCAAAGCCATGACATTATTCACCTCTTCTTCCTCTTCTTGGCCCTCTCAGACAAGATCTCATCCAAATAACTCGTAGCCTTCTTTTTGCCCTTCGAGGATGCAGCACGAGAAGAAGGCGCCTGGGCCGCAGCAGCAGGCGTTGCCTTATTCTCAGGATCCTCCGCACCAGTATCCTGTGCCGAGCCTTGACGCGTATCGTCCTTTCCTCTCCTTTTATTGGTTTTCTTCTTGCCCACGAGTGCTGTACGCCCTTCCTCGTCCTCGTCATCTTCCTCTTCTTTGTTCCCAGGACCTTGGACCAGTTCCGCAGATTTAGGAGTAGTCCTTGAAGGCAGCGGCTGATTCGACGCAGACGCCTTCATAATCTTGTCATAATTCTTGCCCAGCAATTGCTTGCGCAGCTTATCGTTCGAGCCGAGCTCGGTGCGGTTCCAGCTTCCATCGGCAGCTTTTTCGGGGAGAGGCGCTCCGACTCCTAACCTGCATTTTTGTAGAGTTTCTGTCAGTAACTAGAAATGACCATATATTAAAACAAAAAGAAAGTAGTCGAGGCGTACGTCTCAGGCACTGCAGTAAAGATCTCATCCTCTTCCCGTTGTAGCTCCTCCTCGGACTTGACGTTTGTGAGCTCCTCGTCTGTTTGTGCGGGAAGCCATGATGCCACGAGACGTTGGCTCCGTGCGAGGGCGACGTTTGCGCGATTGAGGATTACGTCTGACTCTGGTTTGGAGATTGACATTGTCCTTGGTTGGGAGAGTTTGTCTCATCTGCGTTTGGGGACTTTTTTTTTGCAGGACACTCGAGGCGGTAGGGGATGTCTCACCGCCTGGTGTATAAGTGTTGGTGTGTAGGAATAGGTTTACATGAAAGAAAGCCTGGACAACTTATGGCCCAGATATATCCGTCGGAGAAAAAACTGTCATAAATGTCAAGGATCTATATATTATGCTTCATCACCACTAGACGAAAGATACAACGCCTTATCTAGATGGTCGGCAAATAATCTAGCTCGCCCTCCTTTAATAGTATCTGTTTATGGGCGCTGGTTTACGCCGAAAAGAATGAGCGAACCGATGTCCGGCACTCCTTTAGCATTTCTGACGTTGGTGAGGTTTGGGTTCCCATGCCGAGGATCCCGATTTTTCTTATATGGCCAGATTGGGGGTCGTGGTGGATCTGACATGGCTCATCAATAACCTACTGAAGATTTTCCTAAACCAAGTAATGCCGGTAGACGTTCATAAAAATCTATATTTATGATCAAAACTTTTTATCACTTTTGCTAGTCTAAACTCAATTCTGTTCAGTGGCAGATCCCGACTCAGGGGAGCTGTCTGGCTTGAGGAACTCTTCACTCCCAGTCAGATCATCCAACTGATGAAATTCGCCCCCCATAGAAGTTTGGGTTTGATTTGCCAGTTTGCTTCGTCCTTCTACAAACCGGAACGACCCATTCCGCTGATTACTTCGCCGGGCTGAGTTAGCATTGGTAGCTCCACTCAAATGGCCTGTAGACGCAACGTCTCCTTTCACATGGCGAAGGAGAGGGCGGAGGGTTGCGAGGCTGGCCGCTGTTATCCCAAGTCCATTTTCCACGTTTGACAGGATAGCAAGTTCCACTGTGGCGTCTGTATGGTTTCAAGGATGGTCAGTATGCGTCGAAACGGCTCTCGCCAGTCAAAAGGGGCAGCTATACATAGAAATTCCGGATCGGCAAATGTTTGGACAAATGGAAATCGAGCAATCACTGCAGAACTTGCACTAGAGACCAATCCAGATATATTAGCGGGATAAAAAAATTTCGTGGGCCCAAAAGAGACTGACATGCAAGCCAGGCCGAGGATGCCGACTACGGCAAACTTCATTTGCAAATTCATGTGCAAATTCCAAACCAAGAAGATAGGAAGAATACCAGCTGTAAAATCACAGATGGCGGCGAAAACACTATAAACATAGGTCATTGCGATAATTGCGTTGATGTTTATACATGACCCATTTGCTGGAGGGTTGGGACCAACTCTGGTCCAGAAGAATGAAAGAGGCCTGCATTGCAGAAGCATCAGGAACATAAATAATAGCCCTGTTGCCACGGTAAAGAACATGACAAGGTAAAGGATCCAGTTGTGCAGGCGGCGAACGGTAATCCGGAGCAGGAAGACGCAGACGGAGGCTTTGTAGAAGACGGAAGAAAAGCAGTACCCAATCTCGCAAAGCCACCAGTACTAGGAGGATCTTAGGTCAATGGGATTCATTATGATTCAGAAGCTGATAATATCTTACTCTCATCGCCATGAGAGCGTTTCTCGGGGTTATATCTTCGAATCGCTTCCCGGTGCCATAAAGGCTTCCGCCAATCATGCTTCCGGCATACATGATATAAAAGAGCTACCACAGTTAGACTTAGCACTATTCGCGGAGGCAGTGAAAGCACTATACCATGGCCACCACCATAAGACCATCATCCCACCCGAAGCTCTTTACCACTCTCAATCGGCAATATATCCGAAGACAAACCACGACGAATGCAATCGAAACAAAGGTCGCCGCCACTGCCCTCACCGCCAGGCTACGGTCAGCCATGATGAGTGAAAGACTCAAAAGAGTCGTCTGCTCTTTAGGAGACCTCTGGGGTTAAGGATGGCACGAGCTGGGGAAAAAATGGATGGAGCTGGACGGAACTTATGACCTCGTGATTATGTAAGAATTCACGCGGTCAAACTGACCAATGGCACGTGCACCTGGATACGCAATCTTGGTTATTCATGCACAATTGCAAACTAAAACCGACTATCCAACTCTAACGACTAATCCCGATCGCACTAGAACTGGCATGTGCCTAACTCTTTTGGGCAATTTCCAAAGACGCTACGAAGGCAGTTTGACGGTGGCGCGCTCGAAGTCCTCTGTGTCATAGCTAACATTGGAATTGGTGCGCTATTTAGCAGATTTCTAATTTGTAACAGGCTCTAATCTCCGGTGGCTCCCCGATCTCCGGTGGCTCCCCGATCTAATAGCCGAGGGCCCAGATTGCGCGTCAGAATCGGTGGCCAATTTTCGGAAATAAAGATTTTTCCGGATGCCTGAGTTGAGCATTGGCGACGGTCTAGTTCCCAGCGCTTTGGCCACCACTTCAAGGATTTTGCCTCATGGCTGCGGGGAAATTTTTGAAATCCACAAACCAGGTTGGCAGAGGTATGTCTCGGGATCAGTAAGCCCGAAACCGAGGGTCGCAAAGGATTCCTGCCCGCAGATCATGGTAAGCGTCGAGAGAGCATGGGGCACAGCTAAAGATCTACATTGTGTAGTCGCAAGCATTCTCTGTCCTAATTAGCGTGAAAGGATACTCAAGTTGGCTTTTCCATCGTCTCCAAGGGTGTTAAGGTATCTTATGTCTGGTTCAACAAGCCTACAGATCGCTCAATGCTCAATGAAATTGTATTCTAGGAAGCCAAAATCCATTAGTTATGATGTACCACCCATATTTCATGATTTTGAGATATCCATTTATTTGCTGTACCTAACTGCCAATAACATGAAGAAATTGCTGATGATTTCTCTCGTTTCCAGAAATCCTCGGTCTTCGTCCCTTGTCCTAGTACTTAGAAACGAAGAATTTGGGATTAAACGATTGGGAGTCGCACTAGATTTTAGTAGCAGTTCTTAAAATCAAGATGCTGCAATTGTCTGGCTTATTTGTCGCACAATTAAACTGCAATATCTGAATACTTCAAACTAAAGCGTGTTCAGGGCTTACTGAACGCCTATAGCTGCCACCAGAGCATCGCAGGCAGAACTTTGCGTTGATGCATTAGCACCACCTGAGAATGGGCCCGACCATACAATTCCAAGCTCGTTATCAACACCCCGGTCGTTGGCCCAGATACTGTCGGCATTCCTCTCAACGAATGACTTCAGCTGCTCACTTGAGGAAGCTCCATATAAAACCTGAACGTTCCGCAAGAAGATTCCCTTAAATTGAGATCCATCAGCGCCACAATTTGGCTCACAGGAATCGTGCAGGATGCCATTCGAATCAGTGAGCACTTTTAAGGCAGCAATGGCGATGTTGTTGGCCGTCCTCAAGTAGGAGGAGTCATCTGGCAACGCCCGGGAAAGCTCAACGAGGCCGCCAAGAATCACACCCTGGTTATACGACCAGATCGTTCCATTGTCGTTCTCACATGTCGTTAAGTCAAGACCGTTATTGATATTGTTTTGTGCGTTGATCATCCCACTTCTCTTGAACCAAGTCCATTCCTTCAAGGCCCAGTCCAGGTAATAGTCTTTATCGGGCATTCTGTTGGCGAGGTGGGCAGCGACGCTGAGAAAGAGCTCGTTCTCGATAGCCCCGTTCTGAGTATGAGGTTTATCCCACCAAACACCACCGCAAGTCGCACCCCAGCCTGTTATCATGTTCTTGAAAATATCGACAGCCGTCAAAAGGTATTTCGGGTCGTGAACTAGGTCGAACACTTTAATCCAAGCAAGCGCCCACCAACCTTCATCGTCGTAATATTGATTGATAAAACCATTCGGATGCACGACAGAGGGGTTGGTGACCATCGTCGTGAAGTTGTATTCCTGAGCTTTGACAAGTGTATTCTCAAATACCGGAAGGGTTATGTGAATCATGGAAGGATCAACAGCAGTCAGGTCGGCTAACATTGTCAAGCAATTGGCGCTGTTCCACCATCCCGTCGTGTCCCATAGTCCACTGGATGTGTTATACCATTGTTGTAAGGTTGTCACCGCAGCTTTCGCTTGTAGTAGGTAGTCTGTACGTGGACTTTTAATATGTCGTTCTCCGATCGGGACGGTGTAACCATCTACACCCGGAGGCCGAATGATGAGCCCGACAACAACAGATAAAAAGAATCCTTTGCAAGAGTAAAACATATTTCAGGGACTGCAGTCGTCCAGACTGGGCTCAATTCTAAGTAATGAACTCGGTCAAACCAAAAAAAACGAAATAATGCAATGACGATAAGTCATTCTGCGAGATGCCATGTTAAATAAATAACAGTCGGGAGAATAACACTTCCGACAGCGGGGTTGCTGGACGTACTAGAAGCACCACCGCACAGACATGTCAGTTAGTGTTGAAATTTAGAATTACTACAATTATAAACTAGCTTCTCTATCTAACTGCCCCCCTCTTGCAACGTTGCATCGAGATGCAAGGCCTGGTGTTCTAGATTAAATTGAAAATCATCTGAGGATCTAAAATTTATTGTTTTCGGGGAAGTTTATGGGACACATTATAGGTTTCCCCTTGCCTTGGTGTAGGTTAAGCACGGATCAGTCAAGAAGGATGCTGTTATTCTAACTGAGATTAAACTGTGATTAGTTCAACTTCCGCAACAAATATAGCACTATGAGGCCGTCCCAACGAACCCACTTTCAGCCCTCTGAACGACTTTTACGTACCCCGCAAATTTTGATCCGGGAGGTTCATGCAACGAGCTAGACATCAGACCATTCCACGTCCTGGCAAATCAATGTTGACCACGGACATAGATATGGAGTCATAACTAACCCGATCCTTTGAAGTCGATGTAACCTTTTTGATCAACACCAGGCATATTTACCGATATTTTCCCGACGACAACAGAGGTTGTGAAGTCAATGCATATGATTTATACTCGGACGGACAGTTCATTGGCCGCTGACACCATCGTTGTCAGTGCGATCAGAAGCTACCGAAATTCTGCAAGGATGGTGCCCTTTATCCGTCTGCCTCTGGCGTTTCATTCTGTTGAGGGGTGTCGATCTCAAATTAAACTTGGGTGCCCCTACGATTAAAGCGGGGAAAGGGCTTCGTTTGAAATCGAAATCTGCAATGATCCCAAATTGGGACAGGAAATATAAGTGCATGGCATCCATCCGCTTCGAATGCAATGTGAAAAGACCGACACATGCTTCGTCTCAGTTCTCTTAAGAGCCATACACTAGCGATGCGAGTTTTTACCACACTCTCTCTTGGTCTTGCAGCTTTCGCCCATGCAAGCTCAGCTCTGGCAGATACCTTCACGTACAATGCAACCAGTTTTTTCCTCAATGGCGAACCTTTTCAAATTATCGGTGGCCAAATGGACGCCCAGCGTGTCCCATGGCAATATTGGAAGCAACGTCTTGCCATGGCACGTGCAATGGGCCTGAACACCATATTCAGCTACATTCACTGGAATCTAATTGAGGATCAACCCGGCCAATATATTACCGACGGAAGCAACAATATCTATTCCTATGTGCAGGACGCACATCAAGCCGGCTTGCAGGTTGTGCTCCGTGTTGGGCCTTATATCTGTGGCGAACACGAGTGGGGAGGCTTCCCAGCCTGGTTAAACAACATTGACAACATGACTGTGCGCTCTAATAACCCGCAATTTTTGGATCGGACCCAGTCCTGGCTCAACTGGTTGGCCGACTGGCTGAACCCCCTGATGATTAGCAATGGCGGCCCCGTCATCATGGTGCAGATCGAGAATGAATACGGATTCTATGGCGACGATCACTCCTATACGGATGCTCTTGCGGCACAGTTCAACGCCAGCTTTGCTGGTAGTGGTGTTGTCTTTTATACGAATGACGGAAGTTCACAAAGCTCCTTACAGGCCGGCGCAATCCCCGACGTTCTTGCCGAGATTGATGGGTCAACTCCATTATCCAGTTTCCAAAGTCGATCTTCTTATCTTAATGCCAGCAGCCAGGGTCCTAACTTGGATGGCGAGTACTATATTACCTGGTTAGATCAATGGGACCCATATACAGCGCACCAATCCGACGTCAATAATAGTCAAGCTATTGAGAATGCCCAATCCACACTCCAGAGCACTGTGACTAGTGGCGATTCTTTTAGTATCTATATGTTCAATGGGGGTACGAACTTCGGGTTTCAGAGCGGCTCGGATTATGGCAATGGAACTGAACCTGTCACTACCAGCTACGACTATGGCGCTCCTCTCGACGAATCAGGCCGACCCAATGACATCTACTATGCACTTCGTCAGACGCTTGGCCAATACTCACCAGATCTGCCTGATGTTCCACATATTGAGCCAATGATCTCAATTCCATCAATTGATATCGGGCCATCTTTCTACCTGTTTGATGGACTCCCCACCCCCAAAAGATGGAGTCGCCAACGAATATGGAGGCACTTGGTCAATGGTATGGGTTCACGTTATACCGAACTACCGTAAACGCGTCCTATAGTGGAACCCTTCAACCGGGTGTCGCGGCCAAGGACCGAATTATCGTCTATGTCAATGGTGTGCGGCAGGGCGTCTTTGACAGTCGGTACCCCAACAATGCACAACAAAATATATCTGTCACTTTGGATTCTGGCGACGTCTTGGATCTCTTGAACGAGAACATGGGCCGTGTGAACTTTGGTCCGGATATTCCATATCAAACAAAGGGCATCTTCGGTGATGTGACCGTTGGAGGCAGTAGCCTGACAGGCTGGGACGTATACACACTTCCCTTGGATAGCGGAATGGCCGAACCATCTAGCGCCAGTACACCAACCAACATCTCGTCCTCATCAAGCCCCATATTCTACACTGGCACCTTTGACCTTCCCACCGTCAGCGATACCTGGCTGGAACTTCCAGGATGGACCAAGGGTGTGATCTGGGTCAATGGCAACAATTTGGGTCGTTACTGGACAATTGGACCCCAGCAATCTTATTACTTACCGGGTGTCTGGATGCAAGAGACAGATAACGTCATTCAGATTCTCAATTTGGAGCCCACCGGGCAGGAGGGTACAGTTAGTGGTGTAACTTATCGCTCTTGGTTCAACAGACCGGATCCCGATGCTCCTTGAAAGGAGTAGCATGTTATTTACGAAACGAATTCCTCTTTTTGTGGTATAGTATGTAGGTCGCGATGGCAGATAGTCTGGAATTAACTGGGATTGCGAAATTGGTCTTTACTCTATTTGGTAGATAACTAACTCAGTGCCATTGCCAATGCGCGCTTTTTATTCCAAATAGCGTGACCAGTAAGGCGGCATGTCCTCTAAAAGTATCATTCAGCAATATTTAGGTAGCTACGCCGAGTAGACCGACCCCCGAAGGGCTTGTATGTATAGAATGGTAGTTGTGCACGAAAGGAGAAGGAACAAAAACTAACAATAGATACACAAATCTATGTTTAATATACATTTATCTCTTCGCGTACATCCTTTTGGCTGGAGATTTGGTGCAACCCTAGACCCACAATCTCTTTGATCGCTTTCGAGAGCGCGGAGAAATGGGCATCGCGAGCCGAATGCGATTCTCGATGCGAGCGATTCTGTTGTTGCATGACGAGATATTGGTAGCTAGCCGCGAGAGACTGTACAATCTGAAAGTTAGCAGATTTCGGGTAGAGCTTGCCGAGAGAAGGGAAACTGACTCTATCGACAGCTTTGCGCAGCTCGATCACGCCATGAGCGCCTTGGTCGTCATGCCCATCCGCAGACAAGACAGGGATGTTAACACAGGTCCCCATCTTGATATTCTGGCCGTTCCATTGTAAACGGCCGCCGAAGAGACACGCCGTAAGAGGGTCGATGAGTGAAGTGTCAAAGAGGGCTTTAACAGGAACCCCGTCGAGCACTACCTCGACTTTCCTGCTGAAGATGAAGAGAGACTGAACACGCATATATTTCTTCTTGGGATCAGTCGAAGGTATCCGAAGGATCGAACTTCCCCTATTTATGACTGTTTTATTGTCGGTCTCGGTGTCACAGTATGGTGAACGAAGTCGTGAGGGAGCAAGACTTGGTACCGCAATTTGAGGATACATGCAGTGCAGCAGCAAGGCCTTGATCAGTGCTAGATTCCGCGAGTTGGTGTTTAGTTCAGGACCTCCGAACTGGTAGCTCTCATCTAGACTGGCTTGCTCTGGACGAATAAGCCCTGCGCTAGAGAGCTTGCCGAGGATCTCACGAGACACAAGGTAGGTTTCATGATACCTGGGGAAATGGATGTAATGTTTCGCACAGAAATCCAACGCTTCCCATCGCCCGGATCGCATATAAACATCTCGAACAGCTTTGAAGGCATTGATTAACCCGATGTGGTCGCTGTGGCTGGCTTGTGCAAAGCTCTGAAGCTCATGGATAATTAGGGCTTTGCCATCCGGAGTGGACTGGAAGCGGAACAGCGAACTTTCCGCCATGGCCCCGTGGATCAATAGAGGGTCAAGACAGCGGAAGATGATGCCAAGGATAACCAGTTTGGCACGGGCCGGATCTATGCTGAGCTGGGAGAGAATGTGGCCGAGGTGAGTGAGGTTGTCGTTCTCGTCCACCGCTTGTAAGCGGCGCAAGGAGTCCATCGCAGCTTGTATGTTCATGATGTCTGGCGACTCAATCGCCTCCTGGAGGAGTTTTGTTACTGAGATATCAGGAGCGCAAATCATTGCTCGCAGACAGACATCTTGAAGGTCCATGCGGGTGATTTCTGGAGATTTGGTGACTCGAAAGCCGTCATGTCGCTCTTCAGTGTAGAGAGCGAAATATTCACCTGGCTGGACGCGCCCTGCACGCCCTGCGCGTTGGATTGCACTGGATTTACTGACCCACGAGCATGCCAGCCGCCGGGATCGTGACTTGCTGTCAAAGACCGCTTCGTGTGCCTTGCCGCAGTCAATCACGAACTTCACATCAGGGAATGTGACTGACGCTTCAGCTATGTCGGTAGCCAGGATAACTCTTCTGCAGCCTGTAGGTACTTCCATGGTAATGTTCTTCTGTCCTTCAGGCAGCAGCGCATGTAAGGCTAAGATCTGGAATCGGTTTTCATCGGAAAAGGAGAACCCAAATCCAGGGCCGCGGGAACGAAGCATCTCCTCCAACATGAGGATGTGCTTCATGCCCGGAAGAAAGACCAATACAGAGCCTGTATCTCTTGTGGACAGGATGTGAATTATTGTTGCCAGCAATAGTTCGTATGGGATCAACGGGTCCTCGTACTCGCTTGAGGCATTGCGAAATTGCTTGGGCGGTGCCTCGAGTGATTCTAAAACTAGAGCCACGTCTGAAGGTGGTCCGCTGCTGAAATGCTTATAGTGCTGTAATAAGTAATTGGCCGTCTCGTATTTAGTGTCCTGGTTATTGAAGAATCGAGCCAAGGCATCGGGACTCCCGTAAAAGCGAATAAGGTTCTGAAGAATCTCATCAAGATAGTGCTTCTCTACGGGGTACGAACGCCCGGGAATGATAAGATGGGGAGCAGGGATCATCGCTCCGTCTGGTCCCTTGTTGCTGAAATAGGAAGAGAAGAGATCGAGATCCAGAGTTGCGCTCATCACGATCACCTTAGGCGCGGAGTGACCAAGAGCTAGACGTTGGCTGATCAACCGTTTCAACAGCAGCATCACGAAATCGATGCCGACATCCCGCACATGGACTTCGTCGAGCATGATGTGGGAGAAAGAGTAGAGAAATTGTGGTGAATCTTGTAAGAGATTGAGCATGATACCGGTGGTGCAGTAGGTGATCGAGCCGCCGGTGCGCGGCCAATGGGACTCAAATCGGACCTGGAAGCCAACTGTATCACCGATCCTTTCGCCTCTTTCGTGGGCGACTCGCCGAGCCAGTGAGCTTGCTGCTATTCGGCGTGGCTGAACGCAAAGTACTCGGATATCAGCGCCGGCTTGCCTCCTGGTTGCTTGATCAAGAACCATCTGAGGAATCTGAGTTGACTTTCCAGAGCCCGTCTCTCCCGCAATCAGGCAGTAAGTGTGGTTATTGATGATGTCCAAGATCTGTCTCTCATGTTTCCACACGGGCAGACTATCGATTGCATCTCTGAGAGCTCGGCGTTGTGAACTTGGTTTGGTCTTGTGAATTCTTTTCAAAGCCTTCATTAAATACCGCGATCTCTCTCTCGCCTGCTGGGGAGACTGCGAAAATTCCATTCTCCTTCTTGCCCGTTGTTTGATAGGTGTTTTTTTGCGACCCATGCTCATCGTCTCGGTCTGAAGCAGGTCCTTTGTTGCAAAGCGCATCGCGAGAAGTAGATCATCATCCACCTTGATTCGGACGGCCCTTAGAGTGCGCTCTTTTCTCATGAGCTGCGTCCATAGTCCTTCCTTTTTCAGTTGTGGTATAATTCTCTCTAACACGAGCACCTTTGCTAATTGCTAGGACCGGATTGTCAAAATTTGCCATCTTAGGCAGGATATCCTTTGAACTTACACGGGATCGGCACGTCACAGTAGACGACCATGTGAAGCGCGAGCGCGGGACCGTAATTTTGAAAGAACAATAAAAAGACTGGTCCGGAAGCTGAGTAGTTGTCATTTCTCGAATAATCATGTTATTCTTGATCAGATTCAGTGCAGTCTCAACCTCTTCGGAGCTAACCCTAGGAGACGTTCCCTCCGCAACAGGATTGGTGGATGAATTTGAGGGATTGGTAGACAATTCTTCGTTGTCAACATCATGCGGTCCTGAATCAGTACAGGGGATCTCAGGCGCGGCTGGATGTGGCTGGTCTGTGTTCGGCGCCGTTGTAGCATAGCGGGCAGGGGTGCCAGCCGCCTGTCCCGTGTATTTCCAGAGGAATGACATAGAATAGCTGGGTTCGGCGATTTAATGTTAGGCACTTTCAGGAGCGAGGTAATAGTTCGAGAGGCTGCAGACGATGAGTGTCTTGGAGGGAGCGGCAGCAACGCGCGTGGTCGAGGACGGGGTTCGTTCCGGGCGATGAAACATGCGTGCCTAGCACTTCGGATGTAGGCGTAGGGCCCTGTTCCTGCCGCCATGATGTGAGGGTCTGCGGCGCGGCGGAGTTTTGCTCACGGGAAGATCCAATTCGGCCCCTGCATCATGAAGCCAGATCGAGACCCTCTGCAAGCCGTGGTAGGCCGGCAGAAACAGTCAATTGAAATGGTCGTCACAGCGATGAGCGTGGTGGACAGTCCCAGGGTGAATTGTGACGTCGAAGAAAAAGGTTCTTGATCGTCCGCAGCGAGGGAGGCTTGGCACGCGACTCAGGGACTCAACAGAGAAACCATAAAGTATATGTATGGATAGAGAGTTATTAAGATATAGATAAGCATATGTCTATGTATATATATTCATTGCATCGTGGGCATGTCCTATGTACAGTCTATCTTTATCGGGTGTCTCTCTCCTGCTGGTATGGATATACATCAATCCAGCCAAATGCAGAATCACGCTGCGGCTTCCTGCTGGTGTTTGGCCCGCAGTCTTTTCTCAGTCTTCATAAATTCGCGAATTCCGACAGGGATGTTAGCGAACAGCTCATCATCTTCTGGACCACGAGCCGGCCAGTTGGCTTCGCTGCCACCGCCATCATCATCCATGCTCTGGCTGACCGAGTCGACTTCTGCCCGAGGCCCAAAACGCATGTCCATGGTCCCTTTCTCAAGTCCACCCTTCGCTTTAGCCTGCGCGATCCGTCCTGCCCAGTCCTCCATTTCATCCCGAAAATCGTCCCAGACGCAGTGAACGCAGCCGCTCATGCAACAGTTGTCCGGTTCCTCGGGCCGGGGCGGGATGGGGACTCCATTGACCGTCTTCCACAATGATTCGGGAGGAGTTTCGCCAGGGTTGTAACGGGATGAGCGGCCGGGACCAGCCAGGCGGGTACCGAACACAATGGCCATCTTCTCTTCGGGTGATTGCGGCTCCGAAGTCGACGCTGCTTCGGGCGCAGGGGTCGCGGGGCGCGAAGTCGGTGCGCGACCACGATAAGGAGATCGAGACGTCAGGAGCAAGGAATAGTAACCCGACAATGGGTGTGCTTGTGGTGGATTGGCCATTTCATCCGAGGAATTCGGCGCATTATGAGTGCTGAGCTTCTGCCAGAGAGCCGGAGAGCAGGCATATTGTCGCAGCTGGGGTGTAGACGGCGAAGGTTTTAGTAATGAGCGTCTCAAAGACAAAGAGACGGTGGTGCCCAGTGAATGTCGGGTGCCCACGGACAGACACTTCATGGTGGTGTGCAAGTATTAACTAGCCTTGAAGCAGGAACGAGAATGAGTAAGGAAATCATTTGGTCATAGTTGGTGCAAACAGTGCAAACCTCGGTGGTTGATACCGACAATCAAAACACCAGTTGCTTTTAAACACCACACCACGCCATGTTCTCCCCACCAAAGCGGCGCAAGACCAGCGCGACCACTGGCGTCGCTGTGGGCGCGTCGCAACATTCTGAAGCACATGAAGGCGCGCGCGCGTCAGGCCCGCCGTCCTTCCAGTCTCCGACAAGGTCAAGCCTGGCGCGGTCCCACCCCGACGTGCTTGAACGCGCGCTCAGCAGATCACCGACACGACGACCGACCAGCAGAGGGAACCAAAATGACGAATCCGAGCAAGCAGAATCAAGAGTCGGGCTCCGTGACCGCAAGGCTCTTCGGCCGTCGCTGAATGCCACTGCTAGCCCGATGACTCGACCCAGATTGTCCGGCAGCATGGCGGGCTTGTCACCCAGCAGGCGCACAAGCGGAATACAATCATTTACACAACCTCCACGTCGGGTATCAAAAAAGATTGGTCCTTCAGACTTGTTCTTTGGAACCCCGGTTCGGAGGCAGACGCAACCGAGTGAGCAGGCTCTTGCAAATACCCCGGAAGATCAATTGGCGTCGGAGCTAGGCAATGTCACAAGAGAGTTACAGATGGATACAGGATTGGACGGTTCGCTCATGGGCGAAGATCCTCTGGAACCAGACCTCCCACCCACTCCGACCGAACTTGGCCTAGAGAAGGCTCCGGACCGACCCATGGGGCTGCTGAGCAGTAGTCCAAGCATGCGACATGAACGACAAATGAAACGAATTGTGGATCCCATCAAAGGCAGCCCGTTGCGGTCCTTGAATTTTCAAGTACTTGGAGAGCAAGACGTGGATGCCGCCGAGCTAGCGCTGGACGATGAGCTTCCAGCAGCTGTGGCCAAGAAACAAAAGTCACGCAGGAGCCTCACCGCTGAATTGCGGCAACTCGAAAACGAGGTTGCAGAGATGGAAAGGTGGGCAGGCAAAATCGAGACAGGCAAGGGCCTAGAAGCCGACCCGGAGGGACTAAACAAATTCCTGTATGTGACCGAGCCCTTGGACGATACTAAATCTGGCTAACTGAACCTTAGCTCAATGATCACCTCCGAGGAAGCCTCGCGCACGAGTCTACCTGTTCCTAAGCAAGCCCCTACAACGACATCGTCTCTTCTTTCCACGCTCCTCCCATTCTCTACCAATGCTCCTCGCCTAACCCGCCCGACTTCACCGCTACCAACCAATCCATTTGCCTTGCAAGATTCCTCTCAAACACGGCCATACCTTACAGCTTTTGCACCACTATCACTGAATGCACGTACCACCCGGACAGGGTCCTCCAGGACCAAGATCCTCTCTGAAACACATACCTTGACCTTGACTGCACCGTCACCATTTCCAGCGAATTTATATAATGTCGCTGTCGTCTATGCAACGGACCCAGAGGCGCAGTCTGTGACCTCTGTGTCTGTGCCCACCAGCAGTGACAGCAAGAAACGGAGGGTGCCCGAAGTTTTGCGCCGATGGATTGACCGTCGCCTGGCGAACCCGCTCCTTCAACTCGACATCTCCACCCTATGCTGGGGAATCAACCGGTACTGGGAAGCATCGGTGGCACGCGCTCGATTATGGGCCCAGCTTGATCACAAATACAACAGCGGAACTTCTGCGCGCAGTAGAAAAGACACGCCACCAGCAACCAGAGATGGAGTCCTCAGCTTCTCTGAACTTCGACAGCTAATCCCACACCTCGAACGCAGTACAATGGTCGTCAAATCGAAATCCGGTCCCAAAGTGCTCCTGGCATACAACTTGACGATCGACGACTGGACCGGGGAGCCGCAGCTACGGCCTGAAATTAGTGTCTCCGATTCAGGTGCCAATGGTGGCTCGAACAAGAAAATCAACCAGGAGGCTAAAAAGCTTTTCCATGCTCTGTTGCATGAAAAGGGTGGTTCACCCGTGCCAGGCGTGGAGGGAGGAGTTCATATTGATGCAGTCCTACGAGCAACCGAAGGCGCTTTGGGGGCTTTGTTTGGTAATTCTTGATGTTCTTTTCAGCGGCAATAGCGTAGGCGCAGGATACGGCGTATGATCTTTTGTTTTTTTTTTGGTCTACCTGATGAGGTTTATTGAGCGAATGTCCAAGTTTCGGTCCGATATCAACAATCGATTTCAAAGCCCACCACTGTCTAAACCGATTAGCAGCGTAGACTCTTTAAGTGATGAATTCTAGGCTCCTCTGCGTATCACGGTAATTTACAACAGAGTTCATCTTCGTCTCCCTAGCCAGACTATAAATTCTTGATGGCACATTCTACTTCGGATCGTTCTACTCTTCAACTCACGACAAATTGAGAAAATTGGGTGGTTTGCATTTCATGGGATTCTTCCGAGTTCTTTCTTTTAGAGACAAAACAAGGTAGGAAACAAAAAAAAGGGGTCGGTCGAGATCGGAGAGAGGGTTTCATTTTAGAGGAGAAGAAGGAAGAAAGGCGCCACGCCATGCCACAGGCCAATTCCTTGGTTGACCCTTGCAACCGACCCGATCGTCATCATCAGCAGCAGAGACAGAGGATTAACACATTTATTTCTTAGCATTGGACTCCTCCTCAGCCTTGGCCTTGGCGCGCTTCTCACGCTTGCCCTGGTGGCGGGCCTCAGCGCGAGCGTCACGCAGCCGCCGGTAGGCAGCCTCCTCGCCCTTCGGCATGGAGTCGCGCTTGACCTCGGTGACGGCCTGCTCAACGGCCGGGTTGGTGATGGGCAGGATGGCGCCGACGCGGGTGGCGAGACCCTCACGCTTGCCGTCGGCCAGAGTGGCCTTGACGGCCTTGACCTCCTCGGCGGAGGAGTCGAGCTTCTTGAACTGACCGCTCTTGCGGGGGAACAGGATCAGGCGGGCCTTGAAGTCCTTCAGGCGGGCGACGTTGGCGACCAGCGACTCCTTGGAGTAGTTGGTGCGGCGGTGGTCAACCGAGATGCCGATGGTGGGAGCGAGCTTCTTGGGGATGCCGGCTTCCTGTGGAACAGTAAGTCACTGCCTCCAAAAGAATTTTCATCACTAGAGATATTACCTTCAGCTCGGCCAGGGTGAAACCACGACCGGCACGAACACGGCGGTTGTACTTGACGGTAGGGCATCGCACAACGGGACGCAGCTTGTCCACCGGACGGGGAGCAACGGCAGCCGCCTTAGCGAGACGGGTCTCACGACGACGGTGCTTCCGGCCGGGCTATCGCAAAAAAAATGTCATGTTAGTCGACCAGCCCAATAAAAAATTTTTCTCCATTCGTTCCAATTCGATTCAATCGCAGGGCGTCTCGGTGGAGAAGATAGGGGATTCGGAAAATCGTACCTGGTCGAAATGCACGCGCACACGACGCTGCCAGTCCTTGCGGAAGTCTGCACCAAACCAGTCAGCCTTTTCGTTCGTTTTAAAAAATTGCCACGTCTTTGATGTTCAAATACTGAGACGCAGAGAGCAGAGCAGTCGGGATCACTCACGGTTCTTCTGGATTTGGTTGTTGTGCTTGATCGCCTATATTCCCACACACAATCCGTCAGCATTCCATCACCAGCAGTGTTTCAACAAGTCGTCCAGTCGATTCTAATCAAGCCGAAGACCGTTCAAGACATCCATAACAGCAGGGAGACGCACCATTGTGACGGATGGGGATCGAGCCGGGTGGTCGTCGGAGGGTTGCTGGTCAAATCTCCCTTCACGGCAGAAACTGAAGACGCAGTTTTCGTGGGCGAGCACCCACACAGTGGCCTCACCGCTTTTCGCTTAGCGAGCCCTAAGTTGGCATTAAACCCAATGTGGAGGTCACGTGTAATCACATGATCATAGGGACTACTATAGGCTGCTAGGATAGGGAATATGGAGACAACCGGGCAATACTCGATTCCTATTGTATAGTACAGCCATGCAGAGTGCCTGTCCCGACCAACCTATCTATCTATGTGCAACAGCACCCTCCATGAGAGCCATGTCGAGTGCGGTAAGCTATAGCCTAACAATAAATCAAAATGCAAAACGCCCAAGTCTGTCTTCTCAATTGCGATTTTAACACCGCATCCCACATGCGTTCATCATTCGTCAAAATTCCCGAAGGGCATGAAGTCGTAACAGCCAATGAATAAAAAAAGTAAGCGCTAAGTCATGAAGAACAAAATTCATATCCAAGGAGGTAGGTTTCAGGTTTCAATACCCAGACCCACCCCGTTGTTCGTCCTGGATTTCTTCGTGGCCGCTCCTTTCTCATCAGAGCTGGCCTTGCGCTTGCCATGTCCGGACTGGTAACGGTCCACGCCGGGCTTCTGCACTTGGCCAAACAACCTCGTTTGAAGCAGGCTGCTTGTTTTCGGGGCATTAGAACGCATTTGTGGATGCGGAGCCTCTAAGCCTTCTTCAGACTCAGAGAGGGAGACGGTGCTGTCGCTGTCATAATGCGTCTCACGGGAGGGGCCCATCGGTGTACGGTAGTGGCGCCCCTGGGGAGTGGAGCGAGGGTGATTGGGAGTCACGGGAAGAGAAGATTGATGGTGCTCAGGAACACGATCCGAAGGCGAGCTGACATACTTGCGCTCGCCGTTCATGATCTTGCCAGCGAAAAGAAGAGCAGCAAAAGGATCAGGGTTCTCGCCTCGGCAAATGGTCTGAAGCTCGTTCTGCATGCTGGGCGACAGGGAGCCGTAGTTGAAGATTTGGGAAAAGTGCTTGCGGTTGTCTTCGATGCGCCGTTTCAGCATCTCGTTCTGCTCGGTGAGTTCCATAGACTTCGCGTTTGCATCGTCAATGGCTCTCTTTGCATGCCGCAACCTGCGGTCCAGAACAGCGTTGACACCCTCGAGTTCTTGGGACCGTTGGATCGCCGCCAGGTAGTCCGCGTCGGGAGCAGACTGCGACTGTTTAGGCGTGATGGGTTCGGTGGGGCGGGAGCGGCTGCGGTACTGGGCGCTCTGCAGGATTTCCACTTCCCGTTTAGCGAGTTGGTGCTCCACCTCGGCGCGCTTGACTGCTTCGCTACTGGCAAAAGAGACGAGGCTGTTTTGCAGCTTGAAGTGCAGCGCGGACATGCGAGCCTCCTGGGCGACGGTGAGAAGATCCTTGGCAATCGTGCGCAATTGGGTCTCGCTGGCGTTTTCGATCTCTTCCATACTGGGAAGATTCTCTGAGGCACCGTAGGCATCGCACAGAGTCTTGTCCATATCGGCTGGAGTCACCAGCGAAGGGCTCAGGGAGCGCGAGTGAGAGCGAGACTGGCGGAGAGGTGCTCCGGGGATCTGAGTGGAAGGGGGAGGAGTCATGTCGGAGGAAGACAGCGGCGGCGGTGACATGAATTTGCTCTTGTCAGACTGCGAGGATTGACCTTTGGCCTTGGCACTCAGGTCTGGAGAAGGCGACAGAGTGGCACGCCGGACGGGCGTCGCAGGAGCGACAATCTCCGCGGGCGCAGCCAGGGAGCTTTGCTGGGCCATGATGAAGGCGGTCAAAGTTGGTATCGATATAGGTATCGATAAGATGAGGAGAGATCAACCGTGGGGAATGGATCCTCGCACTGGATGCTTATTAGTATCCATGGTCCCAAGGCAATTTATTGGGAGGCGGGCGAGCGCATACCGGAGAGAGCAACGAGGGAACTTCAGAGAGGTGCCGAAAGCGTCAAGACCCAATACGACAGTCTGTGCTAAGATCTCGCCACGATAAGATGTAGTAAGGTTCAAGTTATGGAAGATGGGTGGAAGGTGGTGGGAGTAAGGGGCGAAAGAGTAAGTGAGAGCGTATGTAGTGGGTGGGTGTGAGGAAGAGGGAAGAGAGAAGGTTGGATGGTTGGTTGGATGGAGAAATGGGGGATAACTATCAGGAACGGGCAACAACTGAGGGGGCTTGGGAGAGGCTGGGAGCGGTCATGGGGATGGCACGTGATGCTCCCGCATGCCCCAATGCGGCTGGGTGCTTATGTCATAGGTTGGGCCGGCAACGGCTGGAGTAGGACGAGCACCGAGGACATCCTGCGGAACTATTTGGATGACGGCGATGATCAGCGGTGCGAGGTTCCAGATGGCTGTACAACTAGGGAGATAGTAGCCGCTGGCAATAAATATGTACTTTCTATCTAGAACTATTGGGAGTTATATCACAGAAATATATATTGCTTCTTCTTATTAGATCTATAGAGGTCTGGGAGTCGCAATATCCCCGTCACAGCAAAGGTTTTGTAAGACGGCCCATTTATCGAGAAGGGGTAGTGCGTTCAAAGGCTCCCCTTTCTGCAGCGACTCGTCATTGCTGAAACATACGAGTAGGGCCATGAATTGGTCACCAGCATTCGAACTGGAAGATGACCCTCCGTGCACATCACTTCACCCAGGAAGACTTGGATGCATGGGGATGGCCCACCTCAGGCGTATTGGACCTGACTCTTCTCCGAGACCACACGGAGGACAAGCTCAGCGCAGTCATTGGTACTCCCTTCGCGCCAGAGTCTAATAAGGGCCCAGTTGAAGCGTGGAAATGGACACACCAAAAGTTGCCATTTGAGCACTTTGTCTAAAGCCCCAAACTGCGATGGCTGCGTAGAAGAGGCTATGTCAGGTGGGATTATGCCTAGCTGAGCGACTGGGGGTTCTTTGATCTGGAATGGAACCAATCCTTGGGCGACATGATCGAATTGACTCCGGATCAGATCGAAGGGAGGGAAGCAGAGATGGAGATATCCTGGCAGCAAACAAAGGAATCCCACGAACAGGGTGTGTCGCGGAATACTGGTTGGAGATAGTTTCGTAATTGGCTAGGGCTACGTAGCTGTACAATCAGTAGTTAATTAATGGGCATACAATAAGTGGATCGTTGCCTCAGGCAGCATCAACGTAAACAATCACGAACTAATTAGTCTCAATGTTTCTTTGACCTGCCACGCTCTCCACGGACCACCACGACTTCTTTTCGTCTCGCTCTGCGGGGATGTCTTACTCCCTGGCCATTTTGTGATAAATTTCCCATCCTGCCAGACCTTGCCTCTATCAACCCTCATTCGGGGCAGTCGCGAACACCGAGATGGAGACCCAACCGAAAGCACGCCTCAGTGGCATTCCGCGCCCAGTTTCAAGATTACCCTTGCCTACAGCCTCGTCGATACCGATCAGACCTTCACCCTCCCGCGAGAGATTGCGAGCCGATCCTGGAATCGACGATCGACGATTACGCCGACCTTCTCGTGAATCGCTACTATCGAAGACACTACCACGCTATTCGCCGGTCAAGTCTAGCGAGAATGCACTTCCAGAACACAACGGGTCGTCCAATGGAGTGAATGATGAGCCACAATGGGAGATACAGACGTCAGAGGAGGTGGGAACAACCGCAGACGATGAGGAGGTCGGAACAATCCAGGAAGACCGAGGTCGACGAGAAGAACGACCGTCGTTGTCGGAACGGACGATTGGGACTTTGTCAAATATCTCACCCTCGCCAGCATCTGTGAAACGACAGTCGAGCTTTTTCAACGGGGCCAGCCCAATGCGCTCTCCATCGCGGACGCCATCAAATGTGTCCAATTACTCGCAATCACCGTCCCGCTCATCTTCGGGTCAGCACCACAATGGGAGCGAGACATTCCCGGGGCCCGTGTCGAAGTTACGCTTGCCATCCAGATCTCGCGTGTCAACTCCTTCATCTCTTTGGACGAGCAATACTCATGATATCTCGGAAACAAGCGAAAGCCCTTCCAAATTGAGATTCCTACCAGCAAAGCCGATCGAGACAGATACTGCACCTTCCGAGATCAACTCGCCGCTGAAGAAAACTGGGACTATTCCTGGGCGATCGAATGTTTACGAAGGCAATCAGGATATAGCTGCTACCGCTTCGCCTGCTCGTTTCATACCCAGCAAGATCACCAAAAAGCCTTCTAAAACCGACATGGGTCCGCCTGACCGACCGCTCAACGTACGCAAGACCCGTAAGCCCCAAGCAGACTCGCCATCTACCATGAGGTCGCCTTCTACCGCTTCCAGATATTTTTCCACGGCTTCCAGCATGCCGGACGAATTGGACCCAGAGCAGCAGGCGGAAGCCGAAGCAAGAAAAGCTACCAAATCGTCTAACGCACTACGAGAGAGCATCGCAAAAGCCAAAGCTGCGAAGAAGGCTGCGGCGGCGGCAAAGAAGACGAAGACACCCAAGGCTGTGGCTGCTGATCCGTGGGGAAGCACTGATGCCGAGGATCCCTTCAACCAGGTAACCAAGGGGTCGAATCCTGGTGTACTTCGAAAACGTGTGGAGACAGCTCGCGCAACCGGCCAGCTGAATATCGCAGCGCTTTCTTTGACAGAGATTCCCAAGGAAGTGCTGGATATGTACAAATTCGATCCAAATACCTCGTCCAACTGGTTTGAAAATGTCGACCTTTCCAAGTTTATCGCTGCAGACAACGAACTCACCGAAATCTCGGATGACACGTTTCCTGATATTGATATGGAGGACTTTGACCCCGAAAGTAATGAGCGGGGACCTCAGTTTGGAGGCATTGAGACGTTAGACCTCCATGGGAACGTTTTGCAGACTCTACCAATGGGATTCAGGAGATTGCAGCAACTACGCAGTCTTAACCTTTCAAACAATTCCCTGTCCGTCGACAATATCCAGATTGTCGTGGAGATTCCATCTCTGGTGGACCTGAAGCTGGCAAACAATCAACTACAAGGGCGGTTCCCTTCGGATATTAGCCGACTTCGCAGTCTGGAAACACTGGACTTACATGGCAACACCCTGACAGAACTTCCAGATGAACTGGCCGAACTCACATCCTTGAAATCATTGGATGTTGGTGAGAATCAGCTGACATCCCTGCCCTTTGAAGGGTTGAGCAAGCTTCCTTTGAGAACTATCAATGCCCCAAAGAACAGACTGGCGGGCACTCTGATCCCAGCTTCAGTGGAGCGTCTCGAGTCGCTACAGTCACTCAATATTGCGAACAATTTGGTAGACACCTTTTCTGCGAATGAGATGCTGTCTTGTCCCAGTTTACATAGCCTGTTTATGGGGATCAACCGAATCAAACGCCTGCCGTGCGTGTCATCTTGGCAATCGCTGCTGACTCTTTCGGCAGAAGACAACAAGATAGCTGAGCTCCCGATGGGCTTTCCAGAACTCAAAAACATCAAGACTGTCGATCTGACTGGAAATGACATCTCACGCCTGGACGAGAAGATTGGATTCATGGATAGTCTTACATCATTCCGCATCGGCAATAACCCACTCCGCGAGCGTAGGCTTCTGAGCATGGACACCGAACAGCTCAAACAAGACATGCGCAGTCGCTATGAGCCCGACCCTCAAGACACAGATGATGAGGGTTCCGTGGCGACCCAGTTCACACTTGCACCGGAGACCCCAACGCTTGATAACGGCTGGCGGATCCGGCCTGGCGGTGTCCTTGATAAATCATATTCAGAGATGACAGACCTGGAGACCGACAAGCTGGAACTGATCGCTTCGCAAGATATTCGCAGCCTTTACTTGCAGCACAACGATCTACAATGCTTCCCCGTCCCTGCACTTGGAATGCTCGCGCAGGGTTTAATTGAGCTTGACATCTCCCACAATCCTCTGAATAGCCGTGACCTACTTTCTACGACCATAGAACTGCCAAAGCTGCAAACCCTCAATTTGAGTGTCTCCAGATTATCTTCCCTGGAGCCTCTGCTTTCTCATCTGGTCGCGCAATCATTGTCAGTCCTGGATATCTCTAACAACCGGCTGACGGGGCCCCTACCACACCTTCGTTCAGTCTTTCCAGCTCTCAAGACCATTCTCGCCTCCGATAATCAGCTCTCTCGCTTAGATTTCGAAGTGGTGCAGGGTCTGCAGGTTCTCGACGTCAGTAACAATGATATTGACTACTTGCCGCCCCAGATTGGCTTGTTGAGCGCTGAACGCTCCCCTCGAAACTGGGGCGACAATGGATCGGCCTTGAGAAGGTTTGAGGTTGCTGGCAATCGGTTCCGCGTGCCTCGTTGGCAGGTGGTTGCCAAGGGCACTGATGCTGTTTTGGAGTTTCTCAAAGACCGTATCCCTGCTGGTGATCTTCCTGAGTGGGAGAAGGAGAACAGTGCTGCAGCCGATGAATTCTGATTATCTCACATTTTATTTTGGCTTGAGGCCAATGCAGCGAGCCCTTCCCGGGGTTGCTATTTGTAAATTATTCTTTCTTTCTTTCTTTGCATGTATATAGACAACCCTCAACCGTGTATTTCCTAGATGTTCAACAATGCTTGTGTATCTATATGCATATATTTTTAATCAAGACAACAACAACCTAAGTCTGTTCAACAGTCGTAGCAGAGCAAATTGGCTTGCTGACTTCTTCCATGACTTTGAGCCACGTCTTTGACCAGACCGTGAACTTGTCTTCCGCTCCAGCGGATGCATCCCAAGGTGAAGCAACCGAGTCCACAGCTTGTGCAGCACATTTCCTAATCTCCTTCAAATATTCGACTGATCTATCCACATCTGCCTCGTACAAAGCCCCAGCAGCTTCATCCACTTGGTCAGGGATACGTTGGAGATTCAGCATCAACGACTCCAGCTTGGTGATCATGGACGCAGAAGACAGAGGCGTGTTGCCAGTATTTTTGAGCCGATTGCTGATAATCGCGGGATAGATCTGCGCAACAGGCTTGAGGAAGCGAATAGTCGCCTTCTTTTGCTCCTGCAACGCGACAGTATTCTCCTTATCCTCCTCGTCGTCCTCCGAATCTTTGTCGTCATCCTTATCGTCATCATCATCCATAATCCCATCAAAGAACCCATCACCATCGTCCTCTGGGTCCCAATCTTCAATTTCTTCCACTGCGTCGCGCACAAGATCCCTCCATTGCTCAACGCGGCAGATGACAAACCCCACGACACCCTTATTTGCGACATTCGTCACTGCGTCGCAGGCATCCCATGTCCGGCCTGTGGCGACTGTAACGGCATTTTTGTCCGACTGGGTGAGCTCGCTCTCTTTTTTATTATCATTTTTCTGCAGATCTTTCTTATCCGCGATGCGTTTAACCTCCTGTAACAGAGAAGAAAATTCCACGAGAGCCGCTTTCGCCAGAAGCAGGACCTCGGAATGGAATGCTTTCGTGTATGCTGTTGGAGTAACGAGAAGCGACGCGGTGACTAGCGAGGGCAGGATGGAGTCGTTCACATCACGGAGGATGCCGCTGACTGCCGAGTGGGTGAATGGGTTTGTGATTGCGAGTAGCGAGAGTTTGGTCACTTGCGCCCTGAGGGCAGAGCATGATGCGGAGAGGAGGGGCAGGCCATCTGCGTCTTTCGGGGTGGACTGGGCGGCTTGCGCGGCGGATTTGGGGGATAGTGTGTCTTGGAATTGATCTAGGAGGGCAAATGTCGTTGTGAGGATAGTAGAGAGCTGGCGTGACATCTTGTTTGGAGAGGTGCTAGTTGTTGTTCAGATTAGAGAAGGTTGCGGAGGAGAGAAATTTTGGATGACTACTGATAACCGCCGATTAGGGCTGAGCGGAGCCCTCCGTATTGGTTGTATATCTTCAGGTCACAACTGCACCGGGGTTTCTTGCTACAGATATTCGTCTAGAGCCCGAGTAGAATAATTACCTACACTTTTGATGACTTGGTAGATTCTTCAATTCTCTCCTTGTGTCCCCACGTAGCTGGCAATAGGCTGGCGGAACTTTTGGATGGTTAATACATACCGAAATTCTCCCCTTGTCTATTTAACTCAAAAATGCTTTTAAGAAATTAAATAAAACTCATAATTAACACTCCTCCATCTTTGAAGGCTACCTTACAGCCTTGGGAAGTATGCAGGCTGGTGAACCGGTAACTATAGATGCGTATTACATAAGCAAGATCAGCTCCAACAAACAAGGCAAACACGTTATTGACCTTTGGCTAATCGCGGACAACCGACTCTGCCCATTCATGTCCTGCGATCATGGGCACAAAGACTCGAGCTCCTCCAAAGACTGCCACGGAACCGGCAGTGGCGTCGCGACACTTGCCGGACAAGACCTTCGTGATCGACAATGGCGCATACACCCTCAAAGCTGGCTATGTCTCTGATCTCCCACCTGCCGAAGATGAAGCCCTCTCCGGCTGCTCGACAATACCAAATGCCCTAGCCAAGACTCGGGATAATCGTGTCGTCATCGGTCCACAGCTATTGACCCATGTCAGTGACTGGAACGAGGTCATGTTCCGCCGTCCAGTGGAGAAGGGATATATTGTGAACTGGGAAGCGCAGAGGGAAATTTGGGAGCAGTCTTTTTTTGAGGAGAAAGCGACGGCGCGGAATAAGAGTTCACGGATAGCCAACCCGGAAGAAACAACACTCATCCTCACCGAGGCTCCCAATGCCATACCGGTGCTGCAGCGGAACGCGGACGAAATCGTGATGGAAGAGTGGGGATTTGGAGGGTATACAAGGTGTATAGGTAGGGTTTGAAGCTGCTTTGATTTGTTATAGACTTAGGCTGATGACAGTCCTTTTCTAAAGGTCCGACCCTAAACGCCTGGAACGAAATCCATACTCTCTTCGGAGACTCTACCACCTCCCAACCCGATGCCGCCCCCTTACCTGCCGATTGCTTGTTGGTAGTCGACTCGGGCTACTCCCATACCACGGTTACTCCAGTATACAAAGGCCAAGCCCTCCAACGTGGAATTCGGAGACTGGATCTCGGTGGTAAACACCTCACCAACTACCTCAAAGAGATCGTGTCGATACGGCAATATAACATGGTGGACGAAACATATATCATGAACGAAGTGAAGGAGGCAGTCTGTTTCGTGAGCAATGACTTTGCCGCGGATATGGAGCGGACCTCGAAAGCCGGCCGGAGAAGTCAAGCAGATTCTGACAAGAGTGTGGTGGTGGACTACGTGCTCCCCGACCCAAATGCAGGTAAAAAGGGCTTCATGCGACCTCATGATCCTCTGTTAGAAGCCAAAAAGAAGAAGGGCGCGCTTTCTGGCCTTAGTGCTGATGTGCTCTCGGAAGATGTCTTGGTCCTTGGCAATGAACGCTTTGCAGTCCCAGAGATTCTATTTAACCCGAGTGATATTGGCATGAAACAGGCAGGCATCCCGGATATCATTCTCCAGAGCTTGTCTGTATTGCCCACTGGTTTGCATCCTCCGTTTCTGGCCAATGTGCTGGTTGTCGGTGGCAATTCTCTCACCCCAGGATTCATGGAGAGATTGTAGGTTCCCGCAGAAAGTATAGTTTGTGTGGACAGTTTGCTTACTTCCTCCATTAGGGAGACCGAACTGCGTCAGATTGCCTCGGCTGACTGTGTTGTGCGAGTGCGTCGAGCCCAAGAGTGAGGTTATTCCCATCGATCTTTTTAGAAACAACTAACTTGTTTTGGAATCAGTCCTATTCGGTCCACATGGCTGGGAGGATCTCGTCTCGCCGCCAACCGAGAAGAATTGGGTAGGGTGGCTATTACTCGCGAGGAATATCAAGAATACGGGTCTGGATGGGCTGGACGCAGGTTTGCTGGCAACATATGAAGGGTGCTCTCGAGCGTGAACGGGATTGGCTAAACTGGGCGTTTTGTGCTTGCTGGAAGCATCTGTTAGGCATCAATGATACCCTTGTTTTAGATAGTGTTTAATAAAAGTATTTCTAACGGACTTTCCCCCCAGATTGGCTCTCGAATCTGGCCTGGTAAACGTATTAGGTATCTGGCTAGACACTTCTCGATGACGAAGATATTACCAGCTCTTTTTGTGTTAGGGTTGCAGCAAGAATCAATATCCGCGTTGATGCCTCGGTTCTATAAGTTTAGGGTTCATGGGTTCTACCATTTTGTTTCTCGAAACCAAATGCTAAGGCCAACTAGCTATATTTGGAATAGATCCGGAATATTAGTAGTCCTGTATCAGTAACATCAACACGGTGACTTCTTAATTATAGTACGTTGCTCTGTCTCGTAACTGGATTGGCGATCCAGACAACTCCTTAGATTTTCCCTTGTAATGCAAACAAGTTAAAACACCAGACCCTGAGAGGGGCTTCGATAATCTGGCGAGGACACTCTCCTCTGCCACTTCCTATACCCAAGCGAGGGTCTGGAGGCTTACTTGGTACTAGGCATTGCAAATAGTCACTTAAATTATATTGCTTGCCTGCAGACTACTCATGAACCTGCTTATCACACTCCTCAGCCTGTCAGTCACAGCCCTATTTACTTTCCGCTCTGTAACGTCCCTTAGTAGAAGCTAACACACAGCGATGTTACTAGACTCCTCAGCGGCATCATCTGCCTTGGGGGGGGTGGCTTACACTCCTTTCGAAGATGATGATACCTGTCGCCCTGAACAGCCTGATCTCTGGGAATGGAGTATGCCTCAAGCAGTGCCTAATGTCCAGGAACCTGGTGGGGCAGTGCACGACGGGTATATATTCTTTTACCGGCCAGAGACGATTAAGACGGCGAAAGTTGATAAGGTACCACTAAGTGCTGAAGACAAAGAGCAATTTCGGCAGGCATGATCGAAGGTGTTAGTGGAGACACGCTGGCACGGCGATATTCGAACTCAGCTACTGTTTACACTGGCGCGATTGAGTATCGTTTATTTGGATAATGTGCGGCCTAAGTACTAACCAGCGAGGCATAAAAGCGATGCGCCTTTCCACCTGTTATCTCCACTCACATATCTGCTTAAATGGGGGAGAGACTTGAAAGTAATATTGACGGCCAAACAGTTACGTTCTATGAAGCTCTGACCGATGCCGAAGGGGCTAGACTGTATTTGATGGTTTTGGGTCTCACTTGGGGGTGCATTTGGCTGGAAAATCAGCCGCTAGCTCCTAAATTTCCAGCAAGTCAGACTTTGTGACTAGATAATAGTGACCACTAACTCTCCCATAGTATTATAGCTAAATCTAGATGTGGTGGTCATATTGGAGTAATTGTGCTCTGCGTATTATCTATAGAGAAGTCCCAGACTACACGAACGCAGGTCTTTTTTGGAGACCCCTTTACGACATCCTTGGATTGCATCCTCTGATCCTTGGAATATGAAATGTCTATTCATCGGGAGAGGCCTTGAAGCAGAGAAAGATAAGGCGAGAAATGCCACTTTTCTCTTAATTCTCTCACTGAAACGAAGATTTCAACCCATTTGCCCTCTTGGATGTCCGCATAAGCAAAACGAGCAGTGAAGTGGCATTGAGAACATTTCAGTAGAGTATTCCAATTATTGTCACAAAATGAAATGCTTCGAATCTGTTCATTAACACTGACAGGTAGAGTTATGTCTGAACCATTCCGCCGAGAATATTTGCCATCGAATTCTGCTCGTGCCCTAATTGAACCAATTTCGAACCAAACTGCAACACAACGAGACACCAAAACAAACACGCAATCAGTATCAGACAGTAATATTGTTTGCCGGGATACAGCAAAATATTCAAATATCGGCAGGAGGGGTGGACTGGGAACAATATTGTCGTGGATTCTCCCTAAAACCATGCCGCCAGAAAATGGGTGAGTACCAAGTAGGAATACATGATGATACGCTGACCGTATCAAGGGAATGTGTAGGTTGCTACCGACAACTTAAGTCCAAGAGCCTGGTGATTACTCCATGTGAGCACAAATATTGCCATCTCTGCCTTCGGAATATGGCCAAGGTAGCATTAAAAGACAAGCAATTCTTCCCGGCTCGATGCTGTGGACAGGAAATCCCCAGCAGGCAAATCCTTCCAACGCTGAACTGGTCCTCGAGAAGACTCTACACCTCCAGAGCGAGTGAACATGCCGTTCTACCAGCTGATCGATGGTACTGCCCACGGGCTCGATGTGGCCGATGGATTTCTCCGAATCATATCAGATCGAGTGAATCTTCACAGAGATGTCCTTCCTGCCGGACGATGATCTGCTCGACGTGTCGAGGGCCGTACCACGAAGCATGGGAATGCTCCAACGACACCGACCTACAAGGAGTGATGATTTTGGCGTGTAATCGTCAATGGCAGAGATGTTATCGGTGCCATACGGTGGTCGAGAAGATGTCAGGGTGTCATCATATGAAATGCACCTGTGGTGCGCAATTTTGGTACGTGGTTCTTTCTGACAGCAGGGGAAATGCTAACAGAGACCAGTTATAAATGTGGTGCGCGATACAAGACGTGCTTGTGCGACGATAACGACGACAACAGACCAGCAGCAGATGGGAACATTGATATCCCGGCTGCAATAGCGGCAATGGATGAGGCTGAGAGAGAGGAGGAGAATGAGATGGTTGAACAGCAGCAGATAGAGATTGATTATGATTATCATCGGATGACAGAAATCATACTGCAGCAATATAGAGGACAACAAGAGGTGAGAGAAGTAAGGAACTCCGAGGATTTCATAGGAACAATGATTCTGACATCTATAAGCTGCAGAGAACGAATGGAGTTGAAAGACGAGCAACTGGCTAGAGTGGGTTAATCGGGAATACGGGCTAAGAATAATGTAATGGAAGATCTAAGAAAGGGATCTAGTTATAATGAAGTCTTTTGTTAACAAGATAATTTTCATATAGTCACTGAATCAAGTATGGTCTAAGTTCACATAGATGGATATGAAACATGACAATCAGTAGTCATAGAAGCCCTTGCCCGACTTCTTACCCACCCAGCCGGCGTCTACCATTCTCCGCAGCAGACCAGCGGGCCTGTACTTGCTGTCTCCGGTCTCTTGGTGAAGGACATTCATGATAGCCAGGCAAGTGTCGAGACCAATGAAATCTGCTAGAGTCAAAGGACCCATGGGGACATTAGTACCGGTCTTCATGATATTATCGATATCCTCCCGAGCTCCAACGCCCGTCTCCAAACAGATCACGGCCTCATTGATGTAGGGCATGAGAATACGATTCGCCAGGAAACCGGGCGAGTCAGCCGAGACCGAAGCGACCTTGCCCATGCGCTGCACAAAGGCAATTGCCGTGTCCATCGTTTCCTGCGAGGTCTGCAGACCTCGGATAATCTCCACACCCTTTTGAATTGGAACGGGGTTCATGAAGTGCGTCGAGATCACCCGCGAGGGAGCTTGCAGATCCGTCGGGTTGGTGGTAGTGGCGGCTGCGATCTTGGTGATGGAGATGGACGAGGTGTTGGTTGCGAGAATTGCATGCTTGGGCGCGATCTGTGCGAGCTTGGCGAAGATGCTGGATTTGAGGTCGGGGATCTCGGGCACAGCTTCAATGACGAAGTCGACCGAGGAGAGGTCGTCTATCTTGAGGGTGGGTATGAGGAGACCGCGCGCTGCATCAGCAGCTTCGCGGGTGAGCCGCTGCTTAGAGACATCCTTCTCGAGGAGTTTATCTAGAACGAATTAATCACATACTCTTCGTTGCAATTGACCGAGGCACATACCGGCAAACTTGAGGCCTTTATCCAATGAAGCTTGCGAGCTATCGACCAGAGTCACCGGCACCTGAGCCTTCTGGGCAGCAACTAGAGCAATTCCTAGGCCCTGTGAGTTGTTAGAATATCCCCGATATTCAGAGAGACTGTTGACGGACCATCTGTCCCGCACCGATCACACCTAGCGACTTGACCTCGGCAGCGCATGTTGCGGAAGTAGAACTGAAGCTGCGGGCCACCGTAGGGCCATTGCGAGTGACTGAACGAAGGGAAGCAGCAAACATGGCGGCAACAATCGAGGAATAAGAAAGAAAAAAGAAGGTGTAACAGAGCAAAAAGGTGGAGTTGACAGTAACAATTCACATGCCCGCGGTTAAGCTCGGTCACTTTCGGCGATTACGTCAGTCGGTCCATCTTGCGCACTTGGTCGCTGTTCCTTGCCCGAGACTCAACGCGTCGCGACGGACGCGCTTTAATGGATAGAATAGTGAGTGCGTGAGTGAGTTACAACACACCCATCACCCACCCACCATGGACCAAGAGGTAGTCGCCGTGGGACACGACGTCCAAGTCGTCGACCCTGACGTGCGCGGCTATGTGTATAGCCTGGTCACGGCTGTGAGTGTGTTCCTCAAGAGTCCCGCGAGTGCTGATTGCTGATACACTGGGTAGCTGGGAGGATTCAATGGCGAAGATGCCGACAAATATGTCCTGGGAGATGACGCGTTAGCATGTCTGCGCGACATCAAGCGGTGGCTGAAGCTGTACGACGAAAAGAACAACCGCATGGACGTGGTTCGATGTCTCGGCGAAGCCAACCTGGTGAACGGGGACATCCTGCCAATTCTGTCGGTGTGGTGGGTAAATGGACAGAAGAGCAAGCATCTGACCCGGATTGCACTGGCATGCTGTAAGCGTTCTTGGATAACTGAAGATTCGACCACTAACTCGAGCAGTGGAGCTCCTCGTCCCCTTGACCTGGCCGGTCGAGTTTCACAACCAGATGACCGTCAATCACCACCGCCACACACCATATTTGCAGCAGGTGCAAGTGCAGTACAAACGGGGTCTTCTCAAATATGGCGGATCGAGTCTTCTGCGCGCCGTGATTCGGATTGCTCTTCCCAGCATGGCGATAGCCCGATCAGAACGAACAAGTCGAGACGAAGGAATCCTTAAGTTGATGCTCTACCTTCTACGAAATGTCGCCATTATATCTCCGAATACACGGCTTGCAGCAGAGGGTGACGAGGAGGAGACATCCCGATCAACCACAATCAATGCTTTCCAGGACCAGGACGCGTTTGCTCTGCTCCTGACCATGTGCTCCAATGTTGGCGATGATTTTAATCTGCAGGACGTTGTTCTGCTGGAAGTGCTTTTCCACCTGGTCAAAGGTGTCAGCGTGGAGAAATTGTTCATGCACGAGGATCAGAGGAAGGTAAAACGGTCAGAAGAACTCGGCGATCTCCTGCGCAAAGAATCACAGGTACGGCGGGAATATGCAAAAAACGCCCCAACACGGCATGGACGATTCGGTACAATGATTTGGGTCAAGCGAGATGAAGGGAAGGTGTCCACGGTCTCTGGACAAGATGTTCTTCGGGACAACCAAACCACCCTCAACAAAATGGACCAGAGTAAGAAGTGGAACAAGCCTCGACCACGTCGGAGACAAGAGGATGTGGCATCAATTAATAATTTCAACATGCCAACGCATCTCACATCTTTAGCCTCGAAGAACCTGAGGACGTTTGTGGAGGAATTCCTGGATTCGGGGTTCAACCCTTTGTTCACTCACGTACGAAAAGCGATTGAACGTGAAGCGGAGCGTGTCCTTGAAGTAAACTCGCGGCAGTTCTTTTACACGGTTGCCTGGTTTCTCGAAGCAGAACGTATGCGACGCGCCCGCCAACAAAGACAGCGGACCCAAAGCGAGGATTCCGCCAAACAGACAGAGCCTGACAGCTATGGTCTTGTTGCCGGCGTGCTCAACCAGGAGACGTTCATTACTCTGAACCGGGCCATGCAGAGCAGTTTCGACAACAAGGAATGGGAAGATCTCAATGCACAGATGCGCTGCTTCACGCAGATCCTATTGACGGTCCAGGAAATGGCCGTTTCGCCCCTCGAAGAAGACCATGAGATCGCGGAGAATATTCAAAATCGAATTTTTTACGAAGAGACGACCCATGACCGGATCCTGGCTATCGTCCGTGGGTACAAAGACCAAGGATTTGGATACCTGGATGCGTGTACCGAGCTTGCACATGTCTTCTTGCGAATGCTGGAACGATATTCGAAAGAAAATACCGATATGCAAGTGCGGTCACGTCGAAAGGCTACACGCAAGAAGAAGGCTGATAAACCCACGGAAGAGGGCGGCATGGAAAGTGATGACGAGAGTGCCTCTGAAGACGAAGACAAGGAGGATGCAGCCCAGGTTATCAAGGAGCGTGCTTTCGATTTCAAGCGCTTTGCCGCCAAGTTTTGCAACCAGAAATGCGTCGATACGTTTGTCGCGTTCACCACATATTACCGGGAGTTGAACTCAGAGCAGCTCAAGCGCGCCCATCGCTACTTCTATCGCACTGCGTTCAAACAGGAGATGAGTGTCCTGTTGTTTCGACTAGACATTATCAATCTATTCTACAAGATCGTCAAAGGCCCCGGGGGGATGGATTCCAGCAACCCCATTTTTAAAGAATGGGAGGAATTGGTTCAGCAGATTCTGCGACGACTGATCAAGAGACTGGATCAACGTCCTGCTTTGGTCACCGAACTGCTTTTCAGCAAGATCAACGCCACTGCTTATTACCTAGAGTACGGTCACGAACGACAGACCTTGTCTACTGCCAAACGCCCACCCGCAGAGCTCGAGATCGCTTCCAAGGAGGCCACCACAAAAGAAGCCAAACTGGGGCTAATTGTTGGTGCCCTTGTACTCGATGGACGGGCTGATTTGGTTAAATGGGTGGTTGACATTCTTGGCTCGGCAGCATCTGAGAGAGAGGCTTGGGATGCTCAAGAAGAAGCCAAGAGGGCAGAATCTTCTGAGGCGATCAGTATTCCTCATCCTATGATTCGTAAGTTCATCTATCCTTTCTTTAGCTGAAGATGATCTTTTAACTCTGCAGCAGCCGTCAAAGCCCGAGATGAATTCTGCAAGAACGCCATGTTCGCAAATGCGAAGCTTCGTCTTCTCATGACCGTGGTCGGGTTTGAGCGACTTGGAGTGGAGGATGTGCCCGGTGCTTCCTGGGTAGTTCCTTCAGCTATGACAGCCCAGGATCTATACGGAATTATCTTGGAGGTTAACAAGGCTCTGGTGAGCCCTGTATCCGAAGAAAATGATCCTCGTGAGCAGCTTCGACGCAAGCCCACTGGAAGCGCGCGTGATAGTTTGACGCTGCAGCCAAATGGCAATGTCAACTTTGGGTCAGAATCTGAAGGCGAAGACGAAGTCCCGGATGGTTTCTTATTCCCTCCGAATCCGCGATCCAAGTCCAATGCGCTAGACGAGTTGAAGAAGAAGCGCAAGAAGAAGCAAAAGGGTGACGTCGACAAGGAACCGCTAGACGATGAGACTCTGGAGGAGCGTCGTCAGGCTCGTCTTACGAATACGCTGGCCCGCCAGGCAAAGATCAAGAGCGACCTATTCATCCATGCTAGTGACGAAGAAAGCGATGAGGAAGCTGATAAGGAGTTCTTCCGCCTGGAAGAAGAGCGGCGAAAAACGCAAGCCGCAAATGTCAAAAAGGCTATGCTTACCAGCGAAACGGAAACCGCCCCAAGCAAGAAGAAAGCCTCACGCAAACGAAAGAGCGACACTGGCGCCGCAAAAGCCAAAAGAGCGCGCCGCAAGTCCGCCGAAAGCAATGCCAATAGCGATGGAGACGATGATATCCTGATGGCGGATTTGGATGGCCAGTCGCCTCGTTCGCCGCAAGAAGTCTCTACTAGCCATGGAGCTGTGGACGAGGACACCCCGCTTACATCGGCCGAAGACGATCTCTACTTCGACGATGATCTTGCTTTCAGCCGAGATAAACCTCACATCGCGACCACTGAGACCCCCATGGATGTCGACGATGATGAAGAAGATACCCCGGTGGTTCCGTCACGGCGGCGGATGCGCGGAGGATTTGTTCTTGAGAGTGACTCGGAATGAGTTGATTATTATTCGTGATGACTGATGAGGCATTGACTGGGATTATGTAGAACATTCAGGGATAACCACCTCAATTGCAACATTGGCTGTGCCTCCTAAAGCGAGTACTTCGGTTTCTTCACGGTGAGTCAGATAAAGTGGGGAATTGCCGACTTGTATATAACCCACTCGGGACTAACTCTTTTTCTATCTTCTCCAGATAAAAAACTTTCAATCAACCATCATGGCTCTCAAGTTCGTCACGCTTGATGTTTTCACTTCTCAGCCATACAAGGGGAATCCCTTGGGCGTTGTCTTTCTGGATACCTCGGTCCCAGTGAACCAGAGCCAGAAACTAGCCATCACGCAGGAGTTCAACCTCTCGGAAACTATCTTCGTGCACCCGGTCAATAGCGCCGAAAAGCATAAGCGCACCATTGACATCTTTACGACCATCTGCGAGATCCCCTTCGCAGGCCACCCGACCATCGGCGCAGCTTCGTGGTTCCTGTGTCACGCTGAGGGCGGGGTGACCACCCTAACAACCAAGTCCGGCGACATCCCGATTTCCCTCTCGGATGCTACAGGCCAAGCCGTGTCTGCACAAATTGCACACAACACGCACATCCATGCGTCCCGACTCAAGCTGAACGACCTGCTGCGCCTGCACCCGACTGTGGCGCCGTTCTTCCCTAATCCCGAGACCACGTTCCCGGTCTTCTCCATCGTAAACGGCATGAGCCAGTTCTTTATCGAACTACCTTCTTTGGCAGCTTTGTCCGTTGTGACATCCGCTACGGGAGGCGAGCTGTTCGACTCCTCGGAGCATGGGAACTACCTGGACGCCGGGTGGACGTCTGGTCTTATCTGTGTGTACTTTTTTGTTCGTGATGTCGAGGACGATGTTACCAAGCAAAAGGTCATACGTACTCGCATGATGCTGGGGAGTCTGGAGGATTCGGCGACGGGTAGCTCGGCGAGTGGTCTCGCAGCGTACTTGACCCTTACGGAGGGCCAGGCGGGCCAGAAGTATAAGTATCACTGTGTGCAGGGGGTGGAGATGGGACGGCGCAGTGATATTGGGGTTGATGTGACGCTGAATAGTGAGAGGCGGATTGCAGAGGTCGTGCTCAAGGGGACTGCGGTCAGGGTGTCGGAGGGTACTATTACGGTGCCTGAAGCGTGATGCGATAAACGAGATTATTATTTGACAGATGTATTACTGCGACCTATTCTGAAACAGCATTTTTCGCAGATTGGACGTGCTTGAGCGGGTCGGCGGAGATGTATTTATTGGTGTCGAATCTGTTGGAAACTTTGTGTATCTTGCTCAAAGCTTACCCTGTTGGACCAATTCCCTCAGAACTTTGATAGTGCCTTCAACCGCCATCTGACTCATTTTCTTCTCCTTCTCAAGAAGTGCTTCCAATTCCTCCTTCGAGACACCAGGATGCCTCCACTCGAAGATATAGGTCATAAATAACTCGCCGTTCGCGCCTTCACTGATAACGTTGCTGACTCGGCTTCCATCCGGCTGGGCAAATTCCACGCGACAGTCTTCAAAGGCTGTAACCGTTTCCTGGACTTTCCGCTGGGTTTCGCGGAAAAGTACTTCCCGCACAGTGACGGAATTACCGGTTGCCGGATCGACTGATTCACTTAGGACCGTGGTGGATTGAATAGCGGCTGGGACAAATGTTTCAGCAGAACGAATCTTGAGGAGTAGTCCGGCCCAGATCTGCTTGCGCGTGAGGGCTGGGGAGGAAGGGTTGATCGGGGCAGTGAACGCGATGTTGTTGGTGGAAGACATTTTCTTCGTTGAGACTCGACGGTTATTCTTGCGATATGCGCTGTAAATTGTGGACTCGTCGGGAGTTGAAATATGTTTTTCGCAACGCGATGATGACTTGAAAGACTACAAAGCTCGGAGTGACGTGAGGGCCGATTTTGGAGCTTACAAACCTCGGCGGATGATGACGCCGAGCATTGGACATTCTTTCATCCCGTCTGGTGGGGCTATTATCCATTGCCTCGGGGTCAAACAGGCTGTAAGTGACTTAGAAACGGCCCGTGTCTATGTTATCACTGTATTAATTTCTTTGACTAGCATCTTTCCATCTGCTAATTCTTGGCGTGTGCCAGGCGAATTATGCTATAAATGTCTTGAATGAACATCGATTGACCCATTGGTGGGAACCACTTTCTTTGGAAAGACGCATCGCCCTTCAACATAACTCGAGTTACAGCTACTAGCTGATGCGAAGAACAGCGACCGTTAAATGGCTCCGAATTTAGAACCCCAATTGATCAAGCTCCTATGTTGCTGTGATCTGGATTGGAGAGCGATCGCACCCAATATCCCACATCTTGCAAGGGGAAGGGGACCGCTTCCTCTCCCTACACCCTACCGAGATACTTTATATACTTTATCCTCACTCCACATATCTTTCTCGAGTGGGACAGCCCGGAGTATGATTTGGGGCCGCCGTGGGAAACGTATGGAGCCCTTGATCTCGCCCGTAGTCCGGCCACTCAGCATAGGCATTTTATCTGTAGCGGTGACCCCCAGGGTGACAATAAATCCGACGCGAATCACAAAAAAGGGAGGACGAAGCAGCGAGAATTGTGCGCATGAAGAGGGCACGGGCTGGGTCAACACCCAGGAGTTGCGACAGCTGATCGACACTCTGAAAGACATCATCCGTTTACCACGCCCGTAGATCCCACTCTGCCCCCAGAAGGCGGCACGATCAAACGTACACAGACTAAGCGCCAGCCAAAGTTGCATCACTTTTCTGTTGGTTATCAATTACTTCACTGTTTAACTGCCTAAGAAGGCCGGGGCTTTTTTGAGTGATTAGCCCAGGGTAGGTCAAAGATAGATGGTGGGACAAATGCTTGTGCGCGCATCTCCTTTTCCAACTTGTCTGGTACGGTGCTACTGAACGTCACTTCTACAGACGCCCAAGTGGCCGGGATTGGCACTACCAGGACTGGTTTCGTGATCTGTTTCAAAGACCTGGAGTCAGCCGACATGTCCCGCAACAACACCGAATGCCTAAACGGATTAGGAAATAGTATGAAACTGGTGAAGCCACGGTTCGGTATCGTCGTACACCGTACTCCAATGGAGGGCTTCGATTTAGAAAACTATCGAGAAAATCATGGAAGAAAACGAACTGACCGAAAGAAGAGAGATAAAAAGCTAGGGAAGTTTGCATTTCTAGGAATCTGGCTTGATTCGGCGGCAACATCATGCCTCCTTTTTTCGGTACATGATATCCGTCCTCACCGTGTACTTAACACCCCGAAAGACATCGTCGCCGGCATGAAACAAGTTGCGTTGCTGGAAAATGAGAAGCGATCCTGTCTTGGGAAAGACTCGCACGGCATCTTTCGCCATGAAGCCGTCCGTGAATGATGTTGCTCCGCCAAGGAGTGTCTCGTTCCAGGCAGAAGAAGAATCCCTGCCCTCACCAGTTTCTCCGATTGCACCATCCCCAATCTCCCTTAAATCACTTCCCCCGGCCTGGGCAAACAGCCCATTCTTCTTCTCAGCAGCTTCAATATGCGGCCGCAATTCCTCCATATCCTGCTCACCCTCACCATTTAGGTACAGGTGAATCGTGTAAAACGATCTCTGCGATCCATCAGGCGTAACATAGCTCCCATCCCAGTGCGTACGGAAGTAGTCACCGCCCTCATACCTCAAGAAGCGCATGCGCTCATTCAACCCGCTAACCTGGTATACCTCATTGCGTTTTGCAGGCCCTAGACCCGTAATGTGGGGTTGGTTGTCGATCTCGTCGATGCGACACTCGCGCAAAAAAGGCATCAGACGGTCCAGCAATCGAGACGCCATCTCGGGCGAGTCCCAGATGATGCGACCGCTCTTGCGTGTATTGATGGACATGACTTGGCGTCCATTTCCGGCATTAACCATGGCCTGCTCCCATGTCGCTGCAGATGTGGGGTTTTCTGGGGCTGTGGAAACTTCTGCTAGACGAAGAATCTCTTTGCATTCGGATTCGGTCATGAAATTGTCCACAATGGCAGCAAAATAGCCTTTATACGCGGGAATCGGCGGTGTGGTGGCCATGAAGTCAATCTGGCGGAGCGATGCATTTGCGGGGTTTCCCCTTAAGAAGCTGTCTGGGATGACCGAGGAAGCCATTGTGTTGGCGTTGTGGATACTGGGTAGTTTGAGATGCCAGAGTATTGAGTATTGCAGAGAAAAAGTAAGTTGGTTGCGATGGTGACTCACGTGTTTGTTTATCAGGCAACAGCGAGGCTGAGAACCAGCACTTTGATCCTGATCCAGGATGTCAGTATCAGTAATTTATCCCACTGCCGCATCCTGAGGCTGACCCACTTGGTATTCTCCCAATCAAGAAACTGTGCCCCGGTGTTGACAGATTTCACCTGTATGGATGCTTCTCTACTATAAATTTGGACATGATAGCTAAACCTGAATACCGTCGTTTTCAATCATTGTCACATGACACTATCTAGTAAATTTACTAGTGGATACGCAAATTCCAGACTCCCACATAGGATACAACGTCTGCCAATACGGAAATATCAATCATTATTTTTAACAACTTAATTTGAGAACATTCAATTAAGATCAATATCGCTACATAAAAATGGGGCGTTGCGGGCAAGGCCTTAAGTCCACCTAAGCATCTGTAAGCTCAGAGTAGCACGACGCGGTCATACTCATGTGGATTTAAAGTCAACCGGGCCTGCTCCGTAGCCTTGCGAATCGACTTTGAGGTTTGAGGCAGCAGTTCCAATGTCTGTAGCAGAATGGACTGAAGACCCTCACAGATCCCTGCTTCGAGATTGCCGCCATCCACATCACGTTCAATACCTTTCCACAGCAGCTGCACTCCTGCCACGACGTGATGAGGATAAGGGTCAATGGCGATAAGAGGAAATGTGCGGTTACTACCTTGTGATTCTCCATGTCGCTGTGCTATGGTGAATTGATTGCTCAGTCCAAATTTCAGACAGTTCATTAGACTGCCCTCCGCTTCGGACCTTATACTGGTCATGCGATCCAGGATATCAATGCGTCTTGCAATTTCAATGGCGTCGGTAATTATTAATATGCACAGATTATGATGCAGCATGAGTTCATCTGAGAAGTTTTGGATTCAATTAGTCTCACCAGCTGCTGTTTGACGAAATCCAAGAACTTACACCAGCGGAGTTTCGTATGCTGACCCAGAAATTGAAGACGTCGTTCACACATTGCCAACAGAGGTCGATAGGTAAAGTTGAACTGATTGATCGTGTCAACCGCACAGGTATATGCATGTTGCACAGCCTTTTCCGCATGACCTTCCCGCAAAGCCTCCTTGAGAATGGCTCCGACCTTCCACAGACGGAGTTTAAATGCTTGTGCAGCTGCGATGATTTGATTTGCAGTCTCTTCTGTAACCATAACTCCATGGGAACGCCAGTTCTCCGATTGGTCGTGAAAAATGTCGGTACATGTTTTGACCATCCTCCAAGAGGCTTCCAGCTCCCATCCCAGGAGTCCAGATGAAAGCTGCGATTTGGTGTTGAGTGTTAGAGATGATGACGTTTCGAATGTAAGGGCGGCCCAGTATATCATGTTTTCCATGGTCATGAAGTCTGTTCGCATCCGATCTGGAGTAGAAATCACCGCTGCCTGGTCGGACAGAAGCGAGACTTTGGAGCCATTGAACTCCAAGCTTCTTTGCCGAGCGCGGAGGTATTGAACTTGCTGCAAGGCGGCCTGAACGCAAACCTGAGCTGGAATGCCGTTTTCCTCTTCTTCCTCTGATATACCGACAGGTACCGGTACCATAGAAAACAGATACAAACTCAACATCGACCGATAGCAGGGTCGATTCATAGCTTTTGGTAGCTTCCTCCGCAAGTCGCGCCAGAGGCTTTGTATTAGCTGGGTCTGTGCTTCTTTGTGGGAAGATGAGTCGAATGTAAGAGGCAACCATCGAGCAGAAAATGTTTTTATGGCTTGGTTCAAAGTGTGGTCAATTTGCCGCTCTTTATCAATCTCTGCCTGTGTGAGACGCTGGCTGATCGGCCCATGTGAGCCTTGAGCCTCCAAATCCATCATCAATTGATCGAATTGCCGGCAGAGAGAGGAAATGCTAACAGCCAACGAGAGAGTAGGATGTTCCCTAGGACTGTCTTCTAAGCACCCACGCTCGCCAAAGCTAGAATTTTCCGAGTTAGCCTCTTCAGCATGGAAGGTCCTGATTGACTTACGCGAATGGGCAACTGTAGTTCCCCAACCACGACCCAAACACAGCCTCGAAGCCATCTTCGTACATAGTTTGCAGCCAATCCGCTACATCCGTGCCCAAACTCGGCATTCGCATGGATGCCAGAGAAGTTTCATCGAAGTCATGGCTATCCGCTCGCTGGTCAGATCTGAGGGGTGTGTAATTAGTGACTGTGGGTTCAAGCTCAACGGACAAATTACCTAGAATCAGGGATATGAATTGGGCTTGGCTGCTTCGGACTCAAGCTGAGATCAATCACTTGGCCAGCCGAGCGAATTGATGGGGGCGATGACATTTCGTTCCAACGCTCCGATGGGTCTTCTGAGCCACGGGGAATTCTTCTCATCCACTAATCAATTCTCCACATTAGAGCTCACAGTATGTAATCAGCTGATAGCCAAGAGCTTACATCAAAACTGCAATGCCGACCGCGGCTTGCACACCGGGTGCAGGCGGCCAGACCCCTGGCAGACCGGCGCAGGGCATCGCATGCGACGCGAGACTTGCGACAGGCATCACAACTGGAAAACTGTTTGCGGCGGTACCTCCCATCGGTGTGCATGGCGACAAGGCCGCCGATGAAGACGACGTTGTCTGGATGAAGATTTGGGGCCCGGATCGAACACTATTGTGGGTCGGGTCCACCCCCGCACGGAGAATCTATCTCCTCCGACCGTTTTGGAACATATTACATTATTATTAGGAGAAAAATCCGGGGAAGGAGCGGGGCCTGTGAAGCTCAGGCCCTACTTTTCAGGTTGCCTAACCAGGATGAACAAACACAACTACTTGTCAAGTGCAAGTGACATCGGAGACTGTTCTTCCGCGTTTCCCGGATCCGAGTCATATAATTGAACAGGGGGACAAGATCGGAAGCGGATTTTGGTTCTCCGCATTTCTACTTTATGGAGAATACGAGACGCTATTACTGGACCATGATCACACGAAGCGTTGAATCCGCTACGATCGTCGACCATGTCCCCAGATGGAAGATCTGACCCCGTTGTTATAAAACCAGGTGCACACGCCCTCAACCGCGCCAGTTGTGCCGGTTGTTCCCCTTTCATCAACACCAGAGCTCAAAAACCTTGGAATGGCGCGATTCGGAGGCCTTCGAGGCTCCAAGCTTCACCTGGCCGTGTGGGCAGAGGCCTGGTTTGGTATAATGATCTTCGGCTTCAATCAAACATCGGCTGGAGGTGTGCTCGCCGACGTTACCTTCAATAAACAATTCCCCCGAATGAATACCTTGACGACATCGGGATCTTTGCAGGCATACAATGCGAAGATCCAAGGTAATCTCGCTCAACTCCCCCAAAGAGAAATTGCAAGCTAAACTTAGACAGGTACCGTCGTCGCTATGTATACACTGTTCGGCGTGTTCGGAGCTTTGGGCTGTACTTTTCTCGGAGACAAATTAGGTCGTCGCAAGACCATCTTTATTGCTAGTATTGTTCAAGCCATTGGGGCGATTCTTCAAGCCTCTTCCTTTGCTTTTGCACAGTTCATTATCGGCCGCATTTTCTTGGGACTCGGAACTGCGGGAATGGTTGCTACTATATCTGTCTGGCAGTCTGAAGTTTCAAAGGCTGAAAACCGCGGCGAACATGTCTCTGCTTTTGGGATTTTCTGTTCGTCTGGTATGGTGGTGGCTCTATTCCTTGCATTTGGAATGGGCTACACGCAGCCGAATTCGGTGTCCTGGCGTTTCCCCCTCGTTTTTACTGTGCTACCGTCAATCCTGGTCTGTTGCGGTATCTTTAAGCTACCGGAGAGCCCACGATGGCTAAGCAAGCAGGACCGCTGGGAAGAAACACGAGAAATCCTTGGGCTTCTATACGACGACGACCCACACGGTGAGGTTGTGAACAAAGAAGTTCGGGATATTCAAATCTCCCTTGAGCGTGCTAGCAAAGGCAAAGGCAGCCTTGGCGCCATGTTCAAGATGGGGCCGCAGCGGACATTCCACCGGGTGATCATCGCGGCAGTCGCCCAAATTATGCTCCAAATGAGCGGTATCAATGCGATTGTCTACTACGCCCCGTCTATTTATGAGAATGAGCTACACTTTAGCGGGAAGATATCGAGTGTTCTAGCGGCTTCATCCCAGTTTGCCCTAGTCATCGGTTCCTTCTGCTGTGCCTATACGGTCGACAGATTTGGCCGTCGCAGGCTAATGCTCTTTAGTGCTTCTGCAATGAGTGTTTGTTTCGCTTGCATTGCCGGCCTTACTTCGAACCCAGATAACAAGCCTGCTCTGAAAGCCGCAGTCTTCTTCACTTTCCTATACTGCTTTGTCTACGTTCTGGGGTTTCTAGGTATTCCATTCCTCTACGCCAGCGAGGTGGCGCCCACTCACCTGCGGGCTTCTGTGTGTGGCTTATCAACCGCTATTTCTTGGCTATTTAATTTCCTCGTCGCCGAAGTGACCCCAACTGCCTTCACCAATCTTGGCTGGAAGTATTTCCTAGTCTTCTTCTGCCTGAACGCTGCATTCGTGCCAATCATTTATGTCTTCTTTCCCGAAACGTCGCAACGATCACTGGAAGAGATTGATCAAATCTTCGAATCTTCAAGCTCTATCTTCGATTCAGTTTCGGTGGCTAAGAAATTACCTAAGCGTCATCTCGCTCAATATCTGCAAGAGGAAAAGGGGGCTGATGTTGCCGTTGCTTTTGCTGAAGCCTCTCACGTCGAGGAGGTGGTGTAGCCACCGTGGGTGGAAGTTGATTATGTCCTTGAAGAGGAGTGTTAGCGGTTCTGCGGGCTTTCTTTTATATTTGTCTATGGAATGCCTGTGTTGGCCAATTCTTGCAATTAATCTAATTCAGAGTGGTCTTGTCTGGAATTTCCTTGACGACTTACTCGCCGGAGGTTTTTTGTTGAAGATATGAAATACAAGCTCTGTGCTATAGTTTGTCACCTGATTGAAAAAGACCGATCGGGATTCAAGTCGAAGACAGGTACTGGTTCCGGATAGTAGTGGGACTATCGGATCCGATAATTTCGACCAATCAAGAGTTCTACTCGCGGGCATTACGCTTATTAATCATCCATCGGATCCGTGACCGTCGGATCCGTGACCATCGCCGAGTTGTCCGTTGTTCTTTTTAAGCCGAGAATACTAATATGCGAATTGGTTCCCAGTCTGTTCTTCCCACAAGAAAAGTTGATGCTAATTCGCCGCTCCGAATTCAGTACATAATACTAAGCCGCACCCTATATTTCCAACGGTTGGCAATAGATTTTTCCTCTCAAACCCACCATGGAACCCTCCAGCGCACCTCGAGGGTCCGTTGTGATCTTAGGGGCTGGAACACAAGGTAGAAGATTGGCCTATATGGTAAGTAAATGAGCGAGGAAAAGTTACTCTTAAGACTAACACCACCCATCTCCTAGTGGTCAAGTAAAGGTGGAACTGTTCATCTTGTAGATCTGAAAGAGGTGCAGCTTCAGGAAGGATTGGAATATGTGCAACGACTTCGCTCTGAAACTTCCAATCATGAGGGAAGCTGGGGCGATGTCAAAATATCCACTCCTGGTTCTCTCAAGCAGACGCTCCAAGATGCATGGTTGGTTGTTGAGGTATGTGATATTCTTTTTTTTTAAAAAAAAACCCCCCAACAAAAGGGATTCGGCAAATTCGACGATTTAACTTATCATGTTGTAACAGTGTGTGCCAGAAAACCTGTCCCTGAAGAAGAAGGTCATTGCTCAGCTCGATGAACTTGCTCCTGAGGACACGGTCATTGCGTCGAATTCCAGCAGCTACGGGGTCTCAGAAATCATAGAAGGGATGAGCTTGAACAACAGTAAAAGGGTTCTGAGCGCACATTGCTGTTAGTGGTAACATCGTCGTATGGCTTCTGATCGGAATTTACTGACTTGGTATTATGAAATGACCAGACTGGCCACCAGAGACATCAGGTATGCTTCTTCTACGCTTTGAAATAATGACGAAAACAAGCATCTGACTCTGAATCAAAATATCAGCAATTGAAATCATGGGCCACAAAGATACAAGTCCATCACTTATTACGCTGCTGTTGGAGCAGTCTAAGTTACATGGATTTTCGCCATTTCACGTCAGAAAAAGCTCCATCGGCTACCTATACAACAGGATCTGGGCAGCCATCAAGAGAGAAACTCTGCTTACCCTTTCCGAAGGGGTCAGCACTCCACAAGAGATTGATGCCATTTTCAAGGATGTCTTGAAGACGCCAAAGGGACCCTGTCAGCTGATGGATGTGGTTGGCCTTGATGTTGTGTTGGATATCGAGAATCATTATGCGGATTCGCGAGCTGGCATGCCATCCGAACCCCGAGAGTATCTTCAGAAAATGATCCAGGATGGCCATTTGGGGATCAAAAGTGGCCAAGGATTCTACAATTATGATGCAACGCAGGAGAAGGGCAGTGGCATTTGAATTGTACTATATGCCTGAAGCTTTTGTTGTCAACATTCGATGCCCCGTGTCTACCGCAAAAGTACTTCATTGTATTGTATTCTGGTCAAGGATGATCTGCATCTAAGCAGCAAAAATGTATACGTACATGAGTCAAAGTACGGTGGTGGTCACCCAGAGTCGCCCAATCGGTCAGAGGCGATCCTACCATTCTTTAGGCGGCTTTAGGCGGCAATTCAGGACCTCGAATACTCTTCACCCAAGACTGCCTAAAGGCTAAGCCTCGTAGTTAAATAGGTGTATTTGCTTGTTCTAGTGATGGGGAAGTCTTAGCGATCTCACAAAGTTAAACCTAGCGCTATTGCTGCTCTCACAGTCATGTGTGGTTGCCGTAGACCTAGTGAAGCACCCTCCCTCCCCCGAAAGCAAAAAAATGGGTGAACAAAAAACATACAACAGCCAGGATTCGCATGTGGTCACCCACCATACTACTGACTGGCCGGCGTGTGGCTTAAGTACGGCTGAGCGGACGGGAAGCCCTGCTCTCCACACCCTATGGTCGTATGTGCTGGGAAACATGTTTAAAATATTCATGTAGTGAATATACCTACGTATGACCGGGGTGAGAAGGGCGAGTGCGTGATAGACAAGGCGAGAAATGGGACAGTGAGTGGACCGCCAAAATAGTTCCCATTGCACTTGTACCGCCTGGCTGCCGCTTCCCACCGCCTGCCCAGTCTCCGCCCGGCCCTGGGATGTTCTCAAACATGCGAAATTTGATAATTTTCTCACCATGTGAGAAAAATCAATTTCTGTCATTGAAATGAAATTGATTTTCTCTTTGCTTGTTTGCTTTGTTGCAATGCTGTTCAGCTTTCGCCCTTTGGCACTAGACTCTGTCATCAAATCCGTACGCTCTGGAACACTCGGGCTATATCAAAGTTTTCCCAAGCTATCATTCAATGCTATCTCTCGCTCCTTTTCCGATCGTCATGCGACCGAAATATCTGGTTCAAATTTTGACCACTCATCATGTGAAAAGGCTGATCGTGAAACATACCGGCAAATCCTTATCGATGACGATGAACACAATCTGACGTATACATTTCAGCTGCTCATGAATATTGTTAGGCGACCTTGCCTTGGTCACTTCGTGAAGCGGATTAAGTACGTTCACAGACCCAATAGTGGTGATGACTACCCCGAATTACCATATCAACGCGATCTATGCGCAGATGATATGCGCCTTCTCAGACGTGCGGTAGAAAATGCGGGCTTTCAGGGCGACAAGGAAGATAAAATCATCAATATGCTCATGCAAAAAAAACTATACCAGGACTTAGGCTACAATACCACTGAAGGCTGTAGGGTCTGGTAGGAGGCCCTCTTGGACGTGCCCTCGGGTGATTTTATATAGAAATCTGACATCCAGCATCTAGGAACTTTGACATTACACCCACCTTCATCACACAAGCTATTGCCGCCATAATCGTATCTATGTCACCAAATCTTGAGACTATGGCAATGACACAGCCTTTCGACCACTACACCGACCTTGAAGAGGGCAAAGAATGGGCCAAAGAATTCCCGCTCGTTCAAGTTTTCCGATATGCCAATTCCCGCCCCGAGGGAACTCACTTCCTTCAGAAATTGCGTGATGTCTATTTGATAAATAGAGATAGGCGTGATATTGATGATGATCGGTTCTATGCGCAGACGGATTTGATTGCCTGTCTCGAGCTCTTCAACAAACTCCCATCCATCGAGTCATTTGGTATTGATGTGCTTGAATCGGACGAGAACAACGGCAAACAGACCTGTGAGGAGGCAAGCTCGCATATCAGCAAAATCAAAATCAACCACTCCTCTCTGGACTCGGGCTATCTCTTATGCGTGATGGCATCGAGTAAAACCCTTACCGAAATTCAATATACCACCGGAGGCAGGGCAAGCCTCGATGGTGGATATCCTATGTTCAATCCAAAAGCATTTTTCAAAGGGTTATCCGTGTACAAAAATTCGCTAAAAGCTCTCGACATAGATACCGAACAATTTACCCCGAGCTATCCTGGTGAAGCAAAGTCGCAAGGCTTATTTGTCGACTGGGATCAATATGGAGGCCCAGGTGAATTCGATTTTGACGCATACGGCCCCGATTTTCTCACTGAAGATGACCCCGATCTCAAGGCGCACCGATACTTAACGTCGATTTGGGACCGCGACGCGTCATTGAAAGACTTCGGGGCATTGAAAGAACTGAGTCTCGGAATTGGACTCTTGCTTTATTTCGCCCAGGGCGTGGAGATCGATGATATGAAAAGAGCAAGTTTCATGCTCACGGACTGTCTACCAGATAGCCTGGAGTATCTGTCTATTCGAGGCTATGAAAAGGGAGTAAACGAAGCACACGATATGCAGGTGGCTGCGTTGATGGCCCGGTTTGAGTCAGGCTCATTGAGGTTGAAGGAGATCAAGGGGGTTGATGAGATTATTCCAAATGGGTGCCATGTTGAAAATCCGGATAAAGATACCCATTTGTTGTGGTCGATGGAATATTAGTCGAGGTAGCTAGAGGCTTAGAGACTTCACCTTCTGTTACAATGGAAGTTCCCACTATTACTGCATTTTAGGGCTCACATGATGTGGTTATAGGGTAGTACTCTGCAACGAATGCCACATTGGATCTTTCTATTTGTAAGTGTATCTATTTCCCTTTGAGCATGTTTAGGATGTTGTCTCAACCTGAGGCATAAACGCTAGCCCGCGTCTGTTATCTATAATGCAATTTGTATTCTAGAGAAACATAAATTACAACACTAGTGACCACTGTCCTCTACACAAGGAGATATTGGTACGGAAGCGCAAAATCGATGGTTAGAGCCGGTCGAGAGTCAGCCTTCAGCACATGCAGGTGCGTTCGCCCTATACTCTTTCAGATTAATCGCCGCTGTGCAGTGGGCTTCAAAATACAACGAGGACAATTTAAAAGATGATTTTGTAATATCGGTGACGGTAAATGTGCACTAGACGTCGTCCTAAGCAGGCCTTAAGCGGGACCTAGTCGGCCTTGAGCTCCGCTCGGGATAAATCTGTTTCCCCGATACAAAGTAACTCGATTGCTGTCCCATTACCTTATTGTGAATTTTTAGATGAAATCTCCAACCCCTTCTCGACCATAAAATTGCTGCCTATTATACAACGCACCATCTTTGCTCATTGCTTTGTATTCCAGCACGGTCTTTTGTCTCCGTAATAACTGTTCTAGGGCTCCGCCTCATCTATCGCAAAACGCTCTCAATGCAGAATGTCATACTCATCAGCCATGACAGCTCCGATTCACAACCCATGTTTGCGACTGTTGAATGCGATGCGAGCCAATTCGAAGCCTATTATGACTTTTTTGGGGCTTCCATCCTTTCGTACAGCCCAAATTGTAGCTCAGACCGGTGTTGATGTCAGCATTTTTCACCTTCTATAGTTTTCATTTTCACTAATGGTCGAAAAGGGTATCATCATTGATTGCGAGCATGGTCATATCAGCGACGATTCCATGCACAGCTCAACTGCCGCTATCGCTGCTTTGGGAGTGTCGCCGCTTGTTCGTCTCAGAATGACTCACTCGGATTTGATTAAAAGAGCTTTGGACGCCGGTGCACAGTAAGTGATACAAATACTGCCACTTCTGGTACTAAAAACATTACAAGCGGCATCGTTGTACCTCAAATCAATACTGCCGAAGAAGCAAGAACTGTTGTCACTTATTCAAAATTCCCTCCACAAGGGCTTCGAGGGCAGGGCTCATCGTTTCCTGCCATCGCTCACGGCACCGATATGTCGACATACCTGAAAACAGCGAACGAAACGCTTATCACCTGTGTTCAAATTGAAACGAAAGCGGGGATCGAGAATGTTGACGCTATCTGTGCTGTCCCTGGTGTTGGTTAGTAACTGCTACAGAACCCCAAACATAATCTCTCTAACCTCCGTCAAGATATGATTTTCATCGGGCCGAACGACCTTGCACTATCGGTCCTTGGTTATGTTCCAGCAAAAGAAATTGAGCCCGAATTTGTCGAAGCTGTAGAAAAGATCGTCGCAGCAGCTAGGAAGCATAAGAAATGGGTCGGTCGATTATCAAACAACGGGACCTTGTGCAAGGAGCATCTAAAAGTGTTTGATACTGTGGCGATGAGTTACGATATTCGGGCGATTCAAAACTGGTATACAACTGAGTTGCAAGTTGCGCGCGCGTGATACCTTGCAGGGTAGAAGATAGTACGTATTTACCTGAATGTCTAAAAGCTTTCGCATGCATTGTGTCAACACAGCTTAGAATTAGTATAAAGTACGGCAGACGTCCTTCAGTGTATCATGAAATTAGCTGTAAGCTGCACGTACGAGACGGGAGTCAGGTCCTCTTTGGCTACGGGCACGGCAAATTCCAAATACCGTGCATAGGCGATAGCCACTGGTCCCTCCCCGGCTTCGTTCTGTCTCTTGAGGCCCCGAACAAATCGGTGCTGTGTTGCCTCTGTTCTCTCTATATTGTATTTTCCCAACTCTAAACCCTCACTACTAGAAACCATCCGACCGTAGACTGAAAGCCACATGGGGTTTAGCCTTTGATCAATTACAGGTTCTTTCAAAGACAAACACTTGAAATGCTGCATTAATAGTGTTTAATGAGATTAAGCAGATATTCATTTTTCCCATTTATCCTTGAAATCCCGGTGAGATCGTTGCACTTTTCTCTGGACTAATCCCCGGGCGGATGTCGGATTCGCCACTCGGCAAGATCACACCTTGCCGTGACGCCTTAGCCGAGCCGACCTCGCCAGGATGGAATTTCCCCGACAATGCTGCACACTCCTCGAATCGTGTGATTCAACAACCCATTGACGAAATGAGATCAAATTTGTCGAAATTGCCGAATGGCGCGGTCACGAAGCCACATAAGAAATCTGTTGCGTAAGTGCTCATTCGGTCGCCGCACTATCCACGGTGCTCATTGCATCTCTCTAGCTGCCAGAGGTGTCATACACAGAAGATCAAGTGTTCTGGGGGCCATCCCTGTACCAAATGTCGAAATGCTGGGTGCCCGGCTGACTGCCTTTATGTAAATCGGGACCGTCAAATCAAAGTCCATGAGAGGTGAAGGCGAAACGAGGACTTCACGCGAGCACCAATCCGCTAACGCATAATAGCTATCTTGACCAGCTAGCTGCCGAGAATGCACGGCTGCGCGAACAGCTTTCTCAATCTCCAGGTTTTGTGGAACCGGACGATCATGCCGATTCGGAAGGTAAATTTCCCTCTTATTCCTGTCTCTTGCCGAGGTAGAAAGCCCTAAACCCCAGTCCACAGACGCTGGGCTTCCCGATGGCGATACGCACGTCCAGAATCCAATGCTTGGAGAGCAAGCATGGTTTCAGCCCTACGATCCATCGGCTCCGCCAATTCACATTGGGGAAGCAGCATGCACAGCCTTTGCCACTCGCCTCCGTCAGGTTCTGACGACAAACAAGACGACATCTCACATACCACGCACACAGTATACTCCAGAATCGACCTTAATGAAGCTTCGAAGTCCCGCGCCTGAATGGCCAAGCCTGCCTCAGGCACGGCTGTTGATCCAGATTGTGTTCAATCAGGTCAGCCGTGTCTATCACTTGGTTCTCCGAAAATCCACCATCGAGGAACTTGAAGAGGCTTACCGTCAAGCTGAATTTGACGATCCCATATTGATTTGTAAATTTTTCGCGCTCTTTGCCTTGGGCGAAGTATATTCTGCCCGGTCGAATTCGAGGCTGGAATGCGGCGTTCCAGGTGCTGCATACTACGTGAACGCGATGACGCTTATCCCCATTCTCCCCGAGCGGCCGAGCCTGACCCATATTGAATCGCTTTTGCTAATGGTAAGATGTTCTGAATAGGCCCCTGTAGGTTGTCGAAGCTAACCAGCCAGTCTCTCTATTCTTACTTTTTAAATCGCCGACATTCGGCATTCTTGCTCGTTGGTAGCGCGATACGCTTAGGGTTGACTCTAGGATTGAACCATGATATCCCTGAATGCCAATGCCCCGATCCGGTAGATCGACAACACCGGATCCGCCTGTGGTGGGCGATGTATGTGTTCGACCGCATGTACGGCTCCAAAGCTGGATGGCCCATCCAGATCGCCGACGATGATATTCATGTCGAAATGCCAACAAATCTAGCGAGTGATTCGCACAATGAACAGTTCTCCGATACGCAGTTCCTTGTGGCCAGTATTCGGCTGGCCGGCATCACCGGTCAAATTATTGAAAAGGTGTATAGTCGCAAGAAACAGCCGGACTCATTCATTCAGAGGGAGCAGAGTCTGCTTAAGGCTCTAAAACAATGGGCACAGGCACTGCCTTCGCATCTTCGTCTAACACGCGATGGTCCGATTCCAAAGAATATAGTTTCATTACATTTGCAACTTAACCAGGTGGGTCTCTTTCACTTCGTGGATATGGATGCATTTGATGCAGTGTCTTACTGAGGGAACAGTGCATCATGCTAGCCACGCGGCCAATCTTGCTATATACTTTGATCCAGTCCCGAATGCCTGTCACGGGTAACAAAGATACGGCGCCGAGATACACTCACACGCTGAAGACTCTGGGCGATGCATGCATCAACGCTGCAAGGCACACGCACTCATTGATTGTGGAAGAGTGGATCAATGGATCGATGCCCATATTTGGGTATTTTTATGCACACTATCTGTTCTCCAGCGCACTTATTATGGTTGTTTCGAGTCAGATACCCGCAGAGCACTGCAGTGATCATGGACTCTTTGAGACGGCCTTGGAGATTCTACGGGCAATGAGCGACCACGGGAACTTGGCTGCGACCGAGTTTTACGACAACCTGAAATGTGTGCAACAGTGCCTCGATAAGACTCGAGGGCCAACGGCTCCAAAATCTGTCTCCAACGATTCTTTGCAGCCTCTTCATCAGAATGACCCAGCTATGCTCCCTTTGCACACCAATCCACCGACTGGACCACCGAGTACGACGGGACTGTCTGTGCACCCCGTTCTGCCTGATATAACGGCCCCCAGAAACCTTATGGATGAAATGGTGTTTCTGGACCAGAGTATGGAGGAGTTCCTGGCGCAGACCGATGTGGATTCGGGACCGTTGGACCCGTCGGGAGTGCCGATTAACATGGCGGATTCTGTGTACTCGTGGCCTAATTATTCACTATGGACGGCATGATTATAACGAATAAAGTATATATTATCGTACATAATCTATGAGGGTATGTTTTTAATTGATGGGACATTAGATGCATGGCTATAGTGGCTTTCGAACAATTGAGATTTCAAAGTGGTAGGTAATCACAATAGCTCGCAATGGGGTTGATTGTTTACAGTAGACAGTTCTCTATCAGTGTTCTCAAATGTATCTACCAAACCACACTACGGCTTGATTTTGATCACTACTTTGCCAAAGTGGCTACCATTCTCCAGGAACTTGAATGCCTCCTTGGACTCGGCGAACGAAAAGTTGCGATAGACCACTGGGTGGATCTGGTGCATGTCGTAAAATCGGAGCATCTCCTCGAACCGATCCTTGGGACCATTGATAATCCCTTTCAGTGTCACAGTGCGTCGCAAGGCCAAAATATTCACGTTCATGCGATCATCAGCCGCATCTACCTTGCCCGAGACATATCCAATACAGTTGATCAGTCCTCCGAATGCAATGCAGTCAAAGCTCTTTCTCCAAGTCTGTGCACCACCAGTCTCTAAGATGATATCAGCACCGTTGTTATTGGTCAATTTCATGACCTCTGCTTCCCAGTTTGGGTTCGTTCGGTAATTGATGGTAAAATCCGCGCCAAGCCGTTTGGCTTCGTCCAATTTGGCATCCGATGAGGACGTGATGATAACTAAGTCGTCAACTAGACCACTCTTTTGTATCACTTTGAACGTAAAACAAGAGAGCAACTCACCCTTTGCACCTGCAGCCTTGGCAATTTGCAGGCCGGCAATGGCCACACCACCAGTGCCTAGGAGCAGGATATACTTACCGTTGGCACCGCTTTGGCCTATGGGCCGCATGCCATTAATGGACATCCAAGCGGTGACTGCAGCGATAGGTAGCGTGCATGCCTCCTCGTCAGGCATATAGCTCGGGGCGGGGACCAGGCCATACGCGGGAAAGACGCGGTGAGTGGCAAGGACGCCATTTAGGGGAAGTCCTAGACTCTGCGAAAGCTCCTTTTCCGTCACTTGGCCAGTCTGATGATCGGGCACCAAAGTTGACAAGACCCGATCACCCACCGCCCATTGGGCTACCCCAGCCCCGACCTGAATAACTTTGCCGCACATATCCGAGCAGGGGACAATGGTAGCATTCTGTTCAGCCGTTTTGTGGTGTTTGTATTCGCCTTTGGTCACTATAGATAAAGGTCAATCGATCCACTCCCGGAATTAAATGGTTCCCGAAGAAGAAGAGAACTACCTTCAACATCCCGGTAGTTGAGCGAGACAGCATCAATTTCCACCAACACTTCACCAGGACCAGGCAAGGGCATTGACACTTGGGTCTGCCGGAGGCTGTCTAAGCCCTGAAGGGACGTTACCCATTGCTGAACAAGCATGGCAAGATGTTGGTAGAGACACAATCGAGCGGTGGTGCCGCTTCCCTTTTAGTCTGCAACAATCGGCTTCCTCAAAACATACCGCTTAGGGCCCTGGTGGGTGGCGATGCAGTGAGCGGCAAAATGCCATTTTGCCGACACCAGAGTTTTTTGCGTCCCTACACTTTTTGCTTTCTGGAAATATTTTATAGACACTTCCCAGCGACTGTCTACCATTGCACACTCATCAATTAACCATTGGCATGTCTCTCACTTATACGACGATCCCGCTCCAGGTCAAGGGCGTGAACCTTAACCTGTCTACAATCCACAGTCTCAACACCCGACCGCCAATCCTATTCCTGCACGGCTTCGGCTCCTGCAAAGAAGATCTAGCCGATATATGTCTTCGCCCAGCCTTACAGCAGTATGGGTTCATCGCCTTCGACGCCCCGGGTTGCGGACACTCAACAAGCGACCAACTGTCCGCCATAGACATTCCTTTTCTTGTCGCAACAGCAAAAGCGCTCCTCGAGTATTTCAATATCACTCAATTTCACCTTATGGGTCACTCAATGGGCGGATTGACAGCGCTCCTCCTCGCACATAGCTATCCGAACCGAATCCTGAGCTTCGTAGATATCAAGGGCAACCTTGCGCCGGAGGACTGTTTCCTGAGCCGCCAGATCTTCACCTTCCATTCGGACGACCCGGAGGCATTCTTTGATGAATTTATCGACCGAACACGCAAGGCAAAGTCATTCGCTAGCCCTCTGTACGCCAGCACTCTGCGCGCGCGGGTGCGCGCAGAGGCGATCCGACCAATCTTTGAGTCGATGGTTCACCTGTCGGATGAGGAAGATCTGCTGGGCATGTTCCTAGGATTGCCCTGCCCAAAGATGTTCATGTTCGGGGAGGAGAACCGAGAGCTCTCGTATTTGGGGAAGTTGGAGAGCGAGGGCGTGGAGCTGGCTGAGATCTCGGAGAGCGGGCACTTTCCCATGTACTCCAACCCAGTCGAGATGTACCGTCGGATTGCGCTATTCCTGCACAGGGTTGTTTCAAACTAGATAAATAAGCTATAGATATAGAACCGAATAAAATATAGAACAAATGATGAATTAACTGACTGAAAAGCTCATGCGGTTTAGTGGAGCGCCCTTGTGACGTAAAGTGTTCAGCCTGTCGAGCAACTTAGCTTCGTGAATTAGCTTGATCATATCGAGAAGAATTTGCCGACTACCGCTTATTAGGCTCCTAGTCGTCTCCATTGCTAGATTGCGAGTGAGGCGCAGAGCCCTCTTCGTCCTCAGAGCTATTGACAGAACTGGGAAGTCTCTACATATTCTCTGAGCGCAACCAGTCTCGATAGTAGTTCATCTTTCGAGCATGTAGGTAATGAATATTGCCGATGTGCGGAAGAGGGACCATTTAAAGAAAGGAATGATACCATACCAGATACAGTGGTGGTTTCGAGCGCTGTATCTTACAGGAGATTCTAAACTACCCCCGCCCAATATCTGAGCTGCCACCTAACCGGCCGATCTTTTTATTAAGAGAAACAGGGAGGCCCCATTACAATTGGTCCCAGCCTGCGTTCAATCAAATCAGTTTCGCAAGGTACTGGAGATTGATTGAAAACTGAATTCGCGCGAAAGATCCTCCTTCCCATCGAAACACTGTCCTCCTTTATAAGCTGGTTACTCGGGGTTGGTGGCAAGAATGACTTTGTGAAAAGCCTCCGCAACATATTCCACGTTATGCTCAGTCACTATGTGCAAATTAACGTCGGATCAAAGAAGACCTAAGGGGGCGTTTGTACGAACAGCCTGTCATAGATATTCTTCCAGAAGGGAGAAGATATACATGATACTTTTCTTTCAGTGCCCGGATCTGTTCTGGCTGCAAGCATGTCATCGAGAACATCCCAATCTGCGGAGTGTTAGCGAATCTACACAGTAAAGCATGGCACGTCAAATAAGTAGAAGGACTCACATCCGTTGTTATGTGATCCCAAGAACCTGGAGTTTGGCGCTTCCGAAGCTCGTTCACTAGACTTTTTCTCATTGACCTCATACGGTCACTCATGTGGAGCAGATCATTTTGCCACTGCTGCTTCAAGTCTTTGCCTCCAAGTACTTTTGCCACGATCCTAGCGCCGTTGATAGGGGGAGTCGTTATCTCAGCGCGAGACAGACGTGTAAGCATGTTGTGGACCTTCGATCTAGCGACCTCCGTCCGGCATACAACGTGAAGTACACCCACACGCTCGCCATACAGACCAAAGTTCTTGGAGAATGATTGTGCGACTAAAATTTCCAGTGACGTGTTGCGAAAAAAGTACCGTACGGCCCACGCATCTTCAGCCAAATCTCCAGTCGCAAAGCCCTGGCTACAAGTATGTTAGCTCACTGGGCTGCTTCAAATTAGGCAACGCCACTTACTAGGCAAGATCAAAGAAAGGAACAAGCTTCTTCTGTTCGCAAGCATTGGCAATGGCCTTCCACTGATCTTTGGTGAAGTCGAGTCCAGTAGGATTATGTGCGCAGCCATGTAAGACCACAACGTCACCCTCTGTGGCCTCCAAATTCAAAGTAGATATAATACCCTGGAAATCGATAGTGAATGATCTTTTGTCGATGTAGGGGTATGTCCGACGCTTGATGCCGCTGTCTACTAGCCGCCAGATTTCGTGATGATTGATCCACGAGGGATCTGAGATCCAAACTGTCCGAGGGCAGCCAGACTTGGCCAAAAGCAAGGCGCCGAGGTGATTTGCCCCAGTACCTGCAATAGTCTGGATGGAAGCTATGGTGTTGACATCTTCAGATGTTGCGTCGAATACTAAACTTTGAGCATTATCGAGCAGCCCAGCATGACCGGGGATCGGCAAATGTTCGTGATCCGCAGTAGGGTCGCTTAGCAAGGCTTTCTTGGCCTAGACATTTTCAGTAAAAGAGCGATTGTCAAGGAACCGACAGTTGAGGATTGAAGCTACCTTCCGTACAGATGGCAAGACCCAGGGCCTTGCCTCTTCATCACGGTAGAACCCTGGACTGAGATCGACTTTCAAAAGTGATGAGTCTGACTTGTATTCCTCAATCAAAGCGAAGGCAGCATCGAGCGTTCCCTCGGAAAGACTAGCAAATCGAGCCATTGATGAGGCGCTCCAAAGGGTATCCGTAGTGAAAGAGATAAAGTGATCAGAAAGCGCTTTAAGATATTGCTTTACATTTCGCACATTTTATAGCCAGTGTAGGTGAGTTGTATGCCGCAATGCGTATTATATCTCAGTACTGGCCTCGCCGACTCGATCATCGGCACACTGCCAAGTTCCCGATATGAACTCCGTGACGTGGGGCCACCGCCATTGCCATCGGCTGGAGACTTCCCAGTGCTCGGAATCGGCATAGTTACCGATCACCGATATGATAATACGGCTTTGTTTCTTCGCCAAGTCGAATCACATTGCTCGAACCATAAAAGCCCTGCTATTACTCACTCGAGCCATTCCCCCTTCGACGACTTTCATTATATCGATTACCTACCAAACTCGACGCTATGAGTCAAGCCAGCATATTGGATCGACTTTCGGCGCTCGACACCAATACAGTGTCCGATGCCTTGGACTTTCTCGGCCTTCAAGGAGCCACATATGGCTTACGACCGCTCTGGGACTGTCCGAAGATTGTTGGACGTGCAAGCACAGTGAAAGTGGGCCCAAAGACTGATGCTGCTCCCACGGCCCACCTTCTGACCCCAGTCATAGATGCGGTAACAACGGATGATCGCATTCTCGTCATCTGTGGAGGCTTAGATGGCGTCTCGTGCTGGGGGGATATCATTGCCAATGCTTCGAAAGCGAAGCGCATCCGTGGAACCATCATCGATGGCATGAGTCGTGACATTGACGGCAGCCGTGAGGTCGGCTACCCCGTTTACGGTCGTGGCGTGACCATGATCAGCGCGCGTAATCGATTGGTGCAAGTTGATTCTGGTACACCACTACAGATGCGAGGCATCACGGTCAACCAAGACGACTATGTTATCGCCGATAGATGTGGGACAGTGTTCGTACCGGCCCAGCACATCGAAGAGGTCCTGGAATTTGGCGAGCGGATCGACCGTCGTCAGACCCTTATGGTCCAGGCTGTTCGAGCTGGTCACCCCGTGTCAGAGGTCATGCATGATACGCAATTCGAAGCCATCCGCGAGGATACACCGTCAGTGACAGTCGCACCATCTTCTAACAAAAATCCCAAGAAAGCTAGTGCCGAGGATCAAGAGTTGGTCGCGCTGTTCGCCGATTCGGACACTCCTGGAATCTCTGACGCGCTGGATAAACTTGGCATTTCTGGACAAGCTTTCGGTATTATGCCTTTGACCGATTACAAAAAGGTTACCGTCGGGCCGGCCTTCACTGTTCGTTACGTACCCGCCAGCGAGCCGCCAGGAAGTGTTGGTGATTTCATCGACGACGTTGCCATGGGTGACATCGTAGTCATCGACAACGGTGGTCGCTCAGATTGTACCGTCTGGGGCGATATAATGACTCAGTACGCCGGAATAAGAGGCATTGCTGGATCTGTTATCGACGGTGTGTGCCGCGATGTGAACCGTGCGATCGAAGATGACTACCCACTTTTCACCGCTGGACGTTGGATGCGAACAGGCAAAGACCGGGTTCAAGTGGGAGGCGTCAACGAGTCGATCGGCATCGGCAATGTACGTGTCAACCCTCGCGATATCGTTGTTGCCGATGCAAACGGTGTTGTTATTGTTCCACGAGATCGCGCGCATGAGGTGGCCAGAGTCGCACGAAAGATCGAGAAGAGTGAAATCGGTATCCGCGAAATGATCGCGGGCGGCGCTACAATCGCCGTGGCGCGAGAGAAACTCGGTTATCACATGTTGCAACGTAAGGGATAAATATTAGCTGAAGAAAGGTTTCTGAGCTATTTATAGCGAAGAGAAATCATGGCAAAAAGAAATATTATCTCTGTAAATGAAGGGTGGTTTCTACCGTCTTTACTATCATTCGAGTTTCTGGGATGGGGAGGTTTTTGGGTACCCGCAGGTTGACAGGACCCACGAATTGATGCTTGAGTAAAAGCCACAACGCGATGGGAAAAAAAACCTACGTTCTAATTGCACTAGACGAAGCTCCAGGAATTGAATGACCGGAGCTGTGAACATGTCATCTTCAAAGTCTGTCTCCGCGTTCAACTCGTCGGTCTCTCAGCCGGTTGCTCTCCATTGAGCCATCGTCAGATGCTTTCCCAAGATCAGACTTCCAATCCTTGGTACTGTATGACGTTCCCAGACTTAACAGGTTGACTAGCTCATACCACCTCCAAAGACGCGAACACATGCTGAAATAGCCAGTAGTCTTTCTGACTCCGGGGAGCGTCGACATTCTTACTCCAGAACCTCTAGCAACCTTGGATGGGTCGCACCTGACCGCAGGAAACGCTGTATTTGGAAAGAGCAAAAAAACATACAACAGCCCATGTATGATAGTGGTCACCCTGGGTCGCCCAATCGGGCATGGGCGATCCCGCCGCTCTTCAGGCGGCTTCAGGCGGCAATTCAGGACCCTGAATACTCTTCACCCAAGACTGCCTGAAGGCTGAATTTCGTAGTTGAATAGGTGCATTTGCCCCTTCTAGTGCAGGGAAAGTCTTAGCGATCCCGTAAAGATAAAACCCAGCACTATGCCGCTGGGTGGCCACTATCCTATTATATTCTCCTATTCCTCCCTACACCCCGTCATTTCAAAAATGAAATCTAATGGCCCATTATCGAGATTTTCCCATCTTGTTGATTTTGCTGAGTATGATAACTCGGAAATCGCTCGAGCTATCCTCCCTCGTACCGGAGACTAGTATGACCGTACACTTGATATTTTTGACAATTTAGTACTATTATTAATAGTGAAACCTGTATGTTACTTATAGAAACATACGTATTATATAGACATTAGCGCGCTCTATTTAGTCCGCATTCTAACGAACATGAAACAGTCCATATGGAACAGAACAAATTGGCGTCGGGCGGGAGTTTAGTATATTTCACTATTAAGTATTCTTTGATTAGAACATGCATTTACCCTCTCAACTGATGAGAATGCAAAGACGAAGTTAACTATTTACAAAGACAGACGACGTATGACGGCGCTGTCGCTGACCAATAGCTTGCTTCTCTACGTTAGTTAGTTAGTTAGTTAATACCCTTTTTTAGGGACTGACTAATAACCGGCCCTGAAATTTATGAATTAAATGTAAGGCCCTGTTAGAGACAGATTTGTCAGTCCTTTATCGATGCTACTTTCAACTTGTCATCGATCCCAAAGAACAGGGCTGGCATTCTAATACACTTCAAAAGGGGCTATAATAAACCAAATTATTGGTTTGCATTCATAACCTACATGAGTTATTTTTTTTCTGATGGGTCGCAAATGCAAGTCGTATAGACTACACTCAATTACGCTGAAGTACTTTCCCAATGTTATCTTTGCTGCGCACCAACCTCGGTCATGTCCACACCACCTACCAACTCGCAGCTCGAATCCAATCAGTCCTGTCCTGTTGATTTGGCATCGTTCTCTCAATCGGGAAGTTCTTCTCAAGATATATACCCTGAGCTGGACGGGATCTCAAGTGATGCACCCAAGCGTGCTACTTCACAAACTGAGCTAATCTCATGCTTCTGAATAACGGCGATAGCTATCAAGTCTCTGTACTCCTGCAAAATCGGATTTTGGCTCGACCGGCAGCGATTTGCTGGAATGGTGGCTGGTTGAAAACAGAAGGACGTGTCTGGACGCTGGGTGGCCAGCTCGCTTACATGGCCGGCTCGCTTACCGGTTATGTTAGTTAGGTTAGCACTTCATTATAAGAGCATGCTTTCTATCGATACATACATTCTTCTCACTGCGATACCGCGGATATTCAAATTGAGCTTAGTGTCTTCGGTTCTAGAGCCTATTTATCTGAAGGACTATATTGGTCTTTCTGCGATCCGCACCCTTGCAGCCCACCGAGTGGAAACCACTAGCGTCTGAGACTTACGAATGAATCGGAAGACCCACATGTTCAGGGGCCGTTAGCAAATAGCAAACTCCTCGGACCTGCGCCCTGGCCTTCCTCGACGCCCATCCTGTCGAACCTCGCCGCGCCATCGGAGCAAACGCCTCCTTCTGCATCTCGAGATTAAATGATATTGGCGTTTTCCATGGGACTATTTTATCATAATATTCTCGTTGAAAGTAACGAATGGGCCTTGTTTGTAATTTGTGGTAGCCATAGTTAGTCCATCTTGGACAGTATTCCGCGACAGATACACGTTGTACAAAATTGTTGCATCATGGGAATTTAGTAAAACCAACTAGCGTGTCCATTTTCATTGTAAATAATACAATGACCGCTCAAGCAATTTTATTGAATGTAAAGCCATGTAAAATTCAATCCTCCAAATGCTGACTATTGAAAGGACTACTAGTACAGTATTACTATTACAACCTAATCATCGTGTCCGTCCAACACCCCTAGCAACCTCTTCTCCAATATATTGCGCAAGAGTCAACATCTTCTCCTCTTGCAATCGACGGCCAACGAGCTGAACACCAACAGGGGCGCCGTCATAGGTATCAGCATCATCTAAAACACTATTAGCAGCACACATCTCTGCCAAGCCCCTGAGAAACATACAATCCCAATTAATATAACCCTCGATCATATCATGAGATTTATCCGGAGGGAGGACATCGATGGTCTTGTCCGCAAATGTCACAGGGATTGAAACGCTCGTATAATCTAGGACGTTCACGAAGGCAGTATATCCAACATGCTCATACTGCGTAGGTATAACAGCTGCATGCGGTGCAAGCGGACAGATCAGGGCGTCGACAGGGCGTCCAGTATCAGTAAGCTCTGCGGTACTGTTCCAGTAATCCATGTATCTCTTCTGATACTCGCGCTTAGTCACGTTCAGTGCGGCGATCTCCGATGCGACACTCTCTGTGCCGTCCTGTCTGATGAACACCTGATGTGCTTGGACCTCTCCTGAAAGGTCAAACTGATATTTGATGTCTGTGCCGCCATCTAGTTGGAATGCATTGCCCTGTGTCAAGTTAGTATTCTCCTCTCTTCTTGCGGGATATATTTTGTTAATGAATTTCAGTACCGCTAGCTCATGTGCCGGAACATGTGAAGGAGGATTCCAAACGATGACTTTGTGACCTAGCGTCTTCAGAGTCTGCTCAACAATCTTCAAGCCCCTCGCAACGGGAGGATGAAGGCGTCCAACTGAATCGAAGGGCATAATTGCAAACGCGAGTGCTGAAACACCCCTTCTCGATTGTTCAATAAACTCACGGGTCTGCCGAACGATCCCATTCCGCCATGGGATTTCCAAAACCAGCGGATCCTGATACCAAGGCTGCTGACTGAGAACGCTCTTGAATAGCAGCGTCAATGTCCTAGCACTCGGGGCAAGAGGCCCAATGACAGACAAAATTGTACTCTGTCCATCCATAGAATTCGCAGTTCCTTCATAAGGCATTCTGCCCGAAGAAGGCCGCAATCCATACAGAAAGTTGAATCCCGCAGGAACGCGAATACTACCCCCAATATCAGTACCAAATCCACCAGGCGATCCACGCAGAGCAATGAGAGCCCCTTCGCCACCAGAGCTACCACCACAGGAAAGGTGCCGATTTTTGGGGTTCCATGTGTTCCCGATTATATTGTTGACTGTTTCTCCAGCCATCAATGTAGCCGGTACACTGGTTTTGCAGTAAAGCACTGTACCTAAATTCCGTAACTCTTTGACGAGTTCGCTTTCGAATACGCCTCGCCGCTGGTCATCTTGTTGACCTTGGAAAGTACCGATCCAGCCTACATAGCCCATTGTAGTGTCGACACCCTTAATGTGGAACTGGTCTTTCAGGGAAACGGGGAGACCATGTAGGGGACCGACGGGCGCTTTGTGTTCAATGAAGTAGGCATCTAACTTTTTCGCATCTTCGATTGCTGCGTCGAAGAAGATCTCATGTAAGCAGCTGACCTGAAATGCATTCGTGAACACATTGTCCTACCCTGTTGCCGATGGGGTATTTACCAGTTGGTGTGCAAGTGCAGCACGATGACAAAAAGCCTTGGCGACTTCGACAGCAGTCCAACGACCAGAGATCGTTTGCGCAACAATGTCCACGGCATCGGTTTCAGTGATTTCGACCTCGCGGTCGTTCAAATAGCGTCGGATGTAGGCACCAGTCACATCTCGCTGCTCAGCGGGCGAAGGTATAGGGATTGGGATCCGCCATTTCTCGGGAATGGCGTCCAGAATAGATTGACGCTTGGCTTCGCCTTGCGCGCGCCAAGTTGGATCAGTTACCATGTTGAGGTTGATTTGGTCTGGTCCAAAATACGCCGTGAACGTTGTTCAAGATTGGACGTTTAGAGGTCGTATTTGTGGTGGACCATTCTTATCGCTGAGCGGGGCTGTTGGGGTCGCTTGGAGACAGCGCTAGTTATCGGTGCGGAGAATTTACTCCGCTGACCTCGCACTACCCGTTCTCTATAGAAAAAGAAAAATTCGCAGGAAAGTCGGGAATTGCATTTGGGTTTGGCGATGGACGCTATTCATTATACCTGCGGGAAGGGATCTCATCAGTACGTCCGAATTTGATGAATAATAAGATCATTCTGGTAAGGCTAAACTTGAGCAAATACTATTTCATATCTGTTCCGGGACTTTGATAGACTTTCGCGTAGAAACTTGAATATGGTAGGAAATATTGTCCAATACAGCATTATCCCAATTTAGAAACAATGGTTTCTGATCACAACACATTAGACTTCGGCACCAGCCAATATGGGCTTCGACCGTAAACTCAACATCCGACCCACAGTAAACTCCCGTTTTCGGCACGGCCCTCCGTGCAACAGAATTTTGGTGTGCCTAATGTTGAATCACGGTACCGATGATATTGTCCTGTCACCCTGATACGCACTACTCATGTATTAGGGTTAGACCTGTATCTATATCACTGGGTCGTGACCCACATAAACCCACATTAATACAACCACCATATAACTACATGCTACAAGACGGGACTGTATCAAAAGAGGGAGGATCGAGTATTCCGAAAAATGAATTCTGAGCTTCCAGAAAGCCCCAGAGCAGGCAGAAAGCCTTTTCCAGCCCTTCGTCGTCCGTCTTCTATCATCAAGCCCCCATCTCCACCACCCCACCGAAAAGAACAACCCCACATCGCAATGACCAGTCCCTAGTCTATATTTCGACTACCTATTCTACCATAACCGCTAGAGCTCAATCATTCCAAGGGCTAGCGATTACTGGCGTCACTCCGCTTCAACTGGCCCAAAACGGCTTCCATTACCAACCACACGAAAGCTCCGGCGGCCTGGCGTGCTGCTTTGTCTGTCAATCGGCTAAACCCGTGAAGACCTTCCAGCGAACGCCTGTCGACAAATCACAGCAAGTACACTTGCCTGTTTGCATATGGCAAGTTATCCAGCATGACCTAAAACCTCATTTCGCAAAACCAGATACCTTCGTGCATATACAGCCCAACTCCTCGCCTCGATGTCCCCTCGGACAAACAACCGCTTGAGACGACTGCCTCCGACTCCAATACCCAAGTTCAAACTCCATCGACACCAACGGTAGCAATGACAGTAGAGGACCGTTCAAACACCAGCCATAAATCCCCTGCTAAACGGCCATCTGCCAACCCCAACCCAAATTCGCAACCGCATCAACCGGCACCCTTGATCCAACCCTCCCGACCCTCAACTGCCACCTACCTCGAAAACCAGCAACCAACCCATGCCTCTGTTTTCCAACGATCTACCACATCCACAACACGATCAATATCCAACCCTCATCTTCCTCCTCCCGGCCGTAAACCCACACTTACAATCGAAGTTCTCCACTACCGTTTTCACGGTAAACTGTCACCATTCGCGCTCGAAGAAAAGAGAAAGAATCGTCCAAAAGCCGCATCTGCCGTAAAATCATTGTCCAAATTCCTAAAGTCAACGTTGCCAGCATTCTCCTGATTTCTGACGGAAATGCAGCCAGCCGCGGACAACTGTTGGCCGCCGCCTTATCTGCGAACTCATCATAGCCGCGTCACAAGGGCAGCCTAACAGCACGAACGGCACAATGGCCACGACAGGCCTTACCAGGCGTGTCTCAAAGTTCACCGCTCAGGAAGTTTGGAACAATCACAATGGAATGCACAAATGTATTTAAAATCGTAGTTGTAGCCTGCATATCGTTCGCGAAGTTGAACCCTGGATTGAGGTACAAGTGTGATTATTGACCTATATGAAGGGATCCAGCTATTTATAGTTGCAGTACGCGCTCTATGGAACACCATGACTTCCGCTGTGCTAACAATTAAAAATCAAAGACCTCAGTGACACTATCCTGAAATGCACATGTACAGTTTCTCAGCAACTCCGCTCCCAAATATTCAACGACTGGCGTCTTATGAAACGGATGAAACATGCTTGTCGATGGGAATTGAATATTGCCAATACCCTCCCATTGCTCACCTTCGAGCGCCTGGAAAGTAATTGGGACAAATTGGCGGACGTTTGGCTTGGCTCCAGGGATGATATTGGGAATAAGTCTCAAATTGAGGCCCACGTTTTCTGGTGGCGGGATAGGACCAGATCCAACATAATTGGAAGGCTTGAACAGGATTCTAACGATTGGGTTACTAATCGGCCGTGAGACTGTCGCAGTGACGAACGCCGTTACGTCAGCTTCTTTCTTCAAGTCGAAATCGATATCGCCTAGCACCTTGGGGTAGCCATATGCCTCCCGTCCTCCATACACTGCGTCTTCATTGTTCAGAACCAGAAGAATGGAGTAGTCGTATTTTGTTTCTTGATACATGACTTCGACTTGATGGATTAACTCTTTGTGGGGTCCAATATTGCTGAATCCGTAGTCGAGCACCCACGTTGTAATAGTAGGGTGTTCTTCCAGGGAAAGCTGCTCTGGGATCAATTCTCGGGCGGATACACCGTTGGTGCGATATTTTATTTTGACGATGTCGACACCAGTGAACCTAGGAGCTGTGTCTCCTCGGCCATAAGGGGGTGCGTGAACGGGAATTGAATGTAGTTTTGTGATTGGAATAGCGCCTTGAATGGATGTCATAATGAATATCGTCGCTTTTCTTTTGGTGGTGGAAATGTCTGATTGATTCATCTAGAGGTATCAGGAGCTCGCTTTTATAGAAGGGAAGTATGTAGCCAAAGAGGGCATCCGCAACTACCGAGTACTGATATTGGTCCGTATCAGTGTCATATGACGTCATAGATCCGTATCAGTATCACTATAAGATCATAGCCCCCCAGCTTGAAGTTCCGAGGACCCTGTGAGTAAAACGGTGGATCTGAAGTTCTCGGATACACCGTTAAGCTAATATCAACATTATTAAGGGGATTTGCTAGGGACACAACCACTTATGTAATATGAGTAATTACATAAGTAGAAAATGTCATGTGATTGTATTTGAATTTCATTCTCTCCATTATTTACATCATCTTCGTGTATGCCCGACTTCACCACATGTAGAGCACTTTGGGGCCGCCTTCTTCTTGCTACAATGACGGAAAGCAACATTCAATGAGGTTTCCGAAGTGATGGGCTTTTTCTATTTGACCCTAAGAGTGTGATTTCTTCACTAGATCGTAAGCTCAAGACGCCAACACCTACAAATTCCCGCTCTCTGAAACCGTCGAACCTTAGGTTTCTCCATACCGAAGCCACCTCGCAGTCTACTTTCAAGAATCGCATTGCCTATCATAATAATAACTCCAAACCTTAATTCACGAAGCTGTCAGCCAGTTTGCGAAAGGGACGTCGAAGATTATGCACAAGTTGGCGTTATTGCAGTTGGAGGTTCATATCCTCCGACAAGCAAATTAAGAGCTTAGCAAACGCCGGCGGCGAAAGTTCACTCGCAATTCGATACAGAGGGCGTTTACGCTAACCCAAAAGCGCTCAAAGCTCAGCCTTATACAAAAGGTGTAGAAGAAATAACTCTCGGATTCCTAGATTTAGTAGGTCGGATCATTGCCGAAGAGCAAGGTTGCTGGACATGGTAGATTGGCAATTTGTGTTGAACAAGGGGCTTTTTGATTCTAGTAACCAAGGGGCAGTGGCGTAAACAAGATATGGTTGTCATAAAAAACGACCTGTCTAAAAGTTCCTTATCTAAAACTTAATAGCAAGTGCATCTAGTACACAAAAATTTTAATTTATGGCAGTAAACAACCGATTATTAAACACAGACTTCTTTCTAGCTACTCAAAATTCAATCCCACTGCTTTAGGAACAGGATTTTTATCGGCATGCCTGACAAAGATATCTGAAGCCCAAAATTGTCAAAGTTCTAGTTCTACAATCTACCAAGTTTTGACTTCTTGGGAAGACACATCAAAGCCGCAGCACGAAGTCATTTTTAGACTTTCTTTCATAATTGACATAATTGTACTTCGAAGCATCATACTATTGTGTTGGGATTCCTGATAGTTGCTGAGGCATATAAAACTTGTCGAAAATTGCAAATTTGCTACATGAAATCCCGACAAAGTCTAGCAATGAGATTAAGGCAGGAACTCTTTTTCATGCTAATAGGTTCTAGTAGTTTCTTTCCTCACGGTTTTATCAACGATACCTGGCTATCCAGGAAATCTGCAATTTGCTTGTAACCGCCGGTAGCATTATAGTGTAGGTTGAGACCATGACCTGTGTTGGGCTGAATAACGGCAGAAAACGACTTCGCGGATGGGAAAGCCACATTTGCAGCGGCGGGAATAGAGTCCAACCTGCTACCTGTAGCAAGACAATCACCCCCACAGAACGGTAGATCGTTCGAGCCACAAACAATCAGCACCGATCCAGTGAAGCTGCTCATCTTGGGTAGACTACCGAGAGTCAAGAGCTCACCTACGGTCACAGGTTGTTTGATCATCTCCCCGAAAACAAGAATCTCTGGATCGAAGTAGGGGGGAGAGAAGAATATATACTCGTTGTTGCCCTTGTCCGCAATCGTCAAATAGCCAGGGCTGTACTGTCGACCTGTTTTGGACAAAACATCCGGCGAGAGGTTCAAACGTGCCTGCTGAAAGTTCGCTCCTGCGATGAAATATGGCAAGAAGGTAGCATTCATGGAGAATCCGGTCAAAACAATGCCGTCAGACAAGTTGGGATACTTGGCTGACAAGGCGTATGTCAGTCCGGAGCCAAAGGAGTGGCCCACGTGAGCAATTTTGCCGGGTATCTCACGGATACCAGGGACTGAGCCATTGCGCAGTAGGCGTGTCATCTCAGCAAGGGCCTCGATCTCCAAGAATGCTTGAATTTCGTTTTTGGGGTCGCCATGGGACGAATTGCCGATTCCAAGACGGTCGTATGCGAAGGTGTGGAACCCACGAGAGAGAGCGTAGTCGACGTATGAGTAATTGTAATTGTTGTAAGGAAGGTCCCAGTAACTGAAATTCTACAATTAGTCGATTGCCAGTTTAAGTGCAGAATCTTCGTACGTTTTATCAAAACCGACGCCGTGGGTCAGGACCTGGAGGGTAGGCGCGTTGATCTCAGCGCTGTTCGGCATGCAGTACTGCGCTGAGATGTGATAGTGACCAGAGACAGAACTGTAGCCAGTTAAGACTTTCTCAGTGCCGTTGCTTCCCTGTCGGGTTGCAGCTAGTGCGAACATGGTGGCGTCGAGGTTTGTCTCAGGCGTGGAAAGGCTGCTAAAATTCCCATTTCTGGCGGTAACATGGATTGGTAGGGTCAAGTTGTAGCACTTCTTCGAATAAACGACCCCAGCCATCAAAGCTAAGAGTCCCAGTGGCTGAACGAGCATTTTGCTGGAGATAATGGAAGCAGAAAAGAGCGTAAGATGCACACTTCACGAACTCAGGAGTTCTTTTAAATGGCAACCTACAGGCATGCCTAGCTCCGGCGCTGTCAACAACTTGTTCTAAGGATAGTTAACTATTGAAAAAGGAAATTTGATGATATAATCAAGGGGACATTATTGACCCGATGTGGAAATGATTGACTGCGGAATCACAAGAAGGATCCAATGTTGACATATCCCATTATGGAATGATAATAACCGGACCCACTAGCATTTTCTGGGGACGGTACTAAAGAGACAGGTACTCCAACAGCAAACAAGCTAAACTGAAATAGGCAAATTCCTAATGTAGTTTATTTTAATGCCTTGGTCATATTTGCGGTGGGTCCGCCAAGACCAGGCTTGTGATTGATTGAGGGATATGCTAGAAAGAACTTTTGATAAAGGCGTAACATGTGACCGAATCTTTTCAGCAGCCCTCTTACCCTAGTAGCTAAAAGAACTCGGCCCCTGTGCATTTCTCTGCATCCTGATTCGTCCGTCCTGCGTGTACCCGTCGCCTGTCGTGCGTGTCTATGAGCCGCGGAATAAGGGTACATAGGCCGCTGCGATTGGTTGAGAATGCACGGACGATTTGCGCGTAAAGGCGGAACAGGTTCCTGTCGTCTACTGGACACTTTTACTGTGAACACAAGACAAACAATGTGAGACTAATACAGCATTGAGCTTATGCTTAAGACAAGGCCCAATGTGATCGAGCTCTGACGGGTTGATTGTTTGTCGCCAAGTCATACAGTAATTCATTTTCTGACTATGCAAAGCCTCGCCTGATCTGTTTGAGAACAGTGTGGTCTCTTGCTAACTATTCACCGAAAGTCATACTTGGAATGATGCCTCCACGAAAGTGGATTCGAGCGCGTTGGCCAAATTCGCAGAATGCCCAGACGGAGCCCGTTACACTACCCTATTGAACTATATTCAAGACAACTTCCGGTGCGCCAATGAGCGCGTTTAGCACGAAGCTAAGAGTGACGATATGTGCCAACATGCATGTTAAGTCCTTATTTGGTCATCTGTCACCGTAAAGTCACAAAGCAGGAGTAATCGTCGCTATCTCTCAGCGAGAAAGAACGGACTTCTTGACAATTTTCCACGACACAAAATCCGAATGAGTCTCCAACGAAGGATTTCTTGATGAGAAACCGCGACGACTATTCGCTTGGCCCACACGTTCATCGTTCGTATGCAACAATTTGCCATTCCTAAACGAAACTTCCAATCTCAGAAACAAAGGACGTGCGCTTTCCCAGACCCACTTGGCCAGTCCCAAGTCCGACCCTCAGGGTTCTTTCTGTCGATGTCTACCTTTTCAGCTAAAGATTTCACTGGTGCCTCATGACTACTCTAACAATCATAAAACGGCCAGCCTTCGATTCCAGCCATTGACCAGGGAATACTCATCCATGTCTTCGTCGGCGGGTATTGCTAGGCCACGGAACGTCCATCAAATTTATGTCATCTGGATGCACCTCGAAATCCGCAAGCGAGACACAGTGATCATTTGTACTTCTTAGGCTCTCGCCGGAGTAGCTGAGCACGCTCTGCGTGGCATTCTCTTGGTTTAGCCGAATGTCGCCGCTGTTGGCAGACCAATTGTCCGGTGATAGCTCGTACATAGCTCCTATTGTAACAGGGAGGCCGAGTGTTTCCCCCCGATCTCTCCGATAGATAAGTCAAGTTCATAACGTGGGACCAAGTTTGCTTTTATATACTTCCGCCTTTTTGTTGGAATTTCTAAGATATAGCATCGTGGCCTGGTCATAATTACACGTACTGGCCTAGTAAGAAGCCGACATATTGCAGGCAGCTAGAGGTTCTGCACAAACTCGGCAACCTTTGATGCGACGCCCCAAGCGCTCTCCTCAAACCCCATCAGTTGGCCAATCAAATACGTATCGTGGACCGCGTCTTCTTCATTATGTAGTTCCACTACGTTGCCCTCAATTCCGCGCATCTCCACCGCCCACCGTGTTATGCGCTCTAAGAATAGCTCCGAGGTCCCCACATTCACGAACAGGGGAACAGGCGTCGGGAACGGATGGCCTAGCTGCGTGATGTAAGGATTGGCCCAAGGCTCGGAACAGCTGCCCGCATAGGAGTAGGCTCCCCAGGCTGTGTAGGCATATTAGCTGTGTTTTACGGAGGCGATAGTTTAGGGAGATCGCTCTGCTTACCACCATACGTGCCTGGGACGAAGTCGGTGTTGCGCTGCGGGTTACCTGTTGGATTCAAATAGAACGGGTCGACCCACGGCGAAAGCAACACGGCGCATTTGGGTGTCGGTGTCTTGATGGTAGATCCAAACTCATAGAGATAGCGCAGCAGGGCCGCCGCGAGGTTGGCGCCGGCGCTGTCGCCGGCGAAAACGATCTGGTGAGGCGGAATGTTAAGTTGCTGTAGGAGAAACAGGTAGCTGGACAGCGCGTCTTGCAGTGCGGCTGGAAACGGATTCATGCCCCCGTGGCCTGAAAGGCGGTATTGCAAGCAGAAGACGGCATCGGCGGTCCCTTTGTCGAGAAAGTACTTGGCGATGGGTCCACATTGCTCCGTCCGCCCATCGCCTTGGACGAAGGCTCCTCCGTGGAAATAAAGCACGATAGTCTTTGAAGTCACCTGCGCTCCAGGAGCATCCGGATACCAGGTTCCTCCAATCTTAGCGGGCTTGACAGTCTTAGATGCCAGTGGCCCTTTGTAAACATCCGAAGTGGACACTGGAACCATTTGGAACCTCTTACCCTCCTTTCCTAGGTCCAAAGTGAGCGTCTCTGTGATTCCTACTCGAGACACAGCATCCAGCAACGGATAAGTGATGCGGGTCATGAAGGTCTGCTTCGCGGTCCATTTTCTGTTTGCTCTAAGAAACGGGATCAAAGATATAGTGGCATAGTATGGGAGGCGCAAGATGACCACGACGATGTATGACAGCTGGAAAAGGAGCCTTAGCGGTTGGTAGGATACCAGGGGATGTCCATTTCGGGCTGTCATCCTAACGATACTGCAGAGAGATTTTACTGCAGAATGGAGATAATCAGTTTGGGGTTTCCAAAAAATATGAAAGTGATGAATATAAAAAATATAAAAATGTTGACTATGACGAGAAGGTGAGGGCGTAGAATAGCTTTTTGTTCTACATACTATAATCTGTGTCTTAACGCTTCTCACGTCTTCTCTCGAGGCTATCGAATGCTCCTCAACGAAAAGTGATGGTCGGTCGCAATTGACACGCTTGTTGGGTTTGTCTGGGTTGGCTCCCGGCAATGATGTGGAAGTAATAGAGCGGAAGGGGAGTAAGCGTTCCCTGGGACGCCTGGAATGTAGAGATTTTCCGCTTCTCTGCCCCTATTGATACAGACATGACAGATGGCCTGTGCGTAAGGCGCCCCAAGTAATCTTGCATATCGCTGCCAATGTAAGCCGCCCGTCAGACAAATACTTAAGCCACGAAATATCTCGTATACTCTTTAGGAATGGATCTGATTAGGCCAGTTGTTTCTCAGTTCTGACTCCGGTCTCGCCACCGGACCATATGAACAGGATCTTCCCCGCTAGCATAAGCTGCCTGAGTCGGACCTAGAAAACCATTCTCCCTACTCTACCCAGAATTGATAGCATTATATCTCAAGTTCAAGCTTTGGCTGAGAATTCCAATGAAGCAACTAGGCGGGATATCCTAGATGATCTTCGTAATCTTGCTTCAGTGGGTGTCATCCGAGAGACCGAAAAAGACGCAACTTGCATATTCTGAGACGCATCTTGAACCATTTCTAGACCGTTTTGAGCGTTATTCAGAGCATGGTCCAGAGCGATTGTAGTGGCAGTATCGACGCTACCCCGCACATTGGAACTCAGAGTGTCTTAGGAATGAATGCCTGATTCAGCGGTAGTCCAACCCGGTTCAGTATAAATGTTACCCTGATGCATTATCTCCCCCAACTACAATCGAAATGAAGGATAAATATATATTCTAGGCCTTATATTACAATGATAGGATATCTCCCCATATGGCATCGAGAATAAATAGCAAGGTCTTAATGGAGACTAGGAAATTGCAATTGCGCTTTGTGAATAACAAAGATTTGAGTTCCGTAAAAAAGCATTCAGCCAGCTGCCTCGTACGAACTTTTTACTACACAATACATATATAATTTGGCCTAGCACAGGAACACTTAAATTAAATACCGCAGTATAATTCAGAGCAACATATAGAGTGTCTTTATAAGAATTGAGAACGTTGGGATCTGGATAAAATTAGACTTAACTAAGTTGTTCTTCCATTCGCCATTCGCCACCCTAATGGCCGTTTCAATCTAGGATGACTACGTTATTTTCTCTGTCAGACAGTTTGTCGAGAAATGACTGAATAACCATGTGAGAGTTTGATCAGCCTCCAAATCGGCTTTTATAGAAAAAGCCAAAAATGAAAAAAAAAAATCATTATCGCCGGAATATTACCACTATATCTAAGAAGACAATATAAAAAAGAAACAGATGCAGGACTTTTGATACAAACAGACTGGTCCAGAGCATATCACAAGGCATCATCTGTCCTCAAAATTGACCCCACTCTTAGAAAGAAAGTCGGGGCTGAATGGACAGTCTACGTACCCCGCGCTCAGCTTCGGGGTGTAGAAGGTCGGCCGGTCGTATTTGTTCAGCTCAATTCCGCGCTGGATCCGAAATGGGAGATCCGGGTTCGCCAAAAAATGCCGCCCGAAAACAACAGCAACATCGTGATTCGAGTACTCCAGATCTACCGCCTTCCTCGCCGACATGGGGAAAACCCACCAGCCACAAGAACTGGCGACGTTCGACCCCAAATGTCTAGGGCAAACTCGATCCCCTCTGTCTTCTCAATATCAACGTTGTTGTTAACGCGCGACTCGACAATGTGAAGATACCCGATCTTCAAAGCCCGCAGCTTCTCTAGCAGGTATGCAAATTGTGGAATTGGATTGGCCATTCGCATACCCTGGAAGGTACTCCACGGACTCACGCGGTACCCGATCTTGTTGGCACCGACGGCCTTGGCGACTGCGGTCGCGACCTTAATGGCAAAGCGAGCACGATTCTCCACACTTCCGCCCCACTTATCCGACCGACGGTTGCATGTGTCTTGCAAGAATTCATCCAAGAGATAGCCATTCGCGCCGTGAAGTTCCACACCGTCGAAGCCCGCCCGCATAGCGTTTCGCGCTGCCTTAGCGAAGTCTTCTATGGCCGACTCAATCTGACTTTCAGACATGGCTGTGGGGACGGACGAGGCATCCGTCAGCGGGACCGCGCTTGATGACAATACACCGTGCCCGGCCTCTTTGAGCAGCGAGGCCTCGTCCGCCGCACGGCCGGGTGCAATCAGCTGGGCGAAGATGTACGAGCCACGCACGTGCACAGCGTCGACCACCCGCTTCCAACCTTCAACCTGTGCATCGTTCCATAGCCCAGGCGCGTGGGGGAACCCGCTGTGGTCGGGCGATATCAATGTAGCCTCCGAGATGAGGAGAGTACCGGGGACAGTGGCTCTTTGCGCGTAATACTGAACGGCCATTGAAGACTGAATATGACCATCGTCGGTGCGGAAGCGAGTCATAGGAGCCATAACCACACGGTGCGCGAGCGTGACGTCGGCTATCTGGAGGGGCGTGAACAACTTTGACATGGCTGTTGGTGAAGGACACTTTGGCATAAGCGGCGCCGAGGTCAATTTTTGCAACGGGTAATGACCTAGTCACAAGTATTCTGAAACGGTGAATTAGACCATTTTGGAATACATTGTATGTGATTTATATGTTTGAGAGGTATGGTACTACGCTTACTAGAGCACATCGTCGCCACATCAGTTGGGGTAGTTGGCTGACATTTCTCGCGACTTCGGGGCAAGGTTTATTCCGGGGATTCTAAGGATTTGAAGGTAGAAAGCTTGGTAATTGAAGTCATCAGCGTCTGCCACTGACGCCGCAGCTCTTCTATCTGGCTTGGAGAGAACAGGTCTTAGTAATGCTGGATTGGAGTTAGGAAATGCGTAGAAGAAGGCGTCGTCTATTGTAGCACGTATTACCAATGTAAGTAGCAAAGGACAAGAGTTGGAGTAACGCAAAGCGAGTTGGGGTAGGGTCTGTCCTTGCTGGGGAGAGGCGCGCCGTTTAGACCGAGAAGCGGGCGTATTATTAATATTGGAGTTGGGGTATTCTTAGTCACCCACCTGGTCATGGGAAAGAGCCACCTGAGAAGACCAGGAGGGCCAACATATTTTGGTGCTTATAGAAGGAAGAACTTTACGAAAATGTCTGACTTATGTTGCGCAAGAGCGACGAGAAAAACTTGATCGCGATACTAGTTCACATGGTCGCCTAGCAATCGCCAGGTCAGAGCACCTATTCCTGCCTTCGCAGAATCACACAAGTTTTTCCTACATTCATCACCTGCTGTGCCCTGACGCATTCTTCCCGTCGCGTACGTCGATAGTTTCCCTCGAGTAATTGCATAACAAGAAGCCACAGAACAAAGGTCGATCGCATTGTTGTCGCCTCGCGTCTTGTTCTCTTATTTCTGTCTGATTCGGCGCACTTTGCAAACACCCATAAAAACCCTAAAACCGTAAGTGATATCAACTGACTGCAATACCTCTGTTGTTGTAAGCTTCATCGATGGACAAGAGTCGGCCGATAAATCTACGAATGACAGTCTATGTCAACGGGAGGCCATGCTCAAATGCAATACTCCGTTCAAAGCTTTTCAACTTTCATAATATAGAGGTATAATATCAATTTTCTAAATAAAACAGCAAAGATTATAATGATCGAGTAAATATATGAAATAATTTAAGTTCAAAGAAATCCAACTACAGCATCCCTTGATCTCTTTCTGCACAAGGTAATTCGAGTAGAATAGTGAGTCAAGAAGCTAAACCTGAAGGTCTATTAAGAACATACCACTCCGAAGAATCATCTTTGAGATAGAAGGGTGATAGAATGACATGCCTCAGATTGAGATATGACTAGAGAGATGGAAGACATACAACCATAACACCAATAATTGATGTTAACGAGAATCTAGCTCTAGGCTACAAACTCAGCCGTTACACTAGCATAGAAATAGAAGTAGTGCCCACCATTCTATTAAAATATAGTAGAATTAACTCATAAATCACTACTAACCCTCTTAGAGAATTCATCGTAATTTAAGCACAACTCGTCCTTGCGATTTTCCCTTATCTATCTCTTAGAAAACTCTTGTTAGCGATTCTGTTTTTTTAATGCGTACGTGAGCCTTAATAATCCCGCGAGCTACGAACTTAAGGACCTTAAGAGCGTCTTAGCGACTACCTATAGCTAAACTAGTAATATGATAGTGGTTAGCGATTATAGCGCTAGGGTTAGCTAAGGCAATAGACTTTGATCTATGCTCTAGCAACCCTACGCATACTAAGGTACTATTAAAACGTGTAGAGCTTATGTATACACCTCCATAATATTACAGTACAAGTTTCGCGGAATAGTTCTTAAAACCGCGATACTGTAATAGGAAGTTTTTGCTGCTATCATATTTGGTGCTGAAAATGTTATTCCTCCACGCTTCTCCATAGAAAAATAACTAACCAGATTCAAATGTGCATAAAAAACATGCCACTCTTCTCATCTAAATTCTCAGCTAGATACATACTTTTTGATCCTGTTTTAATCAATAACATCTAAACACGTTCCACAGCCGCAGTTGCTCGTAGCCGTTGGGTTATCCACAATCTTAAACTGACTTCAAATCAACTCAGTCGTATAGTCTACAGTACTACCGTGCAAAAGCTCTAGCAAAGGCTCGTCTATAACGACCTTGCCTTCGCCAGCTACCGTCGAGACGTCTTCTTCGCCCCCGAAGACCGTGTCTTCCACGTCGATCTTGGATGCGGGCCCCAGGGACATCAGGTACTTGAAGCTATGGCAGCCACTGCAAGTGACCGTGATGCGGAGGTGATAGTACGGGTTCTCCACTCCTGTAGAGGGGTGGGGAGAAGTGCCGTCTGTTAGTTTGACCTGATGAGGGAGGGCCGTAGACGGTGATGACATATGAACAGGTGACAACGAGACAGAGGCAAGGAACAGAAGACAGCAAAGAGGCAATGGACAGCGGGCAAGGAACGTGGCAAGTTTAGCCGAGTAGCCATGTCGGCAGTGCAGGGGTCGTTCAAGGAGTTTAGGTGTGATTTGGAGGGCTCCAGGCGGTTTAGGTGAAGGGCGCTAAACCCAAGGGGGGCGCAAAAAAAAAAAAAAAAAAAAAAATAGAAAAACATACAACAGCCAGGATTCGCTGGTGGTCACCCACCCAACTACTAACTGGCCGGCGTGTGGCTTAAGTACGGCTGAGCGGACGGGAAGCCCTGTTCTCCACACCCTGTGGTCGTATGTACTTATTGATTCTCTTTTAAGGAGCATAGCTTATCTAGTATTAGTCAGTCTGGACTATAGTTAACCTAGTTAACATGATTAGCTACAGTAAACGAATCTTGGTGAGAATCACCCTACTCGCGCGATCGTCGTACTAACCCTCTCAGCTGAACTACAGTGTAAAATTATTCGGTCATACTGCTTGACCGCAAACACCCCGTAGAGATATATATTTTAAGATGGTAGGTAGGACGTGGTCAAATTAGCCAATCGTGGAGGCATACCTATACTACTTTGATCATAATCGGAGTAGGGCTTGGAATGTTAGTCGTGTGAGGGTGAATGTAGAGAAATCCGAATAAGGCAGGCTAAGGGTCAAGTAAGATCCGTTATCACCAATAATATTAAACTAACCGCTCGCCACCGACGCATTTCTAACCAATACCTATAAAAGATTCAAGTCATCTCTCTTTGATATTCTCCATTCTTTTCTGGTTTGAACTACCTGTATAGGTATATGCATACTGATTTAGATTAAGTTCCTGACAAGGTGTGCAACTAACTAACTTGGGAATTGTGGGCGGACGCTGAACAATCCTGTCATAGAAGGGAATGATGGTAAAATCACCACTCTCAATCTAGACAGAAGTCATTATAAGGGTCAAAGCCCGCTGTATTCCATAGAATGCCTGGCTTCAGAAAAGACTCGAGACAGAAGTAATAGAGAAAACAAAGAACAGAAATGAAACAAGAGATACACGAGTATTGATCATATGATCAGCACACGACAACCAAGGCCTCTATAGCCGAGAACAACAACAATCAGGTCTAAGCCTGCATCAATACAGGTTGCGGTCAACCGTAATATATCCAATCGCAAGAGCAACAGAGTAACCTTGATTGAATCCGGAAGCTGTAACAATATAATCCGCGGTGCTCGTCGTCTTAACCTGATTTGAACCAGATTCCCACGGACAGTCAAAATAGATTTCAGCAACCTTTACACTGCCTGCACCAATCACCAAGTCAAAAGTGCCCTCTGTTCCAGAAGTACTATTTTTCAGTCCGCTAGTGCCGAATGTGTACTCCTGCCCAGCTTCTATTACGACTCCACTAGGACAAGGGACCTCCAAGTAACGGTCAAGAATGTCGTAACATTTGCCCCTAAACAAGTTAGGGATTTTTTCTCAATAGCATAAAGTAGGATAACCTGAAGCTGGGATATTAATACCATGATAAATTAAAATCGCCAATAGAAATTGGAACATCTAGGTGATTTCGAATTGTGGGCTGCCACCATAAAGCCTCGGTCGCAATAACAGACTCTATCATACAGAGTACTGTAATGACCGGATAAATGATTGTAGAACGCATTGTATCTGTGTAATGATATAAGATAAGTTGGCAAGACCTGCCAAGGATGAAAGTAATTAATAGATCCTGACCTGCCGAAGGATGCAAGACGGTATTAATACTTTCCCACCTCTCCATGCATCTTAGGTATCAGCCACTCGAGGAAAGGGGGGGGAATGGCATAATTGCTAGACTAGGTTGAGAGTATATTTCTAGTTAAAGGTTAGGATCTTCATTCACGAATTCCCATGTACCCCTAGGTCGTCTCTAATCATCCCATATGCTGGATTTACCAATCATGTCTTCTCCACATCTCGATCTCCTATACTGAACCCGTCGACCTCTACCTTCATCTTGTTAACCAAATCTGTTCGTATGAAGCGCGGTATACTTTCCACTAATCAGAGAGCCTCTGCTGAGTACGTACACGCCAGTATTACGTAAGGACGGTCTCACGGGCAGTGAAGGTTAAAATTCCAATACGGAGTACTCGCCTGGCCTGTAGCCTTGCATTCCTGGACCTCCACTTCCATTACTACATCTGGCATAGTCGCATTTGTTATTATAATTGTTATTATTTGTTCCTCAGGCCTCTAGGGTGACATCTGGGTCCGACAGAGCAGCATTCCGAATGTTTCAGCACTCTGCATTAAAGCTCTGTACGGTACTTGTTCCACAGCTATATAGTACTCATTACATATGCGGGCTTTTCCTCCCTCGGCTTCATAATTTGATTACCAACCTTTTACTATTAAATGGCAGTTGAGTGACTACTTTCGACCCATCCGGTCTAATCTTAAGACAATTTAATCCTCTTTCTCGCTCCGAACCGTCTATCTAAGTAGGACTTTGGATCTCTCCTCGGTTTCTCTAGTAGAGTTGGTGTGCCCTGGGCTGTAAGTTCAGGTAGCTCCTCGTATTTCCTCACCACAGTATTCAGCCTTGCATGCCTCACAATTGTTCACCTAGTGCCTTTCTCGTCTTACACGGTGTGATTGTGGATTTTCAATCAATTGTTATCGTAGAATTGGCAGTGAAGATGATAAATGTCTACATAACTCCTGCCCTTGCAGCAAAGGCCCCCAACATAAACATCAGTGGAGGATCGTAGTGAGTTCAGATGCCCGTAAATGTGATTAAGAAGGGTTGCCTTAAGAGTTTATCCAGGGGTCAGTTTTTGGATTATGCCTCTTGAAATACCGATCAGCCAAAACCTTAAGGAGTATCGGAGTGGGAAGTTTTCAGAGATGGTTTTCATGTCGTGAAGGCTTCCAGTTCGTGAGGTTATAGTGAATAGTTCCACAAACAGCTTATCGCGGGAACGAATATCAAATATTCGAGAAGTAGAACACCCAAACTCTTCCAGTATATCGGATCCTGTTTTGCCGAAAGCGCAGGTTCCCGTGTACACAACAGCCTCTTGGTTGAGCAAATGACATTGGGAATTTCGCCCCCTGTCTTACTCAGCTGAGGTAGTGTCGGAACCAATGTGTTGTAGGTGAGCGTGGTTCGAAACAATCCTACATATACCATAAATTTTTATAGCGGTAGTGACTGAGCATGGTTCGAAAAAGGGTGAGCGTGGCTCGAAAATTCATCACGTGATTTCAACCCACTGTGGGGCTTTTGTTTCGAACCACGCTCAACGGGAACCCATTTCGACAGTCCGATCGCGAATGAGCAAGGACAAAATAGTCTGTGTTGAAAATGTCCTTACTACAGTAGTAATTTATATGGTGGTGCGGACTAGCGAGAATTATGCTAACAATCTTGAACGATACCAGTGTCACACATTCCAACAAACGCATTAAAAAACTACCCTGCTGGTAGGCAAAAAAAGATGATAGCGGTGGGATTCGAACCCACGCGGCTTGCGCCATACGAAGACACCTTCCTGTGGAAGGTAAGGAATCCCTTGAGTCGTACGCCTTAGACCACTCGGCCACACTACCCAATATTACAAATTGCAAGATTTACTCTCCTTACATCAATGGTACTTCTATGCTCGGAATGAGTCATGAAGTTTACGACCATCAAGGTATACAGCGTCATACAACCCCAGCGTCATATATTAGAGGTCTTATACACATTTGTCATATGTTGGTGTCAAGGTAAAAGAAGACTAAAAAATAACGTATTCGATAAGCGAGTGAGTGAACCCAAAACACCATAGTAAACGCGATATTTTACAACTTAATATCTTAACCACAATAGCTTAATTTGAAAAGTTTTGAGATCTAATGGTTGAGATATATATTTAACACGCGGTCGCAGTGTATTTTTGAGTAACTTAGCTAAATAGCTATTTAATACCAACCTAATGTAGTCTATACTATATTAGTTATACATATAAATAAAATTATACCAGTAATCAAATAAAATTAATTCGTCGTCGTTGAATGATCAGGTTGTAAAAATAGCACATTTACTATGGTGTTTTTAATCGACTCACTCGCCTACATGGCTCACTCGCTTACCGATCACGTTACTTCTAGCCAAGATTAGTAAAGGCAGTTGAAGTCGCTTCGGTCATGAGAAAATTGAATAGCCAGGAAGTAGCGGTTCATAATCCACACACAGACGCTCGCAGGCGAGTAAGTGTCACTTCGAAGGGCCAGTAAAGCAGTATGAATATTGAACCAGAAGCAAATTGATTGTTAATCTATGAGATGTATGCAATGGTCTAATTGTCCACAAACGCGCCATACCTAGGCTCATTCGGCCGCCAGGGCCCATTTCTTCCAGGCAGTAAGAGGCTGAAACACTGTCTTTAAACCCAGTGGTGATCTCTGCGCACGGTTCTTACTAACCCCTCCTGTCTTTCTCTGGAAGCGTCGAGTCCGACTGCGCAACAAATCCGCTCGTTGCTCAAGAGTCAAATCAACTTGATCACCGATCGGAATCATGCATTTGGCCAGATGCATGTAGTTTTTGCGAAGCAAATTCACGGTGATAAAGATATAATCAACGTTGCGGAACACGAGGGCCCTTTCCTCAGCATAGCGGTCTTTCTGTTTGACAAATGCAACTGGATGGTCTCTCCAGTGGCGACGAGGGTTCAAATGATGAGAGGTATGATATCCATCATTAAATGAAAAGCGATTGCTCTGTACTGAGTCAGAATATTGCCGCTAGCAAAAGCTGATGTTGGTAAAAACTTACTGCGACGTCAATCAAAGTAATGCTCGAACGAAAATCCGAGTCTGGATCTACCGGATCCACAAAGGCGTGCTGGCCCCAATTTCCAACCATCAAACCAAGCCGCATGACTGCGAGCGGGAGAAGAAACACAAATAGAGTGGCGCGGGAGTTGACCTGGGAGTAGAGAAAATAGAGAGAGGCATAGTTGCTCAGCTCCCAAAATGCCGCCTTGAGGGCATACCCGATCTGTCCCTTCCCCCAGAAATACAGCGGAAGTTCAAGCCAGATCAGAAACACAAAGCGGCATACATAGCAGAGAAAATCAAAAACATTGTCGCGGTCGTAGAACATGGTCGTGCTCAAATCATCCTGGCCATTGCCTTCGACGTGGTGGTGCTTAATATGGTGGTAAAAGTAGGAGTTCCATGTATGCCCTAGCATAGGGTCCAGGATGTATGGGAAAGCCATGTCCAGAAGTCGATATTTAGGTGCTAATACCCCGTTCATATGGATGTGCTGATGCTTCATCAGAGTGAAAGCTCCACAGTACCATAGCTGTAGAACCCAGTGTATGACCCCATGGATCCATGAAAAGTGATGATACAAATATACCGCACTTGGAACGATAGTGGTGAAATATAGGAGCAGATGCGTCAACATGACGACGTCTGTCTTAAAGCGCACGACCCCTTGCGCCCAATTGATATATGGGCGGAGAATGTAGCGCTGTATGCTTTCCGGGAGGTTTTCCCGCAGCACATCATTGTCCCATAGCTGGAAGATAGTTGGATCGAAGTCAGGATGCGAGGCATTATTCAGGTTGTGCAGCTTCTCAGCTGCTCCCTTGTCATCAAGGGTCCCCCTCAGCACTCCGTGGGTTTCACCTGAAGCTTTATCAGCCGATTGGTCAAACCTGGGCGGTGCCAACGGGACTTACTATCCAAGCATCCATCCCTGATGAGAGTTTTGATCACCAGCTTGTCGGGTAAAGTGAGCTGAGGATCCGTGAACGTGGCGGGATCCATGGCGAGCAATGTGTCTGATCAACCGGCTAGGTTGAGTCCCGACAGAGCAAGAGAATCCTTGACAATCCCACAAAACCAAGCTCTCAGGAGAAAGCTATGAAGGCTTCTAAAATTTATGCGGTCGTACGGGGCTCCGCTAGGGCGGATCAGTTTTGGCTCTAACCAGATACGGAATGCCGATCGGCCCATCGGCATCCCGCCTTATTAACTGCATTAAGTGTTATTGGATGAATTCAGACAGTTATTTTAGGACCGGCTGTCTACATGGTAGCCTGTCACTATCGTTCTATTCTGGTTAATATTCGTGGTGACTTTGAAAGATGATGGGACTCAGGGTGGAGCTTCTCGCATGCCGCGTAGGCCTATGCTCCACTTGGTTTCTCTTTATTTTTGTAACTGCTATTTTTGCTTACCCTCCATTCATACGGAGAAATCTATTGTAAACCTCGACCCATTGTTCCTATGAGGGACATCACTAATATTTCCGACGTATATATAGTAGGGCTTATGGATGAGGTCGTAGAGTGCCGACGCGATTTCTCAAATCGAGGGGCACGAAAACAACCGGTGAAGCATTCTGACTAATCAAGGGGGCCTAGATCGATGAGTTAAACAGATCCTGAGATTGTGAAGGAAGTGAAGAACGGAAGATAAAGTGCCGAAGTTATGTTTGGCTCGAATGATCATCTTTTCCTATGCATATTTACCTCATGCTTACCGTCGAGGATGTGTACCGGGATGTGTACTCCAGCCAATGAGTGCTTGCCGAGACCAGACAAGATCAACACGGCAGATGGTCATTGCGTCTACGGCATATCAGGCACCGTTTGCATCAATTTGAATTCGAATATATCGGAAGGCCCAGCTCATTTAACTAATTGTCATTTTCCGGCTGGTTTTCTTTCTACCGTACTACAAAGACATTTCCGGGTAGCTTCCCGCCTAATTTTTCTGGCACCCATGCTCAACCCCACCGTATCACCTCGTCATTTGGGCTTCAATCCATCACACGGTCGGGGAAATGCGGGGAGAGACAGAGCATCATTCCGCTTGGGGCAATCCCATCCGTTGAATTTTCTTCGCATTGTGTGATCGCCGGCTGTCTTCTAGAAAGGTTTGATGCCTGGTTAAACAGGCATCAACGGAGCAATCGTCCAATCAGAACCACAGCCAAGCGCCGAACGGCTTTGGTCTCACCGATCTATACTTGCATGTTGGGCGATAAGATGGGGAATATATTATCAAACAGATACTCGGCCAAGGCATATATTTATTGTCTTCCACTTCTTCCACTCCTTCCAACTTACTCCCACATTCATTCATTGCAATCATTGCCGTGAGTTGTCTTCACGACTGCCCGCTATGAGCTGACCGCACTGACCTAACAACCTGAGCAGCCTTTTTCCAATTACATAACTATAAAAAGCATCCTACCGCCAGACTTGCCCCTCCATCATCCTGATTTCAAAGGCAGACGCCCCCAACCTATGATCTTGGTGTCGGGAATCTTAATTCAGCGCCTGAGATCATGACACAAAACCTCCAGGATCAGCCATTCCCTTTTGGCCTCCAGCGGAGCCGAAGCCGGATGGGGGAGCTTCTGGCGGCAGACGTGCTCGTTGCTGCGGGTTCGGCCACACTGATTACACCCGCGGTGATGATATTTGATAGGTATGGTCAAAACACAGAGCCCCACGACATCAGCATGCTGACCCTTCGAAAGACTCGTCGTCGAGAAATCCTTCTATAACCAACCTCTTTTGCCCGCATTCCGGAGGCATCTGTGGTTCTCCATCACACAGCCTGCTACATTTTTGACATCACGACCCAGCCTACTCGTCTGGTCCCTTTATACAGCAACTTTCGCAACAGCCAATGCATCTGAGACGATTCTCGAGAAACTATACCCCAAAATTGATCATGCCATTGCCGGCATGACTTCATTCGCATCTACCTTCTTGGTAAACTCTTCCGTTGGCATTTGGAAAGACGTCAAGTTCGCACAACTTTTTGGACACAAGAATACCACCACGGCTCCTCCGACGACCCCTGCATCATCCACTCCTTCATCCACTCCATCATCCACCACACCCACCTCAAACACCAACACAACGACCGACACTCCTTCTCAACCACAGCCCAAGCCCAAAACTGCCCGTTCTATCGGCCGCACCAGAATACCCTTGGCCACCTACTCCGCCTTTTTGATCCGTGACGGCCTCACCATCTTTGGATCCTTCAGCCTACCCGCTATGGTATCGGCTTCGATCCCCGACTCCGTGGCGTCCCAAGAATACCTGAAAATTCTGATTGCCCAACTAGCCATTCCGGCCTCTATCCAGCTGATCAGCACGCCGATCCACCTTTTGGGTCTGGACCTCTACAACCGGCCGCAAGTCCGCCCAGCAAAGGACCGGGTGTCTAGGGTCAGCCGAGACTGGATCGGTGCTTCGCTCTTACGCATGTGTCGCATTATCCCCGCATTTGGGATCGGTGGCTTTGTGAACACGGAAGGCCGGCTGTATCTACACGAGCAGTTGGATGAACGGCGCTCGCCTTCATGAGCCGAGCAACAGATCGGTTTTATAGAGATTATAGAGACGACATGATAGATCAATAATATACCCTTTCTTTTATTTATTTTTTATGTTTTTTGTGTCTGGATTCACGATTTTCTCTCTTCGGTTGTTGTGGTTGTGCCCTATCCCCGCCGAGTTGACCGGCCCGGCTTGCGTCGGCGCCCGGGTCAAGGCCCGGATCACAGACACAGAGGACAGCCAGAGCCGGTCATGCATCCCCATCGTTTTGGTTCAAGTGATTGCCCCACTTCCACCCGTCTCTTCCGGACAAAAGCCAATACACGTCGTGTGGCGTTAAGTAGTTGGAGGAAAGTGGGTGTAGTTCTCAACCAGGTGGGCGAAAACATCGGACCCAACGCCCGAGACTTGAGCAGCGCGCGCGATACGAAAATGTGATAAGACATGCAATGCAATGTTGTCATTAAGGCATCTAAACTTAGAATTACGCAGTTCATAGTATTGTAGCCTCACGTAAAGTGAGAGCTTTCTCTCATTTTCCTAAAACCTAGACCAAACACCGATTCGTAAGCAGTCATTATCTTTATTTCCGAGCAGCCAGCGATGATTTTCACTTGCTACCCAGTTGTCGTGACGGTCTCAATAGGCACTGGAACACGTAGTCTGCCTCTGGGGCGGCGGGATGGCGATGGAATCTGGGTTTCCAGCGAAAATTCGCCGAAATATCCGCAGCGTACATCGGCCGGTACCAGGTTCGGGCTGTTTATGAAGTTTCTTTTGTTTTTTCATACACAAACGGGTCGACGGTGCAAGAAAGAACCCCAGAGGAATATTAGAGCTCATTGGTTGTAGAAGCATTCAATGAATCCCGAACAGAATCTCATGGCACATCACACTCGATAGCTTCGAAGCCCGTAGCGCGCGCTTTGGAGCCCTGGCTCGTTGGGGCAGATCCAGCGGGATTGATTGGAGCGTGATTGAAATCGGACAAGACCCTAGAAGCATCCACAAATGACGGATACTGACCACCGGGGGGGATATCGAAAGTGGGCGATCTCCACACATGCTGATGGGCGATATTGACCAATTTTCCCAAAACGGCAATCTCAAGTTTCAGCTTGATGCTGTAAAGAGTGGCCTTGAGGGTGGTCTGGTAGATGTAGAAGTTCATGAACTCAATGACCATCAGAGCGATGTCCATGAGAATACAGGCAACATTGACAGCCAGGAGCTGTATGATGGTTTTGCGGCTATTATGGTCCGGGTTGAGTTGCAGCATGCGATTAGTCTCCCACATGTAGATGCTGGAGATGATGACTTCTTGCACACAGAAGCCGGTCAACTGCAACTTTTCCATTACGTCGTAACCCATGACGGTCTCGGGCGAGGTGGAGAAGTTGGCGGCATAGGTCAGGACGGTGGTCGGGATGTGAAGAATAATGATATTCATGATGATCATCCCCTTCACCAAGCGCAGCACGCGCATGTCCTGGAGGACCAGGTGCAGCCGCGAGTACAGCACAAATGATTGGCCGGTCACCATCGACCACCAGCCAATGGTCAACAAAGTCACCGGCAGCCAAGTGGCCGAGGTCAAATTGAAGAACTTCATCAGATATCCGACCGAGTAAGGAAGAATGCCGATGGAGGCAATCAGCATGCTCCAGAAGTAAGGTCCACGGTAGCGTTTGAAGGTGAGGCAGATGAGCACGATCAGCTCAAGCACGTTGTACCACGCGACGCCCACAAAAGTCGCGATGGTGATGCGGACGCCATTACTGTTTCCAGTGTAGCTGCCTGTGATCCAGTCGCCGGGACTGGATTCACTGGACGAGGACATAGTATTCCCGCAGGATCTCAATCCTTGGAGTGGAAAAAGCCACAGGGATGGCGCTCAGGGACTGAATTTTGACGCGGGGGTTGTTATTGGAAGGGGCGGTGATGGGGGGCGAACGGGGATTGGCCTGACCAGATCCACACCAGCCGGGGTGGCTTGGGTGGCTTTTATCCTTAGCGGACAGATCTATACATTACGATTACATATTGACATTGTACACGATTCGGACTTGCTTGGAGATGCTTCAGCTCATGGAATGTGGATCGCCCCCTTCAGCATGCTTGTGTGGTCTGCCGTCATCATAATCAACCCCCTGAGTCAGGCACCAGGGGCTTTCGGACCGACCCCAACATCATCTCAACTGGTAAAAGCATGGATGGGATGGATATACCATATTGGATCTATCCCCGAACCCGTACCCCAGATATGGTCGGCAGCTTCAAAACAACCGCTAGTCAGCGCTGGCAGTTCCCAAGATGGCCAACCCACTCTCGGCTTCGTCGTCAGCCTCATCACTTAGTCTTGATGTCGTTTTTGCCCCCGAGTCATTCGCTCGCTTTGATCTCCTCGGGGGTATTTATACGTGACCTCCATCCAGACCCTACTCAGTAGGAGACCCGGTGGAGGCAACAACCCCACCACTCATCGCCAACGAGTCATCCCGACAAGACAAGCTCCGATTCCTCCTTCTCAACCCATACCACCATGTGGCAACCATCATGGCCCCCGCTGTCTTTCTTCAGAAGGGAAATGGCCGAATACGCCCTCAACAAAAACGCTACGGCCATTCTCTCCGGATCCATCAATATGTGGTTCCACTTCCAACTTCTAAGCTCCGGCCATGGCCCCAAGCAAGCCGAATGCGACGACATGGAATATACCGTCGAGATGACTTCTTCAGAACAGAGAAAGGCGATTGCTATGCTGCTGGTCCCATTCCATCTGCGGAAGTCGAGGTCTTTTCGCCACCTCGACGAGGGACTTGTCCAGAGTGGGAGAGTTGCGGCGAGTCCCCGACGTTCGCATTCTTTTGCCGGATGATCCGACATGTCGTGAGATTTAGGAAACGGGTTGAAAACCGGGAGGCTGAGCGGCGTGCGAGCAGTTATTCTGTACCGATGCTACGTGGGCCTAGCTGAGCAAGGAGTGGTAGCCGCGAAGTCATGACTTTGAGGCAGCATATAACAATGTATAGCTTCTTTAGAGAGTACCCTTATCATACATATTTCAAGATTGAACTCCGAGGACAAAGAAACTCCACTTATCCCGTAAAATGTCTGACCTGACCCTAGTAAAACGCCCCAATCATTGCAATCTGGGGTTCACCCCAAATGCATAGTTATTGAGGTCGATTCTGACTTCTTAAGAACTCTGCAACCTGTTTATGCTCGGTGACGAAAAACATACGTCTCCTGTCCGACTTCCAAACCAGCACACCGATCTCTGCAGCATGCTGGCATGGAGCCAGGTATTCGTTAAAGGCACTGAAATCCTTGAACAGAAAACCCGATGTGGCTCGGAGACGGTCCCGCTCGAGTTGCCACAACCTGATCTGATCGGTCACGGTGGGCGGCAGCACAGAGGGCGGGATGCCTGAAGCGTTGGACGTAGAATATGTAGCGTTGTGCTTGCGCATCTGGGGGTGGGCGTGTGTCAAGAGATACGAGATGATCTGGTCAGCTGTGATGCCCATCTCGATTGCTCGGCGCACCGACTGGCGCGTGATTTTCCCAGTGACCAGGTTCGTGAAGCGGTATTTGAGATTTGTGAAGAGAGAAATGAGGGAAATCTGGAGGGGCGAGGAGGTATAGGCGTAGAGACGGTAGTTGGTTTCGATGATGATGAACCCAGTGCCACCGCCAGAGGAAGTGCTGACCGGTCCCGTAATCGAGCCAGTTACAGGATTGCTCAGTGCAACCGAGTCAGAAGTGAGCGTGGTTGCAAGGCGCGTGGGATAGAAGCATGGGGCGTCTGGGTTGTCCTGGTAAACAATGCCAAAGTCGGACAGATCGGCGAGGGTGCGCAGTTGGACCTCATTCAAGTGTCGCTTTTCGTAGGATTGGCCCAGCTCCAAGCTGCTCAGCAGGAAGAGGAAGGAGAGGACCTCGACACTATCCATGCCGATGGCCTCGGCGCTTTCCACATACAGGATCAAGATATGCCAGACCTGCGTATTGACATCTTGCAGCACGAACCCAAACCCGTCCTTGGTGATATCCACTCGGCGATCACGAATCTCCACCAAATGGCCAGCTTGCAACAGTTGTTTCACCCCGTTGCTTAGTTTGACCTCGCGCGATCCGCCCAGCGCATCTGTTCCCACCATGTATCCCAGGACTCCTTCCCACTGCCGCCGCGCATAGTCGTCCAGGTCGGCAATCGAAACGGGGGTCTGGTCAGGTCCTTGAGAGAAGACACCAAAGGACTGGGAGTTCTCAGAGCCCATGAGCGCTTGTTGAAGCGAGCGAGCAAACTCTTTGGTGACCTGGTAAGCGGGAAGCCTCACGGTTTTTTTCTGTCTCTCGCCCTTCTCTTTCTCGGTCTTCTCCTCGATGACCTTGTCGATTACCGGGTTCGGGTGAGTCAAGATAGAGAGCCGTTTCAAGATATCGATCGCGTCGTCTCTTTGTCTTATGAATCGATTTGAGTCAGTCAAGGTCTTTTTTGGGTCTCAAGACGCGCTCACTTCTTGCTTTCCGATTTGACCCAAGTTTCCAGATCATCCTGCGGAAACGGGCCTTGCAGGTACAACAGCGCCATGACAAAGCATTTCGCTACAACCAGTCAGTCTTGTAGAAGCAACCGAGGAGAGCTCAAAATACCCAGATCAGGCAGCATGCGCCGAAAGATGGCTAGGGCGGTGGACGGCTGCTGGTACAGCTTGCGAAGGGTCACCCCCGGCAGGCTCTGAAGGTACTCAAAGGGTCGGGAGGTGGCGGTCGCCATGGCAGTGACCGGAGCGACGCAGCTGGTCCAGTCGAAAGCGCTTGAATGGAGGACGATGATGATGTCGCTGGTACGGCGGGCGAAGCGGCCATATCACGCAGCTCCCGATAAGCCGAAGCGCATTCGGCTCCTCTATCTCCCCCTAAACAATCAACAATCACCCAATTCCTGGCCAAAATGACTGCTTTGCGATTTGTCAGATCTGTAATAAGAGTCATGCCCGTCATTTTTACTGGATAATTACTGACCACTGTGTTTCCTTAGGTGTGGGAGTCCTTTCGGGCTAATTCGGGCCTAGAGCCTCGGTAGGTGATGCAGCCGTGTTTTGGTCCAGCAGTCACTGACAATGGTGGCAATGGGATAGACTCTTAAATAATGTGAGTGTAGGTAACCATACTGCTCAACAGGTATGCTAATATGACCGTCTAGCTCCAAGTCACCGCTGCCAGGCCGGGAACTGTCAACTTTGAGCTTGATATCCGGAAGGAACACACTGTATGTTCCCCAAGAACCGTTTGCTTCTAACGTTGCAAATCTGTAGACGATATCTTTGGCAAACAATCTGTATACACGGTACTGACGTACCTAGAACCGATTGAACATCCTCCATGGCGGCACTATTGCTAGCATGGGTAAGTCCAATTTCTTTTGACACGGTAGTCTACCGACTCATATCTCAAATAGTTGACCTCGGTGGCTCCTTGGCTGTGGCATCTCGTGGCCTGTTTGCAACGGGCGTATCTACCGATTTGAACGGTAATCTAATCCCCGAAAAGACATTTATGTACCTGAAGACGAATCCTAACTGTCGTTTTTCAACAGTCACCTATCTCAGCTCTGGCGGCAAGATTGGAGACAGGATCCTGGCGGTATGTTTGCTCTCGCATCCTGTTGCCAAGATCTAGATCTTTATTGACTGACTCATTCCCAGGAGGTGACGTGCGACAAATGTAAGTCGTCCAACTACATTGCATGTCTTTAGCTCACATCTGACAGTTGGCAAAACCCTTGCCTATACCTCAATCAAGTTCACCAATGCCAAGGGAGAGATTGTTGCCCGTGGAAGCCACACCAAGTGCGTATTAATGATTTACTTCTTGATTTGTTGGTGCGAGAAATCTAATAAATGCATGCTTGCACAGATATGTCACCCTGGCATGGAGAGACCCGCAGAACATCGTGGAGGAAATCAACAAGGAGCAATAATCATGTATGATAGGGAATCTTATGACGAAAAGAAAATATCCCCGATAGAACCATAAAAGATCGAACCATAAAAGAAACAAACAGTCAAAACTCAACGTCGTGAGGGCCTAAAAAGGAAACGGCAATTCCTCTGCCAGTCAGAAAAGTCCTCAGCCATTGCACATCCTGTTACAAACTTGCGCCATCCGTACTTGGCGTCAGAGGGGTTATGATACCCATCTCCCATCACCATCTGCTCCAGATCCTGTTCCGAGGGCCGGAATTCATCATCCTCACGATCAAACTCCCACGGTGCTTCTCCAAAATACCAAGGAAGATAGACATGAAAACTTTTAAGGCGAAGAGATTTGAGCGGATTGATGAGTTTGAGGCAGTGTGTCTGGAACCTACCCTCCCTTTCGAACCATGGGTTGAACTGCCACCACTCGCCGAGCATATTATGCCTTCCGATCATCAAACTGTGAGACATATCGACCGTGATATGGAGACGTGCAGGGGTGCTGAGCTTCAATTTCTCGACGGTTTCTTGCCATAGCTTATAAGTACCTTCTTTTTCCCAGAGCCGCACGAATTCCCAGTCGAAGACAAATTGCACGGAGCGCAAGTGCTTCAGAGCATTCACGGGAAGAGAATCAATAAACGGTGACAAAGGTTTGCTCAGGCGCAATGAGGACGGAGCATCTGTGCATGTCGAAGGGGGAAGCAGCTTGAAGTGATTTGCTGAGTAGAAAATCCGCATCGCCATTTCATGCACATCTCGGTTGACAAGAAATAACGAGAGAGGAAAGCGCCAGCATGAACATTGCCGGGCCGAGATGTACTTTTCGTCTCTGAATTGCCAACAACAGCGATCGCGCACAGAAAGGCAAGTTGAGCAATGGTTGTGGTTTCTGTTGAGATGATCCCACCTAAACCCATTCCTCGGAGTCCAGACGAGATCATAAGTTGACGCAAGATCAGTGTGTTGAAGAATCCGCTCTTGAAGTTCAGCGGGCAGGTCTCCGTACTGAAAAGGCTGGATGGCCTTGGTTGAATGCGAACGTCCCGTCAACTGCAGAGCAATGTCGTGCCCCAACGGATATAATCGAGGATCTAGCCTTCCGTCGAAAACAGGGTGCAGACGAATAGCGAAGCTGGCTAAAGTGGGTAGTTCCATAAGAGGCTTTAGCAACTGCTCGGCGATGCCTCTACCGTTCACATCACATATGACCGATAGGTGAAGGCGAGACTCCTCGATGTGACGGCTTAAGTGCTTGCAAGTTCGTTTCCAGTCGCCCTTGACACATCGCGGAATCTTGGACGGGAGGGGAGGGTCGATCTGCGAGCAAATGAAGTAGTGGTTCCAGATCCACGCGTTGTAATGGCAAGCACTGCTATCTTGAAGGGTGATTTTGAGGGACCTCAGGCATGCGAGGGTGCTGGAACGAAGCTGGCGGAGCGCCGACAGGCCACCCGGGAGATTGCGAGAGATCTGGAATGCGTTCTCAGAGTAGAACAGCAAGGTTGTCTCTTGAGAGATAGCCCTCGAGGTCTGAAGAAGTTGCACAGGTATGGACTGATGTTTGATCAGGATTGGGAGCTCGCAGGTACAGAAACGGCGAAGGTGGCTGTAGAAACTCCAGGGGTGATTCCGAGGAACGAGAGTATTGATGCTACAGAAGTGACAGTCTGCCATAGAGGAATAGAAGCACAGGCATCGATCAAAAGGGGAAACACTGTACGCCACGGAAGACAGATTAACCGGTCCCTCTTTGGTAGACATAGGGTTCAAATCAATGGGCCCATGCTGGAACAGTCCTGCGTGGAGGTAAACTCGCAGGCGCACATTGTCTGGTAGGGTCAGGAAGTTGATGCTGCCGTGGGATGTCGGGGAGGGAGGAGGCGTACCCTCAACGATGGTCGGGTGTTCCATGGTTGACAGTACGGACAGAGAGAGAGAGAGAGAAGGAGAGGGAGGAAGGGAGAGAGGGAGCGTATGTTGAAAGTCCAAAAGAAGAATGGAAGAAGCTGTCGGAACAGGCTGAGTGAAGGGAAGTGATTGAGTCGAAAGCGAGCAGAAAGAGTGACGAAGAAGAAATTGACGGCTGAAGGGGGCGCTGCAAGATGGATGATGGAAGATGAAGATCGCTTATTGAGAAGGATGAAATTAACGATGAGTGCCTTGCAATCTTTCATCTACCAATTTGAAGCATTAAAGGCGAAATTATGAATCATTCGAATCAAAGAAACCGACTTTCAATCCAGGCCCCACGACAGAAAGACCGCCTCCTCCCTCTTGCGGGCAACCAGAAAAGCAAGATCCATGATAGTATCAAGACCAAGTTGAAAGCAAGGGGGGCCGCTTTGTCAAACTCACAACCGGGCAGACTCGAATTGAGAATGTTGGAGGTCTATTCCTAGATGTGTCTTGACCAGAGTGTTATCTTCAATCACCTTGCAGAGGCGTCCCCTTTCCCTATGCAGAACAAACAGTTTGTCCCAAGCTTGGAAGCCCTTTCCTGCGCCAGGTTTGTTCATCTTGCCCATACCCTCATGTCCCACGATCACGAGACAATTCTGGGCACGACTGAGTGCAACACACATATACAATCCGTAAAGAACCCCTAATCAGCCCCTCTGATTAACCTAGATTGACTAATTTAGGATATAGTTCAAGGGCATAGAGGATCGTAGAACGAGTTGGACTACAAAGTTCAGCATTTAGCCTTCGACTTCCATTTATTTCTGTCCTAAATCGATATATGGTTGTTGAATGAATTAAAAAACAAAGTAGGGGAACCCTTGTAAAATTATCATACAAGACCCTCATCCTCTTCTTCGAGGCCCCCTTCGAGGCCCTCTTCGTCACCATCAGGCATGGCCTCGTCAATGGTCACTTGGCCCTCACCCATGGCCTTGACCTTCGCCTGAGTCATCTCGAACACGTACTGCCCGAGATGCTCGACGCTCTCCATCGGCGTGCCTTCCACGGCCGTGTCCAGAGTCCTCGTGGTTGGGAACATCTCGTTCGGGACGAGCATCAGCTTGTCTGAGCGCTGGAAGAGACGGTCGAAGGCGGGCTTGAGCTCGTAGCAGGACTCGAAGACCTCGCGGCGGCCGAGGATGTAGAGACCCAGTCGAGCTCGGGAGAGAGCGACTGTTAGACGGCGGGCATCACGCAGGTAGCCGACTGTGCGGGTGCGGGTGAGGGAAAGGAGCACGTCTGTAGATGGTCAGTTCGTCCGAGAGCTCCGAATGAAGATGGAGAAAACTTACAGTCATTCTGCTCTCCTTGGTACCTATCAACAGTGGTCACGATCTTGGGCATGCCAAACAAGGAGTTCTTAGCGCAGCGATGGTTCAGCACATCGCGAATCAAAGCCGTCTGCCCCGCGTAAGTTGATAAGATCGAGATCTTCGCGGCCGGGTAGCCCAAAAGACGCATGTACTGATACAAGGCGACAGTGTACTCGGCCTCGCCCAGGTTCTGAATGAAGTGAGGTGTCGGCTCTCGCTCACCGTTACCCTGGTAGTCTGGAACATTGATGAACTGATAGTCAAACTGGAAGCCGGGGTTGGCTAGCGAGAACTCCGGGGCAGTTTCAACCACTGGCAGATCACCCAGCTCTTTGTATCGCCAACGGAAGAGCTCAGCGATGTCGGGTCTGGCGCGCCCTTGCTTGTCCAATGTAATAGTCGGAACACCCAGACGTGCAAGACGCAAGAAGAGACTCTGCTCAAAGTGGGCGTACTGGCGGAACGCGAGGTTCTGGATAATGGGAGAGTTCTGGTAGTGATCACCGCAAAGAACAACGCGCTTCAAAGGGAGTTCGCCGTTCTTCATGTTCTGAAGAGCGGTGGGGATGAAGCTCTCGATCTCGGTAATTTGTGCGGCTTCTTCCATGACGACGTTGTCGTAGTGGAAACCGAGGTCAGCGATCTCCTGGCGCCGCATGGCTGCGTGGGTGGAGGTCATCGCAATGATCCGTGCCTCCTTGATCAGAAGGTAGTTCGCTTTGTCCCGGGGTTGGCGTAGGATCTCAAATGGCCGTATGTCCTCGAGCTCGGAGAAGATGCGAGCAATGTGCCGCTGACAACCTGCAGCGACATCCAGCAACACCTCTTTCGAAGCAGCCAGGTCGAACAAAGGTTGCGGAGCATTCGAGAAATACGTTTGAAATGGGAATGAAGCGACAATTTCTTCATTCGAGGCAGTCTCAGACCCAGCTTGATCCCAGAACTTAGCCCATGCTGGTTGGATATAAACCGTGTTGAAGTACCCGGCGGTCTCGCAGGAATTGCCATGTGCACCTTCTGCCCCAATCGAAGCTGCTAGTCTCATCACCTCTGAGAGGTAATTGTTGCGATTGTCGAGGAAGGACTCAACTCGACCATACTTGCTGTAGCTGATTTCGGTGTCTAATTCCTCCTCACCATGACCCAGTCGCAGCAGATGGCGTTCGTCGATGTCGAGAGCGATAATCTTCTGGAATAGTTGGTTGAGTGCCTGATTGCTGTGCGCAATAAGCAGAGTGCGTTCGCTAGGGAAATTATGGTAGATATTGTTGATGATCTGTGTTGCAACATCCGTCTTGCCAGTACCAGGTGGCCCCACAATGACAGTAAGACCAGGCTGTGTCCCAGACGCGATTGCTTCCACCTGTGCAGGCGTGAAGCGTACTGTGTTAATTTTGGGTGCATCAACCGGATAAGGTCCGGGATTAGGTGGCTTGTACGTAGAAACGCGCAAGGTGCTCGGTTCCTGCTGCGCCTGCTCGGCCTGTCCTCGTCGTCGCTTTTTCGAAGGACCAGTAGCATCCACTGCTGGTTGGTTGTCGACGTATTCGAGGATGTACGGAGGTCCAAAACTCGAAGTCTCTTGGCCTGACGGTTCGATAATCTTGCCCGGGAAGCTCTCCACCAAGTGCGACCAATCTAACAGAGTGTCACGGAAATCAATGTGATCTAGGCGGTTTGGTAGCTGAGTGTATTGGGCACTGGAAGGATCGCCGTATCCCAGGAAGATGTCCTGAAGCCATGAGGGCAGTGTCATGTCAGAGACGATGAGCTTTTGCATGGTTTCCAGGATTGACTTGAAGTTGTTCTCCCGACCCTTTCTCCGGGCAACAATGTTGATCAAGGGATAGATATCTGGCTTGCCATGCTGTTGACGATCCTTGTCAGAGGTAAAAGCAGAGGCATCCAGGTTGACCAGCAACCTCCTCAGCCGCGGTCTGGAATTGTATCCATTGCTCTGGCCAGCCTGCGACTGCCGCAATGGACGACCTTGTTCATCAAGCACCTGCACAATTTCAGCTGTTCGAAGGTGGGTCATACGTGGACCATCCGTTTCCTGGCCAAGTTGCGCAGGGGATTCTGTCTGCACAGCCATTAGGTAGACGACATCATCTGGTCGCAGAGAATCCCATTCTTTGCGCACATGATCCGCCAGTCTACCTACCTCGATTGCGATCTCAGCGCGGACAAAAGCTGGATTTTTGGAGCCGACCTTCGCCGGTGCAACCTCAATAATGGCAGGTTTGGAAATGGGGATTGCCATACGAGAAAATCCCTCGAATTCCAAGTTCCCATCTCGTTTTGCACGGGGCTGCATTCGCTTGACAATGGCTTCCATGTCCTTGCGAATCTGGAAAAATGCCTCTGAGCGATATAGCAGAAACGAGCGCCAAAGGAAGTCTCCCAGGCTCAGGTATTGGAGATTCAACTTCGGGATGGCAAGCGGGCGTGATCCATCGTATGCCTCGTTCCTCAGCAGTGCCAGGTCGTATAGGTTTTCTTCTGTGGGAACAATGCTCAGTCGTGAAGCAGCTTCCTGGAAGGAAGGCTTTCGTTCATAGAATGACAACAAAACCTCGAGGAACAGATGACGGCCGGGATCGACATTCGCCGACTTGGGATAGCTCGTTCGGAAGCCAAGATGAGAACAGAGACTCTCTAGCTCCGACTCCTCCAACGCCGATAGCTGCCCTTCCAATTCCGATCGCTGTTCGACAGATCCTAGGTTGGACAACGCCAGAATCATGAGCTTGTCCTTGAAAAACTTCATCGAGGTTCGCTGCAAATGCGCCAGCTCTTGGCAGTGCCTGTCATACACTGCTTGGGGAGACAGGGCCTCGCCGGAGTAATCATCGATGGCGAAGTGAACAAAGTGCTGGAGAAGATTGTAGAAATCGCGCAACAAAGCGTTCTCGGCAGTGCGGTATAATCCCGACAGCCGAATAACGGGAAGAAGATTGAGGTCTTTCACTAGCGTATTGACATAACGCCGAGTGGGAAGCTGGCTCTCGAGATCGACCAGCAGCTCGAGGAATCGCTCGCAATATAACACGTTATCCTTTTGGTCCTTTTCCGGACCGTTCAGTTTCTGCATGAAGTCCAGAAGCATCGAATACAGCCATGAGCGTTCAAACCGCATCTTCGATTGCGCTGCTTCGTCTCCCGCATCATATCGCTTGCCCGCCGCGCGCCACGCCTTTTTCAACGTCGGCGTCTTGGCAATAACACGGTCCCGAGCGTCATCGCTGGATAGATTGTGCCAGATCGAGATGGAAACGAGGGGCGCGCATTCTTTCCGGATCAGAACATTTTCGAGGGACTGAAAAGCGCCGATGATGAACGAGATGATTGCGAGCCGCGATTGGGCTGGCAGTGATTGATCAATGCTCATCGACAGGATCCGATGAAACAAGCTCGAAAAATCGTCCGCGCGGTCGGAAAAGATGTCTGCCTTCCGTTAGCTACCGCCATCACGTCCGGATCCATTGGCGCGTCTACTCACCCCATATCGGCAGATGCTCGCGATTCTTGACGCTGACCATTAGCGCGATCAGGAGTACATGGTCATTGGAAGCGTCATCGGTGTACGTTGGCCAGAGGAATCTTGCACGCGATCGGTTAGCCCTGCAGCCCGCG